AATTCTTCACGGTGTTCGGGTGGTGTAAGAGAACATCCTGTGTCTGTGAAGCGTCTCTTCCCACCAGCTCCAGACAGATGTCGTGTAGAGTTCAAGAACAATGCTTCACCACGAAGCAAGCCTGTTGTATCATCCACTCGAGCTGATAGGGTCGAAGAAGAGCGATATGGGGGGATCGGAAACGGGACAAGTCGGCAAAGAGGATCGCGCGATTAGAAGGGGAAATTGATCGAGTGGAGAAGTCGAGGTGGGAAAGACTCTGTCAACCAGGTGAATCTAATAACGTGGAAGAGGTGAAATGAAGGAATAGAAGCAAGAGACGTGTGGTAACAGCATGTGCCAGCTCGTAGAGTGATAAAGTCTGTCCTCCCCTGTTCAAATCGCAGGCGAGTAGACAAGCGTGACCCTTCCAGGCCCAGACTGCGGCTTTTCATGATGACTTAGCCGTGGCAGTGACTGGCTGGGCTGTGCCAAGGTCAGTTTTCCGTTTTCAGTTTAGCCCCGTTTGGTCTAAAAATGAGGCAAACGCAAACGCAGCTCCATCTGTCAAACAACTTCTGCCTTCTTTCCTCCAGTTTCCATCCATCCGATCCTCCCATCTGCCTTGTCCATCATCTGTTGCATTCACTCTGCCAACCAGAGATTGTATTAACAGTCATTTGCGGCTAGAGTTCAGGCGCTTGGTGACCAGCGCGAAACAACATCGACCACGATCGAGTAGCTTGCCACCTGGCCCCTTTCACCTTTCCATCGTGACCATGTCTCGATCTGGCACTACCCTGTATGTCACGGGTTTCGGTCATGGCACCCGCGCCCGTGACCTTGCCTATGAGTTCGAACACTATGGTCGTCTGGTTAGATGTGACATTCCTGCCCCCAGAACTGCATCAAGCCGTCTGTAAGTACTGAACAGCGACCCCTGCCACTGACGCAAATTAACACCTGAGCAGCTTTGCCTTCGTCGAATACGAGAGTCGTCGCGATGCTGACGATGCCTATCACGAGATGCATAACAAGCGAATTGGTCGTGATGACGTCTTGAAAATTGAGGTATGGAAGGACAACTCTCACTCAAGCCGTCTTGCCAAACACATTATCTGACTACTCAACTTGTAGTGGGCCCGCACCCCCCCATCTGCTACCTGGCGCTACGAAGCTGGTCGAGGCCGTCGTGAGCGCTCTCCTCCACGCCGCTCAGCTCGTTCTCCCTCTCCTCGACGCCGCGACTATTCTCCTCGCAAGGACGATCGCCGCGACCGCGACCGAGATCGGGAAAGAGACCGGGACCGAGACTACGATGACCGACGCCGCTCGCGCAGCCCTGCGGACCGTGAGCGTGATCGAGACCGCGACCGGGACATGAAAGATGACCGAGACCGACGAGACGATGACCGTGACGGCGCTGCAAATGGCGATGACCGGAAAGGTATGATGGAACTCGACACAGATGCAGCCTGGATTTGATCTGCTGACACCCGTATCAGCTGTGGATTCCCCTCCCCCGGCCCACGATGAACTCGATACCGCGGAATGAGAAGGCAGCGTGATGTGCCACCACCCACCTGGTGCCAAGTCCAGCGTGCATTATTGCGAACGAACAAACAAGCAGAATCCTTGAGATGGGCAAGATCACAACCTCCTGTGATCACAAAGGGCAAGAATGTGCTAGGTTTCCTTCAGATTTTTTCTCGCCCTTGACATTGTTATGATAATTCGATTGCAGAGCTTGCATGACCTGAGAGTCTCAGGCATAGCAGTGAGCGGTGGTTCAAATTGACTTGACACGGGATTAGATCGACTTCGAGCGAACGGTGCGGGCTCAATCCTGTACAACAGCTGACTTATCGGTCGTCAACCGTTGTCCTCGGTAGCCTACGAAGTATTCGATCGAGGCGTCGATACGGAAAATCGGACGATACCTATCTTGACACCATGTGCCGCCGTTTCCCCCTTTCCTATTCCTCTTCGAAACGTTACAGCAGCTCTAGCCATCAGACTCGTTCCTTTTCGTCCGCGGCGATGCAGCGCCTCCTCGGCCTCGCTTTCTCTCGTCCCCGCCTCCGCCGTCGTAATTCCCATTCTCGCAATTCCACCACGTATCCCCTTGCGCAATTCCTCCATCCTATCCTTCCGCCTCATCCGCACAATCCATCTCCTACGAACTCGCTCCTCGGCATTCAACACTACAACATCGTCGGCACGACACGTGTTAACTCCCCCCACGCGCCATCTTTGTCTTGTCATACAGCCACGATGTTCTGGCTCGTTTCCGTCTCTGCGCCCATATCCGATATCCTACCCTTTTTCTATATTGTTTTCTACCGATGGTGGGCTTGTCCCTGTCCTGATGATGATTTTAATCGACTAAGCAGGCACTGCACTCCACTCGGGGAGGTAAGTCTTGTAGCGTCGTCATGGGTAAATTGTCCTTGCGGACGTGGGTTTTATCGTGTAAATACATGAAATCTCAATCGCTCCTGAGTCATTATGGAGTTTGTTCTGATCCTTGTCACTCCTGTCCATGCAATGTGCATCGCCACCACAGATGGGCTCGTGTTGAATATTCCCAACATCGCACTCTCGCACGGCATTCCTATCCCGTCCTATCCTTTTTGATCCGATGACCCTGTTGAATCTGATCCCAATATCTCGTGAAATATGGCTTCCGTTAACTCGAGAGAACTACGGCTTGTGCTCGCTCAACATCCAAGTAAGCAGATCCACTTTGGTGACCACCGCCACCGGCTTGAGAGCGCCGCCCTTGTCTTTTGACTCGCGCTCGGTGACGATGGCCGCACTCTGCCACTCGAAGAATCTGTTCAACGCGCCCAGGGGCGTGTCCACGGTGATCTCGACAAAGTGCTTCCGCTTGCCTTTGCCCTTGGGTTTTGCGGTGGTTGACGGCTTCTGCGGCTCCGAGTCCTCGTCCGCGGAGGTGGTCATCAGCTCGGAGAAATCCGTGTGGTCGACGGTGACTTCGCTGATTTTGGAGAAGTCGAACATGACGTCGCTCACGGGGCTCTGTCCCGTGGCCCGGCCGTGGCTTATCCGTGACAGCAGGTTGCCCAAGGTGACGAGGCCGACTAGTCTCCTGGATCCCCTGGGTGCCAGGACGGGGAGTTGGTCGAAGCCCTTTTCGCGCATGACTTCGATGGCGCTGGAGCAGGGACTGTCCGAAGTGACCGTCTGGACGGGTTTGAGACGCAGGTGGCGTACGCGAGCGCCGTGGAATGTGTCGTCTTGCTTGATGCTCTGGGTTCTCGAGAGTTGGGGTGATGATGGTTCAGGCGGTGGTGTTGGCGGCAAGAGGTTGTTAGCGGCGAGCCAGTCGTCGTCGACGAATTTGCTCAAGTACGAGCGGATGCTATCTGGGAGGATTGTCACGATCACATCGTCCTTCCCAAGCTTGAGATCTCTTGCAGCTTGGATCGTGGCTGCGATGGCAGACCCAGAGCTCCCTCCGACCAGCAATCCTTCTTCGGAAATGAGACGGCGTGCATAGTGGAAGGAATCTCTGTCGTCCGTCTTGTACCATTTGTCCACGACACTCTGGTCGAGGACGTCCGGGATGAAGTCATAGCCGATCCCCTCGACTTTGTAAGGTTGGTTGGCGTATTCCTCGTTGAGGGACGACGGGAGAGCGAGGATCGAGCCCTGGGGATCTGCAGCGACGACCTTTATTGATTTGTTGTGCTTGTGTAGACCGCGGGCGAGACCTGTGATTGTGCCACCTGTGCCGGCGCCGGCGACGATGCACGTTATAGTACCATTTGTTTGCTGCCAGACCTCTTCGGCCGTTCCCAGCTCATGCGCCAGCGGATTGTCGGGGTTCCCGTATTGGTCCAAGATATGAGCATTGGGTATCTCCTTCTCCAACCGTTTAGCGACTCCGATGTGTGATTCAGGGCTGTCAAAGGCGGCTTGTGTGGGGGTACGGATGATGGTTGCGTTGAGGGCTTTGAGGACGGCGACTTTCTCAGCAGACATCTTTTCCGGGAGGGTGATGATGGTCTTGTAGCCCTTGAGGGCGGCGACGAGGGCGAGGCCAATACCACTATACAATCAGAGATTTCCATCTTGTTAGCTCCTCGGTTCTGCAAGGGATTGTTCTCTCAAGTTTTTGTTGGTGGCTTCCTTACGTGTTGCCACTGGTAGGCTCGATGAGCGTGTCCCCCGGTTTTATTCTGCCCGACTTCTCGGCCTCTTCAATCATGCGCAGGGCGATCCTGTCCTTGACGCTTCCCCCGGCGTTGAAATATTCGCATTTGGCATAGACGGTGGCTTCGATGCCGAGAGACTGCGGGATCTTGTTCAGGCGCACGAGGGGCGTCTGCCCGATGAGTTCGAGTGCGGACTTGTGGGTGCCTTGGGCGAGCAGCCGGTCGCCGGTGACTGAGGCCATGTTTGTGTTTGGCGGTGTATGGGGGTGGGGGGGGGGGGTGGTATTATTGGAATTGTAAGGAGATTGTTGCTTGCAGGGACGTTGTAAGAAACATTCTTCTGTCTATGGTGAACTTTTCATACAAATGAGGTGATGTATTGTATTCGCTGCGGCGGCGGGACCCAATAACCGACGGTAGCCGCTGAGGGGTGAATTTCTCTTTCTCCATTTTTTTGTACTCTAGTAACATACGCACTCAATAGTAGCTGCAGTTATTGTTGCTTGTCCTTCTATATTCCTGACAAAAATCACCCACTGTCCACACCAAGCTGTGATTTTCAAGGTTGCAAAGCGCGACTTTCGCTACCTTACCCAGTCAAGGCCACAAGGAACTGTCCTCAAGGTGGACAATTTCGGTGACATTGAGCTTCAAGTAGACGCCGTCCGCGCATTGACTACTTGTTCTGCGGCCTCGCGTATGAGGAGGCCTGGATCACAAGACAGCTCTCCCCACGCTCCATCGGCATAAGTACACACTCAAGAGAAGTATCCCACAGCCTGAGCTTGTGCATTGACAGACAGTCCTTGAACTCGTCAGTCGCTTCGAACTAAGGCTGTGATGGCATCCCCCTGTTTCACCAAGGTCTACCGCACAACCACTTACCCGGCCATTGAGCCCTCAAGACCCGAATTGTCGACAAAGGACAAGACGGTGGTAGTGGCGGGCGCGGGTGAAGGAAACCTCGTTGCTGCTGTTGCCTTGTCATTTGCAAAAGCCGGCGCCCAGAAAATCGCACTCACAGGAGCAACCGAGGAGACTCTCGAGAAGACAAAAGCAGCTATTAATCAATCGTTCCCGGACGTGACGGTCCTGGTGACTCCCGCGGACCTCTCCAAAGCCAATGAAGTCGGCCTTGCGGCACATACCATCCGATCTGATCTGGGGGCCTGGGACGTGTTTGTAAATTGTGCAGGGTATGCTCCCCACCCCTTTCTGTGAGACACTTCTCTCGGATAAGCATCACGCTGACATTGCTGTGGAGGTACTCGCCAACCTCGACCACCCTCGCCGGAGCGGATGAAGACGACTGGTGGCAAGCATTCGAGATCAACACCAAGTTCTCCGCCCATTTCGCAAAGCACTTCCTCCCAAAGTGCCGCGCCAACGCGACGTACGTCGACGTCAACGCAGCGGCATGCCACCGGAGAGCCTCCCAGTCTCCCAAGGACTCGGCATACCTGGCCTCCCAGTTGGCGGCGGCAAAGCTCGACGAGTACCTCGCAGAGGAGAACCCCAAACTCCGCGTCTTTACGGTGTACCCTGGTGACACTTCCTCCTCCTCCACCTCCGCTGAAGGCCTCGAACTCGCCGCACACTTCACAGTCTGGCTCGCCAGCCCCGAAGCCGACTTTCTCAAGTCCGGGAGAGTTGTCGGGGCGAATTGGGACGTCGAGGAGCTGGTGGCCCGCAAGGTGGAGATTGAGGCGGATCCCACGCTGTTCAGAGTCACCATTGGCGGGTGGCCGCCGACTCGGTAGTAGTCTGTACGAGGTAACATTAGGAGATCCTTGACTCTACTCTATGAACTCGGTGAGCGCCGTGAGCGCTGTGAGTAGTTGTGTGGTCAATGGCCGGGCCACTCACTCACCCACTTCCCCTTTTTGGGAATCGAAAGATTGAAGACGAGTAGAGGCTCTGTCTCCCAGTCTGGTCTGCCAGGCCTTTGCCTCGCCCTCGCCTTACTATGTACATACCTTGCCAAGTATGAAGTATACTCGGTACGAGGAGACCGATGAAAAAGTCAATAGTCCCCAGTCCGTCAAATTAGGGTGGCAGTTAACAGGATTTAATTATATTATATATACACAGCTCAACATTTGGATCGCCCTGCTTCCGCCACAATTTACGCCTCTCAACCAAACTACGCCCCCGTCGCGGGATACTCAAAGTCACCATTCCCAAAGAAACTGCGGGTGTCTTCATGGGCCCAGAGATCAAACGCCTCCAAGTCGACGTCGTCTTGGAAAAGGTCGAAATTGTTTGAAATCTGGTTTTCCACCTTTTGTATTAGCCATGACAGACGATGAGTGATAAGTACAAGCATAAACACAAATACAAAACACATCGACATCACTGACCGGACCTGATCTTGAACCCGATCTTGGACCCGATCTCGGACCCAGCCAGCGAACAAATGATGTGTCCGTGCGTCAAAACTTACGAGAGAACCCAGCGTCTCCAGTTCCGTTTCCATTTCCATGTCTCCATCATTCCTCGTAGAAGATACTTCCGGGAATATTGTGATAGGAACATCTCCTACGCCCACTCCTGCCCCGAGTCCCTGGGCAGCGGCACTGCTATACCTCACACCACGTCAGTCGGGACACATCTGAACCATCAAAGAACTCCCGCATCTACTCTGGGGGAAACACGTACTCGGAGACACTCCCATGTCCAGTCGCAGCAGCAGCAGCAGCGGCGGCGGCGGCGTTGGGTCCATGCCACGACGATGTCGTTGTCACTGTCGCTGTCGCTGTCAACGTCGACTTGGACCTGTGCATAGACCCCAGAATGATCATGACCCTTGTAATGCGCTCAACCGCCTCTGCGGAAAAGGACGGGGCGCGATCGCTCCACAATCTGGACTTGGTGAGGCCGAGGACCATGGTCAGGAGGTAGTATTCGTTCAGGCCTTTGGCCAGGACGGTAATTCGGGTCTCGGTCATCGATAACACGGATTCCGCCATGGAGATGTAGCATTCGGCGAGGTTCGAGGCGGGTGATAAGGGCGTGACAATGGATCCTGGATTGTTGATCGATCAGACCCATGTAGCAGCGGGTATAGGGATATATGTGAAACATGGCTCGCGGCTAGGAGTGAGACTTCACACAAACTTACCAAAAACTCCATTCTGCAGATACAGCTCGTGGCAGATGGCCATGGTGGCGTGAAACTGGCGATTGTCACAGCCCGAGCGGTGTATAATGCCCTGGTCCACGAGCAACCTGAAAGAATTGAGGATACTCGTCGCGGCCTCGAGCCTCGCTCGACGTGAGTGGCCGAATCGGTTGGGCTGCGTCCTGCGATTGGCATTCGCAAAGGGCATATGCAGCAACACCAGCTGCTGCCGGAGTAACATATCCAGCATGTACTTGATGTAGACTGGCCTTTGGGTGCTCCAGTCATCACGCCTCGTAGGCGCGCTGGCCCAGTCTGTTGGAATTGTTGTGAGTGCCTTGGTGATGTCCTCGTCCAGGGAGATCGCCTCGTCGAAGAGCACCTCTAACGGTTTGTGATGACTGTTGTTGACCAGGGCGCAAATCCGCAGTCGTGGACCTATCGAGCGATAAGCCAGTGTTTGGAAAGACGTGTCTGTGGGAGCATCCAATGCACTCGGAGTTGGAGGTTCTTGTACCGACTCGGAAATGGCGTCGTCGTCGATATTCAATGGAGGTTTGGAGGTGAAATCCTCCTCGCGCAGGCTCGGCGGCATCCCTCGTTCTATGGTCGCTTGCAGATCGAGCTCGACAGCGGTGGCCCAGAGCCGACGACGCATCTCGCGGTGGAAAATGGAAATGTGGGCTCGACTGTCCGGTTCCCTGTGGTATCCGGCCGCCATGGCCGATCGTAACAGGGCACCTGTCGTCGTCCAGGCTTCGTTTGCTTGTATGTGGTTTGCTCGCTTGGCGATGACCAGAAGACATTGAGTTGCCAACATGGTCAGATGGTGAGAGGGCGTTCTTATGGTCTCCCTCGACATCCACGATTCGCAAGCTCGGATCCATGCTGTGGCGGTTTCGCGCGAGATCACATCTTTGGCTCGGATTCGGAGTTCGCAGCCCAGAATCTCGCGGCAACTTAGCGCTGTTGCCATTGCCAGCAAGAACTGAATGGCAGAGATTGTCTGTGTGGTCTGTGGGTTGATCCAATACTTGTGGTACTTGTCGATGAAAGACGGGATGTGGAAAACACGGTGCGTGGTTTCAAACCGCGTGATATACATGTCGATCAACCCATCAGCCAATTCTCGAGCAGGAATCAGACTCTTGATGTCAGAATCACATGGTGCGTCTGCGGCGCCGCCGCTGTGTCGACCCTCTAATCTGTGCCCGTTGATTTTCAAGACCTGAATCTCGTCCCGCAGCATGTTGATGCTGGGGCACTGCGCTTTGAGGCGCTGGATGTACGGTCGAAGCTGATCAAACTAGTTTGGCACAATGACAAAACAGAGGGGCTTAGCATGACCTCGCGGAATAGGAGTGTTTTTGCGAGGAAGGAGATACCTGCTGATACCAATTACGGTGGTAACTATGCCCGTAGAACCGGGTGAGAAGATCCTCGCCTTTGTAGATGGTCATCTCTTGGAGCGGCTGCTGCTCAGCTTGCTCTACTTCTCGCGTTGGTCCGTGGGATGACTGCGCAGGCGAGGGCAATGTCGCCCTTGTTTCCGTGCTTTGAAAACGCCTCGAAAGACTCTCTTGAGTAGCGGTATCCGACGCAGTCGAGTCACTGACGGTGCTCACTCGAGCTGCGCTTCTTCCTGCGCCAACAGGAGTCGGGACCATGGGGTTTTCACGGTATACACAGCCTTCTGGGTACCCGCTCTTTCTGCATCTCTCGCAAGCGGGAAATTCACGACCGCATTTTAATTTTCGTTGGTGGCAGGCGATGCAAGCCAGAGCTGGACGCCGCCGTTTCTTGGCCTTTGTCACTATTGTCGAGGGAGGTGTTGGTGATGCTGCGACACCTTGGTGTTCCATGATCTTTGGAGGCAAGGTGTCACTAACCCGAAGGCTTGCTTAACTATCGAATAATGGTCAATGGTATGCAAGGGGGGGTTGGTCCCGCGGAGAGGTGGCAGAGCAAAGCTTAGTCCAATGTTATCGCTTGAGGAGAGGTTGTTCGTGAAACGTTGTAGAGGATGTCGAGGAGATTGATCCAGTCCAGGCATGGATGCTTGTCTCCCTCACGCAGCGTGTGGAAACTGTGGCATTACAACAACGTGTGCTTCAAGTTGACACGCGCACATCGACCACATGCTCTCCTGCTGCAGTTCGATCGTGACTCAGAGAACAGGAGGATGTTGTGGTAGAGAAACGAAACCTTGTCGGCTTATTCGGCTTTTGTCAAGCCATAGAGAGTCACTAGTATGAAACGAACACGAAGAGCAGAACGAGGTGGCGAAGACCAACCAGACAAACTTTGGTGAAGCTCGGACATTTCCTACAATTGTCCGAAATTGCCGAGCCACGAACAAGGCTGTGGCGTTCAGGAGCAAGGCTGGCTGGGCTGTGCTGGGTTCATTTGCACCACTAACAAACAACAGCTTTAACCAGGGATTTTTCTTGATCTGGGAGAATGCTGTCTATAGACTATTAAATGTCACCGATGACTTTGTGGAGTAGACTTCCTCAATATCATCGTTTCTTGATGCGAAAGTCGTACTTCACCTCCCACTTGACATCGCTCTGCAGACCGCCCACACCCCGTCCAATCCGTGCCTCTGGACCCGCAGGCTCGAATCGAATAATCAGGTCATCTTTGACGGCGTATACAGAGTCACGATCAAGATACGCATCGTCGCTCGGGAACACTTGCGTCACGAGCCGACGGTGGGATTCGCTCTCGACCATGAAATGAATGTGTGCGGCTCGGAAGGGCGAACGGTCCATCAGCTTCAGAATATCGCCTGCAGGCCCGTCATACGGCACCGGGTAGGGAACCGGTTTGATGCAGTAAAAGCCGTACCGACCGTCGTGGTCTGAAGTGAATATCCCACGCATGTTTCCGTCAGGTTGCTCTGGATCCTGTTGATCGTAGAGTCCATTGGCCGCGCATTCCCACACGTTCAGTTTCACGCCTGTGTGATACATCGTTGGTTCTAACGTCCAAAGAGTGATGGCCTTCGTGGTTGATGACTTACCAGCAATGGGCTTGTCGCTATCGGCGTCAAGAATCTGGCCGTGACACCAAGTAACTTCGCCGCCGAGGTACTTCTGGATGATGCTGTCGCCGTTCTCATAGGCAGGCGCGTCGGCTCGATAAAAAGGACCCAGGATGCAGGAATTGGTGGACGCCTCTTCTGCGAGGATCCTGTGCGTGATTTCGTCCACTAGACTTTTTGAGAGGTCAGACAACGTCCTGAAAAGAGAGGTCGCACACGATGATGCTGTGAGGTGACTTGCGCTTCCACCCCGAGACAATCAGATATAAGCAGTGTCTCGTTTCGCTTCGCATCACTCATGCGTCCCGAGCGGTTGAGAGCGTCTAGTCCAATATAAAGCTCTTCGGTTGTGAGGTTGACCTCCCGACACACGGCATGGAGGTGACGGATCAGGGATGTCAAGATCTCTTTGGCCCGTGAGGGAGCAGCGGGACCAAAGGAAGCAAGAACTGATGCTGTGAACGGCGCATCCTGGGATAACGCCATGGTGCAACAAAGAACAACGACCGAGGGTAATGAAGGGGGACCGGGGGTAGAGGTTCAACGTGGAGAAAAGCTGGGTTGACATTCTGCGGAGAAAACTCACAGCTGGGGTTGTGCCTTTCTTTTAAACAATCCGGGGAGCTCTTTGGCTTCGTAAGCGGAATCGCAGTGGATTCGTATGGTACAACACTGCCTCAAGAGGAGCTAGCTTGCTTGCTGTCAAGACCGATCTCAGCTCGGCGGTCGAAATATTTGCAATTCTCCGACCTCATGCCCTTGGAAGGTGCTGGAGCACTTTGAAAAGACCGAGATCGAGTCGGAAGGTCAAGGCCGATGATTGAGTCCGCCATCTCGGTCTCAAACAGTCAACAATCCGAGACATCAGCAAGCAAAATATGTAGTCGGCATTCTCGGTTGTAGTCATGAAAGGATTGTTCTTTCAAGTCTTGCCATCCACTCGAATTCGCCACCATCTTTCCACAACCGAAGCACCCTGTTGCTTAGGAAGTTCTGCACCCGCGTCTTTACGATCCTGTTGCCAGAGCGCATCGAGATAGGTGCAACGACATCTCAACCCAAGTCAAGATGTCCACCGCCAACAAGCCAGAGACCACCAAGCCGGTCATAGTCGTTGTCCCTGCCTCATTCTCTCCACCGAGTCTCTACAGTGAACTGGCGGGAGCGTTGAACAGCCACGGCTATGAGACTGTCGTGATTGATCTCCATTCGGTTGGCGATCGCAGTCCACTTCCAGCCGCCACAATGGCCGATGACGCAGAGTACATCAGGTCTCTCGCGACAAAGGTCGCTGACCAAGGCAAGGAAATTGTGCTGGTCATGCATTCATATGGAGGTATATGCGGGACCGAGAGTATCAAGGGTGTGACGAAGGCTGAACGCACACTGTCCCAGATGAAAGGAGGCATCGTGAGGCTGTTCTATATCAGCTCCCCAGTGCCGGGAGTGGGGGGTTCGATTGCCACGCAGATGAGTGACAACATGCCTGAGTTTATCAGAGTCGAAGTGAGTGTCTCGCGATCTGTGCTGGCTAGGATAGGTGTTACTAACTCTGTGTTGCAGGGTGATTACATGTTGACTGAACCAGCGGGTTGTGCTCGAACCAATTTCTCGGATCTTCCTCTCGCAAAGGGAGTCGAGTTGGCCAAAACAATGCTCCCGCACTCGACGGTCAGCTTCACAGGCCTCCTCACTCATCCGGGCTATCAGACTATTCCGGTGTCGTACCTGGTGTGCAAGGAAGACCAGGCAGTGCCACTACAGGTTCAAGAGTCTATAATCAACCGGATCGAGGAGGAGAGCGGTCAAAAGGTCGATGTCCACACTTGTCAAGCAGGACACTTTCCCACTCTTAGCTGCGCTGAAGAGGTTGCCCGAGCTATCAGGTGCGCAGTCGGAGACACTCTGTGATAGAATGTTCCTCTTGCTAGGACAGAAACAAAATAATATCGTGAATACAGAGTTTCCGCCGTATTCGTCTCGTCTGTTGCTGAATGGTGACATGCTTTCGAGAGTTTTGACCCTTTACCGAACCTCAAAATGGCGAAGGAGTCCCTCGGTAGATCAATCAAATCCTTGCTTCGCCAGAGAAGGATGTAGAGCTCTGGCACTTGTCGCGTTGTCAGATGGTGTATTCCTGGACATACAACGGTGTTGCTTTGACTCGGCCGATGGGTCGAGGGGCTCGCGCCACGTTATTCGGTTTTTCGATGATCGGTATTTTCATGTTGCCTGAGAAATGTCCGAGCTGTTCTGTTCGGCTTTATCCGCTAGTCTCGATGCACCCTTGTGGCAGCCGAGTCAGAGGCCGAGGACGAGGCAGGTTGAGATATGACATTCGGCGACTTTGATTCAGTCGAAGCTGCGGAGACGTAGCAACCGGGATCCCCCCGGACGGCCATAGAATCTCGTCATATAAAGTTGCAGCCCTCATCGAACCGTCGACACAAAGCTTTGGCTAATTGAGGGCATCAAACAAGAGGAGTTGTCAAATCAGTTCCAATATGTCCGGGAAGCATATTATCATCATCGGCGCGGGCCCCTCCGGTCTCACTCTTGCCGCGCTCCTTCAACACCACTCCATCCCTTTCACTCTTTATGAGCGCGAACCGAACATAAGTTCTCGATTCCAGGGAGGATCACTCGACCTGCACCCTGACTCAGGCCAACGTGCTCTCCAGGTCGCTGGACTCGAAGCTTGCTTCAAGAAGTATGCCAGGTATCACGACCAGGACTACCGATTCATGGACAAACACGCCAAAGACTGGCTCTTCCACCAGGCGCCTCCTGACGCGGAGGGTCGCCCTGAGATCGACCGTTCGGAGTTGAGAAAGATCCTGATCGACGCCGTTGACGCCCAGAATCTCAAGTGGGATCACCATGTTTCTAAAATTGTTCGAAACGCCGATGGAAGATATGAGGTCCATTTCGTCAACCACAGTACCTCTGCGATTGGCGATCTGATTGTTGGTGCTGATGGAACATGGTCGAAGGTGCGATCGTTGTTGACGAGTACAAAGCCAGTGTATACAGGTCTCACGGTAATTGACTGTCGCATCTCAAAATTGGACCAGAAATTCCCCGGGCTGGGCAAATTCATCGGTCGAGGCACTGTGTTTGCCCTCAGTGACGGCAAGGGCATTTTCATGCAGCGCAACGGAGACGAGAGTCTTCGCGTCTATCCCTGTTTGAAGGTGCCAGAGAAGTGGGCGGCTGAAAGCGGTATCGACTGGACAGACCCCAAGACAGCCACGGAGATGCTCTTGGAGAGCGTGTACAGCGACTGGGATGAGCGCCTAAAAGAAGTGATCCGTTGTTTGGACCCCAAGTGGACCCCGAGGGCTCAGTACAGGATGCCCCTAGGAATGCACTACGAGACTCAACCGGGGCTGACCCTGATCGGAGACTCCATGCACGTCATGTCGTGGTTTGCTGGTGAAGGGGCAAACCTTGCCATGCTAGACGCCTTGGACCTTTTCCTCTGCATTCAGGCAAACCCGGGCGACTTGGAATCTGCAGTGCGCAAGTATGAAGAGCGAGTCATGGGGCGGGCGGACAGCACCAACAAAATGTCGCAAGATCTTTTGGTTGAAGCCATGGCAGACGACTCTCCTCGGGCATATGTTGAATCGATGGCCAAGGCAATGGATGTGTGGTTTGCCGATGGGCGTTTGCTAGAGGAAGTCGAGTTGTGAGGCTCTTATCACCGGTGACCGGTTATTGGATGAGTATATAGCGATGATCCATAGAATCCGAATCTACATCGAGGTTGAGGTATCAAGGTGAAGTGGGTGTTGATGAGGTAAACGCGCTAGTTGGGACTAATGTTAAAGTTAGTCCTGATAAGGTCTAGACCAACCTCAATATCATGTGATCTACTATGAGCCATTTTCACGTGATGATGCTCCCCCTGAGAATTTCCTTTCAGTAACTATTTTCCGAGAGTCATTCCAAGATGATTCCCTCGATGTACAGGCTGCGGCCGACAATTCCCCACTCGGACAATTGATTCGGACATTTCCCAGCTTCGGACTAAGAGCAGTCATGGCAATGCCTGATCATGATCGTCGAGGGCGTCATGGCCCAGATATATTGTCGTGAGTACTAGGGATGAATCCTCAACTCGTGTCTCGATAGCTTTAATCGCCCAGCTTTAGTGAAGTCCGTTGTCAGCAGGCGCCAATGGACTCATTAGCCAATGGATTCCTCCCCGTACAACATCTTGTCGGCGCAGTCGCTATCGTTACCGGAGGCTCCAATGGCATCGGAGCCCAGACCGTCAAACTCCTCTCTTCCCTCGGATCAAATGTGATAATAGCAGACCTCGCGTGTACGGCTGGGGATGCCGAAGACCTCATTGCCTCCCTGTCACACCCCGAAACCGCCATGTTCTTCCCCACGAATATTCTCCGCTGGGGAGAAATGAAGCTTCTCTTCAAACGAACCATTGAGAACTTTGGCCGTGTAGATATTGTCATCGCCAATGCTGGGACAATGGAAAGCGAAAGCGTGTTTGATCTAGGAGCAGTCGACAGCGAGGGAGAACTGCGGGAATCAACCGAGGGATTCGGAGTCTTGGATGTCAACCTGAAGGGGACACTGAACAGTAAGTCTCTTTTAGCTCGCCACGACTCGGACATTCCCCCAGAGATACTTTACAGCTGCCGGGACTGATATGCTGGTTTGGTCACAGCACTGAGGCTGGCGCTGTACCACATGCAGCGAAATAAGCCACGTGCCCAGGATTCTTGTCGAGGATCCGTCATTCTCGTCACCTCGACCTCCGGATACTTTGGCAGCAGCGGCGTCGGAGCTTATGTTGCCTCGAAACACGGTCTGGTTGGTCTACTTCGGGCATCTCAACTGACTGCACGGAGCATCGGCGTGAAAGTGAATGCTGTGGCCCCCTTCTACACTCCCACTCCGACATTCTCGAAGCTTTCGGATAAATGGAGAGCTTCGGGGTTGAAGGCGAACACGATTGACGACGTCGCAAAAGCGATCGTACAGACTTGTCTAGCTTCGGCGAGTGGAAGATGTGTTCTGGTAAGACCTAACCTCTTCTTGTCATGGAATCGGTGTTAAAGCATAGCAGGTCGCTGGAGGGTTGACGCGGGAGTTGGAAGCAACCCGGTCGGAGCTGATATCTACATGGCTTGGTGAAGACGTGGCTGAGATTCTTCAGACTGCTGGGAAACTGTTTGCCGAAGGAGGCTATGTGCTTCCAGACAAGAGGACTGAAGCATTAACCGGGTAGTCTTGGTCAGCAGGTCGACGTCGCAGCACTGGGCTGTACGAAGTCCACACTAAAGCTAGTGTTTACTCGGCACAATCTATTGTATGGCCAAGTTGGTGTCGATGTATCTATACTGGAAGAGGCACTGGTATTTTCCCACAAAATCCACGATCTCGTCTCTCGCCCTGGCCTAAACTTGACCATGTCCAATAGTAGATCTCGTCAATAATAATAATCCAAGATTTAATTGTAGTTTACCCGAGTTTGGCCACTATGGCGTCTGACTTGGTCGGGACAGACTCAATAAGGCGCCTTGGCAGCTGAACTTCGTCTCTGTAAAGGAAGTCTTTCTTTTTCCCTCCTTTTCCCTCTTTCAACAGCAATGGAACACCACCAGAACTGCAGACGCTGAACGCTGAACTCACACGAACACCTACCAGGTACCTACAGAAACCCATTTCACCCTCAATCACAGCTTTGGGGCTCTCTGCTGTTGTCCCATTACCCGCCAACTCATATCATCCCCCGCCTCGTATTCAGCCTTCCTTGGCTCTTTAGCATTTACCGTTGCAAGGGCCAGACTCCCGTACAAGGATCCCGAGGGCTGAGACAAACAAAATTTTGGCCAAGATGGCATGGCTGATTTCTTGCTCGCTAAGCGACTGTGGTCTGTCTGGCCCCAATTCGCTCCAGATCATTGGGTGCATCGTGGTCATCGCCGCATGGGAATTCTGTCTTTTCTAACAAACAAGACTTTTCCTTCGTGTTCTGTGCAGCCCTGCCACTACCTGGGGTATTCATGAGACGACTGAGAGAGGACTTTTGTCGCGTACCCGACGAGAAGCCGATAACGAGCCAAGAGCCTCCAAAGGCTAGCCACGGCCTATCCTACCAATCCATGTTTCTTTGCGGTATCCTAGGCCATTCCAGGCTGCTCCGGCTTTCAGCCCTAAACCATGCGACACCCAACCGGTAGATGGTGGAATGGAAATACGAGAGCAATCTGTGGCAATCGCCTCGAGACAGCTAGCACCGCCGACATGAAAGTCTTGACGCGGTGGTCCAGCCGCATTGGCATTTAACTTGGAGCGCGGACTGTCTCCAATACGACGAGGTGAGGGTTTCCATGCCTATCGCAGCTGCTACTGTCCTGGCCTAGAGAAGCTGCCACGGCTTGTCGACGCCGCGACGGTCAGAGATTTCAGGTGCCCATCCCCCTGCCTTTGACTTTTTGTATCACGGTTTGTTCTTCTGTATCACTCTCGCACCTCTCTCTGCCTTTGCTATCTCAATCCATTTTACAAGCATGGGAATTCCAGTCTTCGTCCTCGCAGCCCTGCTGTCGGGTGTGGTGGCTCAAGACACTACCTCCACGGTGACAGATTTCCCCAGTACTGAAACTGCCTCTCCTACGAGCACAAGTACCCAGCCGATCACGGTAACGATTGCTGTTGGGAATGGAGGGCATACTTTCATCCCAGATGTGGTGCAAGTTTCTCCTGGAAATTATGTTGGTATGTTCTTGAGGAAATCGAGTCTGTATGTGTGTGGTCGCTGATACTGTTGTCCAAGAATTCGACTTCTATCCTTTGAACCACTCGGTGGTCCGGGCAGAATACATGTACCCATGTATACCTTATGAGTTGACAGGTAAGGGATATACAAGCGACTCAACCCTCAAAAGGCGATGAGCTGACTGCGAATCAATGGTAAAGGCGTGGACAAAGTCGGGTTCTATTCTGGCTTCCACCCCGTCGACGCCATTCTCAGCGATCCGCCGAAATGGACGGTGCTCATCAACGACACCGAACCCATCTTCTACTACTGCGGTGCTCCCAACTCATGTATTGGATACCAGATGGTCGGCGTCATCAACCCCAATTCCAGCACGTCTATCCAAGCCCAGAAGCAGTATGCGGCCGACTCTTCCTTTATGTTGCTACCCGGGGAGAATTGGCCCGATGAAGAGGATCCGTTTGCCACCACTTCTACCTCGACGGCTACGGCCACCGCCACATCGACAGTAACCACTTCTACTGCGTCTTCGACGTCGGCATCAACTGCTGGAGCGACCACGACCCCGGCAGCTAGCGGATCAGGCCACTCGGGCCTTTCAACGGGTGCCATTGCAGGCATCGCGGTCGGTAAGTCACTCCCTAGTTCTGGGGAGAGCAGCCCTTGTGTATGATGGATGCTAACTCGCGACCAGGAGGAGCAGCCGCCGTCATCGCGGCAGCGGTCATACTGTACTTGTGCGGACGCAGGTCCAAATCCAAAAAGAACAAGGAAGAGGCCGGCGGCGCGAGCCTACCGGGACCGTCCACCCCAGCCATGGGCCCGATGAACAGTCCGCCAGCGTACATCCCGCCCGCCAACAACTACGGCTACATGTCACCGACGCAGAAGCACATGTCGGTGAGCACGATGCCCGCCACCGACGCCTTTGGCAACGCCATCCCCGCCCCCGGCGCGTACCCCTCGCCGTACTCCCAGACCTTCCCACAGGGCTACCCAGCGCCGCCGCAGCAACTGATGACCAACACCGGAGTGGCACACCCGCAATCACCGCCCGCGTGGCCGTCCACGCCGTCCAACGACATTTTCGGCGCCTCCTCCGTCGCCGGGGGTCCGTACCAAATGCACGACGGGTCCGTGGCGGGGGGTGCCATGGAGAACATGTCTCTCCGCGCGAGCAGCCCCAACTCGGCCATCGTCGCCGGACCACAGGCCGCCGCGCCAGGAGTTGTGGGCGGCATCGAAGCGTTCCTGCAGCGCCAGTCACGCATGAGTCCGCCGCCGCCGTCGGAGATTGATGCGCAGCACACCCCGTCGGTGGTGGCCGGGTCTGCGGGAGCGGGACCGTTTGAGATGTCTGCTGCGCCGGGTACGATGAATCGGTTTCCGTGATTTTGTTAAAACTTCTGTTTTAATCCACTCTTTAACTCGTCGACTCTTTAAAATCAAGTACTTACTTATTCATATACTCACTACCTACCTCACTCAAATACTCACTCACATACAAATTCATTCACTTATCGTTGTCGCTCGCCATCTGTCCATCGATCAAGCCATACAGCTATCCGACCAGCTATTCGATCAGCAAGCTTGAACACCACATTTCGAGCTGGCACCCTCTCTCTTTCTCTCATTCTCTCTCCACCCATACATCCGTCCGCCCGCGTCAAACCCATCCACCTGCGAGCTCCGGCAACTAGCAAGTTTCCTTTGCAAACCGGCTGTCCTGGCGGTCCCAGTGGTGCCAGTGGTAGAGGGCTAAGGGGGAATTGTCCGAGGACCAGGGCCCAGAAAAATACAATGAATCACACGGCATAAATCCAACCAACTAACCCGTCCAGTTGCCCATCTAATCTACATAGCTTGTATTTTCCTCTTCTGTTGGTTGTTAGTTTGGTTCCTGTGTCTATATATCTATATATGTATATGTATATACATTATACCCCAAACCATGCTCTATCCCTTACCCCTTAGTATTTCCGTTCGGAGAAAACAGCAGCGTCTGGCTCACCTCGTAATATGCTCCATCCCCAGCTGCAGCCCTAGCTCCAGCTCTCGCTCTCGCTCTCGCTCTAGCTCAAATGAGAATAACAATGTGAAACTGCTTTTGTGCCGGAATGCATAGAAACTCACTCGCGACTTGCTTGGATGCATTCACAACGAAAAAGAAAACTGCAAGAAAAACCAAATACCGACACCAGCGGAGCGAGAAGAACAAAGAAACGTGAATTAATACGGTAGAACCTATTTAACCACCTTGAAGCTGAAAAAGGAGAAGAAGTAAACACCTACTAAGTATACGCCACCGAGTGGCTTGTCGTTTTCCAAGAACCTTTTTAGCAAGTATTTGCCTGGGTTAATTCACGAACCAACGACAGGGACAACAACTGCGACGTGCCCTGCGCCGAGTCGGAGGCTCTAGGATAGGCTGGTCCTTAGCACTGGTCTTCTCTGCAACGAGAATTTTTGATCAGACAGATGATGGTAAATAAGGCTGAGGCAACTGCATGGGCAACTGGCAACCGCGAGTTCTAGTTCTGGCAAGAGGCACCCTGGCGGGAACTCCTAGATTAGTACTAGTGGTCTACATTAGCAATCTTGGCAGTATTAGTGTAAATTGCTTAGCGGATCCCGGGTGGGAATAGCGAACCTCAGGAGAAGAGATTGCGAAGTCAGGAAGGGTCTTTGATGACTGTAGGAACGTTTGCGCCCGGCTATCTGCAAATAGGGGGGCTTGAGAGTGAGGATTACACGTTTCGCCGTGTCCCACGCGACTGTTCGATTCACCGTCTCATTAATGACTAAGTCTCTGCCTTCACTGCTACCTTTCCTAGACGCTCTACAAGTGACTTCACAAATGGTCCTGTACCCCAACTGCCCACATTATTGAGCTTGACCACGAAGTCCTCCCCTCGCTCCAGCACCAGTACATTACAACTATCCAGAAGCTTCGATTCGAACTTGCGTACACCGCCTTCATAGACGGTCCAGTGGTACCAGAGCTCGTGGATGGGGCCTTGGGTGGTGATGGAGAAGAAGAGCGGGGGATGGGTATTCGAGGATTTAGGCAGAGCACCAGATCTCATCGTTCCGCTGTTAACCAGGCTATCTAGATCATGCTGGATCTTGAGCGCGCAAGCCCCGGAAACGGCAGCTTGGTTCTCTGCCTCGAAGATTTGTTTACCGGTCGAGTAAGCCTTACCTTCAACAACAGCAAACGGGAAGGCGAGATCTAAAGCGCGTGGCGCCGGTACTAAGAGTAGCATCGGTTCAAGCGGCCCCTTTGGCACGTGCTGCACCATCTCATTCTGGAGCCAGTGGATGAATGCCGTGGCCTTGGCCTTGTTGAGTTTCTGCGCCGAGAGGGCAGAGACGAGAGCCGTGAGATCAGTGCCTATTGAGAGGTCGGGCCGGGGATTTTCAATCGGGTAGCGATCTCCCTCTTTCTCCGGGACAGGTGGAGCCGGAGTAGACATCGCGTTCGACTCCTGAGAATTATTAGCTGGCGGAGTGGTGGGTGCGTTGGCCTGAAATGATTCGGGAGACATATACTCGCCAGCGGACTGCTGCTGGCGTTTTCTCGGACGGGCTGAGACGTCGTCAACCTCTAGTTGCTGGACACTGGCCATGAAGTTCGAACTGAAATGCAACTGCTGCGGGACTATAGGCTGAAGCTCCTCTCGCCACTCGGCTTTTTCATGGATACAAAGGTTCTTGAGACCCAGAGCCTTGAGGGCAGTATGGAGTGGATTTATAAAGTCATCCTCGCCAGACTGAGCCTTGACATTTTTAAGGCAGCTGTTACTGAGTTCTTGAGCTATAACGCGGAGTTCAGCCCGGCGCTGCTTGGAGACTTTAGCATTAACAATGCGGTTGGCCGCGGCTTCAATGAAGTCAGGCGGCTTAGCGTGGATATGGATCTGGACAGCTTGAAGATTTTTGTGGCGGTAGAAGGCTTTGTTGGTGTTAGCAGAGCGATGGGATCGGACTGTGCCCGCTTCCGATGGGACTATGGAACGCCGTGACGAGGTCCGTTTGAGAACTGGAGTACTGTCGGCTTCGGGGTTCATTTCCGCATTGAATGTGCGTAAATTATTCTCAGAGAGCTGGTCTTTGGGAGGGGGGAGTCTTGAGGTCTGAATTGAAGGCCGTACGCCTTCTCGCTTACCAGCTTCTACATCAGGTTCAGAGCCTGTTTGTAAGTCCTCCTGAGAGGGCTCGAGGCGGGGAGGAGTACTTCTCCTCAGCTGTTTTGCAAGGCGCTCGTGTTGGGAGTCGTCTACTTCGGCTCCAGCCCCAGCTCGAGCATCGTGCGAGCGCTTCCTTTTGATCCCGGCTGGCTGAGAGATGAATGGCGGAGGGATTTCTTCAGGGTATTGTTTCAATGCGGGTCTCTGTGACGACCGTCTCTGTCCTTCGCTTGCGGTTCGTTCGGGGTTCGCAGTTTGTGTCTCTTGTGATCGCGGGCTCTTGCGGGAGATCTTGGAATTCACTCTCGACTTTTGCGGGCGCAGGTAGTCGGCTGCAACGCGGTCAGTGACGCGGTAACGAGGGAGGGAAGTTGTACAGAGCGAGAGCAACTGACGGCTTTTCTGTATTCTTCGGCTCTTTCTCCGGTGATCAGTCGCGAAATTCTCCTCGCTCTTGTCTCGGGCTGAATGGTGCCGTTTACCCATGGTCATTCATTTAGGTTGAATCAAAATGATGAATGGTGCTTCCTACGACTTGAACGATCAAGCTCGACCTGCTCGCGGCCAGCTTTGTCGCGATGTTTTTGCGCTCCGCCTGTGTCCTGTTTTGCAACACTGGCTGCCATACCTATTGGTATGGGTGGAATGGAGAACAAGTCCACCATATATAGCACATGAAACTGAAGAGGCGTAGTCGTAGTTGCAGGCTGCTCTTGAAAGCTGCGAACGAACGATCTGCTTCAGCCGCCGACCCGTCGAGCGTGAAACCCACAGGCGGGAGGATGGTGCCTAAAAGCTTGGCGGCCAACAAGCAGCCAATCGTGAATTCACCGCCCCCAACTACAAGGCACTCCTGGTTACACGCGAACAATTCAATATTCAACACTGCTGCCAATCTCCAAGAGCCTCGTTGCAAGGCGACCCGTTACAGGGATGGAGTGTATCTGTCATCGAGAGCCATTTATTTACTGGGAGCAATAACTGACAACTCAGAAGACTCTGCCCCCCCAGAACGCCTAAAGAAAATGACCTCTCCAAGACCTAAACGCTGTGAGAGTCAAGATTCAGGCAATATATACATGCTCATTAGAGGGAGAGGACCTAGTAGGTATAGCCGACTGACCAGCCAACATACCGACCAACCTAGCCGACGTGTCTATCTATATGTCTAAATTACATTGTATCTCTAAATATACCCTTTCTTTTCCCCGTCGGTCATTTTACAATGACTCGCATTGTCTTGATATACCAATCCAGCCTCTCCTCTTGAGGAAGGCCGGGTGGATGATTCACCCTTTTGCTAGCGCTTGCGCAGATAATCGCCGCCTTTCAAGGCGCTCAAGACCCCGTAGACGCCCGCAATGGGCCAAATGCTCCACACGCCCTTTTCCACCGGCAGGGCCGCGTCACGGAGTACCTTGCCGTCACCGTCGACCTCGAACATGTCCCTCGTCCGAACCTTTTCGTACACGCTCGGTATGTGGCCGTCGGCGCGGTACTTCTTCCTCATGCCGTCGTACCACTTCCGGTCGTAGATGGACCAGAATTCGTCCTCGGTGTAGAATGTCTGGGCGTACAGCCACTTCATCCCGCCCAGGGATTTGAGTTTGCTCTCGATGAGTCGGTTGATTGTGACGTGGAGCGTGTTTGGGGGTGTTTCGCCCCAGACGCCGATGTTGAGGAGCGCGTTGTCAAAGTCATCACTTCCATCATCGTCGCCCTCACTGCTCCGTGGTTCGGGGGTTGAGGCTGTCTTGGAGGTCGAGGTCGAGGTCGGGCTGGGCTCCGTGGACGACACAGGCTGGTTCCGTAGATGTGGGTTCATGCTCACGCTGGCCCCGTGCCTCAAGGGACACAGCCAGCGCGGATAGATGTGCGGCAACTCCCCGTCCAGCCAGTGAGAGAACTCCGGAATGTTTTTGTTTGGGAGAGCCATGTCTTGAATGATGAAGCGCTGGTATAGGCCGGAGCGGTGTAAGGCGTGGTACATGATGCGCGTGTGCATAAAGTAGTCTGCCAGCCAGCGCATCGTGCGTGTGAAGGGGATGCAGAAGTATTTATATGCGAAGCGGCCGGTCCAGAAGGCGCCGCGGTCGTAACGGAAGAGGTAGTCTCTCAAGGGGATCAAGTCGCGGGGATGAGACGGTGATGATGGTGATTGAGATACAGGGTCTGTGATCTCGGTACTGTTCATTCTTTCTTCTGCGTGGAGGTAAAACCACTGATCCCATGGCTTGGTGAATGTCACGATCGGTAGGTCCTGGTTCTTCTCGTCTCGGTCGGCGAGGCGGCCTGCGAGCACGACACCCTTCTCCGGAGCGAACATTATCCCGTCAACGAAATCTATGCCTCCCTGCTTTGAGACCTGCTTGATCACTTCCTGCGCTTGTTCAATGCCGCCGACCCGGATATACGACAGTTCAACAAATTCCTTGGCCGGGATCAATCGCATCTCGAACAAGGTAATGACACCCATTGAGCCGAATGTGCCGGCCATCCCATGGAACAAGTCTGCCCTTTCCGTCTCCGAGGCCGTCACGACTTCACCGTCCGCAAGGACCACCTCGAACCAGGTCACGGTCCCGTCGAAAAACCCATACTTGAAGCTGCTACTCTCGCCTGCCGTCCCCGCAAATCCGCCTCCAACCGTGATGCCTGGAAACTCTGGGACGACCGGGGGAACCAAGCCGTGTTCCAGGGTCGCAGCGACCAGACGATCCATAGGGACGTTAGGCTCAACGAGGCAAGTTCGCTTCGAAGGCGACACCGAGATGACATGGTCAAGAGTGGATATGTCGACGGTAGCGTCTCTTGTACGGTCGCTGAGGCGAGTCGAGTTGGTATTGCCATGGAAGATGCGAAAGGGGATTTTGCGAGCATGAAAGCTGGCGATTCGGTCAGACACGCGCGACACGGCTTCATTGTGCTGGCTGAGGAGACGTTCGGAGGTGTCTTCCTCGCCTCGACAGTCTGCCATAATGGCAAGCTTCTTAGAGGTCCTGAAGACGAGGAGCAGCACTACTTTGCTCGTCCCAGATCTTCAGACATAGCTCCGCCTGTGGGTCCCTAAAGTCAGATCCAATGGTCCGGGTGTAGTCGAACCGTACGTACTTTCTAGGTCAACAAGCCACTAAGGAAGATGCAGAGGCGAATGTCCCTTGCGAGGTTTGGAGTGGAAAGGTACTCAGGCAGATGGATTGATATCGGATCAGACGGAGGTTCTTCCTGCGGACCAATTTGCCCGCGTCTGGAAATCCACTTGCGGCTTACGAGCAAGACATCCGCCGTACTAGTGATACGGTGGATTATTAGAGCGCGACCCGCAGTTAATCACATTTCTGTCCTGCGCCCCTTGGCCCCTCCTCATTCTCGCTCCCCGACCAGCACGAGCCACTCACGCTCAAAATTTCGTTGGAGCATCTCCATATTGAACGTCTCTCAACGGCCAGTGGCCGCTGTCGAACGCAAACTGGATCAAGCTGCCCTCACCGCCCCAATACTCTGTCCCAAACGCACGCATGAGGTCCAGTCCATTGAGCAAGGCACCGCTTGTCCAGAGCTTGCCGTCCCTGTGCCAGCGCTCCTCCACCCAAGTAGTTTCAGGGCCCGTCGCGCGAAGCTGTTCCAACATGAATCGAGGTGCGGCCACAGTCTTGTTTTTGAACAGTCCCGCCTGGAATGCAGCCTGCAATCCGCCGCAGATGGTGATGAAGGCCGAGCAGTTCTCGTAACTTTTGCGCACGAAGTCGAGCTCCACCTCATTGGGATTATACCCGTTCAAATGAGCCCCCATCAGGACTATGTCAAGTGGTGGGCATGTCGAGAAGTCATCCTGCGTCAACGATGAGGAGCATGATCCAAAGGAAGATCCGGAGCCAGACTCACAGTTGGTTGGACCGAGACACCGCCTGTCAGTTTGGCAGTTTTCCCCGTCTGATTGACCCAATGGAAATCAATGTCGAGAGCTTGGGCAGCCATGCCGGGCAGAGCAAACTCTTCCAGGGTCTGAACAAAGTTCTTGGACACCGAATTCAACAGGTCAATGGGGGCCACATCGAGAATCTCCGTTTCCCTGTTGCCTGAAGTTAGTTTAACCTGACAGTTCTGTAGGCTTGACAACCGTACGCGTTCAGAAGAATCACCCCGGCGTGGATGGTGCGGTTGGGCTTGGACAGATCAAAGGATGCGGCCATGTTGTTTCTGCTGGGAAAATTCGAACTCTGCTTGTTGTTGTTGTTGTTCTTCTTCTTCTTGCAATGAAGATCTTCTCAAAATCCAAAGGACCATGCGTGTTCTTATAATGCATCTTCCCATAGTCAACGGAGCATTCACTTCGAGACTGAGCATGTTTCTTCGGAGTCGGCGCCCTCTTCAGGGGCTGGAGGTTTCACCCTTCACCACTCACAACAGCAGGAATGATGCTGCCTACATTCAAATTGTGTTTCAAACTCACCGAGCCTTGTGGACAAATTGGTAGACGTACAGCACCGGCGGGAGCAACATCAATGGATCTTCCTGGTATTCCCGATCGGGAAATGCCGCCGAAAGCAGAATAGCGTCGGATGAACAACGATCCATGCTCCACGAGGATGCCTGTTGTCGGTCGGAAAAGTACAAGGAGGCTGTCGAGACCTCTCTCCTTCATTCATTACACAAAAGCGATCCTCAATCTTGATCAGAGGAAGCAGGGCTTGTATGACGCTTGGGCAAAGGACAGCACTCACCGCAGTTTTCCACCATATGATCTTCGGTCGACCGAGGTTTACGAAAAGCTTTCGTTTCGCAACGACTAGTCTATCCAAGGCAAGCTATTGTCTGAAAGGGTGAATTCCGTGTTCCCAAGCCTCTCTTGCAAAAGTCACGTTTGACGAATGCCGCGACATGGCAGTCGATCCATCTACCATACAAGAGTGCCTGCGGGGCCATCTTCCGCTGGCCCCTTGGATACGTCTCTCATTCCCAGCATCACAACATCTTGGCAAGACATCCCCTGGTGGGCGACATTCACGAGCTCACTCGGCGTGAATGCCAATGCTCTGAAAGAACGTCCTGGGTATCTTCCCCTGCGGTCGGCCATGGGAAAGAAATCCGCCAGTGCTACAGGGTACTCGACAGGACGAGGCAATGATTTCATTCCCGTTGGGAGGGTAACCACAGTGCCAATGCCAGAATCCAAATTGCTGAGGCTGGGCCCTCGCTTGATGACTCGAAGCAGACCAGATCCAAAACAGCTAACCGAGGTGGTTAGGGTATCCCTTGCAGGCAATTCTAACGTCAAGGACGCCTTATTGCACACTTCTCAATGTGGCATGATCAACAACCCCTACTTGGCTCGCTGGCGCTCCACGTCGGTGACGTCCCGCAGAGTCGTGGTAATTTGCGGGGAATAATCCGGAGTCTCAAGTTTATTTGAGAAGTGGGGCGAATAGGACGACAAGCTGGGGATTCAAGAGATCGATTCGCATGCTCCTACTCAGAACCGCTGACTCGCCTGCGCATGATTGCCAGGAGCATATCCCCAACCAGCCAATGACCGGGCGGTTGCTACATCTATCCCTGCACCAAGTCGAATGGCCTCCAGATCAAATTCGCGTCCTCCAGCATTATGACCAACTGAATCCCTTGTTCAAAACCCCAGATTGCAACCCTTGTTGGCTCACATCATGACCGAGGCATCCGGCACCACAAAGGGCTGGGATCGTAGGGCCTCGACCCAAGAAGCGGGGAGCCGTGGCACTTCGACAGCAGGGGTATTTAATCGACATCGAGTTGACATCGCAGTCTGTCCTTCTCAAAGCACCGCTAGCTTCTCTCCTCCTGAAAATTCAACCCTTCAAGTTTGCTGGTTCCCATTGAGAACGCCATCATGAGTGTCGTACCGCCGGAGAACACCGACAGGCTCGAACATGAAGTGCAGCATGATGCTGAGCTCCGCCATGATAAAGAGATGCTAGAGCATCGAGAGCACGCTCACACCGAAGACGAGAAGGCGCATACCAAAGAGGAATTGGCTCCCGCAAGTGGATCTTCCTCTGAACCGAACAGCGAGACGACACCAGAGTATCAAACCAAGACAGTATGGACGCTGAAGACCTTCGTTGCCACGGTTGCTCTTAGCGGGCTCTACGTTGGCTCTCAGATTCCCCTCTACTTCGTGGGTGGTTCCCTCACATTCATCGCCGCAGACATTGGTGGAGCGGAGGCATCGGCCTGGTTGACCGTGGCCTATGCACTCACCCTCTCTGCGGTGGCTCCTTTCTGCGGCTATCTCCAAGATCTTCTCGGCCGTCGCCTCATCACCCTTGTTGGTGGCGTCTCGCTGATGATGGGCTGTGTCATTATCGGGACTGCTCATAAGTTCGGACAAGGGGTTGTCGGTATGGCGTTTGCTGGCGGTGGTGCCGCGATTGGTGAATTGACTGCGCTTGCCGGGTAAGGATGCAGTGACGAGAAATCGATCCGAGGGGAACTGACAGAGGCGTCTATAGGACTTCTGAGCTAGTGCCTGTCAACAAACGAGGCATTTACCTTGCTCTCGTTACAGCTTTTGTGCTCCCATTTACGCCATATCTGCTGTTCGCTCAACTCTTATCGACCTACCACACTTGGAGATGGGGCATGTGGATTTGCGTGTAAGTTTGGTCCTGGTCCTGCGACATCGGTGTCGGGCAGGACTGACAGATGTATAGGATCTGGAACGGTCTCTGGTGGGTTCTCATCTTCGCCGTCTACTTTCCAGAGTCCCAGACCCGAGCAAAAGGGTTAGAAGCCAAAGCCATTCTAAAGAAGATTGACTACATTGGTGGTGCTCTGTCTATTATGGGTTTGACGCTTGTGTAAGGTTCCTATTTGTCTGCCTCACGTCGTCTCATAGCTGACCGAGGGATGTAGGCTGGTCGCTCTTCAAGCCGGAGGTTACTCTCACCCTTGGAAGAGCGCATATGTCATTGTACAACTCATCATTGGCATTCTTCTCATCGCCGCCTTTGTCATTTGGGAATGGAAGTACTGCAAAGAACCTATGGTGCCGCATGAGATGTTTTCAGGACAGAGAATTGTTGGAATGGCTTATGGAATCGCCTTTGTTGCAGGTAAAGACGACTCTTCCCTATCCTGGCTCAACTGTGCCATGAATCAAAGGAGTGAAAATGCTTTGCTGACATGGGGTCTTTCTACCACAGGCATGAACTTCTACGCCATGCTGAACTTCTTTCCCCTGGTGTACAGCACGGTGTTTGAACCTGATCCGGTCCATGTTGGTCTTCGGGGTCTCGGTCCCGGGTTGTCCACCACCTTTGGTGCGGTCTTTGCGAATGCCGCCTTGTCTTGGTTCAAGGGACACAACCGAGAGATCCTCCTCGCTGGCTGCATTATAATGAGTACGTCTCCCTGACCCAATTCCCAGAAAGCATCCTTCTCCCTCTTACCACATAACTCTCCCCCCTCCCTCGCTTCTCGATTGCCTGCGCATCGTTGCCTCAACTAAGCATGGTGATATAGCGGCCTTTGGCGGCGCTATTGCTGCAATCACTCCTGACCGGGAGGGTCTCGCTATTGGTGTAGGGACAATCACTGGCTTCGGGGTCGGCGCTGTTCTTGTCCCGGCAGCCACCGTCGCCATCACTGTGACACCGGACACGTCGATCGCTACTTGTGTCGCCCTGTCGCTCACCATCCGCGCCGTGGGCGGGAGTATCGGCTACGCCATCTACTACAATGTCTTCATTAACAAACTCACGCCGAAACTCCCCGCGTACATTGCACAGTATGCCGTCGCCGCAGGACTCCCGCTCTCATCCGCTCCCCGTTTCGTCGAGACGTACCTTACCGCGCCCACCAATCTGACGACCGTCCCCGGTGTCACTCCGGACATTATCGAGGCGGGTGCGATCGGGTCCCGCTGGGCGTACGCCGAGTCGCTCAAGTACGTGTGGCTGACGAGTATTGCGTTTGGCGGGTGCGCCATCATCGCCTGCTTGTTCATCGGCAACATTGGCAAGTACATGACCAACCGCGTGGCCGCGAGGATCAGGTAGTGATTTCTCGTTTACGCGTCTTTCATCTCCAAGGAAGGACTCGAGGGCTCGAGCGAGGACTGGCTCATCGACCCGAGCGCGTTTATCCATACAGCCACCCGCCCGCCCACAAAGACCTTATTCATCCGAGATGATTGGTGAATCCGAGAAGCGCAACAACCACCCATACATACAGACATACATACATACATACATACCTGGACATTCGTGACCTCGTCACTGGGAGAGGAGAAAGGGGGAAGTTCGGGACCAGAAGTCACCCCGGGCAAAAGAGAGAAAGTATCAGTCCGAAGCTGGTGTATGCAGCCTGGCTAGTCACATAGAATATGATGTGATACTTGATATACACCACCACTACTACCACCACACACCGTATCCTACACGTCGAGTCGAGTCGAGCCAAGTCAAGTACTCTCTACCTCGTATATTCATTCACTCGGTACAGAGTCCGTACTTCAGGACTTCACACCTACATACCCACCTACCTACCTACCTACCTACCTACACACCTACCCTGGTATCCAATTCCCAAGCGCCTCTCGAGACACCTTCACCATGACCTTGACCTTGACCTCTCCTTGACCTTGCTTGGCTAGTGCTGATTCCTGATACCTGACTCTTCGCCTTCTTGACCCTCTTGAACTAAACCTTTCCACTCAGTGGGACACTTCGTACAGGCATCACAGGTGCTCTGATGTTACTCGGTACTCTGTCCTCTGAAGTCGACATTCTGCAGTTGACACTCTATACCCGGGTTTTGGGCCTGTCTACAATATTTTCCCCCGAGTGGCCAGGTGCTTTACACTTCCTCGCTCAGTCGCTCAATCACTTAGTCAGTCAATCAGAGGGAGGTATATATAAATCAAAATCGCCATTGATTTTTGTGATGTGGTGGTAGTATAGTAGTATACAGCTAGCTCTATAAGTTTCTATCCACAGATTTTGGTTATTTTCCCCAACGTCAAGCAAGATGGACGACAACAACAACAACAAACATCATCATCATCATAATTCATCCCGGATACGCTCACTTTCAACATTTTCCAGGTTTTCGCCATCAGCAGCGTCCTCCAAACCCTCACTGTCCGTGACCGTCGACGCCTGCTCCTTTGCCGCTCGAATGACTCCTGCAATCTCCTCGTCGTACAGTGTCCATTCAGGCACTTGCCTCTTCGCCCTGTCCAACTTGGGTTCCTTTGTGAGTGGGTTGTTACATAAATCAATCGTCTTGGCCTTGGCCAAGCTGGCGTCATCACACCATGTCTCACACCACAACCATTCCTGCGACAAACTGTGGATGGGGAGACTGTGTTGCATATGGTTCGGCAGGTCTTGGTCCAGGTTGGAGAGACTGGCTGGGTCAGCCGACAGTGCTTGGTACTGTTGTCGGAGGCGATCGCCAGCGGCAAGTTGACGGAATCTCTTGAGGTCAACCACATAGAGGGCCGATATGTGGTAGGGTTTCCCTCGGAGATATGTCTCCCAGTATCCTTGTTTCCAAAAGCGGAATCCTTCCATCTCGGTGCGAGAGTCGCACATGGGCGTGAAGCCGTAAGGAGCCCCCTTCAGGTCCACTTTGTTTAATTCCATCATGTCTGTGCGCACGATTTGGTCAGCATCCACGAAGATGACTTTGTCCAGATCCAGCGGAAAGAGCACATCCAAGAACAAGATCTTGTAGCCCCAAATTTCCCGCTGCTTCTCCTTCTGACCTCGAAGCCAGTGAGGCCATTTATAAGTCACCATCTCGTAGTCGAAGCCGTAGTGTTCTGCAAGTATGGGCAGAGTACTCTTGAACGATGGTGACAGGAATTGTTCAATGAACCAGAACTTGACGCTGTGTTTGGTGTGCTTCATGACCGACACCATCATGATATTCAACATCCTTTCGTAAAGGTGGCCCGAAGCCACTGAGAAGATGTTGATGTCAGCGTTCGAAGAGGTCTTCTTGAAGCCTAGCGAGGACAGTGCTGAAGATGCGAAGGAAGCTCCCTTGTTAAGGTAGTCCATGGCACCCCCAAGGGCAGATGACTCCAGGACATCTTCCTCTTCCATGCCGGGTTTTCGGGAAAGCCGAGGGAATAAAGTCAGCCCTTGGAAGGAGAGCAAAGCGACTGATGTGGTCTCATCGCCCGGTTGAGCAGAGTAACCATGGGGGCCAACACTATCAATGTTGAAGATCTTTGATGACCTCCCCGGTTTTAATGAGATTTGCCAGTACCCAGGATTGGCTTTGAATTGGAAGTATCCCAAATTGGCCATGACGATGGTGTCTGTAAAGTGCGGCTCGTCCTCAGTTCCCAGCAGCAGTTGCACGCCACGAGGTGGTGGACCACTAGTCACGTCCCTTGCATGGCCTTCAATGAGAATGTGCTCAAGCTCATAGACAGCGTCGATATTCTCGCCCTCGGCTAGGTTACTGAGCCTGATATTGTCTAAATCATGGATGGATATCTTGGGCGCCACCAACCATGATGGAGGCACAACCATTCCCAGGTTGAAGAGCGTATCCTTAGGGATACCGCTGAACGATGCATTGGGAATGGATAGGGAACCATGGGAGTCGAAACTGGGCTCTGCACTAATGACTTGCCGGAAAAACCGTTTGACTGGCAGCTCGGTCAATCTGTCTTTCGGGTTCAAGAAGATCTGCACGCTCACTCCATTCAGCTGTGACAGGCTCTCCAAAATCGGAACCCACTGTTGAACCAGCTCAGAGGCTGGATCAATCGAGGCCACAATCTGAATATTAATGTCGTCAGAGTTCGATATCTTAATAGACGTATGAGTGCTATTCCAGAATTTGAAGCGTTCCATCCTGATCAGGGGCGCGGACTCTCTCAAGCCCTCTGGCAGGTCAGACTTCAAAGATCGAGCAACAAGCGAGGTAATCTTTGCGAGGTCGAGAGCCCCGGTAAATCGGTCTTCTAGCGCAAGTCCAGTGATGGCTGTCGTAACCGGTGCTATTCGTTCTCTCCTTTCGAATTCAAGCAACGCCTCGAAGTCGACAGAGGTGAAACCTTGGTCAAGGGGTCCTAAGAGACGACCGTTGAGCCACAGCCCATTTTGGCCTTTTGAAAATGATAACGTCTGGAGTAAATCTGCATGGGAACTCCAAAACTCAGCCGATGCGTCTGTCAGATCATCCGCAGAAGAGCTCAGCTCGCCCTTGAGTAACTGCTCGAGGCGATCGACAGTCAGGTCCCGACCGTCCTCCTGTAAGAGCGCGTAGAGACCACGGGCAAAGCTTGAGGTTTGTGATTCAGGACCAGGGTTGTGAATGATGAGCATCTCTATCTCAGGATTTCGCCGGTGGAACAGCAGCGCTTCCGAAAGCAAGGTCCGACCAGTCTCGGATTCAAGGTCGACAACAACAAGAAGGTGAGCACGGTCGCTCAACAATGTCGCTTCTATCCCAGCCAGGCGAGGCAGGCGTGCAAAGCTGTCGGCGAAGTCAACGGTTATTTGGCCAACATCAACAATTTCAACATCTTTGGCGTTATCCGGAAAGACCATCTCATTGCGCCGTTTGACAGCTTGAAAGAGGAAGAACTCAGGAACCCAAGATTCTTCCAAGATGGCTTCTTGAAACACTGCTTGCTGTACCAGCTGAAGATCTGCATACAACCGAGCACTCAAAAGCTCAAACCAGTTATCCGTCCTCGGTATAACCACTCCGTTGACGAGTAAGGGAGGATTGGGCCGTGCAAGTGCCAAACGCTTCATGTATTCATCTCGAGCTTGCAGTCGTAGACCCAGGCTTTCGTCGTTCAGTACCTCTTGAAAGGCTAACGGCTCTTTTCCTTCCCTTGTAGCTCGACCCCTGATGGCAGTCTTGAAGCTTGTCTCAGGACTTGTATTTATCCTTTTTGCAGCGACAATATCGGAGAAGAAGCTCATCAGAGCAGTTAAACCATAGGTATCTGAAATGTGATATGCGACTTTTGAGTATGTGTCCGCTGTTTCCCCTTCCCCAGTGGGGATCAGAGCAATTCTGATGGGAACTTGTCGCCGGACGAGACTCTGTAGGGATGTGGTGGCCAGTTCAATGTCTTTCATATTGCCCATGTCGATCGGCACGATGAGATTATGTATATCACGAGATACTTGGGGAAGTTGCCCGGGATATGTTCTTTGGAACAAAGACCGCAGAGACGACGACCAACCAGCATATCGTTTATCTTGTTCCAGATCGTTCAGCCACATCAAGACGCCGCCGGCTTCAGAGTCATCGCGCCAGTCGAATCGCTGAGGAGTTTCATTCGCTTGTGCTTCGGCGATGATCTCACTAGAGAGGAGGCTAATGGCTTCCGACGATGCCAACCCCAGACTCTTGAGCTCAGCGATGATACGCCTTTCTCTTCGCAAATGGTCGAGAAGAGAGTAGGCGTTCATCTGTCGAGGCTCAATCTGCACACCATTGATCCACAAGACATTGTATCCTGATGGTAGAAACCGATCTCGATTTGCCCTGTGTTCGAGAACGAACTCTTTGCTGGCATTTACCGAGGCGAGAAGAGAAGAGTATCTGGGGAAATCCGAAGTGACCTGTAACAGAGTATCCAGAGGGTTCGAGCTTGAGAGAATGAAGCTGGCAGCATTGATGCCTAGCTTGGCCACTTCTGAAGTGGTTAGGGGCTTCAGATCTTTGATCTCATCATCCTTGGTCTCCAACGATAGTTGTTCCGGCGTCGAATCTCCCGTCTTTTGCGCATCCCGGTCGTCAATAACGATGTAGTCTGTGCGCTTCAAAACGAGCTCCACGCCATAGCCTGTAACAAAGATCGGTCTACTAGAGACCATCGTTGAAGGTCTGTACCGTAGTCTGTATGTCGATTTTCCTTCGCGGGCAGTCTGACTGACGACATTGTGGAACTGCCCGAACAAGGGGTGAGTGATGTCTGCATAGAGGATAGACGAAGGTCCATCAGATGAAGCACCGAGGACCCGATCAAACGGGAGATCATTCACAGTATCTGGAATAGAGACCATCTGCTGAGCACGATCCAAGGTAGGCGAGCAAAATTGCTGGCCATCCAAATAGACCCAAACGGGGCATACGGCATCCTGAGCAGCCATCAGGTGCGGTTGAACAGAGGTATTGTAGTATTGGAAATGAGCTTCGACCCTTGGTGCTGCAGCATGAAGGGCGAGGGCGAACTTGAAGGAAGAAACAGACTCCGGAGTGGAAAGGTGCCCATCATTCTGCACGACGTCGAGGAATTTAGTATATAGCTCTTGTTCCGTTTGCAAATCTGTAAAGGTACCATCGGCGATGCGGTCGAGAAGAGGGAAGTAAGATGACGAGTTCTCAAGAGCAGCAGTTTCTCTGATCGCATGTTAGTGCATGGTCGAAGCATTGATGAAACGAGGGGCGGGAAGTGCGTACAACAACTCGACCAGATATGGACCGGCCGAGAAGGAGGTCTGTAGAGCAACATTGACGGAAGATGTTGCTCTTGTGGGGGTGATGAGTGAGTCCCAAGACAAAAGAGCGAGGAGGGACCATGTCCAGCGTTGATGTAAAGTACGCATTCTGACGAGGCTGCATGGAAAGGAGTGTCGAAGATGCGGTGCCCTGGGGAAGTTCCTGTTCAGTGGTGCATGTTGGGAGGGAGGGACAATCCAGGCTGCGTGTGCAGTGATTGTGAAGCCAGCACAAGACGAAAAGGCGAGGTGGAATCAAGTGTACAAGGAAATAGGTGGTGATTGACTTGACGGTGGTGGTAGAGGAGGCCAGATTGTGCAGAAACGGCCCAGAAATTCTTGGGAGAAACTGCGCGTCTCAGATACGCGTCTCCACCTCCAACGACCATTTGACATTTTTGACTTGACGCAGCCTCTCACAATTGACACTCTATCTCGTCCGCGCCTCTCTCTCACCACGGTATATCTCGCACATCACGTCAATGAGCATCTCACCTTGCCTCAACCACGGTGTAAGCAACTCTCGCTCCCTCAGCAAAGTCTTCTCCCGCTCGCTTTCGATCTCATCCTCCCACTTCACCGGTTCCTTTATTTCCTCTGTGCGGCCACCGCGGGGTCGTTTGACGCCCAAATCCTGGCTCGAAGAGCTCTATCCTGGTTTCTTCACCGAGACACCTACCTATCCCGACGTCCTTCGTCTCAAGCCGCTTGTCCCCGATGCCCCCTCCGCTCGCAGTCTCTCCTCCCTACGGCCTCCGCCTTTACCGTTCGTCCCTGCTCCCCAATTAAACAAGAATGGTCGCATCACTCTGCTCCAGAGGCTCAGATATCGCCGGGCGAAGGCAGTTGCACTGAACAAATTCTACAAACAAGGCATCGCGCAGATCTGGGATAATCATAAGGAATATGCCAATCTCTGCAAACGCCTTCCTCCTGAATGTCCCCCGGATGTGGTTGCTCTCTACGGCGGGTCCAACCTCAAACTTGACAACAATCACATCCAAGTTCCCCAAATCTCCCGTCGTGAGTTCCAGCTCCTGCTTCACCACGGATCGGACTATGCCCGTCTGCCAGGCTTTACCTTAGCTCTCTGGTTGTTTCGTTCCTGGGCCTCCTTCATCGCTCCAAGGATCCCTTCCACGTGTGAGCGCCCAGAGGACCGGATCAGGCAATTGAAAGCTTTGTGCAAACGCTATGACTTCTTTGTCCGTAATCGAAACGATAAATTGGACGATGTGACGGACGATTCCAAAATGAGCGTCACTGAGCAGCTCAAAGAGCTGGACACGATTTCGAGAAGGCGACTCCTGAGGTGGCACTATGTTGTGGTCGATGATCCCTTATGCAAGCTCATCCCATGGGTCCCCTTTGCTTGGACAGAATCCGCGGCTCGTTTCTTTGGCCGGCGATTTGGGGACCATTATCGCTCGGTCACCGCCGACACGGTACTTATCATGCGCGAAGGCGGGTTCAATACGCTTTCCGCAGATGATATCTACGATTACTGTGTCAGATGCGCTTCCCCGACTTTCATCTCCTACGCGAAACAAGCTTTGCAGGAGGGCCTCAACCCTGCCAATGAAGCCATGAGAAAGGCCATGGTACCCGTCCTTGAGGCACGCGCAAAAAGAATGTTGGCCATTGACTGGACGAGACTGCGTCCGGAGGTGCTTAGTCTGATTGAGCCCCTTAGTCGGTTACAAGACCGCGGGCACCCTGATTCGATTCTAGGGAGAAGGTGATGAAGACTGTCATCCTTTCTGAAGCCGACTTCTGGCCAAACTACCCTACTGCTTGAATGCTTCCGAGACTGGGTTAGAAAGCGACAGGTGCAAAAACCCGCCAGTGCTCCATCTACCTAGTGACAGTGGAAGCGACAGCCGCCCCTGTTCCCGGTTCAATCTACTGGGCTGCCTCTATCAATGAAAGCCTTAGGTTTTTGTGAGAAGGCCTCTGGTACACTCGCGTCTTGCCTAGTCGCCTAGAATCACAAACCAAACGGATATGTTTCGGCCTCGAGCAGTGACGTCTTGGGCTGCGTCTTCTCCAGCGCTCCCACCGCCTGCGTCCTGTCGAAGAACACATATGCGTCAAACTGTTTGGACAACCGGGAGCGACTGTAATGGCTCCACAACTCCGTCTTTGGCCGGTAGATGACACCGATGAATCGCTCGAGCCGATTAGCGGACAGTGCTCTGCGCGTATCTTCGTCACAGTGCGCTTTTCGCATATCGAGAACAAATCTTGGAATATTGGTGCTGTGGGCCACATACTCCCAACTGTCCTCGCGCGACGGATTGACTTTCATGATTTGCATGTCATCATCCCACTCATGTGCAGCAGCTACCGTGCCGTCATGTGTGCCGCAACCTACAAGGACGACATCGGCTAGATTCTCGCGGCAGAGCTGGCCGAGATTGAGTTCTCCCCGCTGCGTGCCCATCTCGGTATATCGTGCGTCGCCCAAGTGGCTATTGTGAGCCCATACCACAGCCTTGGATTTCCGGAAGTCAAGGAGGCGCTTCAATGTGTCGAACATGTGCAAGTCCCTCAGATTCCAGCTGACCACATCACTGTAGTACATCTTACGATAGTACTCCTCGGCATCCACCACCAACACGGCATTCTGCTCGGCGCTGTGGAATCTTTCACCGTCGTTGATTTTGGCCGAGTACTCGAGCCTCTTGCGCAGCAACTCCAGGAGCATCTTGATGACATCTTCCTCACAAGTCTTAAGATTCTCCACGTATTTGCCTTGGAGCATCTTGCGGCCGTATTGGTGTTCTCTGTTGACCCAGCGCTGCAGTCCCGCATATCGTTCTCTTGCCTCGTTGGCCATTTCTGGATCGATATTCTGTAAGTACTGGATCACTGAGCTCATGCTAGAGCCCATCGAGTATAGATCCAATCCATACACGCCCGTCTTGTCCTCTGCGGGCAATCCGTCGTTATAATCTCTCATCCAATGGACCAGATCCTGCATTTCCCGGTTCCTCCACATCCACGTGGGGAAGCGCTGAAACGGGCTCTCTTGGGATGGTGGTGTCTGCACCGGATCAGGACGCTGGCCTGGCCACCGTCGGACGTACTGATCAATCGCCTCGGCATCGGGCCAATCCGCCTCGAGCGCCAGACATTTGACTCCGTGCTCCGTGATGAGGCGCTTTGTGATTTCTGCCCGCGCAGCATAGAACTCCGAAGTGCCGTGGCTGGCATCCCCCAGCAGGACCACCTGGTATTGACCCAGCCAGTCGAACGATTTGGCAAATTCGGCCGAGTTGATGGGCGGCAGCGCCTTTGCAGCGCGACGCATGACCTGGGTGAGCGCGGCGGTGCTAGACATTTTGAATTTTGAGAGGAGACGAGAGGAGCCAGATGGTGCGGGATACCCAGGTAGGTAGGTGGGTGGGTAGGTATTATACTTGTAGTCTACACTCGCACAATGAACGAGCCCCTGAGACCTGAGACCTGAGACCTAAGAATCCAGAACCCGGCAGCCAAGAAAGGTGTCTTGTGGGTTATCACCAGTGTGACGTAGTCCTGTTATGTGGTGTGGTGTGGTGCAGTGTGGTGCAGTGTGGTATGTGGTGTGATATGATATGATATGGTATGAAGTGATGTGATAGAATAGCTTGTACCTCGTATACTGAAATACCTACCTAGTAGGTACCCAGTACGTACACGTATGTGGATCTGGAGGCAATAAACATCGGAATCAGACATCAGAGGGCCGGAGGACCGGGTGGACGGGCAGACCAGACAACATCCATCACAGATCATACATTGAATAATATGGCGAGCAGGACGTGAGCCAAGTTGTCACTATGACGCAAGGCTGAGTTGGCTCTTGTCCCTGATTGGATAGTTTGCGCGAGTACTCGGATTCAGCAAGGCTGCAACATGGTATGGGGTTTTGAAGGAGACCTGGTCATATGATATAGTAAGGCTGTTATTGATATGATCAAAGAGGAGCCACAGTCCTTGACCAAGTGACTACGCTGTATGGTCTGTCCGTCCTCGTCAAGCAGTCCTTTTAATCCTCATTCCTCATCGCTGTCCACGTGGTGCCCTTTCCGCAATTTGCGTCCACCACGCTTGCCTGTACCTGGGACTGGTACCCCCGTCCATGACTGACTGCTGCGCATCCTCGACCGTTTCACAGATTCGTTGATACTATCCATGAAACTCGACTTGTTTTCCGCAGGCACCTCTGAGTCTTCATCTTCGTCATCCTCTTGGGATGATACCTCATCAACGTTATCATGAGCGTCGCTCCCGTCCTCTCCATCCATGTCCTCGTCCGTTTCCGCAGTATCATCATCATTATCGTCGTCTTCCACGTCGTCTTCGGTCTCTGCCGCTTCAGCATCGACTACATCTTCGTCTGCATCGGCAGACGAATCGGACGTCTCTAGCTCCTCGTCCAGCTCTTGAGTGACACCCAAGTCATCCGAGTTTTCACCATCACTCACATCACTCCCACTCTCGTTTCTCTCGTCCTCCTCTCCAAGATCCAGATCACCATTCTCGAACACAGGTATTTCTGTCAAAGGAGACCTCGACTCCAGCCGCCGTCGTTGAATGGGAACATTCGGCGAAGGTCGTTCCTGGCTTTCCGGCAGTCTTGCCTTCCTGCTGCTCGTCTGTGAAGGTTTCAGTGCCGAAGTATTGCCTTGGGTCTGCTTGAACAGTTGACTTGATCCCAGAACCTTACCAGGCGTCTTGGCGATTACCGGGCCTCTTGTGCGTGGAACTCCATCATCATCAGCTGATGAGAGCGATTGGTTCTCGGCCTCGACATCTGACTCGGGTTCAGATCCATGACCAGTGCCAGCGTCCTCTTCCGAAGTATTCTCTGCCGACTTGTCCTTCTCGGAAGTTTTGCCATCTTCCTGAACATCTCCCGAAGCTTCATCGTCATCCTCGTCGTCATCGCGAACGTACTCCTGTGACAGGCCTTTCTTCGGAGTTCTTCTTGTGGTCGAGCCTCGCAACCTCAACTCCATCTTCGATGGTGTCAAAACCCGACTCGCCCTCGGGCTCTTCTCCGGGCCGTCAATCTTGATCCATCTTCCTCGTTCCTTTTTCGAATGACGAGCACGATAATGATTGGAGCACTGCTGCGCAGATCTTGTGCCCATCTTCTCACTGACCTTGTTCCACGAGATGCGGTAATGTTGCAGTTCGTTCCCGTCCGAGTCAAGCCGTAACTCGTCCAAGATCTTGCGAAACTTAGCATCCTCTGCTTTCGACCACTCGCCAGTGTCCACATCGCCGTATCGTAATTTATGCCACCACCGTTGACTGACTGCATCGACTGTCCTTGTCAACCTCTTAGCAATCTCAGCCCACTTTGGACCGAGTTCTTTGTGTAACCGAATCAGGTCCTTGTCATCTTCCTCCGTCCAATTCCTCGACCCCTCCACATTCTGAAAGTTCCGCTCACGATAGCGCAGCATCGATCGTTTGTTGCGATTTGGCAGGACATTAAGATACTCTTTCAAAAATTCTGCTCGTTTGATGAAGGGCCAGCTCCAAATGTTTCCTTTGTCCCGTGTCAAGGTGTCGGTCATCATATCGTTAAATTGGATCCGGGTGATGTTGTGGTAGTCGCAAAACGCATCTCTCCACCTGTTCAATTTCTCGACCTCGGTCTGGCTGAAGGCGCCAGTGCGTCCTTGGAGGCCGTTGCCCCTTCCGTGGCCCATGTCCTTCTCGTGTGCGGCGAGCGCAGTGCTCGCCCAGAATTCCTCCGAACACTCTTGACACTTATGCAGACCCACATGCACAGACTGCTTCTTCAGGTGATGATTGAGCAGATCCCGACTTGTAAATCTCCGGTGACATCTAGCGCACTCGAGCCGATCTCCATTGTCGGATTGCTTGGGCTTCGGAGCTCTCGTGACTTTGCTGGTTTTCTTGGCTGATGCTGCTTTGCTCACATCGACGTCGGACTTGCTGGATTGATCTGCATCAGAGTCGGAGTCATCGTGCCCTTTCTGACCTTGTTTTTGCTGCCTCCACGCTGGAAACGTCCTCTTCGCAACAGATGTCGCGATTTCGACTGGTTCACTGTCTCCATCGCTGTTAGATCCATTAGCCTCGCCGTGGGCAGAATCTTTCACCGGAGTCGAGTAGTCGACATCCGGTTCTGCTCGAGTTTTCCCTTTTGGGGTCGCGTAAGGGGCATTTTTCTTTTCCTTCTGGCGGGGTCCTGGAAAAGAATTGACTTCAGAGCGCCCAAGGTCGGCCCCTTTTGCACGGTTTGGCAGGACGTTGTCGTTCTTTTTCGACTTTACACCAGAAGGACCGGCTTGACTTGTTTGGGGGAAGATCACTTCAACTTGCTCCGTAACGGAGCGAGAGGGCGGTGATTTCGGATTGAGGGTTGGATGCCTGAGACCTGACCCTGGTGTGTATTTTTGAGCCCAGCCATCCATGCTCCCTTGCCTTTTCTGTAGCCGTGGTACGATCTTGTCTGTGATTTGCCGATTTTGAAGGCCACCTGCGTCCTCTGGCTTCTTTACGGAATCTGGCTTGGTCGTATCGTTAGGTGGAACAGAGGTAGGCGGAGAGTTGGGAGACCCCTTCCTGCGTTTGCGGGTCCTGTCCGGGCTCGGTCGCTGCGGTTGGGCACTGTTTTCAGCGTCCCGTTTACGCTTGAGGATTCCTTTCGGCATCGGAGTCTCTTTCACGATGACATCTTCTGCTTCATCGAAGACGCTAGACGGAGAGCTTGAACGTTGGTCGGACACAACTTCAGCCATCTCAACCTTTAGTTTGTCATGTTCCTCGGGCTGAAGTTCCATGTCGAGGTTGTTGCCAAGATTCTTTGCTTCCGGTCTCTCCTGAGGAGTTGCGAATACGATGGAATCCTCTTCTCGCGGCTCTCCATCCTCTACCCGGTCGTGCACGTCATTTAGCGTATTGGGCTGCATAGCTTGAGGTAGCTCCGGCATCTCGGCTTCTGAATCTTCACTGGGGTTTGAAGCGGCCTCAGCAGACGCATCATGGAGGGCACTGTGCTGCTTCATATGTCTGGCTAGCGTATCTTTTCGGCTCATCTGTTTCCCGCAAACGACACAGCGGAAGCTCGTCGTGTGGATATTGGCATGTCTTGTAGCTGCCTTGGCCGAGCCAAAGGTCAATCTACAGTTGAGGACTTCCGCTGAAGGGCAAAGAAACCGACCTTCCCCATTCGTCTTGAGCTGCGATACCCGCGTAGTAGGCGGGCCTAAAGTCTCGCCATCTGGAGCCTTCGTGCCTGTTGCAACGTCAATCTCGGGCACATAACTTGTGTGCTGATTCTCCTCTTTCTCGAGAGCTCGTTGCCGATCACGCGAGTTGTCAAGGCCCGTGTTTGACACTGCAGGAGTGCTCTTCTGACTTGCCCCATTGACAGTCGCAAATGCATTAAACCCACCACGTCTCTTGCTTTCCGTGTCTTCTGCATCACTTGTATCTGACGTCGCATAGATGTGATATGTTTCGGGTTCCGTATCTTTTAAGGGTCGGGTGTTTGGACTTGTGTCTGTAACCTGGTTGACCAACTGAGGAGAAGTTCGTTTTGAAACTCCGCCAACCGCATCGTCACTGGCGTTGTTCGACGACAGGCGGCGCTTGCGATTGCGATTTTTGGATTTCCGACGTGGTGAATTTGCGTCATTTTTAACCGCCAGGGACTGATGTTTGTGTTTGCGATTGCGATCCAGGCGCTTTGCCATGCCGGAGGATTCATGAGGAGCATGTGCCGGGGTGCGGTCGGTTCCAGCATCGGAATTGTGGTTCGAAGCTTGGTCTCGGTCGTCGGGGATTTGGGAAATGTCAAATTCTTCAGGAAGGCACGGTCAATGGCTTTGCGTCAAACGCGCCGGTAACATGACTTGGGGCTTCTTCACTTACGGTCATCAGGTTCAGACTTTGGCGGCGAGGCAGACTCGGACTCTTGACTTTGCGTTTGTCCCATGATGATAGCACAATGTGAAGAAGAGGCGCGTCATATTACGTGGAACGTGCGGACCACCAGAGGCCAAGTGGGATGAGACGGACCAAAATGCGCGTCAACTGAGAAATTGTACATGACGAGCTTGCCGCATCGAGTCGCAAACAGCCGTGTGGAGTTTGAGGTTTTGGAAGAAACAAGTGAGAGATCCCCACGCGATGAGACGTTACTCGTCCTTGGAGCTGCCCGCCTCGCGGCTAAAGGATCTACACCGTTCGGCGCGCCTTTGGCAAGCGGGGGAGCTCGCTAATGAGCTTCGCAGGGACCCATTGCTGCAGCCTCGTTGTGAGCGCCTCCATCATCTCCAGCTGCGAGGCTACTGCTGTTCATCACGGTTACCAGCATCCCGTCGAATGGAAGACTAACATTCATCTGTTTTCTCAAGCATACGCTGACGATACGGCAAGATGGTCCTCCTCACAACCACACCTCGCATTCTCTCTGCCATCTCCTCCCTCTCTCTCGATGATCGCTCGTCCCTCGCAGATCTTCCCACTACATGCGGCCAGGCAATAGAGCATACCACGCTCATCGCCATGTCCCGCCTCAGCCAGAAAACCACTCTCAACAGCCTTCTTCGCGGTACCCGTGTCTATATCCCTCCACCGCCGCCTAAACCTCAGCCCTCCCCAGAATACGTCGCTCTTATGGCAAAGCTGCGGAGAGAACAGGAACTGCGCGAATATGCATCCCTCGTATCCAGTTCCGTCTCCCTCAACACCGAAAGAGAAGATGAAGATGACGACGTGTCTCCTTCGCTGGTCCTCAACATCTTTCTGAGCATAGTCCTCTGCGCCGCTGCAATATTCTACTTGACACGATGGTGGACCAATGATGGTCTACGAGTGCTTTTGTCTCTAGCTACGGGGGTCGCAGTGGGGGTCGCTGAAGTTGGCGTATATGCTGCATATCTGAGAAAAGTCAAAATGAGTAGGGACAAGGAGAGAAGAAAGAAAGAGCGCAAGGTGGTTCTGGGGGAGTATACTGGTACAGAAACAGGAGGAATAGCCCTGGATGCACAAGGGACACCTGTCTCTGTCGATGCGAATGCGGTCATGGAAAAGGAAGAGATATGGGGGAAGGGAATTAATGGCGGGATGAGGCGGCGCGTGAGAGAGAAATGGCAGAAAGATCAAGAGAAGGTCAACACATAAGACGATAGCATCTTGCCCTGGCACCCGGAGCACCATTCGCGATGTAATAATATTAACCCGACTACTTCTCCGCCTCGATCAGAGGGCATCCCTATAGCTACTGTTGGTACCTAGGTACCTAGATTGTCACCCGCAACTAAATCCAGAGAAATGCGCCGAGGCTGTTTAGAGTGGTTACTAGGTATATCATCACAAAATATACCCCGCGGAAATAGAGCAGACACAGAAAAAGAGGAGTGCTATAAAAAAAACAAGAGAGAGATCAAAACCAAATGTATAGAAAAAAAAAAGTTGATTGAAGGTAATCATCAAAGAGGATGCGACGGGATTCGAACCCGCAATCTCTTGATTCGTAGTCAAGCGCGATACCATTTCGCCACGCGTCCAACTCTCACCAGGATATCGGAGACGGTTCAATCCGAAGATTGTTGAAGGCAATTGGTGTAACTAAAATATAAACCAAAATTATCATGAGAGCCGAGTTTTCGCCACGGCCGACTCACGTGATGACATGTATTCTCACTTGGTCTCCACAAATACAGTCACGGGTGGGGCAAGGGGAGGGATCCATGGGTGTTCTGGATAGGAATTATCAGTCTGAAGGATGATATACAACTTGCTAGAAGCGACTTAATTTCTTGACAATCTTCAAGTCTACAAATATCCACAGAATATCATGTCATAATATCCGTATCTCGTAAAACGCACTTCAAAAGGTCAACCTTCAAAGTCGTAAATCCACCTCCTGAACCAACTCTTGACCTTCTTCAATTCCTTGATTCTTGGTTCCAGCAACAACTGCCCCTCGCATTCCTTCCCAACGAACCCATTGTTCATTCCGTCCCTTACAAACACCTGCCGTCCCCTCAGCCACGTCTCTTTGACTTGTCCGATCATGGTTTTGCCTTGATACGGTGAGCACTTGTTCCGGAAGAGCATCGTGCTTGGCTCTACGATCCACTCCTTCGTGTCGTCAAAAATACAGATATCGGCGTCAAAGCCAACGGCAAGGTCGCCCTTTTGCTTTTCCAGGCCTACTTGTGCAGCAGTGTTGGTGCAGCACCATGTTACCACGTCAGTGATGGCCGAGTCTGGACCGGTCAAACCGCGGCGGGTCATTTCTGTCCACAGGATGGGGAGCCCTAGCCCAACCGACGAGATGCCTCCCCATGCGGAGAAAAAGTCGCCTCTGTCAGTCTCTAATTGTAAGGCTTTGACCTTGTCCTTGGGTTGACAGATATGTCCCGGAATGTGTGAAGGGAGAATCTTTAGATCAGGCGTGCAGGGAGAATGATCGGACACTACCGTCTTGATGACCCCCTCCTCGGCATGCTGCGTTAACTCTTCCCAAAGACGATCTTGGTTCAACTGGGTTCGGATAGGTGGGCAGCATTTGTGCCTTGTGTCGCCCAGAGCAACCTGTTCCGCAGCCAGGGACAAATAGTGCGGGCAGGTTTCGGCTGTGATGTTAATCCCCTGCGCACGTGCCTTCCTCAACAAGGGAATCGCTTCCATGGCTGACAGGTGGACGATATGCAAAGGTAGATTTGGCGCAATGTGAGCCAAGGAGAGAATTTCCTCGATAGCATAGGTCTCAAAGGAGGGTGGCCGCGACTCGAGGAAAGTACTATACGCGTCCAGGGGGCCGTGTGGCTGCAAGGGAGGTAACGATATCTGGACGTCATCTCCGACCGAGTCCGCAATGGGCGGTATCATCTCTGCATGGAACATGACAGTGGTAGGTTCATCTGCCAATTCAGCAAAGACCTTCTCGATGTCGGTGGATGATACGGCAGGAAACTCTTCCACCCCGCTGTCAATGAGAAATCCCTTGAAGCCCCTCACTCCTTCTCGGACTAGAGCCTTGAGTTCTCCCTCGTTGCCAGGGATGATGCCTCCGTAGAAGCCAACATCAACCCAGCATTGGCCTTGCGCTGCTTTGATCTTCTCTTGCAGCCCCACCACGGTGGTTGTGGGTGGTACTGCATTCAATGGCATGTCCACGACAGTGGTCACTCCACCAAACGCAGCAGCCTGCGTCCCTGTGTAGAAGCCCTCCCATTCTGTGCGGCCAGGTTCATTGAGATGGACATGGGCGTCGATCAAGCCCGGCAGAAGTATATGCGGCGAGTAGTCGGTATAAGGTGTATTGGGAGGGAAATCGGATGCAGGAACGATCGAATCAAAGGTTGCAGTGATTTTGCCTGTGACATTGGATATCACAATAGTGGCCGCGGTAAGTCGTCCGGATCGGATGGCTCGAGACGACGCGATCACAGTTATCGGAGACTCGCCTGCTGCTTCGAGCAAGCCATTTGGAGGAGATCGTGGAGGTGTCGGATAAGGATGGAAGGCTCTGGTCCAGCTAGTCATTGTTACGGTAGGCGACAGAGCACCAGGCGCTTGGACAGGATCAATATGAACAGCACAAGGCTAACAACCACACGGCGGGTGGATATGAGACGCAGAGCATGTGAACAGGGGAGTACAGTTCTTATCAACGGGGTTGATAAGCAACGCGTAAAGTCAACCACCGTCTCATAACCCTTTTTGAGAATGAAATCGAGGTGAGAACGATAACAAAGGACGAGGACAAAAGAGAGACATACTACCTTTCAGCGGCCACTCGCCCGCATCCCTCGTCTCAGCTTGGGTCACCCACAGCCACCGTCGGCAGACAGGACCTGTTGGGTATCTTCAGAAATGTCGCAGGAGGGAAGGGTGTATGCCATAGACGCGGAGGACTCCGATCAGCATCTGGAATGCCGGCACACTGTGAGAGCTGCCATTGGTGAGAATAGAGATGCGCGCCGACGCTGAGCGCGTGGGCGGTATCTGTTACTCGATCATATCGAGCAGAGATAAGACGAGACGTCTCGCCGGAACTTGAAGTTTGAATTTGGTGGGATGGTGGGCATCAATGGCGCTGACGCACGCCTGTTATCGTTGGGAAATGGAGACATGTGCCTGGTCCAAGAGGCTTTGTGGAAGGACGCTTTCCCCTATGCAGCTCGCCGGAGTTCGGGACTCGGGAGGCTTGACGATAAGGGTCCTCGGGCTTGTTCTAAGCCATATTTGGCCTCGGCAGCCTCTGGGAATGTACGTCCATTACTCGATAATAAGACCATTTTTACTCGATCAAAATTCCTGAGTGGTACCTTTTGTGTGTTTGTCTCTCTTCTTGCTCAATTTTCGCTGACATAGCGTAAAGCCGACGTAATACCTTCGCTCTGCTCCGTGGAAAATTGTCAGGCCATTCGCAGAGGAGTTCCCGCGGTCCGCGCAGGCAAGGAGTCAGCAGCAAGAGGGCGCAGGAGGCAACTCTGGTGCCCGTAGTCATCAATGAAGAGTCAGGAGTAGCTCGGAGGCCCAGACGCTCGGCGGGCAAAGAGCAGGAAGGCGATGGCGATAGGAATCGAATGATCTTGACCTTGGGAATATGGTTAGCACCACGCAGCTTAGCCTACTTGATTGAGGGCGTCATGTTCGATGATGCCTCCCTTCAATTTGCAACGGCAACCTTTTGTATCGTGGCAAGGAACACTGAGAAACATGAACAAAGCACAATTTTGAAACGTCGAAGAAAGACAAGAGGGTTTGTGAGCATGAAGGTGACGAAGTTGTTTCTTGGATTTCGCAGTCACAGGATCAGACCGAAAAGCATTATGATCACGTGTCATTGCGCAATATGACGATGAGTTTCTCTCTGCAATTTCTCGTTTCTCACAGTTTCCTCTCTTCCTTGTACCCGGTACCAACTACCGAGTCCTCGCTTCACAACTCAAGATCGCTTAGGCAACTGGTCAGGCCTCGGATGCCACACGCCTTCCACTTGCTCTGCGCCTTGAATGGGAGCGATCCAGTCCGGACGACTATTTGTATAGATCTCGATTTCAGGTTTGCTGGCATGTATCATCTCGTTCCCATCAACACTCCCGATCATTACTGCAACACCATCGCTGATACCGCTGCTTCTGCGATACAAGGTCGATCCGCAATGGTCGCAGAAGAAGCTGGTCATTTGGTTTCCAGATTCGGCATCCAAGGTAAAGGTCTTAAGGTTACCCTTTACCACCCTCATCCCTTTGAGAGGTACCAAGATATTGTTTGTGTTCGTTGACCCTGAGAACTTCCTGCAGTCCACACACCAACATCGCATCTGCATGAGGTTTAGGACCTGAAGTCTGTGAGAGAAGTATGGCAGACTTACCCTCAAGGAAGGCTCGGCTCCCCATCGCAACCGATTTGCACCGCAGAGACAGCTGGAATCAAACATTGTTCTTTTTTTCTTGCGTTTCCTTGTCGATGTTACTTTTCCGAGTTGTCTACCCAGTACAAAGACCAAGTGACTTTATATTCAATCCGGTTTCTTGCCTCGGATGTCTGAAGTGTTAATTCCATGGCTGTGTTCTTGCGGACAATTGCTGGCAACAAGCAAAGCCCAATTGTTCGTTGTATCTCCTAAATCCGACTTTTGACCAAACATCGGGCTTCAGGCTGACATCCTGAAGACCCCGACTGTCTGACTGGGGAAGTATACTGACTATCCGACGACAAAAATATCAGTCGTTCTGCAACATCCACAGGAGTCGAGACCCATGCTAGTGCTATTTGCAGCAGGGGAAGATCTTTACTACTACCTATCCACAGGCCTGTCAGGGGTATTCATGGCTACTGACTGACTGCTTAGCCTTCATCTGGTGGTTCTTCGAGGGATTTTGCTGGTCAGGCCTCGCTCGATCAATCAATGCCTTTGTCATTCCAGTATAGTCTTTGGGCAGATACCGATCAAACAACTCCTCCCAGATACTACTCTTTCGGAAGTTCACTATGCCGATATCTCGGAGCAGTAAGTCTGTGTACAGCAGGCCATCGAAGACGAGATCTGGACATTTTTCTCCTGCACCTCCTCCAGAAGGTGGGTGCCTCAACCGACAGTATTCGGTTTGGAGGATCGTTTGATATTTGATATCCTGATAATTGACTGTCGAGTCATTCAAGCTCGGAATCTGTTGCTGGAAGAATGCCGTTATCCATAAGGCCTGAGCTTGCGCGACGGTGATAGCATTGAGAGCAAGGTGGGCGCCGATAAAAGCTATGTTACGTTGGTCCAGAAAAGGTTTTGCCGACGGCACCATGAAACGATACAATCGATACGGACTCTGAGTCAGGGTTTCCCTCGAGACATTGATGGAGGGTAATCCATCCGGCAGAACCTTTCGAGGGCCTTTGCGAAGTCCTGGCATGAAGCTGAAAATCTCCTCATCCGCCTGCTTAACGAGATACTCGATCCCAACCTGTTCTTGTCCTGGAAGTCCGAGTTGAGCTGCTACGCTCGGTGGCATGAACTTGATCGGCGGAGCCACCTTCCATCCAGTGCAACAAACGAAAGTGTCGGCATGAATGATGTCACCATTGGAAAGGTGGACCTCATCACCCGCCAGAGACTTTACGTCGGCGAGATGGACGGTTATACTCCCCGTCTTGACCAATTCGAACCAGTTCGTTTCGTAATTGTGAACACCCAAGGAATTACCCATCCAGAACATTGATGCCCAAGGCTTCAATTTTTTCAGCTCTGGGTGCTTGTGATATCCGTTTGCTGAGAGCACGGGGTTAGACAGGATCTTCCAGAACAACTTGACCAATTGTCGACCAAGCCAGGTACGGTGCAGGATTCTCCGGGCGAGGTTGAACCCGCTGTCCTCAGCCCAGATGCAGGGTTCAAACAGGGTGAAGAGTCTGGTGGTCGCCATTCTTTGGATGGAAAGCTTGAAAGGAGAAAACATGACAGGCCACACCCAGCTTGGGCCGCCGCCTTGTGGTCTGATCACCATATTGACATGGGCTCCCGCCGTCGCCGCCGAATAGCAGACGTCCCATGCCGACTTGTTTGCCCCAACTACCACGACCTCTTTTGATGTCTCGACGTCGTTGGCACGATCCCTCAGCTGGCGTGAATGGAGGAAATTTCCTTTGAAACTCTCAACTCCAGCATACTGAGGTATATATGGCTCAGAGGTCAAACCCGTAGCCACGACTAGCCGATCAGCCTCTAGGCCTTTGGCTTCATCGTGCTCAGCTTGTCCCCGCACTCGGAGCAGCCACTGTCCGGTCTCCTGCAGTTCTGCCGACTCGACTTTGGTCTGAAGCCTCAAGCACGGAACCAACCCGAACTGCTCTGCAAACTGACACAGGTACTCATGCACCACAGCGCCGGGGATATGCTGTCCCGGCTTGACACCAAATCTCTCGGGTGTCATGGGGAAATCGCCAAACTCGTACGAGCCGATTATGTTGTTTGTCTTGAGGCCAGGGTATAGGCGTTCTTTGGCCCATGTTCCTCCGATGGATTGGGCGGAATCTATGATGAGGAAGCTGGCATGTGGACAGACTTCGGAGTATGTCTTGGCCATGGCGAGTCCATGCCATCCTGCGAGGGGGCCAGTATGAGTATGATGGCGTTTGCAGGGAATGTGACGAAACGAATCAGCTCACCTGCACCGACGATGACCAAATCGAAGTGCTCCATGCCGACAGGACTGCGTACTCGGTATACCCCCTCAGTGTTCAATATGTGGGTTTTCGGCAAGATGGTATATCAAGCAGCAGATCCCTTGTTGGGATCTCACCACATATTACAGTTTGAGGTTGGTGGCAACTCCTGTGCCTCCAAACGACCTGTTCTCATGTCACAATCACGGCACCTGCGTATGGTTGGCGCACGATAAGGTCAGAGATGGGTGTGATGGATTCTTGTTCTAGTTTTCTGTCAAGGGTGAGCAGTGATCTGATGGTGTATTCCGTGAAAACAAACAGCCTCGCCCTCCCTCTGCCTGCTTTCTGGTTTGAGCGTAAGCTCACCGCCGCAACTCAACACACCCAGTACCACACCACACCACGAGCATGAGATTTACCTCAAACCAGCCACCTCCAGTCAACCAAGACAGCCAGTCTCGGCACATGACCGAAGACACCGCACAAATGAGATGCAATGAAGGACATATTACATACCAATCGAGGCAACAGTGCACTGCACTATTCACCCAGCACGACAACATAAATATGATGATGTGTGGACTCAATCCGCCCTGTCGCTCTCGCCTTCGCTCGCGAGGTATGTAGGTACGTAGGCGCCAAAAGCCGATGACCGCAACTTTTCTTGATATGTAATCTGCTCGTGGATTACAGACACAGTTTTTGGGAAGGACAAGTTAGTAGTATAGGGTGTATACTACTACGGCACAGGCACCAGACACCTGGCACGACAATCACCTAGGTACCTAGGTATCTAGGTCGTAGGTAGTAAATAGTAGATAGGGTGTAGCATGCACTGTTTGGAGGTATCTCCCCAGGAAACCCAGATCGGCATATCAACTCGGCTTCTGGCTTCTGGCTTCTGGATGTATCGATCGTTACATCTACCACCAAGGCCCCAAGGCCACCAAGGGCGCCATACGGCAAGTGACATGCGGCATGGGACACGGCATAGGATTGAGGGGACGGAAATGTCCTACCTATGCACATGCCGATCGAGTTGGGTCATCCCCCTCTCTCCCCGCTTCCACAGTATCTGGGGTCATTTCTTGGTGTTGGTGATGGTGATGGTAAGCCTGACTTGACATTGGCTGGCCGCGCCTTACGTCTTACATACGACTTGTGTTATTCCCACGTCGTATATCATGTTCCGACACACCTACATACATAAATACATCAGACTTGAAGAGGCTAAACGCGAAGCTATTACTCGTCGCTTGACTCAATAACTTTTACAGTGTTATCCACAGTACAGTACTGTACTTCCCTACCCGGCACCAAGAAAAGGAAAAGGGAAGAGGAAAAAAAAAAAAAAAAGAATGGCAGACGCCCCGGTGCTCGATCTCGAAGCATTTCCCACGGCCAGGGAATTCGTGTCCAAATGCCACGAGTTCTTCAGGGAGGTTAAGAATTTGTATGTGCCTCGCTCCTCTCTCCATCACCCTTCCTTGGTGTTCCTCCTCTTCACTGATGGGTCAGGCCCTTACTTGAATCATCCATCCCTACACCAACATCCTCCGCTGACCCGAACCCAGAACACCAGGTAAAGACCTCGAGGCCCGACTGAACCGCGAGTACGGCCCCGGCACGCCCTTCTACGAAGCCTTTGCGCGGTACATGCGCGACGGCCTCCAGGAGGGCTGGGTGGCGCGCGACGAACTCGACGGGCCCAAGTACCGGCGCGGCCGCATCGCCCCGCCCACGCCGGAGAGCAGCTTCATCTCCATCACCGCGGTGTACATGGACTCGCAGGAGGTGTATCGCGGGCAATACCACCAGCATCCGTACGGGGAGATCAACTGCGTCGTCTTGCTGGACGAGACAGCCGAATTGAAGGGCATGCAAGGCTGGCAGGGGGCCGGCTGGACGAGTCCTGGCCCCGGCACGCACCATTATCCCGAGGTCAGAGGCGGTGCGTTGGTCGCGCTGTTCTTTCTGCCGGCTGGGAGGATCAGTTATGAAGCCACGCCGGATATGCCGCAGCCGGCGTCTTTATAGGATTTGGGTACTCTGCGAGGAGCTCGGGATGGGGTCATAATTTCGTAGCGGCGAAACGACACGACACGTCAATGTCGACGCTGCCACTTGATCGTAGCGGGATGCATTGGTCGTGAGAACATGGACTGTAACAAATTAACATTCTCCCTCGATTGTTGAATGACAGAGTACACTTCAGCTACTTCAAGAAGCTCATTAACTGGCATCGTGTCACTTACCGAATAGTCCGTCGCTGGCACCGGTGCACTGGGATCGACCTGCCCCCAGCGCAAAAGTCTCACCATGGTCGCAAGGATAGCCCCCAGCTGCGCATACGCAAAAGTTTCCCCGACACACCGGTGTCGACCTGCGCCGAAGGGCAGGTAAGGGCTGTTGACCGCCTTGGAGGAGACAGCTCCGTATCCGTAATCCACTGTATCATTGTCGTCGCTTTTCTCGTTCTGCTGTGACTGTGTCTGGGCCTCCGCATCCGTCTCGTCAGGCTTGTCCCACCGATGCGGGTTCCACGCCATAGGGTTAGGGAAGAATTCCTCGCACCGAGAAGGAACCCCCGGCGCTGCGAGCAGTATGTGGCCTGCGGGGACGACGACGTCGGTATCGGGGATCGGCATGGGTTGCTTGACCTTGCGCATGATGGAATGGATCGGGCTGTGGAGCCGCAGCGTTTCCTTGATGACATTGTTATGCAGCGCGAGTTTCTGCAGCGTGTCATACGTCGGGGTTTGATCTCCGAGGACATTCAGCTGTTCCTGGTACAATTCCTCGATGAGATGTGGGCGGTGAGCGAGATGGAGCATGATCCACGTCCCCGAGGCTGCCGTGTTGTGCTGGCCGCCCATGAGCAGGGCGATCATGAGGTTGGCCGTCTCTTCGTCTGACAGTGGAGTGCCATCTCTGTAACGGCCGTCCATCAACGCCCAGAGCATGTCGTGGCTACCGTCCTGGTTCCCAGTCGATCGTCGCTGTCTAATGATGTCCATGTACAGCTTGGCCATCTTCCTCTGAGCACGGTCTCGCCGCCGGTTCACGGGTGTGGGAAGCCATGGAAACATGAAATTGGCGGGTGCAAAGCCGTCGTCGAGATGGCGGTAATAAGTGGCGAATGAGGAGTCGAAAGAATCCCTGACTTCCTTTCCCTGCAGTGAGCCAGCTGCGGCATACAGGGAAATTTCTGAAAGCACGGTGGATATGTCGCATACTCCGCCCTCGCCCCGGAAGATGGCGTTGGTGTTGATGTATTGCTCGGTTTCTTTGACGAATTGGGGAACGTATGCTCGCAAATTCTGACTTGTGAAGCCTTCCTTCAACAGCTATAAAGGCGAGCGTGTCAATAACAGCGACATGCGGGATTAGAGGCTGCAAAGAAACAATTTGCCGTACTCTTTTTTGGTCCATAAACCTCGCGTTGTCCACATCGTATACCACACCACGACCGAAGACCGGCACTGTGAGTGGGCCATATACCTCCTGTTATCGGGTCAGTGCTGTGATGCCTGTGATGGAGCAGGCGTAGTCTTACTTCGGCATTGAGATCCTTCAACTTCCCATTCAAGATGAAGTTGTTGCCCTTGGCTCCCAAGTAGACCGTGACTTTCATTCCAAGCAGCCCAAATGTGAAAAAGTCACCGTACTGGACGTTCGATTAGCGAAAACTGAGCCATCAGTGGGACCAAACGCCCCCCAGTCGGAACTTTTCTGAACAAGTTTGGAGTGGCTCAAGGGTAGCGCGCGCACCTTTTCTCGGCATTTGAAGAAGAACTTGTACGGGTCTTGCCCATAGTCCACTGTGCTGCCAATCAGAGGCACCCAATGCCATACAACAGGCGGTCTGTGAGGATCTCGGAAGAACAGCTGCTTGACAATGTTGGTGACGATGGAGATCCCGATGAGCCAGAGCAGTGTGGTTAGGAGCCTCACAATGAGCGTCATCATGGCTAATACCTGAGCTGCGCCAGTGGTGTGGCGGTCTTGGGGCTTGTTCAAGGTGTTGCTTGGCTATTCGCGGTATCGGACACTGAAAGCTGATCGATTGATGGGTGCTTTCGAGAGATGTTGTGCGTTGATACATGAGGATGTGGAATCAGGGAGTCGCAGTTGGCGGTGAGGCCGAAACCTGCGCCAAAAGCGGCGATGAATACGATGCACTTCGGCGGCCTCTGTCAGCACATGTATTTATCCTACATTCCTATTTTGACATGCGCAAGGGGCGTTCGCAAGTACCCAAAACCAACTATACTGTCTTGACCAGGAGGAGGTATTCGTGGCCATCAGGAAAGTCGCCAAAAGGCCAACGGCAAGTCCTCGCGCCCTGACTTCAGCCAACGCTTTTGATAGTTCTCCGTGGTCCATCCAGAAGTTCGTATCAGCACAGCATATGACTCCCTGTGGTGCGTCCTCCACAAAGAGACTCCCTGACAACCTAGCTGACTTGATATATCTGAAAGGGCTAGACTCCATAACGTCTTGCGCATGCTCTCGCACAACCCTCAGATCTACCTCCTCGAGCCCGGATCCGAAACTTCTCAGCGCAGTGAGGAACGCCGCAGGGTGTGAACTCAGCATCCCGAACGTACAGTTCTCTCTTCCTTCTCATAACCTGGAAAGAAGCTGGGTCGAGTCAGAGAAAGATTGACGTGGTGTAAGGGGAGGACTTACCCTTGTAGCCAGCCAGCGACGCCTATATTGCGGATCCACGCATAATTGGGTGACCCAGCAGACTTGGTGGCCTGCAGATTTCCAATAGGTGGCCAAAGCATGACCAACCAGGTTGTCGCCGGCCATAGCCCTGACAAAATAGCTATCTGCACGATCTGGGAGGCACTCCTCTCTTAGCCGACTGGGACTCATGCGGACACGACGACCTTTCGCCACAATTTAGCAAACCGACATCCTCCATGGGGACAACGCTTAGATACCATGCTTTGCAAATGGCCCCATCATTTTTTCTGCCTGTAGTCCCCAGATGCCATATGCACGCGAGGACAATGCTGCCGCTTCTTGGATCATATCCTGGGTGATCTCTCTCGCGGCCAAGATCTCGAAGGTAAAGATCTCTCTACTTAAGACTATCCACCGAGTCGAATCAATAGTCGTGGCCCAGATACAAGAGGTGGCTGGAAAAACTCGAGGGCCGGCGCCATCTCAGTCTGAATCCACTACATCAGGACTGAAAATAAAAGGCAAAGGGCCCGCGAGAAGATGATTTCGGTCGCGACAGAAATAGATTCATGTGTCGGGAAACCACTTCAACACACTATTTACAGTTGCCTTATAAAAATGGCGAAACCAAAACTCCTCCCATTCCGGACACGGCTGTCAAAGTACTCGAAAGATCGACAAATTTGGATCCTCTGTAGTTCTCGATTTTAAACGTCTTGGGGAAGTATTCGTGCTTTCTGGGGGACCGTGAAGTTTGCAAAGATCGTCGGGATATCTAATGGACCTGTCGGTACGGGTCTATATTCCTTGATAATCGCCCATCGGCTTAAACTCGACGTGTCGGTAACATCCCCAAGCACCTTGAAATGTGCGTCTGTCAATTTCATCCATCCATAACACATCACAGCCCATGTTCCGTTCTCGGCACGTGAGTCTAGTCGGGCATAAGCTCTACATTCGTGGGCAAGAGGCGAGGTGTATATGGCAACATCATACAGGTAGAAGACCGGTCCGGGTTGCTTCCAGTGCTTAAACTAGACTGTATCAGAGGAGGGCAGCTATCAGAGACTTTCACTCACAATTTTCACAGCATATTCGCTCCCCTTAATATCTACCAAAATCACCATACCGTGTTCTCCTTGATTGATCAGACGCGGGTCGTGAATGTCTTCTTGATGGTTGACGAATCGCCGTAGTTTCGGTTCATCATCTTCCGTCGCCTGTTGTAAAAGGCAAAATGGCTCCGTTGAGAGATATATGCCAATGATATCCTCTCCCATCAGCTCAGCATATTTTGGGTCCTTACTGAGTCCTTTGCGCATCTTTTATCTGGGCCTTTTCGTCGTGCACACTCCAGAGTAGTAGTTGGTGGTGGCTTTAATCGCGAACGAAGGGCGCTTTGGTCTTTTAAGAACTGTCGACGATGGAGGGACATGGATCGGGCTTCCGAGGATCATCAGGTAATTTCAGATGTTTATGGAGACGGCCCACCTTGACTGATGTTCCACGCAACGACATGAAATCTCTTGCATTGGGAAACTGAACGACGCGTAGCGTTGGGCTTGCTCCACGCAGGGTCACTTCAGATGGGAAGGTTTTCCGCTCACGTGGCTGGGTTGGCGGTGAATTCTACGCGGTCCTCTTGCCTCTCTACCACTCCGCCGCGGCGACTCTCGAGGTTATCACAATCGTCACTGGAGACACGTTAGTTATCTGGACCACACCAGCATCGGATACGGGAATGGCCCATTCAACTACGGATATTTGACCATGGAGACACCAACTGGCGTTTTAGTTCAGCTGGCCAGAGGAAGAGGTGGTAAGCAAGATGAAAGACGCTCGATGGACAATCCTGTGGCCCACTGCCACCCGGTTCGTACATTTGATATACTACTCCAGCGGCTGCAACAGGTCTCTCCTGGGGAGTAGGACCTATCCAAGTGCCTTCTCTGCCTACAATCACACACTTTCGACGTGGGACAATACCATGGGCGCCTTTGTACCAGCCTCCTTGTTAGCCTCCAGTGAGGCCTTTTCAGTATCCACCTTTTCAACGGCACTCTCAGACGACTTCTCAAGCTCGAGGGCAGAGGAGATCTCATCCTGGTCACCAAAAATCTTTGCCACTTCCTCCAGGGGAATTCTTCGTGTATCGGGGAACCAGTAAAGCAGGAAGCAAACGAAGACCGTCCCGGGGATGATGAAGCAGAGATAGAACTTCCACCCTATGTTCTTGAACGCAATCGGGGCAACTTGCAACCTGTGGAGGGAAGATCAGCATTCAAAAGCCGTCGGCTACTGAAAGGGTTTCAGAGGCATACCACATGATGTTCATGGCGCAGAGACCTGCCATCCCGAGCGCAATGCCTTTGGCGCGAAGGTGATTAGGGCAGATCTCGGAGATGTAAACGAACTGGGTTCCATCGAGACAGATCTCCCACATCACCACATATACGAACAGCATGGCCACGGCTGCGCTCAACGCGCTGTTGTTGGGATTTGCAAGCGCCTCAGGCGTGGTGTACGTGGCGACCAGAGCTGCCTCGATGGCCAAACAGCAGAGACAGAATTGAATCCCGAAAGCAATCAATTTTGGACGTGCCACTCGCTCGACAACGAAGAGCGCAAGGATACCTCCTCCAATGGCGACGGTATACCAGCCGATCTGGTAGAGGAACTGCTGTTCGGTGTCATAACCTAGTGCGCCGTACAACGTCGGTCCATAGTTGTTCAAGACTGTCGATGTTTGGTTAGGTAGACTGCATCATTTTCGTTTCGAGAGAACAACGAGGTACGTACCTAATGGACCGCTCAGTTGAATTCCAGCCGGGATCAGGAAGCTCATGATTGCCCTCTTCCGATAGCTCGGTTTCTTGATCAGAGCCCAGTATGAAGAGTCGAGCGTTCTGTCAATCCGGACTTGTGCTGAAATCTGCGACAGTTCGACCGCAGCCTCTTCCTCGGTGTGCAGACTCTTGAGGACCGTTGCCGCATCTTCGTAGCGATCCTTCATGAGCAGCCATCGGGGCGACTCTGGGAGCCACGGCAAAAAGCAGAGCAGGAGAACTCCAGGTAGGGCGTTGAGGGCTTGGAGACCTCTCCACCCGTTACTATTGCCATTCTTCCAGAACCCATAGCCGATCCATGAAGCAAAGGCGTAACCAAAGAGCAGACTGATACCATGGATATCAACCAAGACTCCTCGAACACTCGGCGGAGCCACCTCACTCATCCAAACTGGAACTGTGGACACAATGATATACGCCGCCATTCCTGCGAAGAACCTGAAGGCGATGAACATGTGAATGTTAACACTTCCTGCCAGCAGGGCGGACGTCACACAGGCGAAAACAGCTGGAACGGCGATGCCGACTTTGCGACCCCATCTGTCGGAAATGGGGGACACGGCGAAGGTGCCCAAGAAGCCGCCGACCTGGTACATCTAGTTTTCCATCAAGTAGATCAGTATTTGTTACTTCCACCTCTCGAGAGTTCTCGACACATATGCAGAGGGGTTTGGTCAACAACATACGCTTCCAGTCAACCCGATCAAGTCTGAGGCATCTGGTGCAGTATCCAATCCCATCGCCTTGACGAATGAGGGCTGGATCAGAGTGGTCGATATCACCGATGCCGAGTAACCATACATGCAGGAGCCGAGACTTGCAGCGACTATGAAGAGTACATTCTGCCACTTGAACTGGCGTCGCGCTGAATGGTGGTACTCGCTCTGATCCACGGTCTGAGAGGAAGCCATGATGTCGCAATGCTGCTCAAATTCTGTCCTTGTGTTGCTGGACAAGACACGACGGCGGATTTGTCGCAAAGATATACCTCCTGAGAGAGAGTGGATTTGGGAAATTTCTTTCCATAAACACCGTCTTTAAAGCACTATGTCCCCACCTGGACCCATATTTTTGGACCTGGCAAATGACCTGAATACCGACATTTGGTTGCCGGAATAGCCAGGAACGTGCAGGTTGGCGAAATGTTACCCCAGAGCGTTTGTTCCCCGTCATCGACTCCGCTCTGGGGACCCAGATCTCCAGAACTGAGCTGTTTCTTTTTCGGCTTCTCTTTGACTTCTGCCCGCTACCATGTGTCGAGGTGGATATCAATGTCGGCGAGCAAGGCTGCTGGCTGTCATGTCCACTGCCGAGAATAGCCGTGAGATCGTGAGCCGGAACTATATGTATTAACTAACGGGGTGGCTACAAGAAAGTGTTGGTGCTAAATCCAAATCAATATTTCCAACACCATTCTCGACCTACCTCTTTCACAGGATACAACCATTCCGGTAACAGGACACCACCATGGCTGCGGCTCACAACTTCGACGTTCCGGCTGGGAACACTGTCCGTGTGCGGATTATCGACACGACCTCGCGGATTGAAAAGGTCCCAAGCACCTTTTTGATGGAGCCAATCATACCGGGATTTACTCACATGCCCAAATTGCCATCATGGTCTTTCTTAGTCGAGCACGCCTCGGGCAAGAAGGCACTCTTTGACCTGGGCGTGCCCCCTACCTGGAAGGATTTCTCCCCGGTCACCACCAGTCACACGATCGCCGCTGGTTGGAATGTGACTGCTGAGAAGCACACGGTCCAGATCCTGGAGGAGACGGGCATCAAAGGTGAGGAGATTAATAGCATCATTTGGAGGTATGTAAAGGCCCCAAGTCGTAGACACAGTTCTACAAGCTGACAGTATCCTAGCCACTGGCATTGGGATCATTTGGGAGACCCTTCTACATTCCCTCCCAGCACGGAACTGGTCGTGGGGCCAGGGTTCAAAGAGGCCTTCTTCCCCGGCTACCCTGCTAAGATCGACGCGCCAGTCAGGGAGAGCGATTTCGCGTAGGTCTTTGTCAAGAACTGACATGGCCGTGGTCCACCGAGCTTCCCAGGCAAGTCCGGCTAACGAAGAGAACAGGGGCCGAGAAGTTCGCGAGATTGATTTTACAGCCTCGAAGCTGAAAATCGAAAAGTTTGACGCCTTTGACTTCTTTGGAGACGGATCGTTTTATCTACTCGATACTCCTGGACATGCCATTGGGCATCTTTGTGGTCTGGCCCGAACGTCGTCGAACCCTGATACCTTCATCATGATGGGCGGTGACCTTTGTCACCACAGTGGCGAGCTCCGTCCTTCGCCCCTTCTGCCTCTTCCCCAGGATAGTCAACTTCAAACCATTCTCCAAGGAATAATGCCCCATGTGCCCGCTTGCCCTGGGGCGGTCCTGGAGCATGTGCAGCATTCTCGGGGTCGAAAGCTCGACGAACCATTCTTTATCCCGGCAATGGGACTCCACATACCGACGGCAATTGAGAGTATCAAGAAGGCTCAAGAGGCTGACGCCGATTCCAATGTGTGGTTCATCTTCGCACACGACGACAGCCTGTGGGGCTTGATAGACTTTTTCCCGGCAGACGTGAATAGGTGGAAGGAAAAGGGATGGGGCGCCAAAACCAAGTGGTCGTTCCTCAAGGATTTCCGTCCCGCATTGGAGGCTGAGGCCGAGACGAAGTCGTAACAAGGTAAAAGAAAAATAGCTGGAATGCCAAAGAGCCACCCATTCCCTGGGACTCAACTTTCCTTTACTAGTCAAGAAAACGATTGATTGGGATACCAGACCGTAAAGCCGACATCATTAACCGGCAAACTCTCAAGAGACTGGGCCGTCTCCAACCCAAACCCATTGCCAGCAACTACCGGCAGCTGAGGTTCGGCTATACAAAGACGCCACATACATGGGTCTTCCAGACCCCAGAGACTTAATCCGGTTTTTTGTTCCCCAGTCTACGATATATCATGGAAAAATACCTGCTTACAAAACATATGTATCCGGGAATAAAGGACTTAGGTAGCTCGTATATTGTTTAAGCAGTGGTTGATTGCCGATCCACACAGCCCAATAACAATCGATTGAACGCGTCGTCATTGCTGGGAGGAATTGACGGGCTGCAAAAAGTCCTTTCGAGGAGGCCGCGGATATATCTATCTACAACCTCTAAGTGACGGAGCAGGCCTCCTAAAATTTGACAGTCCTTGACAGTCGTCTTTCTTCTCGCAGAAAAGAAATCATGACCGACCAGGCCAAATACATCAACAAGCTCAAAGGTGCGCGAGTCCTGATCATCGGAGGCACATCTGGCATTGGCTTCGGCGTGGCGGAAGCGGTCATTGAGCATGGCGCGGGCAAAGTGATTGTCTCTTCGTCGCGGGAATCGCGGGTCAACGACGCCGTCGCAAGACTCAAGGCGTCGTATCCCTCGTCCACGGCTTCGATCGAGGGGTACGTATGCGACGTGGGAGAGCTGGGCACCATGGAGGACAACATCAAGGAGCTCTTCACCAAAGTCGGCACCCTCGACCACATTGTCTACTCGGCCGGGGACAACCCACCGTTGAGGCCCTTGGACACGGTCGACTTCGCCTTCATCCAGCGAGTCGGCAACATCCGCTTCTACGGGCCCTTGCTGGTGGCCCTGCACGGGCACAAGAACCTCGTGCAAAGCCCTCAGAGCTCCATCACCATCACCACAGGGGCGACCAGCGAGAAGCCCTGGGCCGGCTCCACGGTGGTTGGCTCCTGGTTGAGCGGGCTCCACGGCATGACGCGGGGATTGGCACTGGATCTGAAACCTCTGCGGGTCAACCTGGTCAGCCCCGGAGGCATCGACACGGCCCTCTGGGACTACAAGAGCCCCGAGGAGAGAAAGGCGCTCATCGACGAGCTGACACGCGATACCACGGTCGGGGTGATTGGAACCGTCGAGGACATCGCCGAGGCGTACATCTATTGCATGAGGGACCATTTCGTGACCGGCACCATGATCAGCTCAAACGGCGGCCGCTTTCTCGTGTAGGTAGGATGTACAGAAGCTCCTCCGGGGAGTGAGAAGGATGAATCCTTTCCTCGGAGGTGGAACTTGCTGTAGGCTCCTTGACAGGTACTTTTTGCTGCCTGACCTCCCACCCCCGGCCCAGAGAACAGGACCGACGAGGAGGTAGAGCGAAAGAAGACTTCAAGCAGTAACTAGTTTCAGGGGCGTGAAATCGACTTGTCTGATAGAATGGAATGTTGGCACCTTTTGAGCAAAAGCCTTTCGCGTCCACGTTTATCGTATCCAGGATCACATACCCCGAGATTTTCCATTTTTCCCAGACGACGTATGCACCTTTCTTGAGAGGTTGTATATACTGGCACAAGTCAACGTATGAGTGACGTATCGTAAGCCATTCCCCAGTGGGACACTGTGTCAAGGATTTCCACCCAATTCGAGGTGAAAATGTGGCCGGGAAAGGTGTTGACCTGTGCATCTAGCAGGAATCTTCAAAGTCTAGTTGGACACACGGCCAACCGGTGTTGTATCGTCTATAGGCGTGCATTCTATACCAAATCAGGTAAGAGTGAGTGTACATCGCGCCATAAAGGAGTCACTAGACTAGCATGTGCTTAGATAATGGCAGAAGTAATGCCAAGGCGCTAATATTCTTGATAGAATCCCCGGCTCCACTTGCCACGTGAACGGCTACTCCGGCTTCATGACTTGGCTCTTCCGGCTATTCAGGCAGGTCATTGCATGGCATGGGGACTTTGCTCGAGAGTTTCGGCCCTTCGAAAAAAAAACCCCTCCTGACCCAGTGACCACGGAGAGGACACGAGCAGTCGTGGTATGCTGCAGCTCTTAAAACACGTTACTGTTGAATGTGCAGTATACGTCGGAGTGGTTCGATTTCTATTTTTCTATCTGGGCAAGTAAAAGATAACTCTGTGAATTGAAAAGCAAAAAAGCACCGAGCAAAAATGGACGCGAATCAGATCCGTGGAAAAGGCGCCATAGTCACTGGTGCCGGCTCAGGTAAGCTTCCCCTGATACTCGCTTTGTCATTGAAGATGGAAGAAGGAGAAGAAGGAAATCTTGTATAGACAGAGAGAGGGAGAGACAGAAACTGAGTCACGGATCTAGGCATCAACCTCTCGTTTGCCCAGGCGCTCCATCGTGCAGGATGCAGTGTCTTGATCATGGACATTGCCCTGCACAAAGACGCCGTGGCCTGGATGGACACCATCTCCAACCCTCAGCCGTCGGAGCCAAAGGTCATCTTCTACAAGTCCGACGTGTCCAAATGGTCCGAACTCGAGAAAGTCTTTGACGTCTTCGCCGACACGATCGGTGGCGTGCCATACATTGTCTGCCCCGGTGCCGGGGTCTATGAGCCTGTAAGTTCTGCCCCAGTGCCACAGACAGATTTTGTTCCCCTATGTGCTGTCTTGTTGTTACACGTTCAAAAATTTTCCCCTGAGTTTCTTTCTACTTTTCTCTAACCTGAGAGGAAAACAGTCACACAATAGCTTCTGGAAAGACAACGACACCGACAATCACTACAAGGTTCTCGACATCAACCTTCTCGCGCCGATCAAGATGTCGCGCATCGCCATCCGGCGCATGCTGGCCGCCGACGCCCCCGGCATCATCTGCTGCGTGTCCAGCATCGGCGCGCAAAAGGCCAGCATCGTGACGCCGCTGTACCAGGCGTCCAAGCACGGCATCAGCAGCTTCGTGCGGTGCATGGCCGACCTGCACAAGCTGGCGGGGATCCGGGTGGTCGGCGTCGCCCCGGGCATCATCCGCACGCCCCTGTACTCCGACCACCCGGAGGCCGGCAAGTTTGTCGACCCGGAAAAGGATTTTATGCTCTCGCCCGACGAGGTCGCGCGCGGCATGATGGCCGTCTGCCTCGACCCTAAGTACCCGCCCGGCACGATCCTCGAGGTCGCCGACGTCGACAACTGGAGGGAGGTGAAGCTGCTGAACGACCCTGGGCCGCAAGGGCGCGCCATCCTCGCGAGTAAGAAGCAAGACGCCGTGGCCGACGTGATTGCCTTCATCGAGAAGGACAAGCAAGCCAAACCCAACGGCACCGCGGCGGCGGCTCCTTGATCAAATGTAACGTGTATATCAGATAGACACAAGAAAAGACAACACAAAAATCAATGTCGTCGTTCAACTTGTTCAATCTTGTATTTATGTGGTCGTTTTGGTAATATTCTCCGAAACTTGTAAACTTCTAGACTTCACAAGGTGTATATGGTATAGTATATCAGTTTTTATCTTGCAATTTGAACTAGTCCAAGACCGGACGCCGCCCCGTTGTCCACAATATGCACGATATATGAATCTATGGGAAGGAGGAGGAAAAACAACACAGGTGAACCCCCCTCACTCGGAGTACGAAAGCCTCAATAGTAGAGCAACTTTGGAGCCACCTGGTCAAGATACCAGGTCTGATCGGCGCCCTCTTCCTCCCGCGTCGAGAACCCGTTGCCCAGGAACTGGAACCGGTTGCCCGTGTCGTACGTGTAGTTAAAGTCCTCGAATTTGGGCCTCTCGAGCGCGTGGAACCAGTGCAGCCGACTGCCCGGGTGGATTGCGATGATGGGGCCCGACGAGCGGCCGTTCTTGAACCACGACCGGCAGTTGCCCGCCCACGCGGTGCGGGGCATGAAGTGGTGGATGTGGATGGCGAAGTCGTCGACGGCCTCTTGTTTGACGTCGATGGCCTTGATCAGTTCGACTTGCGCCTTGGTGATCAGCTGCAGGATGTATTTCGAACATTGCTCCGTGATGGTGAAGACACTGCCGTGCGAGATGGGCGCGTTGGGTCCCAGGAAGACTGTTGATTCGCTTCTGCGTTAGACAGAGACTAGGTACGCCAGGGAAAAAAAGGGGCAGAAAGGGAGAAAAACAAAGTGACTTACCAAAGTAATTGGGGAACTTGGGGATGGCCATGGACAAGTATGCCTGAGGCACGTTGGGCTCACCCCAGACGTCCTTGAGGCTCACTCCATCTCGGCCGGTGACGGGGAATCTCGGCGAAAAGGAAACATCGAAGCCCGTGGCGCACACGATGGCGTCGACTTCGATGTGTTCCCCGGTCGACATGACCAGGCCCTTCTCGTCGACGTGGTCGATCCTCGCATCGGTGATGACTCGCACGTTGGGTTTCGCAAAACTCTCGAGATACCCTACACCGGGCGTGATGCGGCGACAGCCCACGGGAAAGTCTGGGATCAGCTTCTCGATCAGATCCGGGCTGTCTTTGAGAAGCCCGATCATGCTGTTGGCCGCGTCGAGCCGTGCTTTGGCGGCCTCTTGGGCTCCGTTGACGAGCATGCGGAATTTGGCGTTGATCTCGACCTCGACGGCCTTCCGGAACGCCAGGTACTTTTCGGGGTTCTGGCGGAACAGCTCCTTCTGCTCTTCGGAGAAATGCTCGGGCATGTTGCCGCCGCGTAATGACGGATAGCGCGAGGCGGCGCCTGGAGTGACCCAGGTCGGCGATCGGATCAGATGCACCAATTCCTTGACGTGCGGCTGCAGAGCCGGCACAATCTGGATCCCCGTGGACCCGTTTCCAATGACGGCGACTTTCAGGTCCTTGTAGTCGAAGGATTCGGGCCAGTTGGCACTGTGGACCAACTTGCCCCGGAAGTTGTGCAGGCCGGGTATGTTGGGCCATCTCCACGCATTCAGAATGCCTCCGGCGTTGAGCAGATAGTTACACTCGTCTTCAAAGACCTCTCCTGTCTCAGTCTTCCTGATCTTGACGATCCAGCGGCCGCTCTCTTCCTGCCATCTGGCCTCGATGACCTCATGTGCGAGCTTAAAGAAGCCCGACAAATCGTGTTTGGCCACGCACTTCTCGAGGTACTCACGGATCTCCTCGGCAGGGGAGAACATGGCTGCCCAGTCCGGATTGGGCTCCCAGGCGAATTGGTAGTTGTGTGATGCTAGCAAAAGGGAGTTAGTCCGTCGTCGCAAGGGGTTAAAGCACGGATATCGTCCAGCACAACTTACGAATGTCGCACTTGCACCCAGGATATCTGTTCTCAAACCAGGTGCCTCCGAGGGCGGGGTTCTTGTCGTAGACAACCAGTTCCGCTTCCCGGAGGTAGTTTTTCACTTGATACGCCATATTGATACCGCTGGCACCTGCGCCAATTGTAATTATTCGTACCGGTTTGATGTACCCAAGCGGTCTATCTGTCACGGTATATGTGCCCGTGAATTTGCGAAGCTGAGGTATGGTTGGGATTTCCGGCTGGGCGACGGGATCCTCGACAGGTACCTCGACCGGCTGAACGACAACGTGACCGTTCATCTTCGTCTCGTTGGGGGCAAGGGCGTCTTTGGCGAGGAGTGGCCGCTCCGTCATCTCGGCGTAGTGACCGTTTTCAACCATTTTGAGTAGATATTCGTGTGTCAAAGAGATAGCACGGCAGAGTAGAACGCGGCACAAAAAGTAATCAGTCTGCAATTCCTAATACTCTGAATGGGTGATGGATCGCAGCCCAGTTCAGTTATAAGAGCTGCCGCATGTCCGCCACAGAGCATTGCTCACGCCACGTAGGGTGGACATGAATGGCTCATAGATCTGTGAGAAGGCGATACAGAGGGCCTAGCCTCCTTCGCATGGGCTTCTGCCATTGCCGGATTTGCTCTGGCCTGGCTAGACATGGAAAATAACCGTCAATGCCGGGCCAGAAAATTTCCCTACCTCTTTGGGACAAACGTCGCGGGTAGTCCGTTTTGAGACGCCCCCTCGCGCCCACACGAAGCGACCTGGAAATTTCTTCGTAGGTTTACGAGGTGTGTTGCCGTTCCAGCAGAGTAGCCACTGCCGGGCCAGCGCATGCTTGAGTGTCTCACATGACACATGACTGCCGAGAATGTTGGCGATGGGGCCACTTGGGAGACTGATGCCGATCGAGACCTTTGCTTTAGCCGCGTTGTACAACTGATGAGTAGGAGTGAATGATCCCACAGCCGAGTGGCCGACGTGAAGATCCCGCCAAGGCGTGGGTCAAGCACGTGACCTGCTCTGACCAATCACGTGAATGGATTATTGTGCCTTTCCTGGTTTAGACGGAACTGTTTTGGTGAACGAAAGTGCAAGTTCTGCTTAGTCAGATTAGAGTGGGCCCAAATACATACCGAACCCATACCAAGTACGAGGTATGTGGAGGCATCCTAGCATCGCATCAGCGTCCAACTTGAGAGAACCGCATGCCCAGAACATTTTAATGGAGACGATTTTGTCAATTTTCAACTATTGCTAAGCCTTTCAAGAGAAAGCACTGAAGTACCGCTCCTATCTCGGGAGCCATGCTGAAAGACGCAGATGGTGACTTCCGAAATCTATCGTATATTAGAAGCCATGAGCTATACAAGTCCGAGCTTACAAGTGTGGCTGCCCCGCCTCCCTATCTCTCACATACTCCTCAACGGTCGTCAACAGATCTTTCCCAGCATTGACGTCTCCATTGGCCTGGAGAGCTCGGGCATTGAACCCTGTATGCGTAATGACCTCTCTTCGTTTTCGTCGGCTGGCATAGGGACTATCATCATGGGATCTGATATAGTATCCAAGATCGGCGTCGTCATCCAGTTCCGTCTGTGAAAACCCATTGCCTAGCCAAGAGAACCGGTTTCCGGAGTACTTGATCTTTCAAAGATGTCAGCATGGTTCGAGGTGGGAGCCAGGGAGAACCACTTACCTCCCAGTCATCACCCCGGGGTTCCTTAAGCGCCTCGAGGTAGTGGAGCGTACTACCAGGCCACAGGGCTGAGACCCGGCCAGCAGCGGAGCCTGATTTGTACCAAGACCGACATTCTTCGATCCAGACAGTGTGCTGCATAAACTCCTGACAATGTTCCAAGAAGTCCGTGACCGCTTCGTTCTTTGGTGACATGGAGTGAATGTTTTCCGTCTGCCATCGATCGCAAAAGGACAGCATGTAGTCTGCCTGGGCCTCAATCGCGATCAAGACCGGACCGCTACCGATCGGACAATGCGGCCCCAGGAACTGGAAGTAGTTTGGCATATAGGGCGCTGCAAGCCCCAAATAGGACCGGGGTTCGAGAGCCCACTCATCCTGTAGATTCTTGCCCTCGAGACCGTACAGTGGGAATCGAGGCTTGAACGTGGTATCCTAGTCTTTGATTAGCCATAGTACTTTTATCTTGCGAGAGGGTGCCATACAAAACCGGTAGCACATATGAGAACATCGACTGGATACTCGATCCCATCATCGCACCTGCATCCTCTCTCCGTGATGGATTCAATCTCGCCATAGACGACCTTGACGTTGGGCTTGGAAAGCGTCTCCAGGTAATTAATGCCTGGAGTCAATCGACGGCAGCCAACCCCCCAAGTAGGGATCAGCTTCTCCTGCAGCCACGGGACATCTTTCAATTTTTCGCGCATCTGCCGGTCAAAGTCCGCCCGGGTCTTCTTCTGTAGCTCATGGTCCGGAAAGTAGATGCCGAGCATGCTGTTGTTGTTTGTCTCATTGGCCTTTCGCAGCAGCGTCAACACCTCTGGGTCGTTCTTGAACCGGTCCTTTTCTTCCTCGGTGTAAATGCGTTGTTCGGTGCCGAAGGGAGGAGATATCCAGGTTGGCTCTCGAATAAAAGTCGTCAGTTGATCGACGATTGGCTGAATGGCTGGGAGAATCTGAATGCCAGAAGAACTACGCACGGTTCAGTGAAAACGGTTCCTCCAAATGGTCAACGTGGCTACACATACCCGTTCCCGATGAGCCCAACGTGCTTGCCGGTAAGGTCCAAGCTCTCATCCCAGTTGGCGCTATGCACCAGGGTTCCCTTGTACTTCTCCAGGCCTGGAATGGCGGGCCATCTCCAGTTGTTGAGGATTCCACTGGCATTGATCAAGATGTCGCATTCATGATACTCGATACGCTGGTGGGCAAGATCTTCGACTTGAAGCTTCCAGATGCCCTTTTGATCGTCCCATGTTGCTCCGACCACCTTGTGACTCGTCTTGCAGTACTTCTCAAGGCCGTGCGTGGCCATGAAATCATTGAAGTACGAGTAGATTTCCTGAGCGGGCGCATAGACGCGCGACCAGTCATGTTTGGGCGCAAACGACCAAGTGTAATTATGTGCCTGGACGTCACAAGCCACTCTGAGACGGAGGTTAGCAGCTGAATGACTGACCAACGAAGCATCGGCGGTCAAGGCCAAATCATGGCCTGGAACCGAGACCAGGCACAGTAGTGGGCACTCACCCAGGGTATCTGTTTTCGTACCAAGTTCCTGACACTTCCGGGTTCTTCTCAAAGACAGTTAATGAAAAGTTGGAAAACGACCGTTGCAGTTTGTACGCAAAGCAAAGTCCAGAAGCGCCGAAACCAATGCAGACGATGCGCATATGCCGCTCCGAGTGGATGGGGAGCTTGTTTCCAGACATGTTGGGGTAACGCAGTAGCACACGGGAATGGTCGAAGAAAGCTCAGTCGAAAGAATGTCTAGGGCTTCAAAAATTTGTTGACTGGAAAGGTAGCATGTGTATTTTATTGAAGACGGTCGACAGCCTTGCGGGGTGCCTCTATCAGGCTGAAGGGTGGGAGGGGCTGTCGGCCGGCAAACCTCAATGAGGCGGACGGGCAATGCACATTGCACAAGCGCTCAACTCTGTCCAGGAACCGCTGAGTCCCGCTGACCTAGTGGCGACGTCCTTTGCCGGATGTATGGGACTCTGTGTACAGACACTCGAGTGAGGGCGCCACTCCATAGCCGACGGCAATTAATGCCTCTTACACTTTTACAGCGGCCGTTAAGCAACGGTGCAGGGTCTGGATTTTGCTTGTATGGATGACGACCTAGAATGTATGGGTCTAGACCACTAGACCGATTTCATCTGGCGAGATATCCTCCATCAACGGGGAGCGGGATCCCCGTCACCCATGCAGCATCGTCACTGGCAAGGAACACGGCTGCTTTTGCAATGTCTTCAGGCTTTCCAATCCCCCCCAAGGGGTGCTTAGCAGAGATCTCTTCCAGCTGACTTTTCCCATCTTCCTCCAAGAGCGGACCTAGAAGGGTTGTCATGGTGAATCCCGGACAGATGGCGTTGCAATGCTGGTGTTTTCCTATTAGCGTTCCACTTCTTTCTTTAGAGACGAGGAGTCTGACTTACAATACCCTTGGAGGCATATTCAAGAGCAATCTGGACATGTAGGTTAGAAGTCTGTACAAGCAGCAACTCTGTGGACAAATCTGCCTACCGTTTTTGTCATTTGCATGACTGCGCCTTTGCTGGCAACGTAGCTGATGGACCCAGGCATTCCGCCAAAGCTCAAAACACTCGCGATGTTGATGACTGCAACAACGATGGTGTTAGTGATTAGATTTTCATTTGCACGACAGACAGTTTTGGTTGCGAGGCCTCACTCCATCCACGATCGGACCCGAATTTCGGTGTCTGCGTCAACATCTGCTCCACGGCGTATTTGCATCCCAGAAAAACACCTCTCACATTGACGCGAAGGGTGTCGTCAAACTCGTTCAGGTCGGTTTCGTGCATTTGGCGGAACCCTCGACGCGCCTCATAGGATATTCCGGCGTTGTTGACCAAGCTGATGCAGAATCTTGTCAGTGGATTTTCGCGACCTGGCATTTTGCACGATGCTCTCTCACACATCAAGTCGGCCGAATTCCCTGACAGCTGTCGTCACCGCTGCCTTCATATGTTCAGGTTCCGAGACGTCACATTTGACAAAGATCGCCTTTCCACCTTGCGCCGCGATGACTTCGTGCGTGGGACGAGCGTCCTCTCCGGGTAAAAGTGCTCCTGCTTTGGGAGATAGATCTGCACAGACGATGTTTGCGCCTTCACCTGCGAATCTGCGTGCAATGGCGCGCCCCAGCCCTGACGAGGAGCCAGTGATGAGACATGTCCGTGCGGAGAGTCGGCCGATCATGGTGTAGACGAATGCCGTGAGGCTGGAACGTGTGATACGATACGCCTTTGAATTCCTCGGAAGAATCAAGATGCGTGCGAAAAAGAAACAAAAAACACGTTTCAGTTCAACTCTCACACTGCGATCCACTGTGAACGAAAAAAAAATTATATTTCGAAGATGCATGTCATGCAAAAAAACGTTGTCTGCATCCGGCAATTGTTCAGTTGCCGCAAGAGCCGCCGGCCGATCCTTGCTCCATCTCAAAATGCTCCAGTTCCCACCACTATGTCTGGGGTAAAAGCCTCTGATGTTGACACCTGTCTTGGGGAGTACAAACAACAAAAGTAATATCGACGGCGTACGGAAACTGCAAAGACAGAAATGACAAGCTCCGTGGCAGGGAAGACCGCTCTGGTCACTGGAGCCGGATCTGGTTGGTTTGGAGTCACCCATTTGCTCTTGTGCTTTGCCAGGGGAACTGAGACGATACGATAGGGATCAATCTTGCATTTGCACGTCTTCTGCTCTCACGCGGCTGCAACGTCGTGTTTGCAGACTTGTCTCTCCGGCCGGAAGCCCTCGAGCTCGTCAACGCCCACCAACGGCCCCCGGTGACAGCGCAAGCCGTCTTCCAAAAGACCGACGTGTCCTCGTGGAAAGATCTATCCGACACATACGAGCTAGCCAAGAGCCGCTTCGGGCGTGTCGACATTGTTTGTCCTGGTGCCGGCGTCTTTGAACCCGCCTGGAGCAGTTTCTGGAGACCGCCGGGGACGGACCCTGGAGTCGTCGACAGTGTGGCTTCCAACGGCTACAAATCGCTCGACATCAACTTGACCCACCCGATCCGGTTGACTCAGCTGGCCATCATGGACCAAGTGCGAGAGCTCAAGGCAGCCAAGGGAGGAGTGGACTCCGGTGTGCCGCCCCGGAGAACGGTGATTCACGTATCGAGTGTGAACGGCCAAGTGGCACCCTTGTGGACGCCCCTGTACAACACGGCGAAGCACGCACTCAATGGCTTTGTCCGCACCATGGGCCCTCTGGAGGGACGCTTGGGCATCAGAGTCGCCGCGGTGGCCCCGGGCCTGGTCAACACACCGATTTGGTCGACCTCCCCAGACAAGAGCGGCCCCCTCTCCCAAGATCCCGCCTGGGTCACCCCCGAAGAGGTGGCTCAAGTGATGCTCGACACAGTCGAAAAAGATCAAGTGAGCACTTCGCTCCGTGGCGACGCCGGAAGGGATGAAGCTACTGAGAAAGAAGGCCTGGTGCGCGTGGCCGGAGGATCTATTCTCGAAGTGTCAGGAAATCAAGTTCGAGATGTGGCGGCCTTCTTCGACCCCGGACCACAAGGCATTTCGTCTGAGGACTTTGACATGGAGAAGATGGAAAACAGCGTCTATCAAGCTCTGGAGAAAATAACCTGAATCGAATGGGTGAGAGAGAGAGAAAGAGAGAGAGCGCGCGCGAGGAAGGGATTGGTTACCCGGGACGCCCGCTTCTTACATCAACAGTTTTTTTCCTTCTGCTATTCTATCAGTAATTCATGTTGACGAGGATGGTCTTGGGCTCCGTAAACGCCCTTAACCCAGCCAGTCCCAGTTCCCTGCCAATTCCGCTCTGCTTGGAGCCTCCAAACGGGGCCGTCATGGCGAACAGGCTCACACAATTGATCCCGACCGTGCCAGCATCGAACTCCGAAGCCACCCTCAACGCCTTGTTGATGTCCTGTGTGAAGACGCCGGCCATCAGCCCGAACTCGGTGTCGTTGGACAACTCGATTATATCCTCTTCCGTCTTGAAGCTGTTGATCACGGCGACGGGGCCGAAAATCTCCTCCCTGTAGATCTCGGCATCCGACTTGACGTTGGTGAAGACGGTGGGTTCGAGGAAGTATCCCTGTTCATCGGTCCGCGTCAGTCAGGAGGTCCTCGTGTTGGCCTCACAGAACTGCTTGCTTACCTTGTCTCCGATCCTCTTGCCGCCGGTCAGTATCTGTCCTTCGTCCTTTTGCCCCCGCTCTATGAAGCCAGACACGCGCTGGAACTGTGCTTCGTCAATGAGCGGGCCGAGCTCGGTCTTGGGATCATCCGGATCGCCCATGACTTTGGCGCGCGCCTCGATCGCCTCCTTGTACTGCTTGAGGAAGCTTTCGTAGAGACCTTCTTGGACGTAGACTCTCGATCCCGCGAAACAGACCTGGCCGGTATTTGCCGTGATGGATCTGACCGCCCACTCCAAGGCGTTCTTCACGTCGCAGTCATTGAAGATGACGACGGGTGACTTCCCGCCGAGCTCCAAGGTGACTCTTTTCAAGTTACTCTTGGCGGCCAGCTCCTGGATCTTCTTCCCCGTAGACACCGAGCCCGTGAAGCTGACTTTGCGCACGCGCATGTGGCTGGCGAGCAGGGCGCCCGTCGAGCCGTCCCCAGACAGGATCTGGAAGACCCCGGGAGGAAACCCAGCCTGCTGGATGAGGGCGCCTATGGCGAGTGATCCCAGCGGAGTCTTCTCCGAGGGTTTCAGAATGAAACAGTTGCCGACCGCCAGAGCAGGCGCTGCCTTCATGCCGATGGACCCAATGGGCCCGTTCCAGGGGACGATGCCGGCCACGACGCCCAGGGGCTCATTGCGGACGATCTTGAGAAACCCGTCTTCTTGCGGGTATGTCTCTCCGGCAAGCTTGTCGACCCAGCCTGCGTAGTACCGGAAAGTCTGGCCTTTGTGAGCACGCATCCCGAACATTCAGGGGATCAGGAACAACGACATACCTCGACTGCGATCAGAATCTCGTGCTTCCCCCAGGTCTCAAACGGCGCTCCCAGAGTGATTCGCGTCAATTCACCCAGGACCTCGATGTTTTCTTCAATCAGATCCGCCAATTTCAGCATCAGGTCTCGTCTCTGGACCGCCTTCAATCGCTTCCACGCGGGGAGTGCCTTCTCCGCCGCTGCCACCGCTACATCGACGTCCTCCGGACCAGCCACGGACACTTTGTCCGACACGAGCGATCCGTCTTTCGGGTTGAAAACAGACAATGTCTTGCCAGACCGGGCAGGGACAAATTCATTGTCGATGAACAGGTCTGTCGGGAGCCGGTCGATGCTGAACTCGAGAGGAGCCATCGCTGGAATGGTGGCTGTGCGACTGGGGGAAGGTGAGGACTGAAAAAAGTTTTGGGTAGAGAAGGAAGAGAAGCCAAACTCCAGAAAAAGAGACGTGGTCAAAGCACCAATAGAGCCATGAGACGACTCTTCCTATACATCTTACGAAAGGCATCAAACGGCGAGGCCGTGTAGCTGGCAACGCACGGCATTGCCGGGTCCATCCATCCTGGATGTCCAGCTCAATAGCCGAAGGGGAGGGAAAGGCATGGCGAATGGCGACTGTCAGTTCCGCGGCCTCTTGGGGGTGTTGCCAGTCTACTGCCCGAACCGCTTGTCTAGGTGACACGAATCATTCTTTATTTTCTTGCTATTGCGTGGCCGTGAGACTCTTTTATCGCCCACGCCCTCCTCGAGAGCCCTTGTTGTTACATCCAGCACTAAAAGGTTCGAATAAAAACATTTGAATTGCATCACGCCCCCTATTGTTATTAGCTATGCCTGGTTTTACAAAACCCACAAAGACATGAGCTGCTTGACATCTTCCATTTGGGAAAATCGCTCTTGTGTCTGTTTTGCTTTTAAACACCACGAGAATCATGGGTATCAGGAAAGTAACTGGCCCTGAAATACTCAAAGGCTGAGGTCCATTTGGAGGATGTCAGGATCGAGATCGTCCAAAAAGTCAAACAGGTAGTTGACCTGTGACGACTCCATTCCCATGAACGGGATGTTGACCGTGTCCTCCAACAAGGCCGCAATCAAGGGACTGGTGTTCATCGTCACATAGGGAAACCGTTGCCGCCAGCTCGAGTCGGCGGTCGCAGTGATGTCGTTGAGCGTGGGCGACGCCTGTGCCTGGTCCACAACCTCTGGATGTCCGACAGCGTTGCCGAGTCCGAAAGAAGGCTGTATGTGAGTCCGGTCTGTTTCCAGAATTCTTTGAAAGCCAGTAAAGAACATCTTGGACGAATGCCACAGCAGCGCCATCTGTTTGAGGGCCGCGAGCAGAATAGAGATTTCAGCGTCCGCATGGGTCGTCAGCGCCTCAATACTTCGAGCATACAGCAGCGCGATGATTGAGATCGATATGTACCAGCCGGTCTGGCCGGGGAGATAACGCAGCGTTCCACGGGCAAGAATGTCTTGGAGAGTTCTGGACACGCACGAGGCGGCGATGATGGCCGTCATCGACGCCCGCGGTAGTTTGTCAGTAGTCTTCTGCAGGTGCAGCAGGATGGTCGTGGCCAGATAGGGGAGATGCAGCATGTGCACATCTCTATTGAAGTTGACCGTCCTGTCGTCAGAAATCGGCAGCTGGAGATGATCTGGTAGATCCCGTGGCCAATTCATTAGATCATTTGCTGGCGTGGACCCAGGCTCATGAATCTTCCCTTGGGCAATCGCTTTGCCCACTCGACCGATGATCTCGCAGAGCCTGACCCAGTGAACCCAGATCTCGGCTTTGGGGTCGTTGGGGTCGGGGAAATCCTCTACGGAAGCCATCCTCAGATCGGAATAGTCAGGATCTATTGCGCAAGGCCGGGCCTGCATAAGCGCAGTGAGACGGTCTCGGGCCTGGGAGAAGGGGGGAGGGTTAGCAGCGTGGCAACAGGTAGAACGATGGCTTACAAACAATGTCCACCATATCCGTCTTCGGAGTCCGTTGGTCTCTCCGGGCCTCAAGACATGTTCTGTGTTCTGTTCTCGATGGAGCCCGATTTCCTGGGCCAGCCTGATGGACGCCCCCATCCACCACCAATTGGTGTCGATACTTACGACGTTCGGGGGCCCTGAACTCCACCAATACAACAACATCACAGCACATATCCTAACCAAGGGTTGGTTCTCGTTGTTATCATAAAACAACTTCCGAAACCGCTGGAAGTGCTGGATAGGTTTGGGGTGCCGGATTAGTGGGGGACTGAGTTGACTGCCGAGAACAGCCAATGCCTCGCGCAACAATTGCGACTCTGAAAATTCTAGGCAGGTTTGCATGGTTTCCCGGTCCAAAATCGGACACCAGGTGTGGCAGTACTCGAAATACGTGTCAAGATAGCTCTCTTGTAACACGGGCATCAGGTGAGTCGACTGTAGATCCGTCGCATTCTCCTGAGAGTCTTCCGCGTCGTCTTCGGCCAATTCGTGCCTGAAGATGGACATATACCCGCTTTCTCCAAGGTACGCCGCACGGTGGCTGTTTCCTTGCGACGATAGACTCAACTGTCCAGGTGTTACGATTGCCTGGCTGGGATTGCGGCCATCCACAATGGGCTCTGCAACCGCTTCACGTGAAAGGCTCGTCTGGCTTGGCTGGTCATGGATGGCGCTCGACCATGCGTCGATGTCGGCCTGCCCATGATTGACTCGCCCTCCATTCCTGCTGTCCAAGGCTGGGGAAGGACCAGAGGTGCTCGGAGGCAGCACGTTAGGCCTGTCTCCCGGGGGCAAGACGGGGTCGACGGGGTCTGTTACGTGTGCTGGGGCTGCTTTGCGATCGCGTCTTCGGACAGTGCCTCGCTGTGAGGGCCGATAGCTGTGGGTTGGTCAGGTCAGTCCTAGCCAGTCGCAAGCAGGTGGCATCGCAGGCAGCTGCTCACCGGCATTCGGCAAATGCTTCAACACAACCTGAACATCGTTCTTGGAGTTGTCCGGGAACTACCTGCAGGTCACATCTGATCTGGATTCTAACAATTAACCACGGACACAACCAACAGTCTGCGGGATTGGACGCACTTTCTTATCGTGACAGCGAGTGCACACCACCGTCGCACGCTTATTGCGTTTCCTGTTCTCGATCCCCGGAGGATGGCTGTGAAGTGACATGATCATGCATCAAGTCCAGGTTCGCGTGGCACTCGATGCATTGCCGCATGGCGTAGGATGGTGACCCGAATAGCCAAAGCTGAACAGTGAGAAAAGAAAGACGGAGGGCTTTAAACCCAGCCATTGCCGTTGATGCCGTTAATTGCCGGAGTTGCCGGAGATGCCGGGGATACCCACATTTGCTCCTCCATCGGGTGGGGACGAGACGCTGAAGACTGATGGATGATTCAAACTCAGTGCCACGGATTCCTGACAGCTTCTGACAATTTCTGACAACTTGCCACAACCCCCTTGATTTCTAAGCTTCTTCATGACGAGATTGGCTATAAACTGGACCTGGACCATAGACCTGGCCAGTCTCGCCGGAATAGCACACATAACTTGCGGACTGCCACCACCATGCCTTCGGCCTGGCAAATAGCTCCATCAGAGCCCAAAGATTGGCGAACCACCGCCGGCATTGAGAATCTGCGTCTGGTCCATGATCTTCCCAAGCCGCGACCAGAGCCAGGCACAGCTCTAGTGCGGATCAAGGCCGCGGCGCTCAATGCACGAGATATGATGGTGATTTCACATGATCCCATCTACCCCATCAAAACAGAACCGTATCTGACTCCTTGTGCCGACGGTGCCGGAGTCGTCGAGGAAGTTGGGCCGGGAAGCACCTGGAAACCTGGAGATCGCGTCCTGCTCACTGCCATGCGCTGGATCGATGGCCATGTTCCTACGTTGGTCGAGTCTCAGGGCCTCGGGGCAGGGGCAATTCAAGGCACACTGCGAGAGTACGCGGTTGTGGTAGGTTCAACGCGGCATTCCCCAATCTTGTGTTTGATGATGCCGTGATATAGATACTGATCCTCTTCGCAAGGACGATAACCGACTGATTCGGGCTCCGGCACATCTCTCGTTTGCAGAAATGGCCGCCTTGCCTGCCGCAGCCGGCACTGCAGTCAACGCCCTTTTCTACGGACCCGAGCCCTTTCGCCCGGGCATGATGGTCATGACTCAAGGGACGGGTGGAGTCAGCGCGTGTGCGATCCAGATTGCCGCCGCCGCCGGAGCCACAGTGGTCGCCACGTCTTCATCCGACGAGAAGCTGAAGACGGCCAAGGCCCTGGGCGCCACGCATCTGATCAACTACACCAAGCACCCCGTGTGGTCAGAAGAGGTTCTCCGTGTGACCGACGGCAAGGGCGTCGACCACGTTCTAGATGTGGCCGGTGCCGGGACAATTGAGCAATCCCTCCTGTCGGTCAAACACGGTGGACTCGTATCCGTCATTGGGTTCTTGTCCGACAGTAAGCCTACCGACATCATCCCTCCGTTGCTGTTCGGGGCAAAGACCATGCGTGCCATCTTCCAGGTTCGGAACGACATGGCGCAGAAGATGGCCGAGCTTTACGAAGAGCACCAGCTCCGGCCACCCGTGGCGGCGGTGTACAAGTGGGAGGAGGCCAAGGAAGCATTCAAGGCTCTCCATGTCCAGTCGGCAATTGGGAAGATTGTCGTAGAGGTCGGCTCGTCATAGTCCGTAGAACCTTGGATATAGCAAAGAAATGCAATCACTGAGGCCATTGTTCCAGATCCCTGTCCCTTTCCTCCGCAATCCTCCCCCAGTTGTCAAAGATTCTGCGTTTTTGACTTTTCTATCCTCCCCACCCCCCGGCAAACCGGCAAACCCGCAACGGCCCCAGGGTTTCTCCAGTCTGGCAATGAGAGAAGCTCCCGCATTCCCGCAAAGGCTTAAAAGGGGGATTGACATCACGACAAACAAGTGCTTGGACTTTGATCAATCTCTACTCAACCTTTGCCTTGTAAGATCTCGGTCAATTTCCCCACGACGTGTTGAACCGTCGGTCACAAGTCTTCAGGGCGAGCGATGGCGGCCATGACAGAGGCACCTTCAGTTGCCCACCATGTCGGTGGTCGGCAGTTTCAGTTCTACAACATCATCATGATCCTCGCCATGGGCTTTGGCTCCATCAGTTACGGCTACTCTGCGGGCGTCATATCGCAGACTCTGGGCCAGCCGTCGTTCCAGAAATACTTTGACCTCGACACGCGCTCCGACGCCACGGACATCATCGGCCTCATGAATTCTCTATACCAGGCGGGAGGGTTCTTCGGGACCTTCTGCGTGTCGTGGGTGGCCGATAGATGGGGGAGACGAGCTGGGATTGCTATCCCCTCTATCATCAATGTGGTCGCAGGTGCGCTCCTGGCCGGCAGTGTCCACGTCGGCATGTTCATCTTCTCCCGGTTCATGGCTGGACTGGCGGCGTATTGGATCGTGTCGGCCGTGCCGGTGCTCATGACCGAGGTGGCACCCCCCAATGTTCGAGGCATCCTCGTCAACGTCCACGGAGCCATGATCATCTTCGGGTTCGCTCTGTCCAACTGGGTGGGTTTTGGGTTCTATCACATCGACCAATGGCGGGCGCCGCTCGCCTTCCAGTGTCTGCCCTCGATCCTCCTTTTGCTGGTCATCATCAAGGTCCCGGAGTCGCCTCGCTGGTTGATCATGCAGGACCGATCCGAGGAAGCCCTGAGGATCTTGCAGAAACTCCACATCCCGACCGAGGCGCAAGTCGAGTATGCGCAGATCCAGAGACAGGTCCTCACGGATCGCGGGCTCGCAACCTCCTGGTGGGCCATGTTTACCAAACCTACCTACCGGAAGAGGTCGTTCATGGGGCTTTTCGTGACGGTGGGCATCCAGATGACCGGCCCGTTCGTCATGAACAACTACGGTCCAACACTCTATCGAGGCCTCGGCTATGACACGGACAAGCAACTGGTCTATCAGGTCGGCTGGATTACCGTGGCTTTCGGCGGTGCCTTGGCGTCCCTGTTCGCCATCGAAATGGTCTCACGCCCGGCCATCATCGCGGGCGGGATTCTCGGATGCGTGGCGTGTCTGACGGTCGAATGCGCCCTAGTCGCCAGCTATGCCACCAGTGCCGGCGACCTGGCGAATCCGAACCCGGACGCGCTGAGGGCGGCCGTTTCCATGCTCTTCCTCTACATCTTCTGGTTCGAGATGACGGTCGACGGAGGCCAATTCGTGTACTTGGGCGAAATCTTCCCGACCCATCTCCGGGCCAAGGGCATCGCACTGGGCATGGCGGGCCTCTGTGCCACCAACATCGTCTGGCTCCAGGTGGCGCCACTGGCCTTCTCCAGCATTGGCTGGAAGTTCTACCTCTGCTTCGTCGTCCCGGGCTTTCTCTGCGGAGTCGTCATCTGGGTCTTCTTCCCCGAGACTCGGGGTGTGCCTCTCGAGAGCATCGCGGCCATTTTCGGGGACAGTGCCGAGCTGTACGACTTTACCCTGCAGGGAAAACAGGATGAGGAACATGCCGAGATCGAGGTCAGCGTCGCGGACAAGGCTGAAGCGACGGTAACGAGCAAACATTTTGAAAACGCCTAAGAAAAGATTAGTCAGGCCGTGCTGCAAATGGCGGTTTCTGCCCTTCGGTTTTCCACTGGGATGAGATGCATTCCAGAAATCTCACGACAATATATATCACAGTCGTTACTCCATAGCACGGACCTGAATATTAGCTTCAGCTTCGTGGTCAATTTCACATATTTTACCCAATAGTCCGTTCATACTCCGGAATACAGACCAGACTTTGTATAGTCCAAGCCTCGCTCTCAAGAGTTAGAAAACTGATTCATCCATCCATCCCGCTCCTTCGCCAGCTGCCAGCCTTGTCACATGCCCGGTCCCTGGGCTCCGGCATACTAAATCGTGGATCACAAGTGTCCTGACCTGACTGATGTGTGTCCAGGTCCTCTGTGCTTTGGCCTCGATCCCGATCATGATTGGCATTGGACTCAACTACAAAGTGCACGCAGGGGAAGCCGGAGCGAGTAGCGAGCGAACCATGTTTTCATCCAACCCAGATCTTGGACCTTGCATGGTGTTGACGAGGTAAGCCCCGATCTAGCGGCCAATTTCATCGTACCCGGTCGTCTTCACCAAGTATGTTGATACGTTTGCCCATAACAGCGCGTGATCTAGTGCACGAGCCGTGGACTCGACATATTGACGCGCATTTGGTGCAGACACCTTGGCCGGGCCATATTAAGACATTGCTGTGACGCCATTGCCAAAGAACTCAACTACGAAGGAGAGCTGACAGTGGTCATTGGGAAAGACGTGAAGAACCTGAAGCCCGAGGACGACCCCCTGGACTACGGTCCTCGGATTCACCGTGGGCAAAGATGTCTCTTCCCGGTTCTGGCGGTGGCCGGCATGGGCTCCTTGGGGTGTTTGAACGCCCTTGAACACGTGGGGCACCGAAGTGTGGAGAATATACAAGAGTTGGAAGATGTGTTGTCCGATTCGGCACAAAGTGGAGTCCCCTCCCCAGACCCCGGCCTCTCGGTTAAAACCCCTCTAGAGAATGTCCTTTCACGACCAAAAGCTCGCTCCGAGAGGTAGTACTCAAGTGCTGTGAATAGAAGCACTGCAGGCCTTCCCAGCAGCAGTCCGCGCACGGTCTCTAGGGGATTTACCCCCTTCCCATTTTTTCTTGTCCACAGTTCAACCCAGTCAGTTCCTTTGGTTGGAAAAAGGGTGGTGCCAGTCATGTCCTTCGTGGCAAAAGACGTGCGCGTCTTGGACGGGGAAAGTGTCCTGGAGAATGCGAGCGTTCTCGTCGAAAATGGCATCATCTCCAAGATAGGCACCGACCTGGTGGACGCCGCCGGGCTGCCGGTGTACTGGAAGCCGGGCCATACATGCTCCCGGGTTTGATCGATGCGCACTGTCACCCGTATCGCGAGCCACGCCTAGGGGAACAATCGTTTCGCTTCGGTATCACGACACTCATGAACATGCACAACACCCATGCCAACGCGCAGTTGCAGAAGCAGTGGGCAAAAGAGCGGAAAGATTACCCGGATGTCAAGAAGCGTCACTTTTCGGCCATCAGCGACGGGTGGACTATATCGAACTCATGCACGAGGGTGGCCGAGCCATTGAACAGAGCGGTATCATGCAAACGAAAGAAGCGGTGCAAGCTGCTGTGGTCAAGCCCAAGTGGGAGTATGCGATTGACAGCGTAAGACAGTTGAAGGCCGTCGGGATCGATATTATCTGGCAAGTCACACCTTCCTGGCCCACCCACTAGGTCTGTCTTCTCGTGCCGACCTCTCCGACCTGCTGAACATCCGAGAGATTTGGAGAGATGGCATCTGATTCGAGGGCCACGCTGGTTTGAAATAAGTCACAGGAACGCCCTGTGAGATTCGAGCCTTCTATCTTTCAATACTGAGTGCGAGGTAGAAAGAGGGCCAGTGAAGAGGATGAGCCAATGTAAAAGTCGCACTTGAGCTCCGAGTATTTAACAACGCTTGAGCCGCAAACAGAAGGTTGAGCGAATGGTGATGAAGAAACGCCACATGAGTGGCGCAGTGGATCTGTGGCAGCAACTGAGTCCTCTGAAAGTGAAGACCCCTCCGTAAGGATCTAAAGTTGGGATCTTCCTAGTCGTCGCCAATTATGGAATTCATCTTGGGACGGGACATACTTGCTGCAAGGGTGAAAGCGAGGAGAAGGTGAGCAGTCGCGAGTAATGTCGCCTTCAAAGCGGCGCCGTCTCGGTGGGCGTGCCAAGCACTTGAGGGCAATTCAACCATTAATTATTGGTTGTGCTGCCAAGATTTCACTTTGCCTGCGGTTCGTAGTTTCTGGCTTCCGCCCGTCGAGTCGCTGGACTTTGAGGTTGCGCAGAATCTTTAGCCATTTGGCAGATCAAACATACAGCCCTCGAAGAGGCAGAGGCTCGTGAGGGAACCGTGAAGAGGATTGGGAATATTCGGGGTCTGCGACTTATCATGGCCGACGAATTGGCGGTATGCTTCACCGCCCTGCGCCACTGATGGAAATTTGACTGATCTCGCTGTAGGAGCGGCTCAAGAGCCACGCACGGTCCTTTGACAGTCTACTCTCCCTGATCCCTGCGAAACTCTACTATGGAGAGGATGTCAGCGTACGTACTATGAAGAATGTCCTATACTCAAAAACACACTCTCACACTCCAGCCAGGATCAATGGAAAAGAAAAAAGCAGACTCCGGAGCAGAAGCGGGCTGCAAAAATGGCCAAACTCGACCCGGATAATTGGAAAAGCGCAAAGGACATAGTCGATGAGAGGGCAGCAGCCGCAGCAATGAAGCGGAAACGAGACGATGAAGAAGACGAGCCTGACGAAAACTCAAACCTGCTCGAAGGTGGCCAGGTGGAACCGCCAAAGGCTGTTCAAGATGCACAAGCGCCCAAACCGAAAAAACAAAAGACCGACGGTAAAGATGTAGAAGGAACAACCAAACCCGACGGCGTCGACGAGTCACAAGAAGACAAACGGCGCAGGAAAGCGGAGGAAAGGGCCGCGAAAAGACAACGGAAAAAAGAGAGAAAGGACAAGGCTAAGCAGAAGCTGGAACGACAAAAGGCCAAGAAGAAGGAAGCGCAACAACCTCATGACCCTCAGAAGGAAGCCCTCAAGAAAGAAGTGAAGAAGGAATTAAATCTCCAGATCCCGGTTGATCTTCAAGTGAGCACTCAGCGAAAGAGCTCTCCTGATGCCGAGTCACCATCCACGGCGTCTTCCGAGGAGGAGCCAGAGGAGGTCTTCTCCCCACAGCACGAGTCCGGCACGTCTTCAACGTCGTCCATCCAACCTGCATCCATTGACGAGACTGTCAAAAATGTACATTCGAGTTCCCTACCACCAGCAAGTGCGCAGGCGATCAACAACCACGACGACGACACAACAACCAAAACACCGCGAGAACGGCTACAAGAAGCACTCTCTCAATTCCGCGCAGAGCGTAAGGCCGATGGTGGCGATGGTCGCCCACCAAAGAACCGACAAGAGCTGTTGGAACAACGACGCCGGAAGGAAGAGGCCAAGAAGGCAGCTAAGAAAGAACAAAAACGTCGAGAAAAGGAGGAAGAAGCTCGCCGTCAAGATGAGGAGATTGCAAGGCACTTCTCGCCGGGTGGTTCGGGCTCCCTGCTTGCGTCACCCCGGTCTCCCATGATTGGGGACAACGGTGGCTCCTCTCCAAACTCGAATTCCGCCAACAACTTTACGTTTGGCCGCATCACTTTCGAGGATGGCACCCATTTGGAGCCCTCGTCAACAGCTGTTGTGGAGGAACACAAAAAGAAAGGCATCCGTGACACTGCCACGGAGCTGAAACTCGCCGAAGCGAAAAAGGCTCGCCTAGCGGGTTTGGATGAGCAGAAACGGCTTGAAATTGAGCAAAAAGATATGTGGTTGAATGCCAAACGACGTGCCCATGGCGAACACGTGCGGGACAACACGTCTCTGCTCAAGAAAGCACTCAAAAGGCAACAGGGCCAGAAGAAGAAGAGTGAGAGGGAGTGGAATGATCGGTTGGAAGGGGTGAAAAAGGCACAAGACGCGAAGCAGAAGAAGCGGGTTGAGAATTTGGCCAAGAGGAAGGAGGAAAAAGGTTCGAAGAAAACAAAAGTCAAGAGGCCAGGCTTCGAGGGAAGTTTCAAGGGAAGGACAGGTGGGAAAAGAAAATCGTGATTGAAATCCTTAATGATCTAGAGGTGCGAAGCAATGATACGGTAGTCAAGTCAAGGTCATTCTTCCATCCTATCATCTCTTGACATTTAGTGCCTGGCTTGAGGATGGGGAACCCCTAAGCTGCCTCCATCAACTTGCCGTCGGCTGTCCTGCATGGCAAAGTCGATGGACAGCGAGGACTTGCGTTCAGATGAGCTTGTGGCAGATATGAGATGATGTCTGATAACTACGAAAACAAATTCCTATTGAATATATGAGTTACTGGTAAGATTCAAAGTAAAGGGGCAGGTATGCAGCAGCTGAAGCGATGTCCTCATCAAGTCGAGAGTTTCCATGCGCTGCAATTCTCCGGTTCGTGGCTTGGTGGCTGAGGCGCGGATATTTCTCATACACCAACCAGGCTATCGTTGCCATCGTTCTCGCAAGGGTCATGGTGGAGTGTTGCGCACAGGAAATCGATGTGAGGTGATGAGTCTCTACAGCAAACACGTTGCCTTTACAACCCCGAATGCCTTGTGCTGTGCTGACCGGTGCTTGTGGACCTTGTAGAACAATCTGAATAAAGGCCATGTAAAGTGAGCTTGATTCACCTGCTGCACCGCTTGCGTGTCGGTGAGAAGCTCGGAGGTGCAGGGCGTACAAGGCTGGAAGCAGGGTCTTTCACCGCACCCTTTCATCTCGCCTTTATTCTACACAAGGACACTTCGAACCTGATGCCTGTGATAATATCAATTTCAGTCAATCAAGAGGACGATACAAACAAGCAAAAGTCCCTCGATGCCTGTGAGACAGCGATTTGGGTCTTGTAGCACTGTGGTATCTCCATGACCGGGTGCCACATGGTCGAGGGTAATCCCCAGATCAGACTACCACGCGATCAATGAGGCGTTGGGAGGACAGATACTCGGCAACTAACAGGACCTGACCGACCTTGTGTGAGGGACTCAGAGGACAGGATGAGAGGAATTGCGGTCAATCGCGGCGGTGCGTTGCAGCTGAATCTCGATGACGTATTTGATGGAACAGAAACGGCTTCGAGAAGGTTGCCAGAACAGGTTTAGCTCCAAGGCTGGGACAAAGCCTTGTGGTTAGCAAATATTCCCACTTCAACAATGGGAGCTTTTGTGTCGTTCATGGCTCATGCTCACACGCAAGGCTGATGTTTCTATGGTCAACATTGCAAACTTCAGGCATGGAGCTGTGACCCCAGACCGGTGTGCATACATCCGTCTCCCCTTGCAGGGAACCCACAACAGGGAATGCCACGGTTCCTTCTCACATGAAACCCTGCACACAAGCGCCGAAAAGGTCCAATCCCTGACTGCGAGCTGACTAGTACACCATCAACTTACATAGCCTGTCCAAGTGGAGGGAGTTCATCGTCATTGAAAGCGTAATGGACAATGCATTCCAAAAACAGCGCTTGGACCAATTCGGGTGCCTCCCCCATCACACCTCGTCGGAATACACGCAATGACCGGTGAGGATGGCACATCACAGGACTAGAGCCTTTGGGCAAGATAGATTCTCGCTTGGTCACATGTGCGGCTGAAGCAGGACAATGGGCGGTCATGGTAAGAGAGATCCGTGCTCACACTCTTTCACGAGATTATATATATCTGATCTGAGACTCTCGCAGTCTCAGTGCCTCATCCACCAGACTTTACTCAAGACATATCTTCATCATAACCCAGCAACAACCCTCTCAGCAACAACAAAATGGCAGCCGAAGCACCACTAATCAAGCGCCAGAGAAACTACAAGGTAGCTGGTACCTTGATCGGATCCTACAAGATCCAAAAAGGTGACACTTTCAGTGCCATCGCCTCCGACCAAGAGCTCGACCTCCACGCCGTCCTCGCTGCCAATCCAGGCGTCGACGCCGATCACCTCGAGGTCGGACAAGACATCAATTTACCAACCAAGACGTTGGAACTCCTGTTCAGCCTTCACGATGTCGCCCGTGTTCTTGGTGTCTCTCTCAAAGAACTTCAGTCAGATAATCCTGGGATCCCCACGGAGATCTCCATCAACGAGGTCATTAAAGGTCCCAGCCTTCCCGAGGGAGATGGGGAAATGATCGCCCAGGAGGTCTCTGCAGCACTCCCAGGCGGCAGCGGTGGCGGGAAGGGAGGCGGTGCCTATGCCAATTACAGCGGACCTGCCTCCAAGTTTCCTCCAACTTCGCAGTGGGCATCATACTCTGCGCTGTGGAGCAGTAACTCCAAGCTGATGAAGTACAACGACTCCGACTCTGAGATTGCCAACATCAAAACCGCCATCGAAACGGTCGCCCGCGAATCCCAGGTCGATGTCCGCGTGATCCTTTGCACCATCATGCAAGAATCTGGTGGGAATGTGCGCGTTCACACCACCGTGTCGCCAGATGGAACGGTCCGCAACCCGGGGATCATGCAGTCTCACAACGGCGCCGAGTTCAATCCTCAACAGGCCGCGCAGAGCATCTTGCAGATGGTCCGAGACGGGACCGAGGGGACCAAGTCCGGCGATGGATTAAAGCAGTGCTTCCAGCATCAAGGGAACTGGTACGCAGCGCTACGGGAGTATAACTCGGGCAGAGTCGACGTCAACGACCTCAACAACGGAATGGGCGCCACAGGCGGTTATGTCAGGGATGTGGCGAATCGGTTGATGGGTCACGTTTGGAATGGGATGTAAGATGAGGAGCGTACCAGCTATTTAATGGAGCAGTATTTGTTATATGTATGTGACGGGATGAGCACCGGATGGGGAGTAGTAGAAAGGATAGACAGTGGGAGGTGGAAGACACTTACGTCTCTCGTTTTACATCAGAATCAGAATTCAGCTTCGTGGTCACTTGATCTTGTCATTGGTTTTCTCTCATGGGTATACTCTGATTCCCTGAGATAGCGCTCAAAATCATACACCACCAGACCAATGTTTTTGGGCGGTCGTCGAATCCCCTCTACTTCTCGCAAACTTGCTTCTAGTAGTCTGTCTCATATATATCGTATTTAGAACCAGCATCGACAATACATATGTAGATGAGCCAGCCTAACCATATCGTATTCCGCCGTTCCCAACAGCAGGAACACACGAAGACCAAACAAGGCTCCACGCAGAAAGGGGTGATCAGCCAATTCCCAGTCCCAAGGATGGCGTGATCCGCGCTAACGAGCACTAGCGGCTCTAACAATGGCGGTCTGGCCAATGGCCTTGCCGCATTTCGAACTTGAACTGCAAATACGGGGTATTTAATGCAGGATACGTATAATAGTATCGTGTCTATAGATGGTTGAGATATCAGATCGTGTAGCCTCGTGTCGTGTATCTCGCTGAACTTGATATCATTCCATCGTTTTCTTTTTCGCAAAACATCATCAAAGTGACTTACTTGTTTGGACAAAGCGGACCTTTCCGACGAGATTTACCGACGGAAGTATTTCCGCCGGCGAGCACGAAAATTCAAAGGAGGCAGCGACTTTTGTTCCGGTCATCCGACCTCGCACCTCGTACCCTTTTTGAGGCAAGAGCTCGCTCTGGCTCTGGCTCTGGCTCTGGATCTTACTCGGGGGCCTGTCAGGTAAGCCCTGAAACAAAACAACGCCCTTGGCTCCGGACAGCCGTGACGGAGGTTGCAACTCATTCGGGGACCAGCGCGACTAGGTACGTGCGAATTACGAGTACATCCGACTTTTCTGGTGGAGACTCGGGGATTAAAACATCACTGCTGTTATGGTATTGATCGAGGCCACCATCCACTCTGTACTGGTACTTGTGCTTGTACATGTCCTTGTCCTTGTACGGTATTATGCGTCACTCCCGCGTACGTGGGACATCATCGCGTAGCCACACCACACCACACCCCACCCACTTTTGCGGCGTCCATACATAGATAGATAAGAATGAGCAAGTTTTGATGTTTGGATTCACCAATGTAAAAGGTAAGTGAGGGTCCGGGTCAGTTGTACCTAACTCCACATCACTGCATGGGTTTTCTACTCCAGAGTTTCGTTTCTTGTAGGCCGCATCTGTAAGCCTGCCTTGGATGTTGGAAAACAGAATTCTAGGCGACCTCTCGCGGATGTTCGGAATTTTGAGCATCAGAAGCCAGGATCGCATTGTCTGTCATTACGCACTAATGGTAGGACTCTTGTCTGCTGTCGAGGATGACAGGGGGCCGTCACGTATGAGAATACGTATGGGTAATAATACCGAACCAGAACTGGAATTTAATCAAGTATGCGAAAGTCATGCCACGGAGGGATATGAATTCAGACTGTTGAAGTCATTAGGTGCTGATCCTTCAGCTCTAAACCTCCACCTCCACCGCCACCGCAAATACAGGTACAGGATTAATGCTAAAGCGAAAGTAAACTCAGAGTCCGCATACGCCAGCCCGTCCCAATCACCACTCCAAGCTCTTCGGCTTCAGCGGGAGGTGCAACAATCGCAGTCCAGCATCCGTCGGCTTGGGAAGGTTGCCAGCCCGGATATTCATCTGCAGGGACTGGTGTATCAGCCTGGGCGCCGCCAGCCCCGCGTCCCGTTCGTTCCGCATGGCCACAAAGTCCTCCTCGGTGGTGCCGTCCTTCAAGTGCTTATTGCGTTGCCGGTGCTGCTCGACCGTCATCCAAGGCACAGGAGCATCGCGCCCCGCGGGCGGATAGTCGTGGCCGGTCCAGATCTTGACGTGGTCTGGTAAGGAGAGCAGCCTCCGGCCCGATTGGAAGAGATCCCTGGCGCTGCCGCCGGGAAAATCGCAGCGTGCGGTGCCTATGTCTGCGTGGAAGATGGAGTCGCCGCAGAATACATTATCTTGGATACACAAACGTTAGTTGGATGAATGCGTAGCAGAAAAACACGATCGCATGGCTTAATGTGGGACAACACTCACCTCCGATCTTGTACCCAAGGTGGTCCGGAGTATGACCTGGGAGGTGCAGGGCCGTTGCACTCAAGTTTCCAATGTTGAATGTCTCATCGTCCTCGAATAACTTATTGAATAGACCTTCGTATTCTTCCGGGGGCACTCCATATCTGTTTGCAAACAATTTCTGTACCCGGCCGATACGCTTTCCTATCCCAACGATGGGAATTCGATCTTGCTCCTGGGCCAAGCGATGCTGGAGATACGATGATGCAGTAAGATGGTCCGCATGTGCGTGTGTTTCGAGAATCATGTCGACAGTGTAGCCTTTGTCCTTGATCAACGCAAGCAGAGTGTCGGCGCTCTGGGTGGTGAGGGCCTGGGTGGCCGGATCATAATCCAACACGGGGTCGATGATGACCGCTGCCTTTGTGGCTGGATCTGCAACCACGTACTGCAATGTACCGGTCTTGGTTTCGAAGACGTCGTGGACAATGGGTTGCTGAGGCACAGCGGCTTCAGTATGGGGCAGAGACATCCCCCTCGTTCCCCGCGGCGTTGTGCTAGCAGATCGAGGGCTGCACGGCCCACAGCCTGCTACCATTCTCGAGATGTCGTTGCGGTGCGTGCTTTCAGTCAAAGATTTGTTTCTGGGAGATGTCTGGGTGGTATATGTAGCCGTTTGCTTGAGCTGATGAGCAGAACGACGAAATTGCCTGCCGGAATTGACGATGGTGGAAGGGCTTGCGGCATTCGGTTTCAAAGACAAACCCTTTGTCGCCTGAGAGGCGCTTGTGACACGATGGCGCAGAGACTGCATTTCCAGATGATTGTGGATTTTCCGATACTGAGATGGCATCGAGCGAGGACGTCTTCGTATAGTATTTGAAGTCGGGCTCAGAATCCCCAAAGAGGAAGAAGATGACGAGGGATCCACACCCCGACACTAGCACAAACTTAGAGCGGCGCTAGATGGAACTAACCAGCACTAGTCCCTAAATTACTATCTTTGTCATTTCATCGGGCTTCACGTATTGCCACACATTGTTGGCGGCCTCCTGAATTTCTAAAGCCTCGCCAATCTTTCGCCCAGGGGTATTTGGTAGGTTTGTGGCAAATACCCGGTCAAACCACTTGGAGAACAGGCCGTACTACATCCTCGGGGACCAGCAAAAGTACCCTTCCGGCCGTTAGATGACGTCTTGGAAATCCACTCTCCGGTGGAAATGTAAAGTGTATGACCTGACGCTGACACTCTATAGTCTCGACACGTGACCGGTATTTCTGCCTCGCTGACTTATCGCAAAACTTCTTCTCTCTCGCATCTTTTTTGGCCTGCTCTTTCCTTTCCTTCTCACCACAGTCCGATACACGACCTCGAGCTGAAATTCCGCCATGTTTCGCACAACCTTGACGTCCAAGGCTTGTAGCAATGGACTTTCGATTCTCTCCGCGCAGGCTGGCCCGACCAGCAGAACTTTCGCTACCGTCGCCCCAGTGAGTCCTGCTGCTCCAAGTCACAAGGTTGTCGTGGTGGGTGGTGGGAGTGCCGGTCTCGCCATCAGCCATCAGCTTCTCCGGACGGGGAGATTTGCGCAGAATGACATTGCCGTCGTCGACCCGGCCAAGTGGCACAACTACCAACCCGGGTGGACGTTGGTGGGTGGTGGACTCAAGACCAAGGAGGAGCTACGACAGCCGCTGAACAGTTTGCTCGACCCGAAGCTGAAGTTCTACAACGAGGGGGTCAACGCGTTTTCACCCAAGGAGAACTCGCTCACGCTCAGCAACGGCGACAAGGTCAGCTACGATCAACTCGTCGTCGTGCCGGGTATTGCTGTGAACTTCGGCTCTATCAAGGGCTTGCCCGAGGCCCTGGCCGATCCAAACTCGCTGGTCTCCTCCATCTACGGCTACGACACTTGCGGCAAGGTGTGGCCCACCATCAGCAAACTTCGGAAAGGCAACGCCATCTTCACGCAGCCCGCTGGCGTCATCAAATGCGCGGGCGCGCCGCAGAAGATCATGTGGCTCGCGCTGGATCACTGGAAGCGCAGCGGCCTTTACGACGCCGGCAAGGGCGCCGAGTCGCCCATCCAGATCAGCTTCGCCACCGCCCTGCCCGGCATGTTCGGCGTGCCCAAGTACAGCGCGCGGCTCAACGAGCTGCGGCTCGAACGGGGCGTCGAGGCCCTCTTTCAGCACGACCTCGTCGCCATCGAGGGCAACACGGCGACATTTTCCCGGCTCGACCAGAAAGACCAGGTCAAGAGACAATTTGACCTACTGCACGTGGTGCCCAAGATGGGGCCGCACGAGTTCGTCAAGAACAGCGCGCTGGCCAACGCGGCCGGGTTCGTCGACGTCGACGACGCCACGACGCAGCACACCACGTTCCCGAACGTCTGGTCGGCTGGCGACGCATCCAGCCTGCCCACATCCAAGACGGCCGCGGCCATCACAGCGCAGGCGCCCGTGCTGGTACAAAACCTGACGCGCGCGCTCGACGGCCAGAGCCCCGACGCCACGTACAACGGCTACACGTCCTGCCCGCTGACGACCGAGTACGGCAAGGTCATGCTCGCCGAGTTCCGGTACGGCGGCGAGCCGCACGAGACGTTTGGCCGCCTGGTCGGCGTCGACCAGGGCACGCCGCGCCGTGCCTTCTGGCACCTCAAAAAGGACTTTTTCCCCTGGGTCTACTACCAGGCCATGGTCAAGGGCACGTGGGGCGGACCGAAGGGGTGGCTTTGATTTAGTTATGCATTTCATTTCCCATCCGAGCAATTACTTACTTAGCTACCTGTCCGTATCCCACGGAGCCTATCGTCCCGACCCAAAGAGCGATACAATCGCAATGTCGCAAAAGAATCAAGCATTCATTGTCTATGACGGAGTGACAAACAGAGGAGAGACATCAAGTGTACTATATATAGATAGATAACTAGATAGAGACCCAAAAATAAAAAGTTCAATATCCGAGGCGTGAGTGATGGAGAGAGTGTTTGGTTCAGTCGAATGTTACACTTTTACACTTACGGTCTAGACTCTGGACCTGGATCTGGATCTGGATGTAAAGACACATATAGTATCAACGACCAAATGCGTGCGTATGTATATGCATATAGCGCAGTAATCAGTGACTAAGTTTTGAATTAATCACCGAGTACTAGATTGTTATTAGATACCTTTCAAGTCTATCCTCGCCCGTGTATACTTGTATACGTACAGGGCTTTGCAGTTTGACCCAACAATGAACGAGTTGACCGAGAGCAAATAAATATGCACAGCTCATAGCTCATATCTCCATCGATGTGCCCGGTAACAATTCTCTCTCGATATCAACGCCAGCATGAGACAATTCCTATGACTGTAAACAGATGGGTGTGGCTTGTCACTTTGACGGTGACAAGAACGTCTATCGACTCCGACAAGTCAAGACACATCCATGCGAGGGCGCTTCCACACAGTATTTCGCGTGAAAGTCTCGATGTGGTTGATCATCTCTACGACGCCAGTGTGTATGCGCTCCGCTGTCGGATCTTCGGCCCATACTTGTACAGGACCCAAGGTATGGGTAGCAAAGCAATAGTGACAAATCCCATGAGGCTGGTCGCCCAAGCGACGCCCATACCGCGGTACCTGCTTCGGTCAGCAACTAGCCGGCAAGTAATCACCAAGGGGTCTCTCAAACTCACATCTGCACCGTAAATAACGGGAACACCGCCCCAATGACGTATCTCAAAAACCCGTTCGCCGCGGCGGCGCTCGCACCCGTCAACGGCCCGTATGTGTCGATGAGATATAAGACGCAAGAGCAGAAAACTAGCAGATTGCCGATCCCAAATGGAATCGTTGCAATCACCGGCGAGATCCAGTGTATTTCTCTCTTGGCAGTCCATGCGAACCAGAACAACCCAATCGGCAGAAGGAACGAGCCAAGCATCGCCGCCCAAAGTCTCTCCTCAGGGGCCAGGGGTGTAAAGTCACCCTGTGATCGTCTTTTGAGTGTTTTCTTCCGGTATATCAAGCGGTCTATCCAGATGAAAATCAGGGTCGCCAAAGCAACACCCAGGCCGATTCCCAGAAAGACCAGCCCGGACTCACCGGTGTTGAAGTGGTAGATCTGAATCTCAGGGTAAGGCGACTGGAACACAACGGGAAAGGCGGCAAAGAACCCGAACAGGACGCTGAAGTTAAAGGCAGTGTAAATGCTGAAGAATGCGACGATAGATTCCGTGAACAACATCCGCAGCGGCCTCAGAAGAGTAACGACGAGAACGAACCGAAATTTCGACATCCCTGGAGGAAGCGGATTTGGTGGAGGCGGGAGACCCAGTTTCTGCGCACGTTCCTTCAAGATAATCTTCTTGTATGTTTCCCTCTGCGGAAGCGATATAGCGTAGGCGATAACACCCCAGAAAAGGATTAACCATTGTGTCCATCGCCAGCCTTTCTTCATGGTAACAAATCCACCCAAAGTAGGTCCTACAGCCAACAAAATTAGCTCAATGTTTTTTTTTTGATACGGATAGGGGGTTTTCCGGTAGTAACACACCCAAAGCGGGACCCAGAAATGGTGCCAGCAAAAACACTGCGCTGGCAACGGCTCGGTGAAGATGGGAGAACAGGTCGGAATTGGTGCCAGCCCCGACGGCCAGGCAGCCCGAGCCTAGGAGGCCTGCGAGGAGGCGGCAGACGACAAGAGAGGCGTACGATTTCGAGAAACCCGCGCCGAGCGACATGAGGAGGGACGGTGGGAAGAAGGATAAGTAGACTGCGCGACGTCCGTAGGTCTCTGAGAGCGGGGCACTGAGGACAGGGCCGAATCCCAGACCGATCACGTAGACAGTCAAAGGGACTATTGCTGCGGTAGTGCTAACGCCAAAGTGGCGGGCAACCTCCGGGACGCCTGGGTGAGTGTCAGTAAAGCAATCTCTTGTGAGGAGAGTCCATGCTCACTGGGGGTGTAGACCGAGGAACCAAAAGTCCTGTCACTGATTAGCCTTCTTGCAAGTGATTCAGCATCGGTTTCTCATATACACTGTGAAGCACTGTAGTGCAGGGACCAAGGTATGGTAGATTTTAATAGGCAGTGGCCAGTTCAGTGGATTGTCTGGGTCGTCTTCGCCGTCCCAATCTTGAGCCGTTGCTGGGACATGGTCGGGATTAGAGCGACCGCTTTTGCTAGTGCGATGGGAAGCTTTGCTTGTCGTCTTCTCAAGGTCAGGTTCAGGTCTCACAACGGGAACAGGGAGCGAGTGAGCAGAGGAGCTGTCGGATTCAGATTCGCCCATCTTTGCCGTCTCAGCGTTGTAATTTTCCTTGTCTTCGGACGGCATAGAGGGATTCGTGACGTTGAACGCAGAGTAACAAGAGGCAGAGTTGCCGTGGCCAATGTCACCCGAATGCTCAGAAGGGAACAGAAGATGCCAACAAGAGTGCTTCGAGATCCGCTGATCATATGTCACTTGGAAATTCGGCCACTTTTCGGATACGCAGGCCGTCCCAGGGGGTTTATATGGGTTGGTTGACCGCTCCGCCTCGCTGTCACACCATTTCTTGGGGATTGCGGTGACTAATGGATCCAGGCGCCATTCAAGGGTATATTTGTGAACGAACAAGACCCTTTGCTCAAAACTTACCTGGTTGATCGCGTTAAACGATAGTAAACACTGAAGGAACCCCGGTACATGGAGGACAGCATTATCTGGTTAGTGAACATCGGCTACCTTGGCAAGGGGATGCCTCGGGTCAGTGGGAGAGGCTGCAGAACATGGCAACGGAGTTTCGCCCTAAAGAGAAGTCAAGGCGCGGGCTGAACAATGTGGAAGACAAAATAGCAAGTGAAGGCGTAATGGGTCAGTGGCCAGGCCTCCATTGCGGTCCTGTCATTGGAGCAAACGAATTTGCCGTGTCCAATAACGACGTACTGGAGCCAATCATGCATCATGAAACAAGATCAGTAATCGAACAGATTAGATCGAGTTCAGGGTCTGCTGCTAGCAACTACGGCCGGAAACGAAGCCGATGGACACCGTATACTGCTGCAGAGTGTGGCAGTATACATAGGGCATGTTGAAGTGGTGAAAACAAAAGGGTGAGAAAGATGATGGAAGTGAGATGGAGACTGTAGGTGCATTTAAAGCGTCCAAGGAGGCGCCAGGCTGATCTGATATTGGTTTCCTAGACCGGCTAGTGTGACAGTGTGGTAGAGACACGAAGATGGTGAGATCTGAATGTTCCGAGGGCAACTCTGCCGATCAGCTGACTTAATTAGGAATGTTCTTCATTCTCTCACGTGATAATACCCCTCGGCCACCTCCCAAGCTCCTCCGTGCTCTTCTCAAAGAGACATGTGAATAAATTAAACACCCAAGAGGATGGAAAGATGGAGCACAGCAACATATAGCCCAGAGTGAAAAGTAGAAATCCATTTTCATTAGCTAATGGCCGCCCTTGGTATTCCATTGTTTCATTCAAGCCTACGCTTGCCTTTGATAGCCACCCTCCCTTCAGCCCGAGATCGACACTGACCACGACTGGCAGACAGCCTGGGTCTCAGTTCGCCCTTCTTCGAGCCAACTTTGTTCCCGAGGTCCTCGCTGTGTTTGCTTGGTCGTGGATATCTGGACTTTCTCATGGTCCAGTCACGCTATCCCAAAGACTCAACTACCCATACCGACACCCAGCTATGTCACAGTCTTTTGCTGGGTTAGAGGATCCATCTCCTCTGCGTTCTCGTACTCCTCTCGTCTCATGATACTCTCCACAGGTCCGAGCAACCGTTTGAATCCATCTCTTCCGAGCTTGGCCACGGTGACATTGTCCTTGGCCACCACGCTGGCAGCACGAGGCTTGTCATCCAGCAAGGCCAGCTCACCAAAGAAATCTCCACGGCCATACTCTTTGACCGGATGGTCCACGCCATGCTTGTATGCCACTGCATGTCCGGATTCCAGAAGATAGAAGGCATCGCCAGGTTCTCCCTCGGTGATGATGTTTTGCCCCGGCTCGTATTTGACTGTCTCCAAAGCATCGGCAATCTTGCTTCGCTCGTAGGGCTTCAGGGACGAGAGTAAAGGCACCTCGCCGAGGAACCCCTCGTACATTTCTCGCTTCTGGAAGGCATTGTTCATGAGAATTCGTCGGAAGGTGACACGATCAAGCGCCCATAGTAAGCCACCTTTAGACGAACTCACGACGGTCGCGGCTCGAGGAGCATTGTACATCAATGCCAGTTCACCAAAGCTACCCCCAGGTCCAATTGTCGCCACCTTGTTTCCCATGCCTTCTGGCCCCGCTTCAACAGCTCCGCTGGGGTTGATGTAGATGTCGAAATCTCCAGACTCGATGACGTAGAAGTAGTCTCCTTCATCGCCTTGGGTAATGACTTTGATGTTGGGCGCAGGGATGGTTTTCTCCATCAAGGCATCGAGCACGAGATTGAACGATTCTTCGTCGAGACTGGAGAACAAAAAGTTGCCAGCCACCGCGTGCCGGAGTCTCTCGTACTGCTCAGGCGTCTTGGGGTGTTTGGGAGGCTTCCAACTGCCCGAATCCGAGTCCGGCTGCATAGATTCGGCGGACACTGAGGTTCTGCGGCCTGCGGCATAGTTGTTGGGCAATGACTGGGCTTGTGGTTCCGTCTCCTCTGACGCTTGATTGCCTAACCAGTTGCCAAATAGGCCGCCGCTGGCTGCGCCTCCAGCTGCAGCACCAAAGCCAGAACCCCCAAAGGGAGACCGACCAGAATCACGAGCTTTGAAAGTGGCATCAGTTGGAGAGCCAAAGGTGTCACGTTCTTCGTCCTCCTCTTGTATGCTGTTCTTGGCTGCAAAAGGGCTACGGTTATCGAACGGGCCAGCGGTATCTGCCATCTTGCCGTTGGTGTTCGCGGTGGATTTTCCTGCTCTGTTTAAGGACCGCTCGAGTTCGAGCTGGCGATTGAAGTAATTGGCACAGTACTGGAGAGGGTCGTCGGGTTTAGCTTGTTTCAGGTCCTTGATCAGAGCATCAACAATGGCTTGGTGAGGAGGAGGAAGAGACATGGATATTTGCGGCAGAGGTTGAGGATGTGGGGGAGGACGTCGTTTGGGTGTGGGTATTCAGACCCCAGGGACCGCCTGCTACTGTCGTTGGCTTAAGCTCGGGTTAGGAGGATTTGCCTATGGGCGGACTCAACTGGCGGTCGTTTCGTGCTTGGAAGGGCACGGAAGGACCCTCTTTTGGGGAGGTAAGGTGGCCTGTCACCGACGAGGACCGTGAAACCGTGGGCCACAGACTTGACGGATTGCAGGACGGGTTTGTCTGTGAGACAAGTAGGGGGAAACAGGCGAGAATGGGCAAGGGCGGAATGCCTATCTCAGGCAATGAAGCGGCAGTCCGAAGGCCACTGGCAAACGGCGAGTTACGCTGGATTCTGCAGACAGTGGAGCGAACCAGCCCACGAGAGGGAGTGGTAGGTTGGTTGGCTGGTTCGAGGTGGTGAGGAAAAGAGAGCAAGTGGGGCAATGAGCAACTCTGAGGCGCAGATGACGCAGTGGAGGGGTAACCGAGGACCACTTTGGTTTGAAGGGCCAGAGATTGGATAGCACACGATCAAGCGGGTAGGCGAGAAAGCGAAAGCCGGGGGTTGAATATAAAAGAAAGGAAGAAGGGAACAGATGAGGAGGGGAATTGAAATGGGTTGGTAAAGTCTATTTTACAAGCTGCGCAACGCAGGCAACTGGCGAGTGGCTATTTAAACGTTACTCGATGGAGGGAACAAACAGCTCCTTCAGCTACTCCAGCAAACAGTATGTAATGTAGCTCAATGGAAGAAGAAAACAGGGCAAGAATAACCCAACCAGAAGATCTCACAGCACCACCGTTGAGCCAACACTCTTCTCTGTCATTCCTCCTTTCTCCTCCCCTTACCGTCCGCAGCATACCCCTCCCCTCAATTGGATTCAAAGCTCAAGCAGCTCCCTACCTCCGACCAGTCACAGCTAAGGAACCTGATAGGCGATGTCATCGCTACAGACGGTGCATCAACTAGGCGGTCAACGACGAGCCGAACCAGGCACTGATTGGCCTCGGAACGCCTGGTCGTGCAGCCACCGGATCACCTAGAAGGTTGCTTCCTGCACCCAGCAATGAAGGCGTGAAGGCCCAAGCAATCACAGGGTTGGATGACTGGCAGAGAATAGCAGGGTTAGAACAGAAAGGGCTTGAACCCGTACTCTACACACCCTGGGAGAAAAAAAAAGATTTGCTCTTGGGGCTGCAGATTCCCGGCTGTGCTGCATCAAGCTCCCACAGCTCCCACAGCTTCGACAGCTTCGAGAATCCTTCTGGGGCTTCTAGAACACTACGAGAACATCTCTCCCCTCCACCGTCCCAGCCAGTAGTTGACGATGAAATTGCCACAGCCGCATCAACGCATTCGGATTAGCCATTATCGAACCCCAAAAAGGTCCTTCTCTCTCCTAATACAAACACAACGGCAGGGGATATCTACAAGACAAACAAGTCCCAAATCAACACGAATCCGCTGTCCAAACCCCAGCGGGTGCGCCGACCCGTTCGCAATGCAATCCCAATTGCTCCCGCACCGCAAGCCCCCACACCCGTCCTCCACTTTCGCTGCGCACCTTCACTTGCTCTATCAAACTTCAGCCTTTTCCTGGTCTGTGTAACATCCCGCCGGCCTCTTTGGCATCTAGTCAAAGATCTTCTTGAAGAATGAGCTTACTCGGTGTTTCTTCTTCTTCTCCTTAGTCGCTGAGGACGAAGGTGTGGTGGCCGGAGAAGTTTCTGGTTTCTTAGTCGGCGTTGAAGTGGCGCTCGTGGGTGCTGCAGGTGCTGCGGCCTTGGCTTCCTCCTTCTTGGATTCTGGTGCCGCCGTCGTGGGTGCGGTGACTGTGGCCGGTTCGGTGGCGGTGGTGCCCGCAGCCGCGGCCACGGCAGGTTCCGCCGTTTCAGCCTCATTCTTGTTCATCAACTGCACCGCAGGCTCGTCGGCAAGTGTGGGATCCTCGGCGCCATCAGAGACCGCCGCCGCCGCAGACTCAGACACTCCAGGAGCTACACCTGCTGCATGTGGCGGCGCATATTCAGTTGTGTCTCCCTCCGTTTTCTCTGCCTCGACCTTGTGTGGCACAGCTTCTGTGGGCTCAACCGTCCCGTCGGCACCGTCAGCCACCGCGGCTGCAGCAGCTGAGGATGTCCCAGGAACAGGGCCGCCTGTTGAAGCTGGAGTGGCCGACGGCGCGGTCTCAGTCGTGGCAGCTGCAATCGTCGGTGCTGGCTCCCCGGCTTCTTCAACCTCGGGCACTTTTTTCACCAGTTCCTCTTCTACCTCCGCCTTCTCCTTGACAACTTCGGCAGACGTGGTGGCCTCGGGATCAACATGTGCCTCTGCGATTGACTCCTTGACCACCTCAGGCACCGTGGTTGTGATCGCTTGCGCATGGTCCACCTCAGTCGCCGGCTTGCTTTCTTCCAGAGGTACTTTGCCAGCCAACTCAGCCGTGGTTGACGACGCTCCAGCTGAACTGAGCAAAGGACCTGCGTCTAGTGAAGTTCCGGCGCCTGCTCCCATAGGCAAAGAAGATTCTGGGATCAGATTCTCCGTTTTGGCTGCGGCGCCTCCGAGACCTAGCGCGGCGAGCGCTCCTCCAATAATTGGAATACCCGAGCCTGCATTTTCGTAGTCTTCTTTTGACGTGGTCACTGCAGAGTGCGTTGTGTTGGTCGTGACTTCACCGGGTGGGGGAACCTTTTCGCCTGCAGGAAGGTCGACGGGATTGCCTGCGCCACTAGTGGGCGGCAAGGGATTGACGCCGAACGAGTCTGGTTCCTTTGCTGGTGTCTCCGGGAACGTGCCCGGGACACCGCTTCCCGCTGTCTCTTTGTTGAGTTGGGAGTCAGACACAGGGGTGACTGGGACAGAAGACAAAGTCAGGATTTGCGACAGCATAATTCTGCGGCTCACTCACCTTCCGTGGCCTCTTTCTTGGGCTCCAAGGGCACCTGGCCAGCCAAGGCTGCGGTGGTGCTCTCAGGAGCCGCGCTGGATGTGGTCACAGCTTCTGGGACCATGGACGCCTTGGGCTTGATATTCTCAGGTAGTAGCACATTGTTGACATTCCCTCGGCCGTCGTCTTCCTGAGGTGCCTCGGGATCGATGATCCACTGGTCGTTGACAACGAACTTATAGAAAATCTTTTTGTCGGCCACGGGCAGGTCCACCTCTTTCTCCCAGATCTCGCCGACCTTGTCCAACTTGACGCTCTTTCCCCAGTCATCGAAGGTCCCTGTGACGTGGACATCATTGGCCTCAGGATGGGGCCTAGAAACCAGGTGTCAGCGGGTTGGTCAAAACTTGGCGCCGGACTCAGTAGATCACAGAGTCGGCGATAAAATTAGCATGAAGCAACGCGCATCGACTCACCATCTGAATACGAAGCTTCCCATGGCAGGCGATCCAGGCAAGGGCACTGTCAAGTTTGAAAAGAATCTGTGAGAAGTGAAATCGGCTCAATGGCGCAGCAGGCAGCAGGCGGAGAGCTTTCGGAAAAGCTTGAGGGTGGGCCGGTTCTGACTTTGTGAGGCGCAGGTGGTGCAAGAAGACAGCTTTCAAGAGGTAGAAATGATATGAGAGGCGAAATCAGTGCGGATATTGCCAAAGACACGAAGCAGAACGCAAGATGTTTAACAGTCTGGTGATGGGAAAGTAGACGGCGGGGGAGGGTGTTGCGAAAACGAACTGGTGATAATTGGGTTCCCAGGCACGGAGGACGGAGGTAAAGCGTTGAGCGGCAGCTATAACATAATATGATGCAGCTGGTGGAGCCTGTGTGCAAACTGTGCCACCAGTAGTGCCTAGAAGCACTTGGAGCCTCCTGACTTTGGGAGGTGCACGGGACGTGGTAAGCCTGGGAGGCTGGGGGAGCCCACTTGGGCTCACTAGGCTTAGCTGGGACGCCTACAGCGCCCTCAGTGGGGGGATTTAATTTGATTGAACGCTCCTCATTTTGCTCCAAGGAGGTTGGTCACGATTGCACCTTGCGCAGAAGGTAAAAATGCACAGACTCCTCCAATACGAACACCTCACGGAGGATTACCTGATTCACGATTTGTCGTCGCCAGTTGAAAAAAAGAGTTGATTGACCTCATCCCCCCTACCTCCACTTGAAGGTGTCCTCTCCCCTTTCTCGACCACTGATGTGCAATCCCAGCTGCGAACGATCCCCGTCACCGCCATGGGAATGATCTCGTGTGCCTCGCAGCCGCCGCCCTGCTTTAAGCCCGCGCTAAGTGGACAGTTCGCAAACTGTTTCGCCGGCTAGCTAGCACTCAAAATGCCTACCTCCCTCGCCCGTCTCCAAAATATGCTACATTGGCCCAGTCCGAGTCCAAACCACAGATAACGGCGGTGTCACTTTGGGTGTTGTTGGATCAGAACGCCCCAAGGCCTCAGACAAGAATACTTCAAGGGACTTTAAGTTCTCCCAAAGTGTGCGCCGAAATATTGTCGTTTTGTTAGGCCATTGGAGCTGCTCGCCTGAAAGCTGCCAGTCCAATCCTGGTTCAAGGACCAGCAGTTAAGGTAACCGCGCCTTGATGTGGCAGTAGACTTGTCACCCACTGCCCTACTCTGACGAGCCTCTCCAGCACCCAAAAATGAAATCTGGTGATGTGTACCAGGTATCGAGGGAGGTTTCCGGGTCACTAGGAGACATAGTGGCAAAACCTGGCTGTGCAGCTCGAGTGCTGGTGAACTTCGTCACGGATCAGCGCGCGTGGCCGGAAAGTTTCTCTCCGAGAATGGCGTCGCTTTCGGATTCGTCGCGGATCGATCGCTGTGCTTGTAGTGACATGTAATTGTACATTTTCGCTATCACGGATCCACGAAAGATCACAACGGTAGGGATAAGATCTACTTGGTCAGTGCAGGAGCTGTTTGAATGGTAGAGAACAGATTGGGAGGCAGCCGTCGTCGGCCCAATTCTAAGCTGATCATTGATTTCGACGCTGATACGTTGCCTATAGTTCCGTCACCGGCCGATGAATGGCTCTTTGTATAAAAGTCTCGACGTCTCTTCTGTTGATCTGACGATTCTGGTCGTAGACAAACACCTCATCGTCATCACCACGATGTAGTGCCAACGCAGGCAGGCGTGTGGCGTCCACACCAAGTGGCTCGAGCAAAAAGGGCAGATTTGTTGTATCGAGGGTTACAAAGTTGATCTTTCCTTTGTACTTGAGAGCAACGTGCTTCAGTGATTCGGCGATGGTCTTTCTCTCTCTGTCGGTTTCGGCGAGGATAAAAGCGATCGGCAATCCCGACTAGAGTCTCAATTAGCAGGAACACACATACAAAGCCTGAACAGTGCACGGAACCTGGGTGTGGTCAATGTACGATTTCAAGTCCAGCCTACCGATTACCGGCGTCGAGGTCTGTTCTGCGAACTTGAGAATCGGTCCCATTTCAAAGTCGTCACGATATATGGGCTTGACTTCGTCCAGGGAGTTCCAGACAACCACAAAAGGGGGTGGGATATCCGCTTCTTCAGCTAGGGTCAAGTTGGTGGTGGTCACCACCAGAAACTTGTCTTGAAGTTTTTCGGCCACCTGGCCTCTGACGGTCGACAACTCAGGAGCTTCGTCCTCAGATACGACGAAGAGCAGTAGCGGGACGTCCAACGATTTTAACGTCCCGAAGACTTCCCTGTCAGGTTGAGAAACCAGTTGCGTTATAGTTTGGAGTACTTTGGTTACAACGCTGCAAAAGTCAGTGCTGTGAAGTCACGACGACAGCAATACTAACGAGAGAGCCCGGAATTTCCCTCGATACCGACTTTGTCTTGATCCATGGAAGAGTCGTATGGTTGGAAAAGAAGCTACCCCATAAGAAGGGCAAATATCCGATTCACCTTCGCAGTCGATGAATAACAATTGCACGGACGGCCACGGTTGCAGCGCCTCTTTGGCCGTTTCCAGCTCTGGAGCCAGAGCCTTGCATTGGTCACTGCTAAGTGATCAATATACAGATCGTTTTCCCGTCTCTTTGTCGCGTGCAACGTACTACCAAGGCTGTGGTTTGACGGCCGCATTCAGTCAGGTGATATCAGAACCGGAGGGAGAGAAAAGCTACGCACCAGACAAACTAGAATCCCAAGGTATCATTAGCGACAGGAAGAACCAGTGAACAAACTTGTAACTCACAGACAGCAATGACCAAGTTGTCCTTGCTTGGGGACGTCGACACGAGGGCTTTGAGCGTTGCGGGCGCTGTGTACTCGAGTGCAGCCTTGCAGCCATGAACCTGAATCAAGGCAAAGATGATGACCCACGTTCGAAGAAGCATTTGAGCCTTCATATCGGGCGGTAGATGTTGAATTGTGAGATACTATCATTGTACAGAAATTAACATAGGCATAAATCTTATAGAAACAGCAGGTCGAAAAAGCAGCCAGTCGGCGGCTTTACCGAGAGCACGATGGATGATATGCTGATATGCTGCATTTATAACATCGACCCTCTAGGCATGGAAAATTGACCAGCTCTGTTCGTTCTTGGATGTTGCCCAGATCTCTCCGCTGACGGGGTTACTTGCTCCCTTATCCGGATACCTGATGCCAATATGACGCCAGTTGGGACATTGTCTCTCATACTGCTACCTGTCCTGGCGGCCATTCTCGGCGCGGGGCACTTGTATTCAGGTTGGAACTTTTTATCTGTCTGGCAGGGTGATCTCAGCACAAATGGTAAGGGACCGAAAACATACCTGCTGTCAGAAGATCCCTTGGTGGTATACATACAAGACTTCCTCACCCCACAAGAAGCCTCTCATCTGGTCCAGCTCGCGTAAGTGACCAAACTCTTCAAGATCGCCTATTGACATCCCCGAGAGTGTTGGGGCTACTAAGAGCTTTTCACGATAGCGAACCCCGTTTCAAGCCCTCCGTCCTATGGACTGACGAAGGCAAAGTCCACCGAGACTCAGCCTACCGATCGTCCATGACGGCCAAGCTGCCCAGGGACAAGATCATCCAGCAGATCGAAGAGCGCGCACGGGCTTTCCATTTTTACCAGCCTGTCGGCGATTTCCAACCCTTGGTGGTGCAGAACTACGGCATTGCAGGGCAGTATCGAGACCATTACGACTGGTACGGCGACGCCAACGCGGTCGGCGGCAACGTCGCGTCGACCTTCTTCGTGTACATCCACGCAAATTGTACCGGGGGCGGTACAAACTTCCCTCGACTGAAGCCACCGCCCGAGGAGGAAGAGTGGTGGTGCCAGTTTGTCGATTGTGACCGTCCCATCGATGACGGGGTCACTTTCAAGCCGATTCAAGGGAACGCCGTGTACTGGGACAATCTCAGCGGCGATGGCAAGGGTAACCCGCAAACCCTGCACGCTGGAATGCCCGTGACCTCGGGGAACAAGATGGGCCTGAACATGTGGACCTGGCAGTCAACCTGAGCTTGCACTCCTTAGTTCCGAGCGGAGCAGAAACAGAACTGGGGGTTGAGCATTGGAATGCAGCAAGCAGATCACGCGGGCAAAGGTTAATATAGTCGATAACGAGTCATTTGCCGAAGAACAAATTTCAAAGTGTGGCCGACTTATCAGTACAGGTACAGTGGCCTAGCCAATAAGGTAGACTTGGGCAAGAGATAATCATTGAGGAATGTTGAAATGGTGGAGGTCGCGACAATGAAGTACTACCAGATTGTAAGAAACACAATCGCTGGGACAGGTGAGGATGTAATACATTCGAAAGAAACATGTCTGGTCAGGGAAGAGTCAAATCTGGTGTCCTGTTGCGATACAGAGGAGGATAGATCGGGGGAACATGGTACGTCACGAAGCATATTCAAGGGACGAATGGGATGGAGTCAAATCTACACTGCGTCGGAACCCCACGTAAACCCTCGAGACCACGAATTATTCCCCTCGTATCAATCTTTGTCACTCACCCGTCCGCAATTGCGACCGCTAATGATACCAACGACTCGAGCAAACCGAGCAATTAGACATCGTGGCAATGCGCCTTGTCAAGCGAAATATCAACGACGACGGGAGTGGGAGTGTCACGCTGTGCCCCGAGGAACCTGAAGACATGGTACTTCCACCACCCTGGCCGCTCCCCCGTCGTGCTCACTCTGAAAGGTGTTCCAACTAGTGGCATGCTTATAACCTGATTCGGCCCACAGACCTCCTCACTGCCTCTGCCATCCGGCGGGTGACCACCGAATCCTCTTCGACGGGCTCTACGTCATCTCAACGTGTCCACACGAATCTCACGATACGGGTCAAGTCGTTGGATTTCGACCCCCAGGCCGGACAGCTGCATGTGTCGGGCCAGATTGCACGAGAGAACAGGTATACTAAGATCGGGCAATTTCACACCCTCGACCTCGAGCTGCAGCGCAACTTCACCCTTGAAAAGGTGGTCGAGGGAAGTGATGGGTCAGAGGGCTGGGATAGTGTCGCGCGTGCACAGCTAGAAGAGGCTATAGACCCTACGAGGGGCACTGAAGCGGTCGCAGTCGTCATGCAGGAAGGACTGGCCAACATTTGCTTCATCACACAGTTCCAGACCGTCTTGAGGCAGAGAGTTGAGGTCTCGGTCCCGCGAAAGCGGACAGGCGCCGGAAGATCGGCGGATCACGACAAAGGCTTGACCAAGTTCTACAGTACCGTGCTGGACACGCTGCTAAGACAACTTCAAGGCCTGATGGAGCACAAAGATAACAGCACGAGTTTCCCAATCTTACTTGCGAGTCCCGGATTCACGGCCGCAGGCTTTCTGAAACAGATCAGCGAGACCGCCGCTACAAAAGGGGACAAGATGCTGCAAGACTTGGTGAGGAGGAATGCTTTTATCGTGATCCACAGCAGCTCCGGCCACCTCCACAGCCTCAACGAGGTTCTCAAAAGCCCAGAGGTGTTAGTGAGGTTGAAAGATACAAAATATGCTCGGGAGACTGCGTTAATGGACGAATTCTATGCTCTCCTACGCAAGGACGACGGACGAGCATGGTACGGTCCGACAGAGGTCGAAGCGTGCGTTGAAAAGGGGGCTGTGGGTCGTGGTGGAGGAGTTCTGTTGATCAGCAACGCCCTGTTTCGAAGCCAGGACGTCGCGACGAGACGAAGATGGGTCAGGCTTGTCGATCGAGTGAGAGAGGTGGAGGGCGGCGAAGTCAGAGTCCTCAGTAGCGACCATGAGAGTGGGAGACGGCTGGAAGGCTTGGGAGGTATTGCGGCCATCCTTACATTTCCTATTGAAGACATAGAATCGGAGGACGAAGGCGAGGACGCTGAGCAGCCTGACGACGATGTCGAAGAATCATAAAAGTCTACAGCAAACAGTGGCTGAGCATTCAGCCTCGTTGAGCATGGGGAAAGTCTACCGAGCTGCAGGCGGAATCTCTTCCGCCTTGCCCTAAAGTGACGTGCATTTCGTCTATTTGTTTAGTCCAAGCCATCGCGTCAACGCACCAGGATTACTTTCCTGTGCAAACTGCGTCTGGTGCCGAGACACTTTCCTCCGACCTACCTTTTCCTTGCCCAAGATGCCGCGGCCCGCGAAGCCTCCGATGACCCTGAAGGAGGCCAAGCGGGCTTACAAGAAAGAGGGAGGTTTCCGATACACGGCGTCCCAGATGGCCCGCGCAGACAGGTTGGACGCACGTGAAGAGAAGCGAAAGAAAGAACTGGAGAAAGAGAGACAACGGGCGGAGAACAAACGGAAGCGCGAGGAGAAGCTTGAGAAGGAGCGCATTGTCAGACAGAAGATGTTGGACGAAGGTCGGATCAATGTGGAGGACACCTGGGGCAAGGTGACCGCAAGCCAACCCAGACTGAACAAATTCTTTGGACACAAGCCGGCACTTCGAGCGACAAAGGAGACGACAGGAGATCAACCTGTTGTGGAAGATGAGGACATGCAGGCCGCCGGTTCTACTGCCGAAGATCCAGAAGAGCCGCCTCATCTCCAAGAGGTCCGCAGCCCACCACAGACATTCGCAGAGGTCGCACCTCCAGACGTGGATGACTATCAGCAAGGACGAAGTAATGGCTCAACTGTGCATGCTTCACCGATACCATCGTTGAATCTGAGACAGTCACCAAAACTTAGAGAGCTGCGACCGTCGCAAATCAATTCCCAGCGACTTAAACCACGTCAGTATGCGAATGAAGGCAAGGTCGCGTCGCCGGAGAGGTTAGTAGGGATACCACGGCCAAGGTCAACCTCTCCTAAAGCAGAGACAACAGCCAGTTTTAAAGAGCATCCGAAAAGTCCATCAACATTCTCCAAAACGAACGAGATCTCGGGGCAGTCGCCGTTGGAGATACGGCTTCCACAGGATGAAGTCGGTAGTATCAGCCATGAGAGTAATAAGGCAACCAAGGGGTCCGACACAAGTGAGGATAGTCTTGGTGCATCAAAAGTGCTTCTGGACGAAGACTTCACCGAGGGTATAGACGACGAGACTTTTCTCATGCTCTGCGCAACTCAAAAATCTCTTCCAGACGATCTGTCAACACGGGAGAATTCACAGAGTACAAGTCCACTCGGCAGTAACTTGGGTTGCGATCCCCCGGGATGTGAAGCAAGCCCTGTTACACTTACAACCGCTCCAATCTCGCCGTCTCGAGTGCCACTATCAAAGAGTCTTTCTGAAAGTTTCAACTCGGTGTTCAACGAAATAGAGGACGAAGATCTTATTGCACTCGTCCAGGAAGTCGAGGCAGAAATTGACACGCCGAAACAAACACCAACACCGTTAACCAGAGCTGGAAAGACGGCTCTCATGGGCCCACCTCTAGCACCAGGGCCCAAGGCTCCGGAGACAACACGCAAGTCACAGTCACTGGACACAGAGATCAAATTGCAGAAGTCCGAATTGCAATCGGCAAGACTAAAGGGAAAGAGGAGACTTCCATGGGATCTTCCAAGGGATGATTTCGTTGACCTCGGACCGTCGACGCAAGCTCTGACGTTGGAGCTGCTGGAGCAGGCTGAAGCGAAAATGAGATGAGCAGGCAAGACCCAAAAGTTTTGGAGATATCGTGCACGAATCTGATGACTTCACGAGTTGATGAGGTATCTAGAGGGGTATATGGTCACCGGTTGGGGAAGAGTGGTAATTGGTTTGACAGGGAAGTGAGCCGGCATTGCGTTAACCTGCCACCAGCACGACCACCGTCCCAGGAATACAGCAGCACAGCAACCTACACGAACATGACAGCATGAGACATTTGACTTCTCACGGCTCACTTCTGCATTGCGTTGGAAAGGATTTAGTCACAATTTTGCATGGCTGGGTCTCCATGGCGTTTTTGAGCATTTTGGTTAGAGCATCAACACTCAACGCGGCCAATGCTCTTTTTTTGAGACAGGAAAGGTCACCACTGGAACCATGACTGTTTCCGATTTGTTTTATTTTCCTTTTGAGGGGGTTCTCTGGTATTTCTGCATACGATACCCGGCACAGGGAAGGACAAGGACAAAAAGCTGGCGTTGGATTCCCTGGGGTTTCTTCTTTCTCGCTTTTTCCTTTTTGCCGGGCATTTTCAGGCGTTTTGGGAGCTGGGAGCTGGGAGCAACGAGTCGGAGTCAAGCACCACCAGGCTTGTAACGGCTCTATCTATCCACCTAGCTAGCTAGATACCCATGAACCATGAAGTATGATCTCTTCAGGAATCAGGAACCAGGAATCATGGTCTTGACAGGAGTGAGCGCGACTAGGCCTTGAGATGTAAGGCTTGAGACGCGAGCCTTGGTAGTTGAGACCAGAATTGAAACTAGAACTGAGACTTGAGACTACCTAGTACCTACCTACCTATCTACGTATGTATCAAACGTACACCCACCCTTAAAGACCAACACATGCATCTCTCTGACATGTGAGGTGAATAGAATAGAGTAGACTACGCTAGACACGAATAAAACTGATGCTAAACTATAGTATTAGCTCAGTTCTTAACATCTTCCTTGGTTGGAGAGGAGAAAATGGCTAGGCTTGATATGTTCATCAATGGCACATAGACATATACTGGTGATGTATTATACTGCCTACCTAGAAGGTAGGACATTAATGTAAAGTTCGAAGCGCTTGATTCCGAGTACGAGGTACGCCATATCCACTTGAATCTCTGCGATGGAACGCCAGACGTGCCAGATGCCATTCTAATACCGTGAATACCGTGAATCACTTTCCGTATGCCCTATTCATGCCGAGTGACCATGCAAAACCTGTAGTAACGCTGCATTACCTTGCCCAATAGCTGTATAAAAGACAAATTGCCGTTACCAGCTCAAAAAAATCAAACCTCAATCTCACTCTTCTCCCGTCGCATGTCCTCCTCGTCGCTCCCAGCCGCCTCCCTGCTCACTGTGGTCTTGCTCCATCCCCGGATCTTGTGGCCCCAGATGTAAAAGACCACAGGAATGGGAATCATGACCGCGGCGAGGCAGCCCAGCAAGGTCCCAGCCCACTGGATGCCCAAGTTGTGGAACATCTGGTCCGCGAACAGGGGGAATCCTGCGCCGAAGAACGATCGAAGTAGGGAGTTGGCGGCGATGGCCGAGGCAGCGAACATCAAATACGTGTCAATGATGTAGTTGAAGCACTGCAAGAAGATGCAAAGGATACCGAAGCCAGTCACCACGCCCGAAGCAGTCGGCGCGAGCCAATGGATCGATTTGTTCCAGCCCGTCCAGCCGAGCCAGAAAAGCCCAATGGAGAAGGCGATGGCGCCAACAATGACGGGTGGGAGTCGCCATTCCGGGATCTGGACGCCGTGGTTGCGAACGAGCTTCTTCTTGTATGCCACCTGATCAATCATGATGTAGATGCCACCACAGAACTGGCCGATGATCAGACCAATGAATGGTAAGCCACCCACACCCTCGTTCATGCCGTGCACGCCTTGGAAAATGATCGGGTAGGCGCCCAAGAACAGGTAGATGAGGCCGTAGATGAAGGACATATACAGGGTGATCAGGAAAATGATGGGTTCAGTGAACAGCATCCGGATTGGTCGCATGAAATTCTCGTCGACGAGCTCCAGAAAGTCCACCTCGACCTCCTCTTGCTTCGCGTGAATGGCAAAGTTCTTCGTCTCCCGTCGAATTCGGCCGGCCTTGGCAACGAGGACCGCGGGTGCGTATGTCTCTTTCGTGAAAAGGGTGAGGAAAGTGGAGAGGAAGCCCATGATGGAGGCGATATACATGGTCCAGCGCCAGCGCAGATGGCTATCGGCAATAAAGCCACCGACAAAGGGTGAGGCGAAGGGGCCACAGAAGACGGCCATGGCAAACGCGGTGATTGCAATGCCACGCTGGCTGTCGTCGTACATATCGGCGAAGCAGGCGGGGACAATCGCCAAGGGACAAGCCGCGAAGAAGCCACTGAAGAAACGTGCGAGCATCAGTGTCTGATAGTCTTTAGCGGTGGCGGCTGCAACGGCAAAGACGCCGAATCCGAACATCGCGACGACCAGGGGAAGCTTGCGGCCCAGCAGCTCGGAACCAGGGCCCCAGAGGATGGGCCCGAAAGCAAAGCCCAACACATAAAGCGTGATACCCAGGACGCCGACTTCGGTAGAGACGTGGAACTCGTGAGAAACTTGCTGGATGGCGGAGGAGAAGATTGCGCTCGAGAAGGAGGCCACGAAGGTGATGAAGGAAAAGATGATGGATGTTCTGACTCTGTAGGAGCATGTTAGGGATGACGAGGACGGCACAACAGGAGCAGACGTACTTGTACCAAAACGGCCAATTCTGTGGGTGTTCGGGGTCGTCGACGCCCTCAAACTCGACAACGTACCCTTCGGTGTTGTCTTTGGGTGGTAAAGGCTTGCCGGCACCTAACGTCTGCACGGTAGCTGTCGATCGCCGTCGTGCGCCGGTTGATGGTCGGCTGCCCACGGTGAGCTGATGCTGTGTCCGCGACCTTGCTATCCGCTCAAGCTCGACGGGGTGGAGTGTGTGTTGGGTGGCATTCTGCTCGTGCTGTTAGCCACTAGGATAACTGTAGAAACTCCATCCATTCATACCGTGTAAGTATGGGTGACATTCCGTGAAATGGGTAAGGACCCATCAGATTCAGACCACTCTCTCTCAATATCTGGCCCATGAGTGGCGATGTAGGATAAAGTGTCGGGTCGATCGTTGTTTGCGTCGACCTCGGCGCGAATGATGTCTCTGCTCAAAGGGTCCATAGTAGATCAAGTCTTCTGTCGTTTTGAGGTTGCTTGTGCTGGTATCCGAATGGACCTTGGGCCTTCTTCCGTCGCCTTGATATACCTCCGCTCTCCATATACTTCTGCCTCCCGGATACTCGGCCAGATATTGACTTCATTTCTGCGGTCTTTTGAGCCCCGTCCGCTCAAGATGCACCTATCACCGTGTTGAGGCTTGATGAGTAAGAAGGAATCTCGCGTTGAAATTCTGCAGCCGCTCGCATTTTCCGTGTCGAGCGCGAACGGCGGAATCAACGAGGACTGCAGAATTTCAACGCGAGATGCATTGTCAAAATCGCACTTTGCCAGAACAAGCCAAGCACAAGGGGCTTTAGTGGTGGCTTCAGGCCTGGAAGATGCTGTTACTCGGGAGTGTGCAACGTCATCGGCGTGGAGGGCGGAATTGGTGGATGAACATTTCGGCAACATGATCCCGTCGGCGCGCGAGCCTGTGTTGGAAGGACCGTGTCATGGATTGATTGGTCGTCGACACTTGAAGCACAGACTTCGGGACCGAATCTTTGTAGTCATCCAGCGAGTTGGTACATATGTCATTGTAGAGATGGCGCTCATTGAAGCTGCGTGGCTCAAGCCTCAGCCCTGAAAGTGGGTCACGTGGCACGAATCTCAACTTCTGTCTCTCGTCTCCCCCACCGCAGCTGCGCTACATCTTGATTGGTATGTACTTTACAAGGCACTCCATCGATCGAACAATGTGAACACGAGGGCAACCCTCTCTCGCACCGGCATATGTATTTTCCCAAGGAGGTGCGAGCACCATCCAATCAACACCATGTCGATCAAGGCCATCTTCTACAGCAAGTTTGATCCTCATGAAGGCGCGCCGCTCCGTCTCTCCTTGAACCACAGGGGACACCCAGTTTTGACACGGGTACAGGTCCCAAGATCGTGCATCAAGTGCCTGAGGACTCGGTCTTGACCACGAGCGAACCCTCTGCATCGTCCTCCAATGGCCCGGCCACCAGTGCTCCGTCGACTGCACCATTGCTGTCCTTCTCAACCATCTCGCGCTTTGTGATCCCTCGTCAATCGCTCTGCGGGAATCTGATCTCCCTCTCTCCTCCGCCGCTCACCTCGAACACGCCTCCCACGCTCGTCCTGTCGTATCCTATATGTCTGACATCCCCGCGATACCCGCGCAATGAGTTCATCTTCAATTTCGCTTTGGTCCTCGGAGACCCCGCAACGATCGACGTGCCTTCGTATAAGTCGGTGGTGAAGAAACTGGCGCACTTGATGCGCAGCCTGGAGGAGCAGTCGCGCTTCTTGAGTGACGACTCTGCAGCCCCAAACTCGGGCAAGATATACAGCCTGTGTGAGATGCTGATGGAGGATCTGAACAACTACTCTGAATGCATGATTCCGATCGACGAGTTAAACACATTGAACATCAAGCTGTTCCCCACACTGCCGAACCCCGCGAGCGTCAAGCCCTGGCATGTACCACTGTTCACCGTTAGAATCGAGACCATGGTGGACGAGAATTGGGACTTGACCATGCTGCGGCTCATTCCCTTCATAAATGGCGTGAATAGTGTAAAACGGATCGCGGTGCTCGCGGACGCCGACCTCAAGCTCACGAAGAAGTGCATCAAACACCTGCTCTACTACGGATGTATCTTATTGCTCGACATCTTCAGCTTCAGCGCCATCTATGCCCCGACCGCCGAATTTGCCAACATGATCGCCAAGGACACGGACATGCAGAAGGAATGCGCTCGGTACGTCAACATGGCATTCGGCCCAGGCGGACAAGAGGAAGCTGTCATTGACGGCGCCACTGAACGACGGACGAGTGGCTTGACGAATGCGACCCTCCAAGATGAAGAGATATGGCCCCTGACCGGGAAAGGCGACCCCATCGACGGCGTCACGATCGTCCAGCTTTTCGCGAACCTGCGACAAGGTCTCACTGTGCGAGAATGGTATGCCCAGAATGCAAACTTGCTTGCGAACATCGACATGCGGCGGTTCGTTACGTTTGGAGTCATCAAGGGATTCCTCTATCGGGTTCACCGATACGCCATCCGCACACAGAAAGGGGCATTCTCCCACGGGCCGCCCGGCGGAAGCATGACCCAGTACGCTGATCTGACGCGGAGCATGTCCAGCGAACGCCAATTTACCGAAGAGACCTCGCCGCGGACCAGACACAAACAGCACAAGCAGTCCAGGAGTGTGGAGAAATCCATGGTGGAGAACCAGACTCTGAATGCCAGAATAGCGGAGTTTCTCGACGGTACACACTGTTTCGACGAGATATGCACGGAGCTGGGGATCAGTGAGAAGGATCTCACCGAGAGGTTGAAGAGTCGCGAAATGGGCGATGTCACTATCATCTGCAGGTGAAGTCCCGTCGTACCTTGTACTTTACGAGCTGTCCTTATGTGGCAACTACGAGTACGAGGTTACCCTTGCCACTGACCTGCGTGACCATGCGGTCTGGAGGTTCCAACGTTGGCCCCTCAGAAGCTCTTTGCGCTCATCCCACGGAGCATCGGCGGCTTCTGGATTGCCCTCAAACAGCCAGCCTGAGGATCGTTGCTCGATTCTACTCCACCCTCGGTCTGAACAAGCTTTTTATGGTTGGGACGAGTCTGCAACTAATCCGAAGGATGACCGCCGCTCCCTCATAAGCATCCTATTCTCAGGCCCCTCTGATCGACATGTTCCAGGAATTATATTCTGCTAGCACCACTTGGTAGCGCTTACGCAGGTCCACCAGTCGACGTGCGCCCCGGTGCGCCCCATATAGATGACAAGGGAGACGAGGCGCGGTCCGGGAGGCACATGTCCGGTTTGACCACTCCCAGTCATCTCGGACTTTGCTCGTTGTGTGATTACAACAGCGTTTGCTGGGAATCCACGAAGATGGACAGCACCAGCTTGCACGGGGTGGACCATTTAGAGAGACTCTGGATCCATTTTGAAGTGACCGAATGAGCCGATCCTGTTACTGCTGTGCCTCGACATATACTAGAACTCGTCGTTGTCGTTGTATCGGCTGTCACTTACAGAGAAGCTGTTGAGAATCTGAAGTCGAGCCACTGTTATGCGAGGCGAACTTCACATCCAAGCATATATAGAGATATATATGCGCGGACACAGCAAGGCAGGTCAATAGTCTGTTGTGTGGTTCAGGTCTACCTTTACACCTAGGTAGTAGACTGACACCACTCTACCGCCCACATTGCTCGTACTCGACACTGTCTGTCCTTCTCCATCCCCTTCTCCTGCTCCTCTCCCATCCCATCCCCTCCCCAATCTCCTGCCCTCTGCGCCCCTTGTCTACGAAGCCACCGGTGCGCCCGCCCCCGCCTTCTCCCGGTCGGCACCCACCAGTTTCCAGTAGCGGGCCGCGCTGGCGACGCGGAACCCCTTGCCCCAGACGATCATGGCGAAGAAGACGCTCGACGCGGCCATGCCGATGAAGGCGGCCGAGATGAAGCAGTTTTGATAGCCCAGGTTGGTGAGCCAGGGGGTTATCCTACGACTTTGTCAGTGATGATGGATCGGGACGAGGGCAGCGGGATGAGGGAAGGGGAAGGGGCAGGGGAAAGGGAATCAAGATGCTCGCTGGCTGGCTCACTCACCCATAACTAATAGCAAACGACATGGTGTTGCGCACCAGAATCACCGTCACAATCGCGTCGCCGCTGATGCCGTGGTAACTGTCGATCATGTACTGCATTTATCCCAAAACGAGGGGATGTCAGCTTTCAACTTCTACCACATTATCATGCTTTCCCCACCCATCCCAGACGTGTGCACATCTGGGATAACCCCCGGGTAAAAACTCACATTGACACTCAACGTGACGCCAAAGGTGGTCACAAAGGCCAGCGAGCCCATGGCGCAGATCAGGCCGAACCAGTGCACGCCGTGGGCCGCGCCGACGCCCCACAGGATCAGCGAGCCCGGGACGAGCAGCACGCACAGGGCAAAGGGCCACAGGCGCTGCTCGGCCTCCATGATGCCGCTGTTGCGCCGGGCCAGCTTGATGGTCAGCCAGTCGCTGAGGCGGCCGGAGATCAGACACCCGAGGATCACGCCGATGGTGCACGACAGGTACGACAGGCCGACCATCGAGGGGGCGAAATTGTAGGGAGGCCCGCCCAGGATGATCGACGCCGTCGCGTTCAGCACGTTGAACCAGATCAGGTACGACCCGTACGAGAAGCCCGCGTAGAATATGACCGGCCAGCTCAGGAACATCAGGCTGCGTAGCGCGCGCTGCAGCATCGGCTGGCCCGGCTGGGGATTCCAGAGCGACAGTTTCTGCATAAACGTCTTGGGCCGGCCGTAGTCGGCGACCGGGGTCGAGGAGGACGTGGTCGAGAGCACCGTCGCGGGCAGTTTCTCCGTGTCGGCCACGTCCTTTGCCGTGGCAGGCTCGGGCGGTGGCGTGTCGACCTCGACGATCAGTCCCGCCGTCTTGCGCGTGTAGTTGGTTTCCTCCAAGAAGAAGAACTCGAACACAAAGACAAAGGCCAGGAAGATGGCCGGCCAGTAGAAGACCCAGCGCCAGCCCTGGCCATCGGCGATGAAGCCGCAGAGCACAGGGGTGAAGTAATTGCTGCCGGCCAGCGTGAAGGCGTAGATGCCCATGTACGTGCCTCGCTGGTGGGTGAAGTACTGTGTGCGAGAAGGTCAGTTACTGAGCGGGCAACGGTACGAACAGCCGCACGTACCACGTCAGTGACGGAGATCTCGGGCAGGGCTTCAATGGGGGCGTTGAAGAAGCCTTGGATGATGCACTTGGCGATCCATTCTCCGTTGCTCGTCACGTAGGCGCTGCAGGGTGGTCAGTCAGTCAAGTCACTCCGTGATGTGGCAAGACGCTGGCTAGGACAGCATTTACCTCCAGATACTGGTGCCCTGGGTTCCAACATGTCAGCCATAGCTCTCAGAATAACGGCAGTATTCCAACTCACAAGCGACCCGAGAATGGAGATCAGGTAGGTCAGGCGCTTGCCGTATCTCAGCGAGAAGGGCTGCCAGAAGAGCAGACTCCAGCCGAGAAACAGAAACATGTAGCCTGTGCCCTCGTTGAGCGTGGACACGGACACGCCCGACGCTTTGGAGAGGGGGACGAGGACCGAGTACACGGTCGAGACGCTCATGCCGGTGAACCAGGTGTATCTTTCCCCCGCCGTCTGTCAGTTTGGGCAGGTCCTCATCATCGGGGCGACGATTGACAAAAGTCGGGTGTGCGACTCACAGATTCGTGCAGATGCTCGACAGGATCTTCCTCCGCGGCGACCAGTTGAGCGGGTCATCCGGGTCGTTGGACGGCGTTGGCACCAGGACAATGTCACCGGCGCCCGCATCAGCATGGCGAGTGTGCATGGTATGGTCCAGGTCGACGAGGTGGACCGTGCCGGGGACAGCTTCCCCTGTGGTCTCGGTGAGGATGGCCATGATGCTGAACAACAAAGCGGTGGCAGAGCAGGAACAGATGATGGAGAAGTAGATGCAAAGAGATAGACGGTGACAGAACAAGGGCAAACCTCGAATACTTATCCTCCCCAGCAGTTCTCCCGCGGTTCCGCGTATGGGATTACAAAACTCCTAACGCAAGGGACACCTCGTGTCGACCCTGCCAATCCCATTTATAACTTCTGTCGCTTGATGGCTTGTGAGGCTCACTCTTGGATCGACGGTTACCCACGATCTAGAACCCCCCCACTGGAGATGTCCACTGCATTTTGCAGGCGAGACGACCGGGTTTCCCAACGAATGGCGCCGGCCATTTCGCTTCTCGTTTGTGAAAAGGTGCCAGGGTGAGTGAGGGATAACATGGTGCAGGATCCCATCGCGATAACATTCTTGGAAACGAGTGCGGAATTTGTTGGGTGGTACCATTCCCCTGCAGATCGTGGGAAGAATAAGCGTCTGATATCCCGACAGGAGAACTTGTAGGGGGATGGTTAGGAAACAAAAGATACGGACAATCTCCGATTCGACCTTGATTGGGAAAAGGTATCCACGAGAAGTCTCATTTGGTCTTTCTTGGGTATCTCGTATGTTGCCATCGACGACGACGAGAGTTGTAGCATGTCTGGGCTGTAGGGGAACAAGAAAGCCAATCCGCACCATCTCCTCGTTTCCTATCAGGATAAAGCTGGCGTTGGCTTTGCGCAAATCGAAGGGATTGGCTCGGTCCGTTGAGCGGTTTGGCACCAAATTCCGCTATCGAGAGGAATGAGGAGAGACGCCACTTCGCCTTTGGGGTGTCACGCTTGACAACGCTTGACCCGAGTCAGCGTCGCGCACTGCCCTTCAGCCAGTCAAGGTTGTCAGTTGGAGGATATCTGTGGCCAGCGAGAATGGTTTGCGCAAAGCGGAGATGCACGATCGACGCCCGCTAGAGCCGCCGCCCACGGGTCGGGTTGATGGAATGGTTTGAAGCTCCATGTCCAAGAGAATCTGGGGGGGAATGTTCTCTGGCTCTCTAGCCACTTCCCAGTCGTAAAAAGGTCTCGACGGTCCTGTGTCCTTATCATCGCCTCGAAACCTCCCTTGGTTACTAAGACTATCCGCGTCCAGGGTAGAGCAAAATGGTGGTCCGGCCGTTCAATGTCGTTCAACCCAAGGACGTCCCTACGGGCACGCCAGAGTACGAGTCCAAACGGGCGGCTGTGCTTCGAGCATTCCATGAAAAGATCCCTCAGGAATACTATATTCCCCAGGAGGTCGTCAACAGCCCGCCGCAGGATGTCTCGGGCCTCACCACGACATTTGGCATCTTGACACCCGAGGAGATTGAGATCACAGAGACCTCCGATGCCACGACTCTGGCCGAAGCCATCGCGGGACGCAAGTACACGGCTGTTGCGGTGGCCACAGCCTTCTGCAAGCGAGCCATCATCGCCCACCAACTGACCTGCTGCTTGACCCAGTGGTTCATGGATGAGGCTATTGAGCAGGCCAAGTCGCTGGACGAGTATCTCGCGACGAATGGCAAGACCGTGGGACCTCTGCACGGGGTGCCGGTCAGCATCAAGGACCATATGCCCATCGCCGGGACGTATTCGTCCACGGGCACCTTTGGCAGCATCGTCAAGAACGAAAAGGACAGCCAGTTGGTGGCCATCTTGCGGGGACTCGGTGCCGTCTTCTACTGCAAGACGAACCAACCCCAGACCCTGATGCATCTGGAGTCTGACTCGCACTGGGGCCGTGTGCTCAACCCCTACAACATCCACCTGTCCGCTGGCGGCTCGACTGGCGGCGAAGCAGCCCTTATCGCCATGAAGGGGTCGATCCTGGGCATCGGCAGTGACATTGGCGGCAGTATCCGCGGACCTTCTGCATTCTGCGGCATCTACGGGTTCAAGCCGACGTCGTACACTTTGCCCATGAAGGACATGATTGCGGCGCCGTTCCCCGCCGAGCTCAACGTGCTGTGCTCGATCGGGCCAATGTGCCGCAGCCTGAGAGACATGGACCTGTTCACCAGCAACGTCATTGCGGCGAAGCCACATCTGGAAGACCCGAGACTCGTGCCGCTTCCCTGGACGGGTCTCAAGACTCCCCTCGACGGACGGCTGAAGGTTGGCATCATCAGCAACGACGGCTTCATCGACCCCCAGCCGCCAGTCAAGCGGGCCGTCGCCTGGGCGAAGCAACTCCTCTCGGACCCCAAATACGCCGATGTGATCGAGGTCAAGGACTTTACGCCCTACGACGCTGCCGGGGCGTGGGCCAAGATTCGCCGCATGTACTGGCCGGACGGCGGGCAGGGGATGGTCGAGCACATCACCGAGACCGGGGAGCCGGTCCACCCGCTCTCGTCGTGGATCTGGAAGGACGCCGAGCCGCACGGGATGCAGACAGGCGTCGACGTGAGCAACATGCGCGGCGAACGGGACGCCTTCCGCATCGCCTTTGCCGAGCACTGGAATGCCCAGGACGTCGACGTGGTCATTGGGCCGTGCTTCGTCGGGCCGGCGTCCGCGCACGACACGGCTTTTTACTGGACATACACGTCCCTGTACAACTTTGTGGACTACCCCGGCGTGGTGATCCCGACGCCCATCAAGGCCGAGAAGGAGGAGAAGTACGCCGAGGACTACAAACCGTTGAGCGAGGAGTGCGCTCACGTCAAGCAGCTGTGGGAGGAAGGGGATTTTGAAAAAGCCCCTATCAACCTGCAGGTCGTGGCTAGGAAATACCACGACAACCAACTGTTTGGAGCATTGGCCGTGTTCAAGGATGTCTTGGGACTGAAGTAGAGATTCGATACCTCCTCCTACTTAGGTAGAGATGAAAGTGACAGCATACTTTCGACTTACCGGGTTGCTGGTCGCTGTTTGATAGTGTAGGTCGAGGAGCACCAATTGGCCTCCTTTTCCCCAGATGATGGTTTTGTAGCAAACGACGAGTTTCAGGCATTCAGTTGAATTTCCATGTTTCATTTCGATATCGAGGTATTCTCTTCGATGGTTCATGACGAGTAGACAACGAGCACAGGCGTGTCAAGCACGTCATATTCACGTGTTTTGCTCTCCAGACCATATCAGGGATTGGACAGCAACGTAGGGTTTGGTGAGTGGGCAGGAATGGCAGAAGGTTAGGCAAGCAGCTCGCTCTCCAACTGGCACATTCGCAAGAGTACAAAGAGCAACTGGCATGTGAAAGAGTAAAGACACCAGTGGCGGGACGTTAGGGTATCGATAGGGGCGTTGGGGCCTATCACCATGTGACTTAGGGCCCCACCAAAAAGATAAGTCATATATTGTACTACAGAAAAATAGGTCCAAATCTATGTCCAGATTTGGTTTTCAAAAATTCATGTATTTTCTGGAAACCCACATAAACCGGGGAGGTTGGCCGAGTGGGTTAAGGCGGCAGATTTAAGCCTCGTTTAGTAGGATGATCTCTGCTTTCCGAAAGGAAGCGTGGGTGAGTAGTCACAATTGTTGTAATGTTTTAATGTCGAAAAAGTATTTTGTCTCATAATATGAATTCAGGTTCGAACCCCACACCTCTCATCGCTAGCATTGTTTTTTTTTAACCCATGGGTCTTGTAGAGTGGTAGGTTAAGAGGAGAAGTGTGGTAGTCAAGAGGATGTGACTCACTTCTTTGCGTGGACGGAGGTGGAGGAACAGGACTAGCTACTTTTATGAAACATATACTTGATACATCCCTATCCCTCTCTCCCTCTCTATCGACGAATCTTTTAGATATACGTTCGTTCGGCATGAAGATTTTAAGGAGGGAAACAACTTTCTTTATTCCAAAGAGGTATAGGTATACGACACGAGTGTCCCAAACCCCATGTCTCACCTCAGGAGTCGACAAAGACATATCGACCTGGACAAGGCTGGATAGTTACCAAGGCATTGGACCATCGAGGATATCTGTTGTTTCTATTCCTAAACGGTCAAGAAGAGAAAGAAGTCACAAGTATCCATAAGGTCCCTTGGGAGTGACAGACAGATAGATGCAGATAGGTGTAGACAGACCGAAGGCATGGTCTAGCCAAAGGCTCAAAGCTCACTCACATACATACCTTGGTATCTACCCGCGTTAATCAACCCGCAACGTCCTCGACATTGCTCGTCCCATCCACACCCACTTTTCCCGCCTCTCTCTTCGCTTTTACTCCGGCGTCCTCCTCGCCCTCGCCAAACAACGTCGCAATGGCCTTCATGGTCGTGTTCCCGCCACTGAACACGACGCCGACGTCCCAGGACGGGTCATCCCCCCCTTCACCAGCCCGTTGCCGCTCCCGCTGCTTCTTGGCGACCATATCGCGAAACTCTCGATTGAAGAGCACCGCCGCCAGGGGAACGCACCCGCTCGGCTCGACGACCAGCTTGAGGCGCTCAAAGACGAAGCGCATCGCCTTCTTAATCTCGTCCTCGCTGACGGCGTAGACGCCCGCGACTTTGCTCGGGTCCGAGACGACGGTCCAGTTGATTTTGCCGACGGGCGTGCGCAGGCCGTCGGCGATGGTCAGCGTCTTGACGTGCTCGATGCGTTTGTTTTGGAGGAGGCCGCGGCGGGCGTCGTCGGCGCCTTCGAACGAGGGTTCCGCCCCGAAGACCAGCGTGTCCGGCTGCGATGCGAAGAAGGTCGCCACGCCGCACAAGAGGCCGCCGCCGCCGATGGGGGCGAGGACCGCGTCGAACTTTTTCGCAGCAGCATCCGCTCCCGTAGAGGAGGAGGAGGTAGGGGACTGATTTTCTCGAAACTGCTCCCCCATCTCCAACCCCACGGTGCCCTGCCCGAGGATAATGTCCGGGTGATCGTACGGCGGGACGAGGATAGCCCCCTTCTCTTTGATGACGTTGCCGACGACGGCCTCGCGCTCCTCGGCCGTCGACCCGCTAAAGAGCACGTGGGGCGTGTACAGCCGCGTGCCCGCGATCTTGGACCTGGTCGAGATGGCCGGCATGACGATGTACGCGGGGATGTCGAACGTCGAGGCCGCCAGCGCGAGCGCCTGCGCGTGGTTCCCGCTGCTGTGCGTGACGACGCCGCGGCGCCTCACCTCGTCGAGGCCCAACTCCTCGATCAGCCGGGTCACGGCGTGGAATGCCCCGCGGGCCTTGAACGCCCCGATCTTTTGGAAGTTCTCGCACTTGAAGTGCAGGCGGAACCTGGGTGGCGCCGCCACATCGGAATCGGTGCTTCTCGATGTCGTAGAGTCGAAAGGCGGTGGATTGTCGGACAGATACACGGACGGGTCTCTCGACGAGGCGATCGCATCGAGGGACCGACTCGTGAGGAGCGGCGTTCTGTGGATGTACGGCTTGATTTTCGTGTAGGCGGCGCGCACGGATGCCGGGGTCAGCGGCGGACAGGTCGATAGGTCGGCCATGCCTTTTTTCCTTTCTTCCCGAAAAGCTCAATTGGTGGTGGTCTGTTAGGTTTGTTTACTCTATATCTGACATGTGCTGGGGGCGTGCGTGCTGATTACCTCGTACTTTGCTCCTGTCCCGAGCCACTTGATTGATGGGGCGGGGTCGTCGTCGAGGAGTTTCCGTCAAGGTTGCAGACACAAGATCCCTGACAAACTAGCGAGGGTTGGAACACAGTGATAGCCAAAACTACCGTTGCAATAACTTCATTGAAATCCACGGAGCCACAAGCACGAAATTTAATTGGCAAATCGTGCAGATGTCCGAAGCTCTGCCGAGACCGGACTCTTTACAGCGTCAACAAGCATTTGAGCCCATGTGCCTATCTAGACTTTCGCACGGCCCACACAAAGTAGCCACATTGCTATGGCAAAGATCCATCATTGTCCGCCATCCGAAGCCCTCACCACTTGGTACATGTTCAACTTTTTGGAAAAAAACGCCGCATAAAACGAACCAACACCGAGCGCGTCCACATCACTGGTTTTCAGGGCGGAGGGAGCTGTTAATCACCGTTAGCAATTGGCCTCAACCCTGGCAAAAGTGAGCACATACCGAACAGCCTTGCCGGCACGCCAGATCTCCAGATCCCGGATATCCTGCATCTCCTTCTCGTACTTTTCTCTGTAGTCAGGAGCGCTGTTGAACTCCAAGCTGCGCTTCGTCTCGGTGCCATCTCTCACGCTGTCGTAGAGCTGGTTGAACAAAGGCTTGAGGGTGTCCTTGAATTTGCTCGACCAGTCAATGGCACCGCGACGGGCGGTGGTCGAGCAGGCTGCGTACATCCAGTCCATGCCGTTGGCACCAATGAGGGGATACAAGGACTGAGTGGCTTCCTCGACAGTTTCGTTGAACGCCTCGGATGGCGAATGGCCGCGTTCGCGGAGCACCTCATACTGGGCAAGGAACATGCCGTGGATACCGCCCATCAAGCATCCTCGCTCACCGTAGAGATCAGAGTAGACCTCCTTCTCGAAGGTGGTCTTGTAGAGGTAGCCGCTACCAATCGCGACACCGAGGGCGATGGCCTTCTCTTCAGCTTTGCCGGTCACGTCCTGGTAGACGGCGACGGAGGAGTTGATACCCCGGCCCTCACGGAACAAGCTTCGCACGGTTCTTCCGGAGCCCTTGGGGGCGACGAGGATGACATCGATGTCCTTGGGCACGTCGACTTTGGTGAGGTCTTTGAAGACCGGGGAGAAACCGTGGGAGAAATACAGGGTCTGTTCGGCACAAGGTCAGCATTTCTCTCCAACGATCCGCGGCGAAGGTCTTTCTTACCTTGCCCTTTGTCAATTTGGGCTTGATGGCTGGCCAGGTCTCGCTCTGCGCAGCGTCACTGAGCAGGTTCATGATGATGGTGCCACGGTCAATGGCCTCGTCCACGTCGAACAAGTTCTTGCCGGGGATCCAGCCATCCTGTTCCGCCTCTTTCCACGATGCGCCGTTCTTGCGGACACCGATGATGACGTTCAAGCCGTTGTCCCGGAGGTTGAGGCCCTGGCCGTGACCTTGAGAGCCATAGCCGATCAATGCGAGAGTGTCATTCTTGAAGTAGTCCTGGGGAGTGTGTGTCAGCGGGAATTGAGTCTTCTCATTGTTTGGAGAGGGGGTTTACATACAAGAAGCTTCTCACGCGGCCAATCTTCCCGTTCTGCGAGAATTGTTAGCAAAAAAAAAACCGGCACCAGGATGATAGGACACAGGATCAAGCGTACCGAAGACGGTCTCCTTGGTGCCGGCAAAGTCAATGGTCTTGACACCACGCTTCTGCTGCTGAGCGGGAGCTGCGAACGCAGGGCGCTGTGTAGCGGCGACGACAGGCCTGGTCGCAAGAGCGGTAGCAATGGACCGTCTCTGCACGGCGGGGGTGCTGATTTTCTGCTTGGAAGCAGTGCGCAGGGTTCGTGCAAAGTTTTTGGATGCCATTTTTTGAGGGGGGGGTGTGTGATGGGAGCAGAGAGCTGTGTTTGCGAGAGTGAGTGTGTGTGTGTGTGTGTGTGGAAGTGAGAGGAGAGAAAGAGACGAGTGCGGACAGCGAACTTTCTAATAAGTAGATACCAAAGGGGGAAATTTTGTTTGTGTCTTACTCACAAGAATCATGCAATCACCAAAAAAGCTGCAAGAGCTTCGCCGAGTGCAAAACTGCTCCTGTTCGGAGCTCACGTGTGATCCATTGTGGCCATGCTGCTTTAATATGGATCCACCATCACCTCCCCCGCAACTCGAGGGCTACCTCGATTAACTCGTGCGCTAATTTTCCTAAACGGCTCTAATGCCCATGGCCCAGATCGAGTCTTCTACCACCGAGCAGATGCAGAAATAGGGTAATTAGCCTGGAGTCGAGTCACCCATCTTCAAGCACAAGTAGAAGCATACGAAGATCAGTCACATAGCCTAAGCTACTACTCACTACAGCCCCCCTTCAGACTTGTGATGGATCAGAACCATAATCATCATCTTCTACAACAGCAAGAACAAATATGTGGTACGAAACACGAGACAATTACCGATCTACTGCCACCAATGTAGGTATCTGGTATATCCAAGCACAATCCCATGCCACATCCTCTACCCACGAACCACGGCATTTCTCTCGCCTCATTCCTCAACCTGCCACCGCAGCAGCAGGAACCTCGTCCCCCTCGACATGTTCGACCGTAGCTGTGACCTCCTCTCCCTTGACCGCCGCGCTGTCCTTCTTCTGCTCGTTCAGCTTGCTCACACGCCACCCTTGATACCCGTTCTCCAGACTGTTGTGCAGCGCGGCCACGTAGGGCACCATCCCCCCAATCCAGTTCATGGGCTCAACGCGCTTGCCGGGGATGTTGGCCCCGTTGTACCACCCGTTGGCTTTGGGGTAGAGCGTCTTGTACCAGAGTTCGTTGGCTTTTTTGCTCCTGCACGGGTCGGTGTTAGTCATATATGATCGTAGGTAGTAGGTGGCGACGAGCATGTCAAGGGTAGGCACATGAAAAGATTGCAGGTTTGTACGGTGGCGGCGTCACTTACCACTCATCCTCAGCCTCCCGTGTGGCCTCTATTCTCGTGATGCCCTCTTCGCGACACATCGTAAGGACCTTGTCCACCCATTCGGCCTGGAACTGGTTATTACTCGGTCCGTTTGCAAACGCCGTGGGCGACTGCGGTCCGTATAGGAAAAACATGTTGGGGAACCCAGCGAGCGCGATGCCCATGGCCGTGCGGAGGCCGTCTTTCCAGTGATCAGCGACGGTGCCGCCGTTTGTCGAGTGAATGTCCATCTGTGCAAGAGAGCCCGTGACACTGTCGAAACCTGTGGCGAGGATGATGACCTGTAGACAGACACAACATGGTCAATAAGCCGGCATGGCAAATCATTTCGAGGAGAACGGAGAACCCTTACATCATATTCCACGTGTCCCTTTGGCGTCCTGATACCGGTTTCTGTGACTTCCAGGACCGGATTCTCCTTCACGTCCACAATGTCAATATGGTCCTGGTCGACGACCTCGTAGAATCTCTGTTCAAGGCTGTTTCGCTTGGTGCCAAACGGGTGAGGCGGCTTTTCGGGCGCCAGGAGTCGCTGTTTCTCGGGGTTTTTCACGCGCTTGAGTACGGTAGAGCGCCAATACTTGTAAGCTTCGTCGTTGGCCTTTTGGTCAAAGAGCATGTCCTTGTAGCTGCGGATGAGGAAGAGAATGTCAGTATGTAGAAATATAATGTCGGCGAACTCCAGAAGAAACGTACTTTTTTAGCAAGGGCACAAAGCCAGCCTCATCCCACAGAGACTTGTAGAATTTCTCCCGCTCTTCCGGAGTGTCGTCAAACGTGTTCTTGTCGCTGAAAGTGTAGTGAAATCCGGTGAAGGATTTCCGACAGAGGTCAAAGATTCGCTCGTACTCGCCATCGGCTTTCTTCTTTCGTTCCACCTCAGGGTCGAGTTCCCATTGTTTCATGGGGAGGCAAAGATTGGGCGTGCGTTGGAAAATAGTCAGGTGCTTGACAACATCTCCAATCTCCTGGGCAACCTATTTCCTTTTATCAGCTAGGCTATTCGAACATCCTCTGGCATGGTCAGTGACTCACTTGGATGCCCGAAGCCCCGGTCCCGATCAAGGCGACGCGTTTGCCTTTCAAATTCACGCCGTGTTGAGGCCAAAAGGCGGTATGATACTGAGGTCCCTTGAAATTCTGCAGACCGGGGAAAGGTGGCTTGTAGTGCTTCGATGCGAACCCAACGCATGGCATGAACCATTGCGCGTAGATCTCTGTGCCATCTGAGCACTCGATGTGCCACTGGTGTCTCTGCTCATCGAAGATGGCGGTCTCGACGTTCCTGTTGTATTCGATGTACTCTTCCGTGTTCCATTTTTTCTCGATATATTTGAAGTAGCGTCTCAAGTCTGGCCAGCTGGAGTACCGCTCTTTGAAGGTAAAGTCTTCGTACAAATCCCTGTCAAACAATTGATAAATCGGCGACTCGGAGTCGACGCGAGCTGCATGAAGACTGTGAGAAACGCCTTTGATTTCTGGGAGATCTCCCGATATGACATACCTCCAGGGTAGCAGTTCCAAAACCAGATGCCTCCAGCAGCGGGTCCTCGTTCATAGATCTTGACACTGAGTCCCTGTTTCCGAAGTTTGTTCAGGAGGGTGAAGGCTCCAAAGCCAGCACCGACAATCAGCACATCTACAGAAGGGATCTCTGGTTTTGCTATCGACCCCATGATTGAGCGAGGAGACAGCGAGGTTTGACTTGTGATTGTCTGAGAAAAGGCCGGGACACAGCATGTGAAGTATTTGTAGTTGGGGTCGCTGCACGTCTAGACTTCCGAGTTAGAACCTACCCCAGCATGTCGGAAACTGTTGTCCGTTTCTTCAGCGTTGGAACCACCTCCTCGGGACCCCTACCACATACCCATGCCTTGCAATCGACGGGAATAGTCGCATTGTAGGGTCTAGAGACCTCGGGTAACTGGTATACCTCGTATATCTACTCCGCATATGTACAGCTGTGGAGCGGATTTTGCGGAGGTTTTTGGACGAACGGATCTCCTATCCCGGCTCGGTGGGACCGAGTCAGGCATCTGGGGGAATACTTCATGCTCGGTCGGCCTTGTAAAGTGCATGTGGTCCGTTGCAGAGAGTAAATCCGAAAATCAAGTTTTAGTTCTCAGTATCAGGCCATCCTCAGCCATGGTGACTTCTACTCTGAGCGACTTGCTGACCGGGAGCGCTGGCACCACCTCAGACGCTGCAAACCGGGAGGCAAATGGTTCGTTGGGGCAAGAAGAATATTGTGACCTGCATGGGGTTGTGATTGTATGTTGTCCTGTGTTTCTGAGTCAGTGCTCTCGGCTGATCAGGCCATTGTAGAAGCCACTCCAACAGATCGAAGAGCTCACGCCACTATGGCTGTCGATGTTTCTCAATCGCAAGATCGATGAGAATGGCTTCGTCGTCAAGCCAACTGGGACTGGCCAGATGAGCAATACTTACCGAGTCCAGTTTCATGATCTCGACCATCCAGGCCAAGTCAGCCAAGTTGTGGTCAAATTTGCAAGAAACGACAAGGACACTCGAGACCTTGGCATCAGGTTTGGCCACTACCAACGTGAGGCTGTCTTCTATCGAAGATTTGGAGATAGGCTGTCCGCTGGTCTACCACACTGCTATGGTGCAGTGGTAGACAGACATGCTTGGTTTACCCTTGTCCTCGAGGACCTAGGCTTGTATGACGGGTACCAAGGGGCCCAGCTGGAAGGATGTGATTGTAAGCATGCGCAGCTGGCCCTGAAAGCGCTCGCTCAATTGCAGGCGCCGGTCCTAGGAGATGCACAGCTGGATGAGGACGAGTGGCTCAATAAACCACCCGCTCTGGACCAGAAATTCTTCAACGAATGTCTACCAGTCTTCCGCACGCGCCAGAAGCTTTCGCCCGAGCAAGAACAGCTGTTAGATTGGCTATCCGAAAACCTCGATGACTGGTGGGCGACTCGAGAAGGGCCTTTCTGCATCTTCCATGGAGATTTTCGTCTGGACAATATCCTCTTCCTTGCCAAGGACAATCATCGTGCGGTAGCAGTCGACTGGGGCGGGCTTGGTTGGGCATCTCCCATGCGGGATGCTGGATACTTCCTCGGAAACGGACTGACGATTGAGAACCGGCGAAAGTGGGAGAAGGATCTCATCCGCGAGTACCTGGACGAGCTCAATCGTTTGAGCAAGGTCCAAATGACATGGGACCAGGCCTGGAAGCAGTATAGACTCCAATCGATATATGGCCTTGCACAACAGTAAGCTTGACACCGACCGTGATTTGGCCATGCTTTCTGACTGTGGAGTTTCTAGTATCCCAGCTGCGGCAATCTGCGCACCGACTGAGCGAGGAGAGAAAATGTTCTATACATTGACCTCGAGGCAGGCCCAGCACGCACTAGACATGGATGCAGCATCATTGGTGAAGCCACGCCCCAAATCTTACTCACCTCATGTTGGAGACGAAGCCGAGCATATTCCACCGGCAGACGGGGGACCTCTCTGGAGTGAAAGCTGGTATTTTGACTGCGCCACACCAGATGGCGAAGCTGGCATGTACGCTCGAATTGGGCGCCTCCCAAACCAGAATTGTTGCAACTTTATCGCCGGGATCTTTCGACGGGGAAAGTCATCGGTCATGCTTGTTAACATGCAAGCACCTCTACCAGCCTCCCATCACGCTATGCAAAAGTTCTCGACGGATCGGTTCGCGGTTGAGAGCAAATGCCTTGTTCCGCTGGAGAAATTCTCATTCGTTTTGAGCGGGACGGGATCCGCCTCGCCCGACTCCATTACATCCTTCCACGGAGATGAGGCGCCGGTGGAAGATGTGGAAAATATCAAGATCGATCTCGTTTGGGAGACGTCGGCAGCCCCATATAAGAAACACGGACAGTCTCGGTACGAGATACCGTGTAAAGTTACTGGGAACATCAAAATCGGTGACGAGGAAGAGATCAGATTTAACGCCGCCCCGGGACAACGGAACCACAGTTGGGGTGTGCGCAACTGGTGGGTGGCTGACTGGGTGTGGTCTGGCCTGCACTTTTTAGATGGCACCGACGTCTTTATCATCGCGTTGGGCAAAGGACCAGACAGTACGGGTGCGTCGGGATACATCCAGAAAGATGGCGGAATAAAAGAGATTACTAAGGTAGTTAATGAATTCGAGTGGCAGGATAACGGACTACCTGGAAAGTTGAGACTGCTGGTCGAGCCTGGCGGTATGAGCATTGAGTGCGAGGCGATCGCGGCTGGCGGTCTGCGTCTTTTTGATCCCGAGGGTCGAGAGGCGCATCTGCCTCGAGTCATGTGCACCGCCAGGACCAGTGATGGGAAATCAGGGGTGGGATGGTTGGACTTTAATCGGGTTGTCAAGCGCGAACCAGGGGATGTAAGGAATGGTCAAGCAAAGGACGTATAGACGAAGCATACAAGGAAGATGGCGAGAAGGAAAGAATGCGAATACAGACGCAATAGAGCTAGATGGCCATCACCAAGATAGGCTACGCCTAAAACAGTAAATTTTGGTTGGATCACGTGAATTTGCCCCACTTGCTTCCCCAAGGGCTCTAGCGTGATATAGTCTAATCTAGTCCCTCCCCAGGTCATAATAGAGCGGCATGGCCATGCACCCCAATTCGCAGTCAAGCTACTCAGGGCATTTCCACATCTTGGCTCCGACAACGGGGAGGCTGGGGCAAAACCTGTTCGGAGACGCTGTAGCCTCCCCGCCCCGCAATCTTGGATTCCAAGGAACAAGCTGCGGCCCAGGCCAGAATGTCCTTTTTGCCTCCGCAGTGGCTGCACTCGTGGGTCGATCCTTCGCGCGCCAACAGAGGCACGAAAGGGCTGGCCACTGCCACACCTTGCATTTCAATATCGACATCGATCTAGTTTACGCGGTACGTACAAGGTTCATACATACCGACTACACACTATCGAATACCCTCTCACCCCTCGCAGAGTCATCGAAGCCAGATTCTCCCGCTCCTGTATACCGCTTCTCCTTCATTACCGCGCCCTCACATCGATGGCCGACCTACTGTCCTACTTATAGACCGGAATGCTGACCTCGGAGAGGGACCGAGTACGCAGCTGACGTAGCAATTATCAAGAGCTGGACGGACCGTCGCAGACGGCAGGTCGACTTCACTTTATGCCCGCAATATGATGAGCTCAGCTCGTGACATGACCAGGTACTTGAGTACTTGGGTAGTGTGTAAAAAAACTGTTCACCCTCGGCTCACCTTCCGCTCCCTGAGTGCTCCCTGAGTGCTCTCTGGGCCTTGACGTTACTCTTCATTCAGAACACTAACTCTGGTCAATTTTAGACGACGGGATCCATTTGGGACGCTGGAGGATCCTAATTCGGCCTCCCTTTCCAATCCGCCCGGACTGCTCGGTTGGGTTCCTCCTGTGGTGCTTGCTCTCTTGAGTAGGAACGATAGATTTCCACCTACTTCGTTCGAGTGCCCGATGGAAGACCAGCCTGGCCCTCCTGGACACAAAATACCCTGTTGTTACGAGTCACGTCTCACGTGAAGTATCCAACGCGAAACCCGTAGGGTTTATCTGGACCGGGGCAGTGCGCCTAGCCGGGAGTGGGAAGTATAGCACTTAGACTAAATAGTAAGTAGTCCCTTCTAGTTGTATCATTCATGATGCTTGAAAGCTTCCCTGCTTACTATCAGACGTTGCACGCCATGACAGTCGAGCTTGCTGCCTAAAATAAAAAACTAGAGCCGCAACTCGATCACGAAAATTATGGAATTCTTGCCATGTCTCGAATTTTTAGTATTCGGATCTGAGTGAATGCACTCCAGACTGTAGGCTTCCCCTTATCCAGAATGAACGCAATCAGAGCGAGCGTCGAACATAGCTCTGTCTTAGTCGGAGGTGTTTCTCACGAGCCAGGCCCACCAACTGCTACGAACCCGTTCAAATGGCCCTCGATATCGCTTTGGAGACGAGAAGACTTTGTAACTCTATTGCTGTCTTCATGCGCATCCGGACTTGAATCTCTCGTCCTCTTTCGACTCACCACCGCCTGCTGAGAAACTAGTGTGTCGGGGTTTTGTAACTGTGTTGGGGTGGCATCTTGATCTAGCGTCGAGGGGACATATGCCGCCCAGTTCTGGAACAACGAGTTGATTTGATGAAGACCAGTCGACGCCCGGGAAACGGGCCAGAGGAGGCCAAAGCCGTGTTTTTCATAGTCCCAGAGTTCAGAATGCACCTTGGACAGACCATATTCTTTCAGAAACTCCAATACATGCCATTTTCGACAGGTTGTCAACCTGACGTCCGCACCACACTCACTCCTAAACATTTCGAGGATTGCAGGCCCGTTCAAACGGACAAGGCAGTGTCGCCTTGGATTTGACAAATAATCCGGAATGAGAGAATAGCTTGCAGAAGCCACTCGATCCTGAAACCACTGTCTAGGATCAAGCAGGTAAAGACCGTTACCCTGGACAGTGACTGCAGTTCCGATGGTCCCAGGACCCATCTGAGATGTCCGTATGATGATTATCATTTTCGAGAGGTAGCAAGACATCGCTACTCTCCAAGAGAACCGTTGTGTAAACAATGGAACGGCGTTCGCGAAGTCCATAACGACCAACGATGACAGCACACAGATAAACCTCACAGTCTGCTCTGAGCGGCGGAAAATTGCTATTGAAATAAATAATCGTTGATTGGGATTGGTCCACCAATGCAAAGGTTTGGTAGCTGCTATCATCTTCAAAACGAGCTGCGAAGGTCATCTCTGTGTTGAAATGCGAACGCAAGGCTGCGTTCTGGCATATCTCGCCGAGTTCGCTTGTTACATCGAGTAGATTGCATCCGTTGTTCTGATGAAGATAATCGGATCGTGTGCTGTACCGGAAGGAATTGTTGCTACCTCTCGTGTCGACCACTTCGTACTAGCTGACCACAGTTCTGAATTTGGAGGGAGCAGTGGGCTTCCCTCACAGCCTTTGGCTTCATTGCGTTGAGACCAAGCTGTGCCATCTGACCAGAGCGCGTAATTGGCCGTGAGCACCTGTAGAACCGGGCTTCCGTACTCGACGCGGACTGCAGCTCGAGTGGCCTCGTCAGTCATAGCTAAAAGGCCATAAAGTCCGTCTCTCGGATCCTGGCAAAGAGCTGCGTGGAACAGACGCATGAGGCCGTGCATTGGTCTTGCGACAACCTTGCCTCGTTTCAGTGTCCAAATCGAGGTGAAGATCTGCTTATTTGCACTCTGTGGCTTCACACGGTTACTGGATGATGATTGACGCGGCTGGGCGACATATCTCAAAGTATCCCAATCCGTAGACCGAAACCCTGCCACAATCCAGAGATTTTGAGCAAGTAACACCTCTTGGATGATCCAAAGTCGGCCCCAGTACGAGCGGCTGATCAAATTGGTAACGGCGCGCTTACCAGCTTTGTAGCCTCTTTGAATGGCAGAGTGCTTGGCCTTTCGCTGGCGCAAATAGCGTGCTCTGTCCAGGTAGTCGAATGCAATCTCACTGTCCGCTGTTGCACTGCCGAGCCATGCAAAGACGCCAGTGGCTGAAGTGTAGATGTCGGCCATCATCTTGACTTGCCAGTTCCTCTCGGGGATATCGCGTTGATTGATACACAAGAAATCCACCCAAAGTCTGAAACTCGTATCTCCATGATGTTGTCGTAGGCTACTTAAACACAGCCATAGATTTTTGCGAATAAGGACCTGCTCCTCGTTGACGGTGATTGCGCTGGTCTCACCGGCAGCAATAGGATAAAGCGTAGAAAGGATTTGCTTCTGATAGACGAACCCTGGCAAGTGCACAACGAATGCTCTGGGTTTCTGGGCCAGGAAATATCGTCAAAATACGAATTTCGTTGTTAGCTTCGTTCAAAGCCTCATACTTGGAGTAGTGTGGCCATTGTTCGAGATCTTGGAAAACAACAAATACGGTTGTCTCTTTGGATGTTCCATTCTGTACAGTCGTTTCCATTCGGGCCTGGAAAGGTACGCGTTAAGCTCGGATCAAGCATCTGAGGTAATATTGTCAGGGTTGGGAACTGCAATAAGGGTGAAACCCTCAATCACAGGATTCCGCAAGTATGTTGTAGCATCTAATGAGGCAGTAGAAGGTATGTTCGTGTCGATGCATGGTACTTGGTGTGCTTCTGGGCGTACAGAAGAGCTCCTGAAGAAGTTGAGGAATGCTGCCTTTTTAGGGAGGCGTCAACGATGCTTGCCCGCGAGAATGATTACCACAGACCCCTGGTTTGTTGTTGGGGCTAAAACTGTGAGACCCCGCACTGGTCTGCTGGGATATTTCCGTGTGCAGATAAAGTCATCTACAACGAAGAAGTTATATTAAGCAACATCATTAGAAAATCGGCTGGCTGGCTATGGCGCGGATGAATAGGTAGTATGTCCTTGAACGATGTGGTTGCCTGTCCGGTGCTGCCTGCAGAATCGGTGAGTGCGCAGCTACACAGCCACCACCAAATGACAGCATTCACCCCTGGCCCTGAGCAGCATGAGCACAGCCCTGAGTCGGTGAGGGGTCCCACAACTTGGCCCCTCGGTTCCCAGTTTTCTGTGTTTCACACGTTCGGAAGGCCCAGTTCCGGGCCCCCTTCCGGTTATTCTTGCCAGGTGTACAGTACTCTCAAGGCAACTTTTCTGATCAGACTGCTGCCTAACGCGGGGGAGCTTCAATGTTGCCATAACCGTCGATGCAAAATCAGTCCTTCTAACATCGCGTGCTTATATGTGACCTAGACCTTGGCACAGTAACGTCAGTTTGACTGGATCTATTGATGATACCTCTACAATGTTCTTAATATCGTAAACAAATGCACTTTGAACTTCCTCTGTCGCCACCACGCTCTCCTAGCGACGAAGTTAGCCCTACCGCTATTACGACCAGTTATATTTGATATTTTGCTCGCGGCGTGCTGTAAACCATCTGTGTTTCAGCCTTACATCAACAACTATGCCATGGGCTTCATTGACTGTTGAGCTTACGAGGCTTATGCCATTGGAATATGTGGGGAACTCTTTTTCATCTGCCCTTAGTCTTGCTCGAGGTTTACAAGGCTCTGGTTCAGACCTTGTCGTCGAAGAGGATGTCTCTCGGCTATTCGAACGACATCGCATCGATCCTACAATGGAATCTTCTTTCAAGACGATCATCAGCGATTCAGGCATAGGTCCACAAATTCTCGAAAACATCTTCCTTCGATTTGGACCGGGCCCTAGCGTCCTCAGAGCCTTCTCCGAAAGAAGATATATTCCGATGGTCGTCTTGTGTTCTATGCTGAGCTCTGTCTATGAAGTTTCAGATCTTGCTTCTCTTCTATATCAAGTCTTTGAAAGGCAAGCAGTAGCGAAGCAAGCCAACCCATCTACATCAGACTTTGGCGCGATACCAAGCGAGCATACAATCAAAGGTGTCCTACAAGCATGTCAGGATCAGACAAGCTCGTATGATTGGGGTCGAACTTTACTGCCTATTACCCACATGCTTGAACTAGAGAATTGTCGGGCTGCAGAGGCTATTCCACCAGCTATCTTTCGAGGAGGCATAGAAATGTTTCCGCTCGCACAACATCTCGAGGATTGCTTGGTGCATATACAATGCCGGTCTGGTGTTTGCCTTTTGGTTGCATGGACCCATAAAGTGATGGGATTGAAAATTCTGGTCAGAACTCACCAAGGACACAATCACATCGACAGGAATTTCGGCAGCGGCTCACCACAGATAATCATAGACGATTTCGGAGAATGCCCGAATTCGCTCGATGTGCCGCCTGTTATTACCTTACTGCAGACGTCTGACCGTGAGAAGCTGTTTGAGATCAGACCTGACCTAGATGAGCGTGAAATGGAGGGCGATCTCAAGCGTCCGCTCAAGGGATACGGAAAGTTTCTTTTGAGATGGAACATACGAGATGATAAAGACCACAGCAACGTTCTCCGCCTTTTTGAGACTTTGGCCACATCCATGGCAATCATGATATCAAAGGACCTATACAAAGAGTCCAGGGCAAACACGCAACACGCTCATGGCAGTGGCGACGACGCTCTGTCAGCCATGTCGATTTCAGATGGCCAAATCGAAGACCAACAATCTTCGTCAGAAGAGGAAGTCGACGACGACGACGACAACGATAGTCAGCAATGCGAAGATTCTGGTGGTCTAGCTGTACATATCGACGAGAATCGTATCATCGCTGCAGCTGAGTGTATCTTCGACAGAAAGATTACTGGATCGCACATTCGAAGTCACATATCTCGATACGCAACGAGCACCTACAATCGAAGAATGCAACCAGACGACGAGATCAGATCCCAGCTTGAAATCGACTTCGATAGGAATGAGAAGAAAGCAAAAGACTTCTTCCAACGTTTTATCCCAACCCTTCGATACCTCAGCATTGTTGTCCTTGCAGCAGCGCACATTAAGGACTTGCATTGCGCGACGAAACTTCCACTTTCTTGCTCTCTTGATCGATTGAGTTCACACATCTTAGCAGATGACCTGCTGGAGTGGAGGTGCAAGGATTTCACTGGATCGCCTTGCCTTGGACTTCAGCTTTCAGAAGACGCTTGGTTTCACGTCTTTGCACTACTGATGATCGGTAAAAACACCCATTTCGACAACAGTACAACAGCGCTAATAAGCGATCGTGGCTGGTCTGTATATTTGAGCACATTCGCTGATGCCGACCCAAGCTATGTTGAGCAATCCATTGTGGTTGTTCAACGGGGTGTGCCCTGTAGAGGGTCAGTATATAAGCACTACATCTCGGACGGCCCTAAACAGGTTGACCAACAACCTTCAAGAGTTTTATATCGCAGTGGGGAGAACGTCAACTTCGATTCTACCACCGCAGCAAGTACTGTCACGCGCCCCATGATTGGAGAAGGTCCAGATACTTTTCTAGTCACTCTCGCAATCCGCTCAAGCAGAGAACAACTTTCGCCAAGTCGGTACACGGGATATAGAGAGCTGTGTGCCGCTACATGGGGTACAAACCTAACTCTATCCTGTGATCATCCGAAGATGGGACGAAAAAGGTGGAAGCTTCCCCCGAATTGCGTTGCGGTATCTAGTGGGAGCATGGAGAGGATACACGTGGATGAGAGAGTCATCGTCTGTTTGACTGCAGGAAATGCGGCAGCAAGGTGGCGAGCTCTTCTGTCTCTTGCATTCAGTAGAGACCGTTATCGAGATGACGGGTCTCAAATACCAACTATGATTCGAAAGGAAGACTGCTGCTATAGCTGTGCCGTTGACCAGTGTCTCCGTTTACAGAAGCAGTGGTATCTTATTCTTTAGCGCTCCAAGGTGAATAAAAGATGGCTCTGCTTAACTTCTCCTCTTTCTCAGTCGTCTATTGTCGTCTTTCGACAAAGCCTTACGCATTTATATGTAGGCAGATTCTATTGTACTTACAATTGTACTTTCCACAAAATAGCGACCTTGCCCAACAGCCCGCTTCGCACCTCCTCCCCGAGGACCCCAGTTGGTGGCTCGTCACTGCTCTTAAGAGTTAGTCTATCGCCAAATCGCCCAGCTCCATCTTTCCCTCGTTCCCAGGCTAAGGTGGGGCCCAACGGCGGGGTTAGGCGCCCCAGAGAGTCTGGTGGGAGCGACTCATGCTGTGATCGAAACAGTGGAAAGAAAAGGAAACGGAGAAGGGAGCCGGGCATAGAATACACAACACGTCGACGGGCAGGAGTCTTGAGACACAGGGAAGTAGTAACGGCGTGAGATCAACGCAGCGAAGAGCGCGCATCAAGTCATCCATTACCTGGGGATCTCCGTTTCCCCTGATACAAAGGGAGATCGGATCCAGGAGGTTATCTGCACTCCCCTCAGCCGGGACAGTGGTGTTATGACCTTCGGATTCCAGAATTGGTCCATCTTAGGCCACTCGTGTAGACTTGCTATAATTCGTCGTGGATGGCAGGGGCCCAGAAACGGGACTGAGTATGGATGAAGGAGAAATGAAACAACCCGAGCAGGTGGTCGGTCGGCCTGAGCAGACGCCGATGAGGCTGAACCGACGTTGAGCCTGGTCCCACGACACCTGAGTCAAATCGCCAAGAGCGTGGTCCATAAAGGGAGCGTCGGAGAGCTTGCCTGGATCGACACCTGCGTCGATAAGACAAGCAGCGCGGAGCTCTCCGAAGAGATTAATTCTATGCATTGTTGGTACCAGGAGTCGAGAGTACGATGCACAAGAAATTTTAGGCAACGTCGCAAGGAGCAGGGACGAGCAGGTCAGCCAGGTTCACTCAGGATTATCTGAAACCAATGCCCTAGCGTGAGAGGCAAGTTTAACCGATCTCTGGGGAGCCAGAATAGGCCCCCTTCGTAGCTCCGGGAGCCCTAGGGCGCTCAGGGGTGCTCAGTGAGGCTCAGCTAAAGACTCAGTTAAAGGTCAGGTTAAAGCAGCTCTCGCTCACCCTCTAGGATCAAACCGTAAACGGTAATGAGGATTTTCGTTCTCGAGTAATAGAGGTCCTCCTCGGTAAACAATACAAAACCATCAGAGTGATCCAGCTTAGTGGCTTGGTGGGGAGATATAAAAGGGGGATTCCTCCCCAGTGGGACGTACACAGATACCTCGTCCATATGATAATGCTATGGATATCCGTACATTCGACATACACAGTCCCAATATCCTCGGTTCACTCACCAAGCCGATCCGCTGGTAGGGAGTAATTATGAGGGAAGATATGCAATCGCATTAGAAAGTCAGAAACTGCGCCTTTGGATGTTAGTCTGGCTACTACTTGGTAGCTACACGTACCGAGTTGTCCCAGACCTACCAACCACCCACTCATTTCTCAGTCTCTCACTCAGTCTCTCACTCAGTCTCTCACTCAACTCGCTCAACCACTCTTTCAGACATGTCCTCAACTCGCACGCACACATGTAGATTAGACATTTGTGATATTTGATTCGCGAGCTCCCAGAGCCCCCAACGGTAAATTCTATATTTTAGTCAAGTGTTAATATACTCTTCTCAGTCTCTCTCCCTCTCTCTATATGATTGCTCTGGATTTTTTGTGAAACCCTCCTCCTCGCAAGAAATGCTTTGTGAAATTTAAGGGGGAAAAAACAAAACAAAAACCAAAAAACACCAGACTCCCCCCTCCCGCCTTGGTTGAAACGTACACAAACTGCTTTCTTTCTCTCGGTCTCTCACTCCTTTCACTCACATACACCACACCACTTGGACACACCACACCTCGAGAAAACCACCCACAATAAAAAAAACATTGCCACCCTTTGTCTGCGTCTAGAACTGGTTGCGGACTGACGAAAGGAGATCTCAATGTAAGAATGGCCAAGACTGGATCTTGAGAGGGGATTCTCCGAAGAAAAGAGTGGCGAGTGGTCGACGCCACAGATGGCGACCAGTGCTTTTTCAGTGTCAAGGCTCGTAAATTGTAATTTTTTTTTTAATGCTCTGCATTCGTCGTCCGCGGATTGACGTTTGAATCTGCACCCTTCTCCGCCCCAGTGCTCACGCCGGTGTCTGCTCTCTTCTCTCCAATGGCGGTCTCGACGGGTCCGTCGACGACACTGCCCGCTTTGCTCTCCTTCGGGGTGGCAACTTCCTTCTTCCCCTTGTTCATCCGCTTGGGCACGCGGGCGAGCCAGTAGAAGAAGACGGCGCCGAACACGTTGAAGACAATGTACGGCCACATCAGGCCAAAGTTGCGCCACATGTGGTCCGGGTTGGAGGAGACGGTGGCCAGGAAGTCGTCGGTAGTCGCGATCTGGCAGTAGCTGCAATTGCTGCCCGAGGGGTCTTGCAGGTATCCGCCGGCGACGGCCATGTAGGCTCTCATATACTCGGCACACGTCTGGCCCGCGGGGGCTGCGAAGTGGAGATACTCATTGGCGGCACAGGTGACGGTGGTGTGCGCCACGGACGTGCTGAGCATGCCGTCAATGAGATATGTAAAGGGCGAGACGCGGTACATGAAGATCCAGAAACCGGGGAGCGCCTTGGGCCCGACGAGGACACCGCAAAAGACCAAGGTGAGCGAGAAGGTCATGTTGGCGATGTTGCCGCCCGTCTCCGCCGTGTCGATGGCCGCAATGACCATGTGTGCAAACGTCGACGTGAAGAGCAAGAAGGCCAGGATCAGCAGGAACATCAACGCGCCACGTTCGTGGACGGCGTCCGTCGGTTCCGCATTCCGGTACAGGCCAATCGGGTAGTACCAGGTGAAGTAGATGAGGATGGCGCAGAGTGTGGACCAGGGCAGCTCGACGATGATGTTGCTCATCATGAATGCCTGCCACGAATACGTCTTGCTTGGTCGTTCGCGGACCTCGTAGAGTGAACGTTGAGTGACGAACAAGGGCATAATTTGCTGCACGAGCTGGCCGAAGATGGTCATCAACATGAAGATGCCGAACATCTGGTTCTGGAGACCTTGCTGCGTGTTCTTGGCCTTAAAGAAGGAGAAGCCGATGAAGAGACCCTGACGAAAGGACATGGTTAGCGCCAACAACAGCGAAGAAAGGGGGCCGGAGTACTCACAGAAGCGATACAGAGAGACAGTTTGCTGTAAATGTAGGAAGGCGTACGCCAGTATTGCTCAAAGACACGCTTCAGAACCTCGTAGAGCTGCACGTAGAACGGAGCGGCGAACTCGCGGTAGCTGGCTTTGTTGGCCCGGTTCGAGACCGTCCGGGCGAGTTGACAACGCTCTGCCTTCATTTGAGAGAGCTCGGCGTGTACATCCCTGTACTCGGGCGACGTGCGCCACGTCTCGACCCAATCGATCTCGGTGTGTGAACCAGGTGCGGCGCCGATGACCTCCAACATCCACTCGGCGGGATTCGCGTCGGGCGGGCACTGATGAGCGCCGTTGCGTTCAAAGTAGTTGATGAGAATCTTCGACGACTGCCCCACGGGCCCGAAGTAGACGGTCTTGCCGCCGCTGGCGAGGAAAAGGAGCCGGTCAAAGCGCTGGAAGAGCATCGCTGAAGGCTGGTGGATGGTGCAGAGAATGGCCTGCCCGTTCTGTTTCAGCTTCTCGAGGAGATCGAGGATGGACCACGAGGTCTGAGAGTCGAGACCAGAGGTAGGTTCGTCGAGGAAAAGCAGCAGTTCTGGCTTGGCCGCCAATTCCACGCCAATGGTCAAACGCTTGCGTTGCTCCACGTTGAGGCCTTCGCCGGGGACACCCACGACGGCATCGGCGTACTCGGACATGTCGAGAATTTTGATGATCTCGTCGACGTAGTCCAATTTCTCCTGCCGTGGGATATGTGCGGGTTGACGGAGGAGCGCGCTGAAGTTCAAGGCTTCTCGCACCGTCGACGTCTCCAAGTGAAGATCTTGTTGTTGCACGTAGCCAGTTTTGCGTTGGAAAGACTCGTCTCGTTGGCGACCGTCGACCAGCATCTCGCCGGAGATGACTCCCATCGTCACACGGGTGGCCAGGACGTCGAGGAGCGTCGTCTTTCCAGCCCCGGACACGCCCATCAAGGCAGTCAAGGTGCCCGGTTTGACCCAGCCATCGACGTGGTCCAAGAGCCGACGTTGGCCACCTTTCACGGAAATATCGTAGCAGACGTCGCGCCACTGGAAGATGGCCGTTTGTTTCTGAATGACGGATGACATGTCCTCCGCGGTATTGACCCTCTCCACCGGGGCGGCTGTCGCGACATCGCCAGTCTCGGCGTCACGAGGGAGCTTCAGTCTCAGCGCAGGGGGAGTCTGACCGCGACGGAAAACCAGGACTTCGCCCTTGGATTTCTTGGCCTGGACGAACTCGGCTGAGACCAGGTAGGTGCAGAACAGAAAGATCAGAAATGCGATCAAGATACCGAAATTCCTCCACCTGTGGGAAGCGTAGTATTTGTAGTTGCTGTTGATAAAGTCATCGCCGTTGACAAAGGACTGACCGGGCCGAGATCCCACCGTGGCGCAGACGTGGTTTGAATCCCCGTACCCAGGACCGGACGGCACGAAGAAGGCGCAGTCGAAATTCCGTCCGGAGAACTCGTTGATCATCAGCGACTCGAAGCCGTACGCGACCGGGTCAAGGTAGTTGATCCAGCGTGCCCAGCCAAGCATATAGTTGACGGGGATGGCAAAACCGGTGTAGATGACGATGGCGAGGATGAGAATGGCGGCCGGTGCCAGAGCTTGACTCAGGGTGCGGGAGACCGAGGCGATCGTTCGAAACAGCATACTCATGACCAGCGTCAAGGTGAAGGAAATGAGGAGGAAGAAGAAGAATGCGCCGGGCTCTCTGCGGAGATTGGTCAGGAAATACAAGGTGATGTTGAAGATGATGGCATTGCAAATCTTGTACGGCATGTCCGTCAACATGGAAGCGTATGCCTCGGTCGACGGGTGATACAGCGCGTACCGTTGGTGCTTCTCGACGATTGGCCGTTGCGCATACAGCGTCAGGATTTCCAAGGCAGCGCTGAAGGCGTTCATGAGAATGGCAAAGAAGAGCAAGGCGCCGCGCGAGTAGAACGAGTTGGTGGTGTCGTCGAGGTTGTAGAAGATGGAACCGATGATCAAGGCAAAGACGTTGTTTCCGATGATAGAAGTCAACGTCAGACTCGGGTCGGCGATCAACCTGCGGAACCCTCGCCAGAGACAGAGTTTGACCTGTTGACCGTACGACAGCGTGTAGGGCGACGACACGCGTTGCCGCTTCGCCTGCTGCAGTCTTCTTGATTCCTTGAAGCGGTTCAGATCCTCGCCGCCGAGGGGATGCCTCTGGTCAAAGTCTTCAATCTCTTTCAGTAGTTGAGCACGTTCCGGCGACTCTTTCCAGGCCTTCGCAAAGTCGTCGGAGGTCCGTGGAACCCGGTTCTCAAAGCCTTCGCGGACGATTCGTTCTTCGGGGCTCGTCATGGACGTCAAGAAGTCGGCGGTGGTCTGTCGGTCGGGGCATTGGAAGCCCATACGGACAAAGTAGTCTTTCGCATCCACGGTCCGGCCGAAATAGATCTGCCGTCCCTCATACAGTACAATAACCTTGTCGAAGAGGTCGTAAGCTGCCTGGGGAGCCTGGTAGATAGCCACCGCGGCCGTGTTATTGAGGATCTCGGTCGAGAGACGCAGGGTTTTACAGAACTCAATGGCGTTGGCACTATCCAAACCACGGGTGCTATTGTCCCAACATTGAAGAGGCGACATGTTCAGGGTGGCTTCGGCGATACTGACACGTTTCCTCTCGCCTCCACTGACACCCCGGATGAAGTCGTTACCCACGCGAGTGTTGAAGGTGTGTCGGATGCCAAAAGTTGCCATAATAACGTCTCGCATATGGCACGCGTATTCGTCGGCGGAAACGTTTCCAGGTCGATGTCTCGGTGCTCTTGCACGTGCGGCAAAGTAAAGAGTGTCACCAACCGTCAACTGGGGAAAGTGGACGTCCTGTTCAGCGGTGTAGATAGCCTCGCCGCGGAAGTGCTTGTGCATCTGATCAAAAGGAATCCCCTGGTAATTGACGTATGAATCCTCGTCGACGACGAAACCGTGTGTTTCGCCCGCCAGTGTCTTGAGGAACGTCGAGCAGCCCGACCCAGGAGGCCCGAGAACGACGAGCATTTCTCCATGGTTCACCAGTCCGTCGAATCCTCGAAGGATGTCGATTCTGCGTTGTCCTATGTTCAGGAGCTTGCGAGCCATGCCGAGGATTTCTAGCGGGGCGTTGCCGACTGTCTTCTGGTAGTCAGTGGCCGATCCAAAACCGTGGGCGCTCAGGTTGCGGAATGCCACTCCGGCGGTCCTGGCAAGGAACCGGTCGTCTTTGTTCTGCAAGTTAAACAGAGCCTTGATCCAGTCGTGGGTTGAGAAATTCTCGGAAGTGGGATCTAGGGAAGAGCCTGGCGCAGCTTGAAAGGGATTGGCATCCTCAGTCTTGGTGGACGTTCGTGAGAACTGTCGAGCCAGATATCTGACGTGAACTTCCTCATCCTCTTCGTTCTCCGAACTTCGAGATTGATCGCCCGTCGGTTTTTCTTCCATGCCCGCCGAGCTCGTGCGACGCTCGTGACTGGCACCGTGGTGTGTAGTGGATGAATCCTCCATGGCTATGGAGCGACGGCTCTCGTGAGATTTGACCCGTGACGGGCTGTTGGGCTCGTCATGTGATTCCCTGCGGTAGTGTCCCAAAAGCCCTGGGCCTTGTCTCCCGGCACTGCTGTCGTAGTTGGAGGTGAAATTACCTACGAGAGACATCTTAGATGTCCTCGTTCCCGGTGGGAGAGCAACCCAAGTTGAGGGGGGATTGCCCTCGCGTTGCTGTCACAGGGGAGGACGGTACGGCGGGTTGAATTAATCAGGGTTGGATAATGAGCCGGCAAGTATGTGGTGGGCTACCCCGAAGGAGACGACTGAGCCGCAGCCTCAAAGAGAATCAGTCTATGAATGAAGGACCAAAAAAAAAAGAAGAAAAAGGGAAAATGGAACGGGAGACTGGCAAGGAATCTGGGAGCGCAGTGTCGTAAGACTTCGTCTGCAGGTCAAGAACGATCTTATATTGGCAACTCTAAACAAATCTCAAGTCTTGGAATGCAACCGCAGGCCCTATGATGGGGATGTCGATAAGCTGTTCGCATCCGTTGGTGGATCGGGGCGGAGCATTTGTGCGTCGCTGTCGTCAGGGGGAAGGACGACGGCGGACGAAGAGTACAAGAATTAATCGAGATGTGCACCGGCTACGGAGAGCTTCGGGTGCACAAGGAACGAAATGCCAATATCCAGGACGTGGCCATGTTTTGACGCTGGGCTTGTGGCAATCACACTGGCGTGACTTGGGGTGGGAGAGGAAAAGCATGTCAAGGCGGGAATCGTATGAACTTCGGAGAGATTAGAGTTTGGCGCGAGTCAACTGCCAATATCAACATTGGCCCTGGCTCGCCACATGACTCAAGCTGCTCCATGGTCCCCCACTCTGCTCCTCTTGCCCCACCATTTCATTGGACTAGACCCTGGCGCCGAGCCCTGCACAATTTGCCAGTTCTCCTTTCGGGTATTTTATGAACTCTGCCTCGGCAGCCGGAATAACGACGGCGTGGGTGCATCCGGTCCTACATAACTGTACGACACTTCCCTACCGAGGAAAGTCTCCTTCTCCAAATCCACCAATGAGAGAGCCATATACCATATTCGTTAAGGTGTACGCCCTCGGGTGCCCTCGAGGAAAAGTAATGATCAGGAGATCAACATGCTATTTTAGCCGTCTGGAAATTCGAGAAATTCTCTCTAGTATGAATTCGGGTGCTTCGTACGAACGGCGATTGCTTTAGCTGCGATTGTGCTAGCTGCGATATAGGGCGGTGAACGGAAAAGTACTGTACACCTGGACATGGTCGTGCGTTCATTTCTTCGGACTTCTCTACAGTCCCCCAAGTTGTTAGACAGACCATGCAATGTCATTCACTCAGCACGTAAGCACATGGAGAACCTTCTTATCGTTCATAATTGAGCTTGTGTTTTCTTTGGCTAACGAACGCAGATCTCTATGCTCATCAACATTTCAGTTCCTCGTGGGTCTGGAACGAAAGCCGTTCAATGTCCACTCAGATCTGGCCGTCCAACTTTCCCCCGTCTTCGCCGCCCTGATCAACGGTAGTATGGTCGAGAGTGTCGAAAGACGGGTTGTCTTGGACGACATCGACGAAGGGACCTTTCTGCGCTTCTGCGAATACGCCTACAAGGGAGACTTTTCGGTCCCTCCGCCCAAAACTGTCGTGGACCAGGAACTGCCGTCGTCACCACAAGTGGAAACAGTCGACGAAAAGTTCACTTCGAGCCATAACAGGTCTCTCTCCACTGATGTTCCTGTTGGAAAAGTCCTCGATGGCGATAAAGGAGAAGGGTTCAACGTATTGGCACCGGGTTTGTGGCCACCGGTCCGGCGTGACCACCACAAACCAGCTTGGAGGCACCAGATTTCTCGGCCAGTCTCGTGGCTGCGAGGGCGAAGAACAGTCCGCACCACCGACAATCGCGTGAGGGACTCCCTGGTAAAACCTGCAGTCGTCTCAAATCTCCCCGATCCAGGCTCGAAGCTGGCCGCCGACTGGGCCAAGTTCTGCAACGCTTCGACAGACTGGGACGGCCCTCTTTTTCGACCGTACAAGAACTACGCGCCCTCGGAGAGCCTGACGGAGATGCTCCTGTCCCAGGCGAGACTGTACGTCTTTGCCGACAGATACGTCATTGAGTCGCTCAGATCGCTGGTTCTGTACAAGATGCGCCGTTCATTAGCCTCGCTCAAGCTGTTTCCCGAGCGCGTACCGGAGGTGTTCCTGCTCGTCCAGTACGTCTATGAAAACACAAGGGAAGGCGACGACCTCAGGGCCTTGCTGACGCAATTCATCGCCTGCATGATCACCGTTTTTCTGCAACACCCCGACTGGGACGGATTCATTCGCCAGCAGCACATTTTCACCATGGATTTGTTGAAACATTTGAGAGATAGTGTGGAGGTAGATGATGGGCGGAGGAGAAGCGCCGCATAATAACCTTTTTTTTTTCTTGGTTCTCTTCTTCGGATATACACCCTTATCAGGGTGCTGGCTGCGCCACGAATGTTTGTGTCGGTTGGGCACAAGTTATATAGATGGGGCTCTTTGGTCCTTAGACCAGTGGTTATCAAGCACCATCACTTCAACCTGTCGGCTACGGCCCAGCTCCGCGAGGAAGACCACCACCAGCATTTATGGAGGACGGACCCGCAGTGTCTCTGGCCGAGCATAAAATCCAGGACGTGCCGCCTATGAGGCTGCCGCACGGAGATTGGGTATGCAGGAAGAAGAGGGTTCGCAGATAACACAGACGAGATTGCGTCCGCAAAGCGTGGAATTAATGTGACGGCTGCTCACCATCAACAGATCGCCCTGTGTGAAGCGGTGGCAGACAGATATGCGAGGTAGCTTGCCTACCTACCAACTCGTAGGTACCTAGTTCTCCCGGTGGAGACAAGGGAACCAGAGAGTGAATGAGGTTAATTTTGCATGGCGAGGAAAGATGCCATTCCCACGAAAGCTCTGACTTTGTATAGTCGTCTAAAGCATATAGATTTGGGGATTTGGGGGATGTGTTATGGAGTGATGAGGAATCGAGAAAGGTCCGACTATAAGCACTGTGAGAAGGTTGCATACCTACGCCCATCTTCATATCTTCACATCTTCACATGTCTCTCAACTTCCATGCATATTTGTACAAAGTACAAGTACATACTTTGTCCTTTGTACACTGTGGGACCTGAGCGCAACGAATCGGATCAATTTCAGTGGGAGAAATATAGTTTGATACACTTCTATCGGCGGTGCAATCAACACAGCAACCCACCAAACCCACCAAACCCACTTACTCTCCCGAGTAAGAAGAACCAAGCCATTCGGCGTCCAATTCTGGAGACTTTGAGGACTCTGAAGCTCGTCCCTTCTTGTTCGAATGATTCGTATTCGAACCAATACGAACCACTTATTGAAAACACGAGACTCGGGAAAGCCTTCAACTCCCCCGCTCCCTCAACGGCAACTCGTTTCCCGTTCTCTTAACGGCGGCTTGTTTCTGCATCGCCCGAAACGGACTTTGGCTCTAGGCATCAAAAACCAAGCTCCAGAATTTGGTGGTTCTCAACGACCCTCTCTGGCGGTGGGTCGATGCACGATCTCACCAGCGCCTTCGCCAACTGAGTAATGGCGACGGCGGGCGTCATCAACGACGCGATCTTGCCGAGAAAGATGCTCTCATCGCGCACGACCCCACCGGGACGGAGCACGATTGCCTCAAACATATCTGGATGGGTATCGGCGATGTCGAGCAAACCCCATTCAGCAGCGCCCTGGGGAATGATGGAACATCAGTAACGATCGTGACAAGGTAACTGAGCCTGACAAGGAAAAGAAAAAAAAGAACAAGTTTGCCGCCGACAGTGCGGTACACCGTACCTTCAATTTCCGCGTGTCGGACAGACATCTCTCACCAAGGCGTTGGCGGCGGCTAAGGCGAAATCCACGCTGACCGTCCTCGCAGTCTGCAGATCGGGAAAGTCCTCCACCTTCCCTCCCAGACACCTGGGAATACCCTATGGGATTAGCCCTTCTACCTGGCCCAAAAAAAAACATGGTGATATTTGGGACTACTTTACCAAACACAGCCTTGAATTCCGCGGAGTTGTTCGAGGAGGTCTGGCGGATAGGATAAAAAGTCCTCGTGCCGTATCACCTGCACCTTGGGACGTTGGCTCAGTCTCTCGTCAATGTCGCGCCTCGTCAGTACAATGACGGAGGAAATCCTCGGGTTCTCGATCGCTTGGACCACGACTTCCCTCCCGACAAAACCAGTGGCTCCCGTGAGAACGATCTTCATCATTACAGACTAGACACTCGAGACACTCTATTGAATTTGGGTTTGCCGTTCAACTTGTTTGACAACAGTGATATAACAAGTAGAACGTGTGAGTCTTTGTAGGAGCTATCGAAGCTGGAGTGATCGCGCGAAACGGCGATGCAGACAAGGTTGTCCTTGTCCTAGACTACTTGTCAAGGGTATGCCTGGGCCAGATTGTTGGGAGATGCTTCGGACATAGACCATGTAGCGTCCGAGGCAGATGCATTTGATAGGTGGAAAAGAAAACCCCTGCTCCTTGTATCGCATCGTGTTACATGGGCCACCTGTCTAGTCAGCTAAACCCGTGACTGAGACATACAAGTACACCGTATGTGCTTGGGAGAAACCGGGTATTGCAGACAACGACACGGGGAAAGGCTGAGCGTGCAGGACTGGCAAATTGGAGTTTTCGATGGTCAAGGGAAACCTCCACAACAAGGACCACAAAAGTAGAGACGGAGAACCGAGGGACGAGGATGTCAATGTGCTTGATCTGGCGCAGTTGAGTAGACACAAGATGACGGGTGGAAACGAGGAGAGTGACGGGGACATCACCTCAATCCAAGGCGAGCCAGCCTCATACGAGCTCAAAGCGCAAAGGAAAACCCCGGGCACTCATCTTAATCCTCAAGATTCCCGGGTGATAGAACCGACCATTGTCTGGAATCTCCTACGGTCTTTGACATTGGGGAGATGTTTCGAGGGAAGTCTTGCCAGGCGTTGCTCACCGTCTAACTCGAAATCAACTCCGGCTTCATGACAAACACGCTGTGCATAGCTGACCAGCCATGTGGCGCCCCCCCTTCAACGCCTCTAGCCTTACCAAGACTCGACCGCAACCTGTAAGTGAAGCTTGCAACCTAAATATCTTGTCTTCGACTTGTCGTTCAATCATTTCAGTCATCATGTTGACCCCTCAGACCTCACTGGTATCACCGCAATACTCGATCATAAGTCTGTCCTTTCACAGACCCGCCTCCCATCGCCGTCCTTGCATTACGCCGGAAACCCTCTCGGTTGTTTCGGAGATCTTCAGCCGCCTCCTTGTTGAGCGGATCGGACGCATTGGGCTCGAGGAAGAGAAACTATTCAGCGAGTTAGTTGCCACCCGTGACGCTCGACATTGCATGGAGAGTTTACCTGCATGCCCACGATGACGGCGTTTAGATTCAATACCGGCTTCCAATCCTCTCTTAGGATATTCAAGCAGACATTTCCATCTAGGTCAATGTTTGGATGGTAGATCTTCTGCGTACATTTGACCTTGGGCGGATCGTGCGGGAAGTTCTGGTTGATGGCAAAGTTGAACACAAAGCTACCACCCTTGTACATGCCTTCATCTGGTTCGATCGTGAGAGTAAAGTTGAGGATGTCGTCGGGATTGGGAAATGTCGTCTTCATGGTCGACCCGAGGGACAATTCACTTAGATCTGCGAGAAACTGTATTAGACGCCTCTCCAGCCAGACAAAGGGAACCGTTCACCTTTTTGCACGCGAAGTTGAGCGGCTGTGACCTTCTTCTTCTTCTGCGTCACTCCTTGTGCCTGTTCATCCTTCTGTTGCTGTTGTTTCTGCAAATTGCCATCAGTGATTTGCGATAGGCACTGGGAACCGCTCGTACCATCGACCATATTTTCATCATCTTGTCGGTCGGTCGTCACCACGGGGTGACACAAGAACTCGATCGATATGTCCCTCTAAAGAACTCTGTGAATCAGGCCAGAGAGCGTGGAGGGCAGGGGGTGGTCGACGGAGGCGGGCGTGTTAGTCGGATCGGGAAGAGGAACAAAGAGGGCAGGGCGCAGCTTGAAACTCGGCGTTCTCGTGTCTGCTTCCGTGAACGGGTGCGGGACAGCGGAGGCAGGACAATGGAATATTGGCAGTGCAAAGAAATCCACGAAAGAGAAATTCACAAATAATGTAGATGATGTAGATGGTTATCACGATTTACAAGTCCGGAAAGTCAGAGGGTAAGGCCCTGCGGTCGAGTGCCACTTGCTTGGATCATGTATGTATGGGAACCTGGCGTGCTCACATGACGCGGGTGGCATCCACAGCCCTCGCTTCCTTGCAGGACCAGCAAACATAAACGCAACACTTTTATCCGATACATGTATTTATTCCAAACCCCAACACCATTTTATTGTGAGTCCGCTGCTAAATCCGACAGGAACTGTGTCTTCACCAACTTCAGCCCCAAAGGAGACCGATATCGGAAATAAGCTTAAGCTTCTCCCTTCAAGGCCAACCGTGATCCAAACCTGACCATATCCAACACACTGGGAGGGACGACTATCTTCTATTGAAACAGCAAAGCAGACCGGTCCTGCCAAGGAACCAGCAGCACCCGGTGAAACGCACAACGGAAAGAGCTGCCGTGGTCCATAAGAGCGCTTGGAAAAAGTGGTTGCTTCGGCTGGTTGCCCTAGACTGTGGGAGAAGTTAGCAGTGCCAATCACCGACATATGTCAAAAAACTTACAGTAAACCCAAAGTTGTCGACGCTGTCACTAGTAATGACAACCGAGAGCAAGGCATTCGAAAAGATCCACGTCGCCACCAGTCGAGTTCTGAAGTTCTTGTACGAATCTTCCAGCGTTTTGTCTTCCTTCTCCTCAGGTGGCACGTACGGCGCCAAAGCACGCCGCACTGTAGCCTCAAATTGAGAGTCGATGTCGGCTTGCGGTCGGTCCACTTCTTCCACAACCGTCGCCTTGCCCTTTTCGTCCTTCTTTGTTTGGGCCGAAGGTAGCACGTCCGCCTTGTCCGAGCCTTTGGTTCCCCACGAGACGTCGTGCCAGTTGCTAAAGGCGTAGATCATGAGGATGTTGATGAAGGACGGCATGAGGAGCAGGTACTGGAAAAACGAGGTGAACATGTGCCAAGGATCCAGATACATGAACGAAGCCACGAAATACAACCCGAATGTAGCCGCCAGCGCGATGATGACGATACCAGGTCCGGTCGAGGCGAAGAAGGATTTGAGGAATTCGTTAGCCCCTTCGTTAGTGACAATATCAGTGCCATCTTTCGAAGTGAATGCCTTGACCACCAGATACATGGACAGGACGATCACGTAAAGCTGAATGACGGCGAAGACGCAGAACGAGATGATGTATGCAACCTTGGAACCCTTGGGACGGTTACCTAAGGCCAGGATAAATTGCAAGAGCAGGAAGGCCAGATAAGCGTATTGCAGGACGGTGTTGATGATTGGTGTCGCACTGTTGCCGAACGGGAAAGCTTTGTTGTTGTTGTTACTGCTGGGTTGACCCACCAGATCCATGAGAATTTTGGTGGTGAGCCAGAAAGCCGCGAGCGAGAACCAGGAAAGGATAACCGACACAATGTTGTAGATCATTTGAATGTGGAAGAAGAGCATTCGGATGATGTTGTGGCCGGATTTGTACATACGGGAGAAGTGCATGAGCGAGTAGATGGAGGCGGCAAAGGAACCGTTGAGCCAACGTCGACGTTGACCGATGAATTCTGCCGCTCCTTCAGGCACGTCGGTTTCAGCTTTGGAGGCCTTGACGTAGGTCAGATGCCATTTCGAACCTGCCTTAGCGACCAGTTCGAAACACAGGATACGATCCTCGGCCAAGAACATGTTCTTCTTGAAGATGTTCATGCCTTCGATACCCTTCTTTCCCAGCCGCTTCGACAGGGTGTGATCGCCGTGGAAATACTGCTCCAGCGGACGACCCATGATCGCTCGGAAACGATATGCTGAGAACGCACCGGGGAGCACACTGACGTAGCCAAAAGAGCTCTCCAATGGTTTGTCCAAGATGTTACTGATCTTGTATTCAAAGTTCTGCGCGGCGACCAGAGGGTTCAAGAGTTTTCGTCCAAAAACACCCCCGCGACCCAACATGGCGTGGATTTCACCGCAAGCACCTCCGAGATCCTTGTCGTTATAGAACGCCTCCCACAGAGCCATGATAGCCTTCGAGCCGGGCTTAGTGCCGGCATCTAGAAGAATACAGATTTCCGGGTTGAGGATGCGGCCAAACGCATTGAACAACCATCGGTGGGAGTTGATCTTCTTGCTGTTCTTCTGCTTTAGACAGAACATCATCTGCACTGGGGGCAACGACGTTGGGTCATTGTCGCTCGGCCGAATGAGCTGTTGATTCGCTGTCACGGAGAGCTGGGTTGTGTATTCGAAGAGATGGACCACGGTCTCCTTGCCATCGACGTCCTTCTTCATGACCCCATCTTGATACACACCAACGGTCGCAAGAACATCCAAGGTGTTCTTGTCGCACGGGTCGATGCCATCGAAGATGATACATACGACGATCTTCTGCCAGGCCGGTCCGCCCTTGTTCCAGAACTCGGATTTCTTGAGGTTGACGATGTCGCGGATATTCTGCATCACTCCGTGCAATGTGCGGGCGGTCAAGACCTTGTCTTCGTTGTAGGCCGTGATTGCGATGAGGAGCTCGGTGTGCCGGTTGTACATGGCGGGACGAAGGTTGTAGCCGTTCTTTAGGGTAAAATCATCGGGATCGCAGGTAGCAGCCGTGTAGCGCATGTGGGTAAACTCCTCGCTCCCACCCTCGAGGTCGGTCCGGTATTTGGACTGAATTGCGTTTTGGATGGCACTGGGCACCGGATAGTCGATACTCAGCACGCTGTTGACGACCTTGACTTTTCGTGTAGCGTAGCGTTTGACTGTGCCGAAGCCAGGAGCCTGTCGTTGCTTCCATGCCTCCGTAGAATTGCTGCGCTCAGTCGGATCAGGATAGCCCGGGGTAGGAAACCCGGCCTGCGTATTGCTCAAGCCATAGCCTCCCCCATACGCCTGAGTATGCTGAGGGTTGTATCCTGTGACTGGGGCTTGTGACTTGTCTCCCCCTACATACGTCTCATTCAGGGTGTAGATCGACTCTTGCCCTGGCGTCAACGGGCGGGAATGGGGGTCATCGTATTGCGACTGATATGCAGCGTTCTGGTGTAGCAAGGAATGCTCTGCTTCGTCGTCTGAATGATGTTCATTGGGGCGGTAAGCCTGCGCAAAGGGTCAGTTCGGCTCGTTTCACAAGGGGTCAGGCTCGATCCACGTACATTTCCAGGGGGGATGTCACTGAGTTGATGGCCGTTGTCATAGCCACCCGGATATTGGCTCGCCATGGCGCTGAAGTTGAAGAATGGGTGGAAAGGATATGTGGTGTTGTGCTAGAATAGGCGGTTCGAGGGTTGAGACCCGGCACCACCGCAGTTGTTATGGTTATTCCACCGGGTAAGATACGTGGTATGGCAGGCAGGTCACTGGTTCAGTGAGTAGGTGTGAGATTTTACTGACAGACTGACAGCCGCCAGGGCCGGTCAGAGGGCAGGAGTTGCTGCAACTAGGGGAGACCACTGATGGCTGATACAGCCTGTCAGAGGGAGTGCAGGGTGATGAATTAGGTGATATAGATGCGGAGACGAAAGCGGGCAAAGAAAGTCAAATCGGCGGATCTCAAAGGAGAGGACAAAGAAAGCAGGACCAAGAAGGGTCAACTGCAATCGAATTAGGATCTTTACAAGAAGAAGATGGTGATGGTTGAAAAATGACCTGTTAACCACGGAGACCGAGAGGTGTTGTTTCAGTTTTCTTGGTTTTCTGAACACCTGGTTGCACACACGCCCGCACAGCCTGCTGAAAACGCAGCTCAGCCCTTTTTGGGCAGGGTTCAAAGTCCCCTGAGCTGAGAGAAGCGAATCCGGCTAAAGGCGCAAGGAAATGGGAACAAAGCGCTGACGACAGGCATTGCACTACTGCTGGCGGGTGGCTACCAAGCCACCTACTACTGGAGGCCAGTCTCAGCCTGTTGAGCCTTCGCTTAACTGGTTGCTTCCGATCCCTGGGCTGGCGAATCCCCATCTGCTGCCCAGTGACAGAAGACTTTCAGCCGCACCCTGGCCGTATTGCCTGTCTGCTTATGATCCTTGATAGAAGGATGAGTAGAGTCCCCCCTTAGTCGTGGATTGTAATCAGACAGCCATCACTCCTGTACCTGGTGCACAGCGAGAGTGCACTCCTTGAGGGACTGCGCAACCAAACGCAGATCGTATCTCTGGATCTCAGCTATGAAACACGGGAACGAAACAGTGGATCCAGCCTGCCAGTGTCTTTGGTATCGGAGAGTTCGCCCCGTGCATACGATGGTGGCGTCCTCCACGGCTTGGGCCAAATTCTGCTCCCCCGCAGTTTTTGCTGGAATGCCTCCTGAAAGTATTCGACGGGCTGGACGGGATGGGATAATTCGCCGCATGCTTGACATTCAGGACAGATTGATTGTCGACTTCTATTCCAGTCGACTTGCCAGATGACCAAAGACTAGGACATGACCACAACGTTGTGTGCGGCCAATTCTCCATGGATCTGGCTGACTCTCACATCGCTCGCAAAGAAGCGCCACAGCGTAAGACCTTGACTTAAAAGGTATGTACCCATATTTAGATCTGCCTGAGTGAGGTCCTGCGCCACAGGTGGCAACCCTTACACAAGTTGGGACACAGAGCACTATTACTGCGCCAGGGAATATTGGAGACATATGCTGTATTCTGCGCAGAGACACGTTCCATTCCACTTCAGACGTGGTGACTTCAAACGTGCTGAGGCCGAATTGACATTGCAAATGTTGTACCAGACAGAGCTGCCCAACAGTCATCTCCGCCCCTATTCCCGGCGGATTTTCAGGCCATCTCCGAAATGAGTGAAAGGGGAGCAATATTCTTTTTGTTCTTCCTCTTCATACAAGGACGATATTCATGTGGTACCGTCATCTGAAGGCAAGTAAAAAAGGCTCGAGGGTTTCTTGAGTACTTTGCGGTGTGGGTGATGATGAAACTATTCATGTGTTACTAGAAGTCTGCTGCAACCTTTTCGGTAGCTGATCATTCCACAAGGGGTCAAATATGCCTTTGCATGCTTCTGGGCAAACAATTCATCATTGGGCTCACATGAGCTCACCTCCCGTCGATGGCTCTGCGTCGACGATTCGAACCCCGTCGTGGGTTTCGATGAGATGCTGTTCGTGGTTGACCTGAAGCTCCTCGTAAACTCTTCGATGCCTTCTGATTGGAACAAGGACCAGGTCGGGTCAGGAGATTTCAACAACTCTTCAGATTAGTACAAGTGAAAAACCCTTGCGGCAGCTTGTTTGAAGGAGAGATTTTGCGGGCGGCGCTTTTCCCCTTACAGGCACTAGGCAGCCCGTAGGCGCACCAAGCTTTCTTTCAGTGCGGCCTGTGAACCAACCGCATTCGTGGTCCACCACTGTAGGCTTCGCGTACAATGCCCCTTCATCTCCCACTCGCTCACCATCACCTTGAGTTCCCGGAGAACATCAATGCCCATTTGCCCGTCCCTGTTCGCTCGTTGCCTTTGGCTGTCCCCATCCTCTCCACCACCACTTTGTTGGCTGAAGGGTCGAGACTGCCGGTCCAAGTCAGCTGCGATTGTTTTTCGATTCCTCTCCATCCCTTCGCACTGAGCGCCCTGCAATCCTTCAAACAGCTTCATACTTACTTCGATTCAGTCTTTTCCACGTTGGATTTTGGCTTTTTGTCGAGACGTTGTCTCCTCCCACATTCTTTTGTCTGTTGTTTGGTCACCGCTCCCGGCACGGTCCAGTCATTTCCTTTCGACCACGGAATCTTCTCTTTTTCGGCACAACAAGAACTCGTGGTTGATCCACAGTCATTGGGCTCTTTATCATAATCTTTTCACTATCGCATTCTCGAACCTTGCCTCACTGCGAGCTTATCAGAAGGGTTGTAAGCCGACGACGTTACGACCGCAGAGCTCTCAAGAGACACGAGGAGGGGTTTGAGACGAGATCAATACACCTGAGTTTGACAGGTGTAATTGATCCGGTGACTTTACGGTTGTGAGGAGTAGACGATTGAAGCTATAAGAAGAGCGGCGCCGCGATGGCGTCGAATGGTCGTATGCACTCCCAGAGACGAGGATCCGAATCTAGCTAACATTCGAGTGAAGTTTTCGAGTCCTCTGCACACCACTTATTTCGTCGATGCGTCCAGTGCCCCCCTGATCCTCCCAGCTGCCCGGCATGCGGCGTGGATGAGACTTGCTCTCTAAGTGCTCAGTCGTGTGACTCGTGCGCGTCTACAACCTGTGTCAAAATTGGTTCTCTGCCTGGACAATCATCACCCAAAAAGTCTACACCTGTCGGCCCAATCGTCGGCGGAGTTGTCGGAGGTGTAATCCTACTGGCGGTGATTGCCTATGTGATTTATAGGTGCCGAATGCGCAAGAAACGACGCGCTCTGGCTTGGGATCCTCCAGAAAAGAGAGATCAATCCACGCTTCATCGAGCCAACCGTCAATCCACTAGGTCTGCTCACTCGATCGCCTCTACTGTCCTAACTCGAGCTTCGAATGTCATCCAGATTGCCTACATTCCAGGAGTAACTGTCCGGTCACCCCCAGACTCACCAGGATTCATTCCACCGGTTCCTTCGATCCCTGGAGGCATTGCCTCCAACTCTGCCAACGGGTCACCCCAGCTGGAGCAGCATTTCTTCATGCCGAAAGACTTGAGAGATTCGACCTGGTCGGACACTTCTTCCGTCGACCCGCGAATAAGCCTTGCCCCGAGCTTGGCTCGAGCAAGCGTGGCGACGACGATTTACCGAAGTGATGCTGTTGTTCCACCTATACCAGCTCAACAGGCCTTCCGAGCTCAAGCCAACGTCGTGAGTGTTAAGTCCGGTGCGAACACTCCAGGAAACTCGTCAACCCCAAGCGCGAGAACGCCACAGATCCCGCAAGTCCCACAAATGCCCAAAATAGGCAGTAGCAACAGCTCTATCGTCGCGAGAAACGTCACTGCGCGACCTATCGAAGTCAAGAAAGCCAGCTCGGCGACCAGGGTACCAACACTGGCAAATCTGGCGAAAGAAGCCTCACGAAAGAGCAGTACGGCTACAAGCTCAAAGGAGAGCATTCCGTTCTTCGTGGATGAAAAGGAAGTGGTTCCTTCACCCGCGACTTCAACTCCCCTGACTGTCCTCGATGAGTCCCCAATATCACCCCTGGTGATTCCCAAGCAGCCCTTCGCAGCCAACCACTCGGCGAGGTCATCGTCGGTGAGCGCTATTTTGCCTTTGGAGGGGTCTAAAGGAGGTTCGTCCCCGGGCCCTACACATCGGCATACCGGCAGTGCCACCTTGAGTGCCGCAATCGAGGACGCCATCAAACGTGCCCGGAATCCCGAACACATGAACGTGAGCAGCCCGACCCTACGGCCGGAACTGGTCAAGCATGATGCGGGACCGTTTTCAGATGCCAATGAAGTGAAGGAGAATTTGCCTTGATGTACAACAACCTCTTTTTTCGTTTCTCAGCCATATCCGGCCCTTTGGGACGCGGGCATGTGCCACGAGGGTCTTGACGATATTTTGGGTGGTTAGATTAGGATGATCTAGAAATCGATTTTCATGGGGGAACTGTACTCCATACCATGACGCTGGAGACATCCTACTTTTCGCGTCTCCATAAATGTCGTATATGCGTTGAATTGTACGAGGTACTCGGTACTGCCGTCGATCTGGTCTCAGTACGAATAGCAGTTCCGTGGGCCATGTGCCTCGTACGACGGGCTGGTTTCGCGGTGTTGCACATCACAGTGGGAACGCGCGCTCACGTGACTCAATTGGATATTGGTGACACGACCGCGTAGACGCGTCGCCTGCACGTTCATCCACACGCGCTGATCTGACAAAATATTGTAACCACAAACGTATTGTCAACTTGTGCAAAGCTTGCTTTCTTTCGACAAGTGGTCAATATGGGCATCAAAATGGAGGGAGATTCTTCACCACTACAGCAGCCGGCTTCGCAGGACGAGGACATTCACCTCCCTGACGCTCCAACTCCGTCGTTTGTGAACAGAAGTGAGGACAATGCCATGGCAAAGCCCTCCGAAGAGGGGCCTGTGGCGTTGGAAGATTTGTTTGACGATGAAGACGACGATATCGAGAGTGCTTTGCAATCCTCGAGTGAAGCGAACATGCCCTCCTCTCCGCCGCAATCAGCTCCCGACTCGCTCGGCACGACTGTGACTATACAGCAGGAGTCATATTCAGATCCTATTATAATGAAACAGTTCTACGCTCGACTTTTCCCCTTTCGATCCCTTTTCCAGTGGCTCAACCACTCCCCCAAACCGGGTCCCGACTTCACGAATCGAGAGTTCGCTTTGACCCTTTCGAACGACGCGTATCTGCGATACCAGTCATACCCTACTGCGGACTTGTTGCGCAAGGACATCTTGCGACACATCCCTTCCCGGTTCGAGATCGGGCCGGTTTATACTACGAATCCAAGCGAGCGGAAGACTCTAAAGAAAAGCTCCATGTTCAGACCATTGAGCAAGGAGATTGTTTTCGACATTGATTTGACGGACTACGATGACATCCGCACATGCTGTGAAAAGGCAAATATTTGTGCAAAGTGCTGGTCATTTGCCACGATGGCGATAAAAGTCGTCGATGTTGCACTGAGAGAAGACTTTGGCTTCGAACACATCATCTGGATCTATTCTGGACGTCGAGGCGTTCACGCTTGGATCAGCGACAAAGAAGCCAGAGAACTGGACGACGACAAGCGCAAAGCGATCACTGGATACTTTGAAGTGCTGAAGGGAGGTGTGCAAGGTGGCAAGAGAGTAAATCTCAAGCGACCACTCCATCCTCACATTGCCCGAAGCCTTGAGATCTTGAAGCCGTACTTCCAACAGGTCTTGATCGACCAGGAGCCCTTTCTGTCTCAGAAAGGGCAAGACCGCCTCCTTCAATTGCTCCCGGACAAAGCACTGAACGAGGCCCTGGTCAAAAAGTGGTCAAGCAGCCCAGATCGGCCCAGCATCAGAAAATGGGAAGACATTGATTCTCTGGCCAAGACTGGTGTCAGCAAGACCTTGGACACTAAGGCCTTGGTTGAAGCCAAACAGGACATTCTCCTAGAGTATACCTATCCGAGACTAGACGTTGAAGTCGGCAAGAAGAGGATCCATTTGCTGAAGAGCCCCTTCGTCGTGCACCCTGGCACGGGACGAGTGTGCGTACCCATCACATCCGGTGGTGACATGAGTCGCGCCGAAGCCTTTGATCCGCTCTCCGTACCCAAGGTCACCGAACTGCTCAACGAAGTCGACCAATTCGGCAACAACGACGCGCCTGACGCTCAGACAAATGGATACGTCGAGGACGGCGTGACCATGAGAAAGCTAAATGACTGGGAAAAGACCAGTCTCAAGTCCTATGTCGAACTGTTTGATGGATTTGTCAAATCCCTGCTCAAGAGTGAAATGGTCCGCGTCAAAAGAGAACGAGACGAAGACGGCGTTACTGGGGCCGACGGAATGGAATTTTGAAGACCCAACTCTGTGTCGTATACAGATTACCGACCAAACCGCTTCTCTGGATGACAGCTTTCTTAGCTAACGATCTCAAAGCGAGGCTTTTGCTTTCTGTGTCACCGGCGCGTCTAGCTTCAATACCCTCCTCGCATTTCCACCCATGAATTCTGCAACCACTTCGCGCCGAAAGCCTCCTTCTGCCAACAGATGCTTCTCAACGCTATCAACACAAGCGTTCCAAGTCAGCTGGGGGAAATTGGTCCCGAACATGACCTTCTTGCGTCCAGTCGTATTGGCAAAAGTGATCAGCTCCGAGGGATAGTATTTGGGGAGATACGCGCTGGTATCGATATAGACGTTCTCATGCTTCCAAGCGACGGCTACCATTTCAGCCGTCCAAGGATATCCTATGTGACCGCATATGATTTTAAGTTGAGGGAACTTGAGGGCAATGGTGTCGATGTAGGGGATCGGGCGACCTGGTTCACTCGGACACAGAGGACCGGTATGACCAACTTGGGTACAGAATGGGATGTCAAGCTCGATACACTTGACAAACAGCGGCCAGTAATGAGCGTCTGTGGGGGGCAGACCCCATAACCATGGCACGACGCGCAAGCCTTTGAAGCCCTCTTTTACCACGTAATGCTCGAGTTCTTTCACAGCATTTACAGGGTCCAGCAAGTCCACCGACGCGAGGCCGAAAATTCGATCAGGGTATGCCCTGGTGAACTCGGCGACTTGATCGTTGGAGAAAACCACCTTGCCAGGCCGGCGCCACGATGCCAGACAGATCTGTGAGACACCTGCTGAGTCCATCATGGCGATCAATTCCCGAGGTGTTGGTCGACGTCGCAGGAGGTCAGGATCGGCATGACTTTGTTGGAAGAGCCGCTGAGCCTCGGGTACACCATCCTATAGCTAGTGTCAGGAGCATTTCGTCGTATAGGGCAAATCAAGCAATAGAAGCCACGAGGGAGTGGGCAGAGATCGGATCGGGCTGGACACATACAAGGGCTATGGGATTTGCCCAAACATCCACAACAGGAAAGTTCATGTTTGATACCATGGCAAGGGGTCCTTCACCCCTCGAGAAGTTCGAGGAGGATAGAAATATCTTTGTGGTATTGTTTAATGTCTTTGTATTCTGCCACTTTCGCAGCTACTATTTACCATTATGTAAATGGAGGAGGATCAGCCTCGGTAAACAGCGACGAGGCTATGAAATGTGATCCAAGGCTGACTAAGTACGAGGCACCGAGTACGCTGTACGCGTTCCCGGTGGTTTATGCCTAAATAGGCATGAGGCTACGAGGTGATCGTACTCGGTCTCGTACCGCCGGATTCAGATGGAGTTGATCCGGATGCATCGGAGCTGCGGAGCAAATCAGCCTCCGCTGTTCCGGATACCATGTTGGTTTGTCAGCAGGGCTGCCATGCCGGCGATTGAACCTTTACACCGGTGCGCCATAATACCGTCGGGGCAATTGCTGAAAGTTGGACTGGACAATCTAAACCTGCATCAGATTACTCAGAAACACACAATCAGGAGGCCTGGTCCAAGATGAGCCCCAACGTCATGGGTCTCTTTCGAACATCTCAAATGCTCATCCTCGACTCCAAACTTCACCGTCCACCGATAGTCTAATTCTTCCTCGCAAGCTAGGCATCCCCCGGATGTGCATTTCCGATCTTGTTCAACAGTATATTCTCTATTGCTGTTGGGCTTAGGACGCTTATATACACCTGTAAGGCTCCGAACCGGACCAGTCGGGTTCTCATTGACCCTTGGGGGGACATCCACCATGTCCCAAGCAATTACGCAAGCTCCCAAAGTGGGCAACATGGCTCAGGTGAGGCTTCTCTAGAAATTCAGACCATTTTGGTGGAGGGGGTCCTGACCCTGGATTGTGTCAGGCCTGCGATCTTTGCCGCTTGAAAAAGAGAAAATGTGATCTGAAGACAGCAGGCGGTCGATGCTCAGCCTGCGAGAAGTCCAAATCAGTTTGCCAGATGACACATGTCACGAAGCCGCGGGAAAAGCGGAAAAAGTTGTTGCATCTTCCTCTGGTAGGAGTTCATCGTTTCTAACAAAAGAGCAGGAAACAGATGGAGAACCTCGAGGAGCGCCTCAAGAGTTTAGAGGAACTCATCAAAATGTCAGTCGCGGCGAGGCTCCCAGAGAACGGTCACGCCGAACGAGTGGACATTCTGACCCCGTCATCGCTACCGTCGACCACCTCCCCCACCGAACAGACCTCATACGTGGCAGATACACTCCTGGCAGAAGTAGCAGGCAGTAGCACCCAGCAGTCCCCAGGTCAGTCACTGCTGCAAGCCCTTGGCTCCATCCAACCGCGAAGGATGACAACAGACGTCGCACAATCACTAAGCAGTGAGATGGACCTTCTGGGCACTGATGTGACTCACGAATGGAGCCCGAACTCCGACTCACAATTTGCTATGCCAGCCCCGGCTCTTGCTACGACTGATGAGGAGCTTCGCCCTCAAGTCCGTTATAATGGGGCGAAGAAATGCTCGCTGCCGCCCGTGCAAGGCGGCCTCTTCCTCCTGCAGGAATTCCTGGTGGATTTTAACGCAGCACTCCCACTCTTCGACCCCGCGGTTATCACATCCCTCTTTCAGGACTGTTACAACGGAAGAGCCAACGGCAAGCCGATCGAGTGGGTGGCACTCAAGGTCGTTCTTGGAATTGCACACCGCCTCCGTGCGATGAGTCCACTGGGGGTCCCCCAAGATACGGAGAATGCCGAAATCTATCTGCAAGAATCGCTCGACACGGTGCCAGAGTTACTGGTACTCCGACCCTCGTTGCTTCTGGCCCAATGTTTTCTTGGCTTAGCCGTGGTGATATCGACATCCTCACGGCCATTTCCAGCCCAGACGTTTGTCTCCCTGGCCCTACGGGTTGTCCAGGATCTTCGGGTCAACGATCCCAAGGGGACCGAACCAATTAATGCGGTCGATCGAACCCAGCAAGAACGAGTTTTTTGGGTCGCCTATTTTATGGAAGTAGACATGAATCTGAGGGCGGGTAGACTGCCCAACCTGCCACCGAGGTTGATCAATGTTGAAATACCACGGGACGGCGAGCCAGATGCTGCAGGGGAAATCACCGCCGCCAATGGCGAATTCAAGGTTAATATTCTCCGACTTCACGTGGAGCTCGCTTTGATCCAGGCCGAATTTGGAGAGCAACTTGCGTCGCTGCATACCGCGCAGGACTCGGATCCTGCTGGCGACACCGAGCTGCGCTCGATCAACTCACGGCTGGAGGAGTGGCGACGTAACTGGATCTTCGAGCTTGACGCCGAGCATCTACGAGCGGCTCTGCATCGGTCGGATCTTGTCCACGTGGTCATCCTCGAGTCGACTTATTTTTCGACTACATACGCCTTCTGGGCACGGATGTTACCGGGGCCTCGAGCCAGTAACAATGCGTTTTCCGCCCAAGGACTGATCGAGGGAATGACAAAACAAAAGGCGCAGATTTTGCACAAAGACGCCCGGAGATTCATCAATCTGCTGAGGTTGATTCCGGGTGACGACATTGCTTGCAACTGGTGAGTTTCAGTCGACCCTTGCCAGCAAAGATATGGACTCTGACACAATACTTCGCAGGCTGTCGCTGGAATCTATCGTCTCAGCCATGGTGGTTGTCCTTGCCCATATCATTTTCAACCCCCTCGATGAGAGTTCGGTATCAGACTTCAGCGTATCGAGATATATGTTACAAATCCTGCATCGTTTGAGCAACATCAGCAAAGATGACGGACTGGTTGCCATCCAGAATCTCTGTGTAGATCTATATTTGAGGGCCGAGAGAGCGTTGCAGGGGGACAAACCGCTGCGCGGGTGAACGGCATGTCTCCTGGGCACATTGAACGAAGTGAATGAAGATGATGATGACGGGCATGAGAATGCATGGATCTCTTTCAGCACCGTGTATATTATACTGACCATATACCCCGGGAATTGCACATTGCATTGGATGATGGAGCCCTCCCCCCCAATACCTAGGTACCTAATTCCACGGAGAAGATTTCAGAGTGGGTGTCGCTATTCTGGCTATTCCCCCTTCCATCCTAGCTGACGGGCCCCGAGCCGCTGGTTGGTACCAAGTAAAACTGCGGATGATGGGGAGTTTGGGTGGATTCCCCGCAAAAAAATTGTCATGGATGCGCCCGCCCGCATCGAACCAACAACTAACAACCAAACCAACAATCAATTCCTCCCGCTCTTCTTCCCATCAGCATCCGAAAACCCTCTCCTCTCCGCCCTCGAGTCTCATTGTCAAGACCTCGTTCCCATACCAACCTAGTCCGACCCAGTGATAACGCTGAGAAAGACCAACTGCTCACCCACCGATGGAGCGCTAACCTGCGCAGGACAAGACTGCAAACATCACAGATCGAATCAAATGCCGTCCAGCCCGGATATCCAACCGTCTTCTTCAGCGGAGAAAGGTGCCTGATGTCGTCCCAAACTAGCTCATCGGATCTACTCCCAAAACGTCAGGGGAAGCATGTCACCACCGCCTGCCTTGGCTGTCGCAAACGCAAGATCAAGTGCGACGGTATCAGTCCGCGCTGCTCAAACTGCGTCCTCTACGCCCAGGAGTGTGTTTTCCAGCATGGCGTGGATAAACGGAAGATCGCTCCTAAGGAGAGATTACAAGCCCTGACGAGCTACTGCCATCAACTCGAGTCGCTACTCGTTACGCATGGCATCGATGTGCCGCCTCCACCGCCGCTCCATGTTCAAAACATTCCAGCGAACAGTCAGACCGCGTCATCATGGCCTGTCGAGGCTTCTCCACCACAAAGCTTTCCCCCGGGCATCGATCAGTCTGATTTCGGCGTCTCTGAATGGCTTGGTGAGGCTGTCCGGTGCTTGATAAATGAAATGAATGTACTAAATTAGGTCCAGGCGCAGACGGCACCCCGGGTCAAGATGCTTTAGTCATGCCGGGAAAGCCTCTCGAGGATGGGTACTTGTATTCCGCTCCGGATGTGCCTCAGATCGAGAATTCGAATGCCGACCTCAAAACACCCGTTCCTAGTCACAGTGAAGACGTTCTGTTAGATCAACTGTCCGGCAGGATGGGCTCGTTGCAGATTGCCGAGGATGGCCAGTTGCGATTCTACGGGGCGACGTCCAACCTACACATCCTCCATAATGGACCCTTGTCGTTGTCTCGGTCAAAATTCCGCTCGCCCTCTGAACAAGGCGCCGAATTACTCCACGGAGCGGGTGTTGGTCACCTTGTTGATGAAAGCCTTGAAGACCACCTCTTGCGACTGTACTTCACGTGGGAGGAGCCTTCGATACATGTGGTGGATGAGTCCGTGTATTGGCGCGAGCGGATGATTTGCAAGACCACGGGTCAAGTCAGCACCTTGTACTCGGAGGTGTTGACCAACGCGATGTGAGTGATGTCGTTAGACTGCTGCGACCCTATGTCCTAGCAGTCATAAACTGACTGACAACCCTCTCTAGGTGTTCTGTTGGTGCGACCCTCACCACCAGGACTTACCCTCATTTGCCTGATCCGCTGTCGGACTTCTTTGCCACCAGAGCCAAATTGCTTCTGGAACTTGAAATGGACGCGCCCACTCTATCGACTGTTCAATCCCTAGCCATCCTTAGTGCCGTCGAGGCGTCTCTGACCAGGGATGCTCGAGGCTGGTTGGACAGTGGTATGATGTGCCCTGACTACACTCAAATTGGTCCACACTGACCCGGTTACATAGGGATGGCTGTCAGACTCGCGGTTGACTTGGGTCTTCACCTTGATCCGGAACCGTACGTTCAGGCGGGCCTAATCACACGTGAAGAGGGGATGATCCGAAAGGTGATATGGAGTGGCGTCTTCGTTCACGACAGGTATTTATGTCTTGTCCCCTAGTGACCGTGGCAGTTGAGTGACTGGTACCTAGGATGTGGAGTCTGTACGTCGGGAGGCCTGTCGCCCTGGATGACAGGCATGTAACGGTACAGTTCTCTGCGGAAGAAGCCAACCCAAGTCGCATCCAAAGGTACTGGTCCCCTTACGATGACAGTGAGGCATTCGATTTGCCTCGGCTGCCAGACTCAATTGACGAGCTTGGGGTTTGGAACGTGAAACTATGTGCACACATGACCGCTATCAGGGAAACGCTGTAGGCATGATGCTCCAGCGGCACAGAAAATATCGCTGACGCCAAACAGGTATCCCGATGCGAAGACTGGCCCAATGAACGCCAGGCAGCTGTATCAATTTGCGATCCAAATGCGTGATAATCTATTGGGTTGGCAAAGGAGTCTCCCGTCCAGCCTCGCCGTTAACAATCTAGACAAACGAGATCTATACCTTCCGCACGTCCTCCAACTCCAGTGAGTAGACTTGCTCATTCATCTATGTTCTTAACGGCTGACTCGTCTTAGCATGCAGTACCATAGCATCATGATCATCACATTCCGCCCGTTCTTTGCCTCCGTCAAGACTCTACCGGGCCTCACTACGGCTGAAATTGCGACTGGCCGCAACCACTGCACGAATTCGGCCAACTTCATGGCAAAACTGATTCAAACCTATCGTCGCCTGTACAGTCTCAGAAGAATCAATGTTCAGGCTGTCCATCTCGTCTTTACGGCCACGTTGATCCACGTTTTCACCGCCTGCGCTGCCACGGATCCAGTCCGAAGCAATAGCGCGTGGAAGAACCTAGAGATTTGCTGTCAAGCATTGGGCGAATTGGGTCTCGCCTTTAAAAGCGCCTCAAGAGCCCTCGAGGTCATCATGGGCATCAAGAGTGATCTCCTCCGGAGGTCAAAGTCGAACGTCAAGCGACAGAATCCATGGAGTGACGCGCAAGAGCCTGGACTTGTACCGGCAAAGAAACGGCGGCCCACCAATGCCGAAAGCGACCTGATGGCAACACACCAGTCTCCTCAAAGCCAAGGTAGCTCTGACTTTGGCCTCAACCTGAGCGAGACCGATCCTGCGTTCAACTTTTTCGATACCTCGTACGACGACTTTTCCCTCGAGACTCTGTTTTGGAGTGGCTACTCGAATCTCGAACTGCCTCACTACCTCCCCGAAGAGCCATGACATGACTGCTCGACCGACGTCAACCCTATCGTCAAGCTGCCTGATCACGTACAGATCGGGCCGCATAACGAGTTACTGCTACAGGCAGATATATACACCTTGGGCAATGCAGAGTAAGCTCTGGTTAAGACGAGTCGACTTTATGATCTCGTACTACACCTGACCGGCATGCACGGCGCCAGTAACGAGGATATCAGCGCCAGTCGTATACGCCGCCGCATCGCTAAGGAGATATCCAACGGCGCCCTTGAGATCAGTTCGATCGCCTATTCGGCCCATTGGCGGTGCAGACTTGAAGACTTCCAGCAACCCAGGGTTTGTGATGACCAGCCCTTTCGTCATCTCGGTGGCGATATAACCAGGGGACACCGTGTTGACCCGGATTCCCAGAGGACCAAGCTCCACTGACAACTGCAGGCAGAGAGTCCTGACCGCTCCCTTGGAGGCGCCATAAATGTTCAGCCTCTGAGTTGGCAGGGCAGTCTGAGCAGTCACCGATGCTATCATCACGATACTCCCCCCGGTTTTCTGGGCTTGCATTTGTTTGGCAGCCAGTTGGGCGGCAAGCATCGTGCCCAGCACCTGAACCAGAGTCAGCGGTTTCGTCCTCGAAGTGGGACGTGTTTCAAACGCACATTGACTTGAAGAATCTTGAGGCCTTCATCCCAAGTGGTCTCAAGGAATGGTTTATCATGGACGATACCAGCCGCAGTGACACTGCAAGCATGGTTAGCAAGGGCTCTTGCCATAAAAATACCACTCGACCTAACCAGTTATCGATCCGACCGAAATCCTTCACCACCGCATCGAAACTCCGCGCCATGCCCTCCGGATCCGTCACGCTTGTTCTGGGAAACACACCAATCAGCTGAATGCCGCAAGACCCTGGCAGTCGGAGGCAACCCTACCGATAGTACTTGGCCTTGACGCCCAATTGGTTTTCGAGGTCGAGAAAGGCGTCAGATGGCTTTTCGAGGATATCAAGGACGGCGACATCGCTTCCCAGCTCGGCAGCACCTCTGGCCAGTGCTAAGCCAATGCCCCGTGCGCCTCCTACGGTTGTTCAGGTATAAGGCACGATTTCGTTTCGACTTCTCACTCACCAGTGACGACAGTGACCCTGCCCTTCAGGGACATCAGATCCTGGATGGTCCTCGTTCGGTAGGCATCTTCGCTGGAGGCTCCGGGCTTGGTTTTGTTCTCAGTCGCCATGGTGCGAGTTGTTTGATGGATGGTTCTTCTACCGAAGACGAGTGAGTTTCGCTTTAAGCCCTGCGACCTCATAAGGCCGGACAGGGGTGCAGACTCGAGTCTGCGCAGAGCACGAGCTGCGATCCACTGCTGCCTGAGGTACATTTTCGATACTACCCACCCTGAACCTATAACCGTCTGGGAATGGATCTACGACTGGGGCAAAGATGCAAAGATATGGCACTTTACTCGTCAGAGAGGGAAAAAAAAAACCAGAAACACAGAGCTGCAAGGGTCTGACTTACCTAGTCAGCCTGGTCTGGGTCACGATGGAATGGATACGCAATCGGGAAATTGCGGTCGACCCATGAAATGCCGACTTTATCTCACGTCTTCGGACGAGAGAAAATCGACTTCCCCGGGTTTCATTTCCCGCAGCGATGCGGGGGCACCATGGGGAGCGTTTTCCACACCCTCCTATACCGAACGAATCACAGACTGCCCAGCCGTGACGATGGGGGCAACAACTTGGCACCCAACCCAAGACGATTCAGGATGTGCCAAGTCATATCTCTCTATATAGATATCACGAGCATAAGACGCCTCCAGACGGCATCAGCATTGTCCTCCAGTCTCTCCCTCCACCTAATCGCCCATCATGATGTTCCTCAAATCTGTCAAGGGTCGAGCCCTCTACCGGATAATGAGCTTGTGTTGCTCACTGGTAAGTATTTCGCACCCTGAAACTCGTCGACTCATGCTTAGAGAAAAAAACAGTCCTTCTGCATGTACGGCTACGATGCTGGCGTCCTCGGCGGCGTCCAGACCACAGAACCTTTCCTTGACGCCATGGGCCATCCCACGGGTACATATGTCATCCCCATGATCGCATCCTCCTACACACTGGCAGCCGCGGTATGCTCGCTCGCAGTCACCGTGCTCGGTATGCCTCTGGGACGACGAGGCTGTATCCTGGCGGGCGACGCTCTCGTCATTATCGGAGCCAGCATCCAAGCCTCTGCTTGGTCGGTCGCCCAGATCATCGTCGGTCGTGTCCTCTGCGGGTTTGGCATCGGCTTCATCTCTTGCAGCGTCCCCACTTACGTGGCCGAGATGAGTATCACATCGAAAGAACGGGGACCCGAGGTGGGCGTGCAGTGCGCCTGGCTGATCTCCGGGGTCGCCCTGGCGTACTGGGTGACGCTGGGATTTACACGGATGACGAACCAGGTCTCGTGGCGGTTTCCTATCGCCTTCCAAGCGTTCTTCGCTGTGGTGTCCATCATCGGCATGTTCTTCCTGCCCGACACCCCCAGATGGTACTACGCCAAAGGCCGCATCGCAGAAGGCGACAGCATTTTGATGCGGCTGCACGACCGCCCGCTGGAAGATCCCGCCGTCCAAGGCATGCGTGACGAGATCTTGGCCTCGATCAAACTCGAAGAGGAAGACGAGCATACATTTAACCTCCTGGATCTCCTTTGGGATAGAAGCGATATCCGCGCCGGTCGCCGGATCAGGATCTCCTTCTTGATCCTGTCCATCCAGCAAATGATGGGTTTGTTTTTTCTTCCCCTTTCGGCATTTCACAGTGGACTTTTTCTTCTTCTTTGCTAACCAAGGAATGCACAAAACAGGCATCAACCTGTCCGTCTACTACTCAACCGTCATCTTCTCCCAAGTCGGCCTGTCGCCTTTCCTCGCCCAACTGCTCGCCGCGGTGATGAACACCGGCTTCGCCCTGGGAACATACCCGCTCCCCTTCACGATCGAACGCTTCGGCCGCCGCCCCATCCTGATATGGTCGGCCGTCGTCTTGACGTTCTGCATGCTCGTGTTTGTGATCATGATCGGCCTGCCACATCCGACCCTGGCGACGCAGTGGACGGCCGTGGCGTTTGTGATTATCTACAACTTTGTGTTTGGCTACGGCTGGATCGGCGTGCCGTGGTTGTACGGACCTGAGGTGAGTTTTTCGCGGAACGTGTCACACGTCTGCTGGACCTTGACTCCCCATCTCCGGGAGAGAGGAATACCCCTTGCGAAGTTGACATTCACTGACCCTCGCCTCGCTGGATGTCGTGTCACAGATTGCACCGCTCAAACTTCGCCACCTCGGCGGCGCGGCCGGCGCGTTCGGCGAGTGGCTGTTCAGCTTCATCACCGTCTTCGCCGGGGGCATCGCGCTCCAAAATGTCGGGTGGAAGATTTGGATCTGGATGCTCTTGTCGTGCGCGGTCGCCGTGCCGTTTGTGTACTTTATGTGTCCCGAGGTACGTCCCTCTCACAGTCTCCTCTCCCCTTTCCGTCCCACCTTGTGTCTGTGTCTGTGTCTGTGTCTATTCTATTTCTTCTATCCACGATCAAAGTCCCCCACAACAAATTCCCCCTCTTTTTTTTTCGGTTCCTTTCTGACATCGCCGGGTATCTACACAGACGACGGGCAAAACGCTCGAAGAGATCGACCTGATCTTCGCGAAACCCGAGGTGCGCGACTCGGCGCTCGCGGCGCGCACCATCCACGACCATCACCACGACACCGTGGTGGTGCGCGAGAAGGAGCAGGTGATAGAGTATGAAGAGAAGGAGGGCGTTTGAAAGAAACCATCATCATGACCGGGGGGAGAACTCGGCACGACGAAGCGAGCCAGCAGGAAGTTTCACGGCGATGGATTCCCCGTCGGTGTTCTCTTGGGTGATGGTCATGACTTTCAGACGGGAGAGGCGAAAACAAGCGAGCAAGGAAAGACAGACAGACGGCAAAGGCGAATTTGAGGAATGAGCCAGTGACAAGTGATAGAGAATAGATTTTACAGAGTCGAGACGAACAAACAAAGGCAAAAAAAAGAGTAAATTTGTTCATTTGAGGATTGTGAAACCGTGGCGACCCCGGCGACCGTGGCGATTGATTATACCTCAACGCCTCACACCTCGTCCCTCGTACTGAACCGTCTATACCTCGGTTATACATGTATATAATATAGACACATAGAATCCGGTAATTATCTCCCTGGGCTGGTTCGTTGGCTTGGGTGGCCTAGCACGCCTCGACGAAGACACAGTCTGTGGAAGGGGATCGCAGAAGTGAGACTGTATACACTCTACGAGACCGACCGTATTGTGTGGGAAAAATGATAATATGAACTCGGTACTTTCCTTGCAGCTCTAGTAACCATTCAAACGCCGCGCTCCAAAAAAGATATACAAATGTGATGGTGAACTCGACCGACTCATGCCCTTGATCCAGAATACCATTCATTACCTCTCTTCTCCCCTGCAACTCTTTTCCCGTGGTCTCGATTCTCCCTCCTCTCGCCCAGTCAAGCCAGACCAGGCTACGTGGATTTGCCGCCACTGACCCAGCCATCTACAGCCACGAAAAGGTTAGTGAGAAACGAAAAGGACAGTCCCTCGTGCAGTATTTCCCACGCAGGCCCGACAAGGAACAACCACTTACGTGTACGGTTTGCCACGTCGCAGACATAATCCGGCGTGCCAACACTTGCAGGATCGCCCAGATCGCCGCTAGCAGCGATGCTCCCCGAGTTGTATACCCGTAGGCCCTCATAGATGTTGCCGTGCTGCTGCGTCAGGGACCCCTGCAGGTGGGTGGCGCCCATTTCGAGCATGCCGACGACATCCTCTAACGTGGGTGCTGTTGTCTGAATGAAGCCAGGAGAAAGAGCACAAAGGCGCGGGATCCCGTCAGCTCGGTCATGACGATATCAAACACCGTGTGTTGCATGGGAGACGTCTCTTTCTCCCAAGGACTTCGGGAGAGGTTAAGGGGGAGAGAAGCTTACCGATGCAGCCAAACCCTGGCAACCTGAAGTTTGCATAAGTCCTCCCGTCGGCTCGTGGTCTGCGTCGTAGGTAGTCTATGACAGCGCGCCACATGGTCAGTCAAAATCGGACTCGGTTCCAGATTTGGTTTCCATGGAAGAAACTTGCCTGGACGAACAAATTCCCTGTACTTTCTTGCATGATGACACATAACAGGAGATATGACTGGACGCCGGTCTTTTGGCTGACCTGCTGAATTGCCTGGTCAATCTGAAGACAAAGTCAGCAACGAAGCGCCGAAGCACATGCCATGTCCGGCCGCAATCGTTTGAGCGATACACCCGCTCGTAGATGGAATCATGTCGAGGCTGGTTGTACTCACCAAGGGCACATATTTCTCCCCCCCATGTTGAGCGTTGGCCTGCACCATGGTCGGCTCGAATGTATGCCACAGATCCTCATAAGAACAAATGTGAGGATCGAATTCAGCAGCAAATGCTGATGCCGGGCCGTGCACCTCATAGTAATGCGAATCAATAGGGGCGTGACCACCGCCCTGAGTCCCACCGCTGCCCTGAGCGCCGTAGCCACCCTGAGTGCCACCACCGGCCTGAGTGCCACCACTGCCCTGAGGGCCACCACTACCCTGAGCGCCGTAGCCGCCCTGAGCGCCGTAGTCACCCTGAGTGCCACCACTGCCCTGAGCGCCGTATTCGTCCTCTTCGCCGTAGCCACCTTCACTACCTTCACCACCGTAGCCGCCGTAGCCACCTGTACCGCCGTAGCCACTTTCACCGCCGTATTCTTCGTCTTCGCCGTACTCTTCCTCTTCGCCGTATTCGCCCTCTTCGCCGTATTCGTCCTCATCGCCGTATTCGTCCTCATCACCCTGACCATAGCCAGTACCACCGATTGGACCAGAAGCGCTAGGACCACCGCCAGCACCGCCAAAACCGCCAGGACCACCAGCATCAGCACCAGCATCAGCAGCCATATCAACAGAAGCAGAAGGAGGAGTAGCCGTGGCCGATTGTGCCATTGTATGTCAGGACCAACAATTCACGCGGTTGGAGTCTGGTGAAGTCGAATATCTGCTGCCTTTGTAAAGAAAACGTTTCCACGCTGCACGGGGAGTTCCATGTCATAAGGGTGAGCCCTTCTTACCTTTCTTTATATGACATCAAGCGTTATCCCTTTCCAGATACCCGTCTGAAAATAGCGTTTAATCTGGATGCGGAGATGGTAATGGCAAACTCAGGATCTGGGTATCGGCCCCCGGCAGTATGTAGCCAGATATATATTTGGGCCAAGCCAGCTTGTAAGCGGGCGCAAGCCGCTTCCTGAGTGGGACTGGGAGATCTGCTCTGGGTGTGCGTAAGCCGGCGAAAGAGCGCTTGTAAGCAGAAACTGTTGGGCTAGTGTTTTGAGTCCACTCACCACCTTGATACAGCATACGGTGCGCGCGTCCCCAGGAATATAACGCATGTATAGGTGTAGGGGCCAGAGTCGAATCACAAGATCGCGGGTCATGTTGGTGTCGTACCTTACTGACCATCTGTTTCTTTTGGTATATTCTAATCTTCTGGGTCTTTTTTTGGCGTGGAATCCATCTATTGTCGTTGTCTTATCATTGGCTGTGCTTGTGTATCTTGTTGCTGACTGCCCTTCTGTTGACTTGCATCATACTTACTCGACACCTTTGATGCCGTGGTGACTTTAGAGTTGTCTGGGCAGTAAGACCGAACGACTCCTAGTGGCCTGGGGAGAGGATGACGAGCTGATATATCCTAGTTCGATGTCTTGCTGCTTCTGTATGGCCCGTATTCCGGATGGTCCTCGTGCACGGCCTTGGAGGAGTAAACGGAAACATCCCACAACCCCGGCAGGTCGAACTAGTTCCGATCTTCAGGAATAGATGGAGGCTAGGATGGTCGCACCTGGACGCTTTGATAAAAGATATTCTGCCTTGATTCCCTCTCTTGCTTGTAGTCCGTGCCCTGTCTTACTATATATATCCAACTCGCAGTATATCATGTCCCACGTCTCCCCAAACCCAGTCGTGCATGCGGTGCTCATATAACATCATTGACTTCCTCAAGGTTGTACTGGCCCATTTTCCTGGGGGGCACTCGGTGCTGGAACAAATAATCAATCTCCTGGAACGTACGGCCTTTCAGCTCGGGCACGTAGAAGTAGCTCCAGAAAGTGCCCAAAAGGCAGGCTCCACCGAAGACGAAGCCAACTTTACCCTTCAAATTGGCCTTGTCTGGGTTGACCATGTAAGGAACCACAATGTTCATCACCGTGCCAAATACAGCTTGACATGCGGTGGCCAGACCGACCGTCTTCGCTCGAAGTGAGGGGGTGGAGACCTCACCGAGCAGCGCGAACGCGATGCAGCCGATTGTGATCTGGTAGATAAGCGCATAGACAACTGTGCAGGATGCCTGGACCCAGCGAGCAGCCGAAGTGTGGACGACGTCGAGAATGCCCATTAAGATGAGGACAACAGTCATACCAATCATACCCCAGACGAACAACTTTCTCCGACCCAGAGTGTTGATGGCGGCCCAAGAGATCATGACGCCAACCACACCACAGGCCGTGACGCCAACGCCGAGGTCGAAAGCGTCCTTGGTCTGGATACCCGCAAGCTCGAAGAAGTAGGTCGAGAATCCCAACACAAAGACAATACCAGAGAGGTGCTGGCAAGCAAAGGCACCCACGGAGATGGTGGTGCGCACGAGGTTGGTGCCACGGAAGCATTGATCCCATCGTGCAGACTTGGTCAACTCGGCGTCCTCCTCGACGGTGCGAATAATCATGGCCAGCTTCGGTGCGACGTCGACATCCTTGCCGTGCAGACGCTCCAGCGCATGGCGAGCATCGTCTATGCGACCACGGCGAACGTAGTACCACGGAGACTCGGGAGCAAATGGGAGTCCGACGAGAAGAATGGCTGGACAGACCTGTCAGACGTGGGACGTTCGCGGAAAGGCAGGGGTATGAGTCATCTTACCAACAAATAACCATTGAATGGCAAAAGGCCCTCGAAAAGCCCAGCGATCAGACCTGTCCCCAAATCCTTTGATAACGGCATTGGACAGGAGCTGGCCAATGACAATGGCAAAGTTGATGCCACCGGTGATTATACCACGAAGAACGACCGGCGCCACCTCAGAGCAGTAGAGGGGACCGATGGTAAGATAGAACCCAAGGCCAATCCCAAGAATCAACTTGCCGATGAGGAAGGCTGGTCGGGTGCTCGAGAAGACCTCGCCGAATATCCCCGCAGTGACAAACAGCAGCCCTACGAGGAGAGAGTAACGACGGCCGATACGGTCGGAGATCCATGAGCACATGAAGCCACCAAAGAATTGACCGACGCTGGAGATACTGTTGAAACCGCTCTGCCAGCTAGCAGGGATCACCGGGTCCCCTTTGTAGATGTAGCTGTCCCAAAAGTTAACTTGTGAATGGATCACAAGAACAAACGTTCCCTAGGCGGGCCGCTGCAGGCTTACCCGAATGTATACCGAAACTGGGGCACTGAGATCATGGCACCATTGACCTGTGCATCGAATCCCCTGGTCAAAAGTCGGTCAGTCCTTGGACGAGTAGCCATTTGAGGTGCCAATGCCACTTACCAGCCAATGCAACTGAAGGCAAAAAACACACACCAGAAGACAACGGTCCTGTGCTTGGAAAGGGCCTCCCAAGCTGAGAGATTGTGTTCTTCTTCAGCGGCTGCTCGAGCTTGTTCGACCTTTGGAGGGACATGTTCAACGATCGAATCGATAGCCTTGCCATCGTGATGGTCGTCGATATTGACTTTCTCCATGTTTGGGGACTTTGAGGTTCGCCCTGTTGTCAATGAGGATGGTGATGGGTGAGTCCCGAGAGAGGTTGCCACCTTATCGCAGAATGTCCGACCTCAATGGCAGAGGGGACCGTGGGCTTTATGTATTGTCTCCATGCTTTGTGAGATGCAGGTTTGGATCACGATGCATGTTCTGGAAGTCCTATCCAACCCCAGATTCATCCTTCAAGCATTTCCGTACGCCGTTGAGGTCGATTTCGTGCATCCCGGGATTCCGCAGATGTTCTCATGGGACAAAGCTGCCTGCGGAGGGGGAGGCTGGCACCGGGTTTTGGGTAGCATCGAAGGAGGCGACGGGCATGGCATGATGGTGATGGCTCTACCCCGCTGGACCCGAAGATGATCCTTGTGGCATGACTCGACCAGTCGGTTGAGACGAATGACAGCTCAGAGCGGTAAAGTGGTGTTGCAATCACACACCCACACAAGCCAGGGTCTGGGGTAGCGGTTGATACTGTGTGCAAAGAAGACTTGCTTATTGATTGCGCCTTTTCATGTGCATCGTGACAGACGTCGTATTATTTCCTCATGCAGTGAGGCCAAAGGGTTTTCGGCTGGTCAAAGCGAAAGTCAGAGCGCAGCCACAGGCTTCTAGAAGGGCTGGGCGCAGTTACAAACGTGGCCTCCCCAACCTTCCCAAGGTCTTGGTTAATGGGTTGGCCTATCACCTATCAAAGCCTATTTGGGTCTCCCCCATCGTCCGGCTTGGGTATCCCTGGTGGGTAACTTAGGCATTGCTAGGGATTTTCATCTCCCCGCAACGAAACCAGTCCAGCTCAAGCAGCTTCTCCTCCAGCACTCCGCTGACTGGTCTTTATCACTCCCCGGCATTCCGCTCTTCCAACTTCTCATCCCTCTCCAGAAACCAGTATCACTTCCCCAGATCTTCAAACCCCAGTTGTCCCAGTGGAGTAGAAAGCTCACTCCTGATATCGGCAATGCAAATGGAAAGCTCGCTCCGCAACCTTCTCCATTCCAACGAGCCTGCTTATGATTCCTCGTCTCTCCATACTGGCCATTTGCCGGCAACCATCCAGCAACATGGCTCTTTCATCGGCACAATGGAGGCTGAAAATGTCCTGAACGACTCGCGGAAGCGTCCTGCCACGCGGATAAAGTCCTCGTATCCGCGAAAGAGAGCCATCCAAGCCTGTCAGAAGTGCAGGGTCCGTCGAACAAAATGCAATAATGCTCGTCCAACCTGTTCCTCCTGCCTGTCGATCGGCGCCGAGTGCACATATAGCGAAGGAGATCATTCTACGTATGTCTGTGTGGCGGCACATCTTCGGACGTGCTACCTGGTAACGACCCTCTTCTGACCGTGGCAGCTTCGATTCCGCGAGCCTGGCAATTTTGGATAAGTTGAACACCATCGAGGAGCTTTTGAGGTCGCCCAGTGCCCGGACTCAGATCGCCCCAGCAGCCCCCAGTAACGCAGCTGACAGCCCCAGTCGTGGAGTCCTGTCTCGGCTAAAGTCGCTGAATTCACCCAGTCTCGAAAGATCCAAGGATGCCGCCCCCTGTCACATGAACATCGAAGGAGTCTTATCGTGGTCAGTCTTTGATGATCTTAGTCCCAACCTGGACCTGAAAGGTCTCCTCAATTCCAGCCATGGCGCCTTACAGAACCTGTCAATCGTACCGGAATTTGACGAGCATGTCGCTGAAGAGGAGCTGGTGGCAAGATTCATGAGCAATGTCTTCATTTACAATCCGGTCTTGGAGGAAGCCAAAATTCACCGGTATATGCGTGATGCCCGCTTCAACGGCATCGGATGGGACGCACAGTCGTGCCTACTGGTGAGATGGTATCTTTCACAAACTTCTCGCCGAAGTCGCTGACTGTCGCGTGTAGCTTCTGATATATGCTCACGGCTCGATTGTTGGGCCATTTGATGGTGGACAACAGCAAGATGCCTCGTCATTTCGCTCGTCCCCCCAGTTCAAGCAGTCTGAGTCGTACTTCTCTGCAGCCCAGAAAAGGATGGGCCATCTCCTCTGCCGGACAGGTGTGTTGGAAGCGCAATGTTTCTTTCTGGCAGGGGTATATTTGATGGCAACACTTCGTCCAATGGAGGCGTGGAAGATGTTTGTCCAGGCTCTCGCCTGCTGTCAAGCCTTCTACACTGAGAAGGAGTCGCCCGAAGCCGACAGGGAGGGGGAACAGCGTTTGCGGGAAAGCATCTACTGGACCTGCTTCAAATCAGAACTGTAAGTGGAAACTTGAGACTGCAAGTATGATACTGAACCCTGGCCAGTGAACTCCGTCTCGAATTGAATGTTTCTGAGACGTCGATTTGGGATCTCACCTATCCGGCCTTTTTCCCTTCTCCGCCCGAGGGTCTTCGATCCCAACGAGAAATAGTGTGGTATTTCTATCTTGCTGAAATCGCCCTTCGACGACTGGGCAACAGAATCCTCAATTTCATCTACGACAGCAAAGCCACGAGTTCCCTGTCCAATGCGGCCGAATCTACCATTGGATTTGAACAACAAGCCGCAGACTGGATCCGATCGCTCCCGCAGGCGCTTGACCTCGACGCACCCTCAGTGGGCGAGGAGAGCGACCTGCATGACTCGTTGAAGTTTATACTGAAAGGCCACCTCCTCGACTGCTACGAGATGATGTATTGGCCCTTCATCGTCGCGGCGATCAACTATGACACTCCCGAAAGAACCCCGACCATCTCGACCGAGTCGCTCGACTCGTTTGTGCACAAAGCGCTGGCCGTGAGCGTGGAAAGAATTGAAAAGAACGAACAGGGGTTTTTCTACCGCCATCATGGGACCTGGCTGATGCTACGGTCTTGCACGAGGAGTGCCCTCGTTCTTCTCGGCGCGGCCAGACTGGAGAAACTAACACTATTAATGCCGGATCGCTGGCGGGAGGCGGTGGGCAAAGTAATCGAGATGCTGAATTTCTGGCGGCGAGAAAGCAGAGACGTGGAAGACCGGTTGCGACTCGTCGAGACGTTGCTAGCCGGTCTGACGTTCAGTTGACGCGCGTGTTTTCTATGAGTGGAATAGGTGCGATAGCCCTTACTGTTCTCATGATACCATCATATGTCTGGGCGCTATTTACATCCATTACGGGCATTTCACGAGGTTATAACAAAAACATTGCATTGCCTGGAACGCGGATGGGCGAGGAAGAGAGAGAGAACAAAACCTAATTCACATTTTTAAGCGTCGACCTCTCGGACCTTGTATGCAAACATTCCATTCGACGGGATTCCGTTCTTGTCGAGCATCTTGACCGACGTCTCCACGCCGGCCGCGGGCACGCGGTACTCGAACTTTTTGCCCGGTGCCGGTTTCGAGCCGTCCGGGAGCGCATACGGGTACGGGAGGTATTCGGGCATGAGGCCCAGCTGGATCAGCAGCGAGGCCTGGTCCCACGCGATGTGTTCGTGGTAGAGGCGGTCGCCGCGCACGCAGACGACAGATGTGCAGGGGAGCTCGACTTTTCGTCCCGTGGGCGGGATGCCGGGGGCTCTGTCGGAGGGATGGTAAGTTTCTTGGGAGTCCAAGAGACGAGAGAGGCAGACAGGGAGAGACAGGGGAGAGAGGGAGTGAAAGTCTTACAACCAGTCGATTTCCATGTCGTGCGTAAACTTGGCAACAAACTCGTCACAGACGCGATCGATGCCGATGGTCCGACTCACGAGCAGGAGCTCCATGTCTTTGGGGTTCTTGGGGATGAAGTGGTTGCGGTAAAAGTTTGTCAGGCTTGTTCTACCGATGCCACCGGTCATCTGCACCGATTCCCCTCAAGTGAGAACAGTCAGAACAGCCATGTAGCGAGAAGCAGGAATCAATGGACATATTCGTACCGTGGTGATATGGTTGACATAGGGCTCTTGCACCATAGTTTCCATGGTCTTGGGTACCGAGCGCTCCGCAAATTCAAAGTACGTGTGCTCCTCCCAGATGGCTTCCAGGTCAAAGTCCAAGCCGCGGATGTACTTCTTCAGGAACGTGAGGTTTCGAGTGTGCGCGACGGCTTCCTGGGTGCCATCGAATTCCAGCTGCCCTGGTATCACGAACTTGGGCGACTTGGCCGTCGGGTAGGTGTATATCTTGGCCTCTGGGTGCGAACCTGGCTTTTCATGTCCAGCGAAATGACAGAGTCTGGGTATCGCGACTGGAGTGACCAAGTCCCCCGCCGTGCCGTAGATGACAGCCGCCGCAATCTTGGGCCCGATAGCTGCACTGCGGGCAAACTCATTCCAGAGAGCGGTGTCGTAGACTTGGAAGACGGCCTTTCAGTATCCCCAGGGGAAACAACAGATGTGAAAGAAAGGTAGAGACAATTGGTAGCGAGGAGGGAGCCTCCCGAGGCATGGAGGTGGCAGACTCACCGACGATCCCAATTCCATCGTTCACATCGCACTTCTCACACTCCTCAAGCGCAGCGACAGCTTTTTCGAGGATCTCCGTCGCTGTCGTTGTTGAGCCCTGAGTGAATTCTTCTCCTCGAACCTCCACCACCGCAAATCCTTCTTCCGCCCACTTTAGCAGTGGAGGTGGGATGCCATCCTCGCAAACAACGCCGCCATTCGTGTAGCGTGGCGCATTCGTCGGCAGCACGAGGACAAGTCCTGGCCCGTGGCTCTTCCGAGACAGCGGCGGCAACAGTGAAATATGATCGTGGATTTTGACCAGGTCGGCGGTCGGGAGGGAGATGTGCTCTTCGGCAACGGCAGATGGGTCGGCCATTGTCTGCGTAGATAACCTGTCAACAGGAGATGGGGGAAGAAGTGGGCTTGACCCAATGTATGCCTGAATATATATGCTTGAGAGTCTTCCCCGATTACGCCGGGTCAGTTACTCGAAGAGAGATGTACAAGGTGTGCACTGATGTCTTGGGTGGAATGAGTGCGCGGACCGCAACGCTTGATAAGGCGTTCAGCCTCGCTCGGCAAACACAAATGGATCGTATGATGACACGATGGCCAAGCTTCAACGTCACAATAAGATCTGATACGGCTTTTGTCGTGGTGTAAATGGATGGAATAAGTCTAATTGCATACATAGAGTCAGGATATTCTGCATAGATTCTGCTTCACAGCATCATAGCCACATCGTATCGTCGCCAGCACCTTTAAGCCTCCACACTTTGACAAAAAAAAAACCTCCCCAAAAAATTAAAGACTGATGTTCGTCCAACAGCTTGAGATCTAGTCCGCATGTCGGAATACGAAAGAACTGGCCATCATAAGATCAACGATACGTACAGGAAAGTCAAACTCTTCACAAAATCCATCGAGAAGCCTCGGCACAGGGAAAATTTATATACGAAAACAAGAAATTTGGAACATGACTGATCCATTGCGTACCCCATCTACAAGAGTGGATTCGACAAGGGATTCCAGCCGGCCACATGTCAGGACTCAATAATACACAACACATAGATGAGGTACTATATACTTGGTGGAAAGTAGGACGTCGAGGAGTTCAACGAACTTGGAGATCCCGGCTGACCTTCCAATGGAGTTGATATGCTGGCTGGACTCGTACTAGCTCATATGAGGCTAGCGTTAAACGTTATCGATAACCAGAAAAATTGTTGGCGAACTCCGCAGCAATTTTCCCAACTGCAACATTTTGCATTCAGTCTCACCGCCAGCAGGGATTTACGATCAGCAGCAACATGTCCAACTCAACAGATCCCCAGTTGGCAGAGTCGAAGAAGCGTAAAAGGAAGCGGACGAAGCACGCACAAGCCGAAAACAGCACGCAACCTGCACGGGCTGCTCCCAGCGACCGAATTGTTGGATCTACGAACGAACCGCAAGAGAAGAGCAAAAAGAGACGGAAGACGTCACACTCGAGCGACGACGAAGAGGAAGACGATGTTGAGGCCGAAGTTACCACTGAATCTGTAAAAGATGCTGCGGAAGACGCAGAGGAGGATTCTCCAGACAGTGGGGTGGATGGTGAGGTTGACAACAACGATGAAGCAGGGGCCGAACTCGAAGAGACGGTCGATACCACGACAATGAACCCAGAAATTACTTCTGCCCCTGCTCCCACAGATCTGCCAACAGACACGGTTCCTTCGCTGCCTGGCACCGATACCACTCCTCAAGCTTTCTCCGAACTCAAGCTCTCCGAAAAGACGATGCAAGCCATTAAAGAAATGGGTTTCACCAACATGACCGAGATTCAAAGGCGAGGCATTCCCCCTCTAATGGCAGGCCGTGACGTGCTGGGAGCCGCAAAAACTGGCTCGGGAAAGACACTCGCCTTCCTCATCCCCGCTGTGGAAAGGCTGCACGCACTCCGCTTCAAACCGCGCAACGGCACTGGCGTAATCGTCGTCTCGCCCACACGAGAATTGGCACTGCAAATCTTCGGGGTGGCCCGTGATCTCATGCAATTTCACAGTCAAACGTTTGGGATTGTCATTGGAGGCGCCAACCGAAGTGCCGAAGCCGAAAAGCTCGTCAAGGGCGTCAACCTCCTGATTGCCACTCCGGGCAGGTTGCTCGACCACCTCCAAAATACAAAGGGCTTCGTCTACAAGAACGTGAAAGCACTCGTTATTGACGAAGCAGACCGTATCCTGGAAGTCGGATTCGAAGACGAAATGCGCCAAATTGTCAAGATCCTCCCAGACCGCGACCATCGCCAGACCATGCTCTTCAGCGCGACGCAAACGACCAAAGTTGAAGACCTGGCACGCATCTCGCTTCGCCCCGGCCCGCTCTACATCAATGTCGACCACAAAAAGGAGCACAGCACGGTTGAAGGGCTCGAGCAGGGCTACGTGATCTGCGACTCCGACAAACGGTTCTTGCTCCTCTTCAGCTTTCTGAAGCGCAACCTGAAAAAGAAGATCATCGTCTTCATGAGCAGCTGCAACTGCGTCAAGTACCACTCGGAGCTGCTCAACTACATCGACCTGCCCGTGCTCGAGCTGCACGGCAACCTCAAGCAGCAGAAGCGGACCAACACGTTTTTCGAATTCTGCAACGCCACCCACGGCACCCTGATCTGCACCGACGTCGCCGCCCGAGGCCTCGACATCCCCGCCGTTGACTGGATCGTGCAGTTTGACCCCCCGGACGACCCACGCGACTACATCCACCGAGTCGGCCGTACGGCGCGCGGCTCCAACGGCAAAGGCCGCAGCCTCATGTTCCTGCAGCCCAGCGAAGTCGGCTTCCTGAGCCAGCTGAAGGAGGCCCGCGTGCCCGTCGTCGAATTCGACTTTCCCGCCAAAAAGCTGGTCAACATCCAGAGCCAGCTCGAGAAGCTGATCGGCCAGAACTACTACTTGAACAAGGTGGGTTCCTCCTCCCTCCTCCCCCCTTTCCCCTCCTTTTCATTTCCATAGATTCTCAAATTCGCGTGAGTGGTTACATAAGATCAAATCTAACCTCCAATCTTGCTCATTACAGTCAGCCAAGGATGGCTACCGCTCGTACCTGCAAGCCTACGCCTCACACAGCCTCCGCTCCGTCTTCGACGTCAACAAGCTGGACCTGGTCAAGGTCGCGAAGAGTTTCGGTTTCCCCACGCCGCCGAGGGTGGACATCCAGTTGGGCGCGAGCATGCGGGACAAGAAGCAGAATCCGGTGAGGAGGAGTTACGGGAGCCAGCCGAGACAGAAGAATGGGTTCAAGAGGAGATGAAGTGCTCACGAGCAATTGTCTGGGTCAAATCGATTGTGCTCTCATTGATGTGTTAAGCTAATGGAGTTGGCAAACTATGAGGGACTTCTAGGGCTAATTTGCCACAAAAGCACGGTTAGCCATGTTGCTTTACACTCCACCTCAATGTTATCTGCTATGCCCGACCCTAGTACCCCCGGTTCTCTTAACACTTTCTTTCCCCGCCCTGTCGCTCTGTCTCAATACATGCTTCGAACGTCTGGCGAGCTTCTCCCTCGTCTCACGAAGCCATCATACTTGAAAGCTTCTGAAAGTCCGGGGTACCCCAACCTGTAACTGGATCCCATCCTGGGGCCGCGTCCCACCCGGCATCCGCAATCTTCGGCGCTGGCTGACCAGTGTACATGTCTTGACCTGAGCATCCACGAGAACGTCCCAGCGTGATGTCGTTGAAGGCTTGGTAGCCCTGCGAATATAGCCAAGGGTTCAAGAAGCCGAGCTTTCCCTTCCCCTGCGCCAGCCGTTTGTTGTTCAAATTGGATATAATAGCTGCAAAAGTTGGCGCCGCGCAGGATGTTCCGTACAAAAATTCTGCACGATCTTGGTTCTCGATCAGATAGCGCACTGATTGCGCCGAGACGTCGGGGTAGCCTCGCCCAGAGGCGTTGAAATACCCTTTGTTCTTATTACCCAACCTGGAAAAGTAGGCCTTCGTGACGTTGACCTGGTAAGATGGTGCTGCGAAGTAGTTGGAAAACCCTCCTGAGGAGAAAGCAGCTGCGATTTCTGGATTCACAGAATAGGTCCCTCCCACGGCCGTTACATAGGGGCATGTCGCTGGAAAATTCGGTGTGAAGCGTGGTGTTTTCTTTCCGTCGTTTGATTGACACGCGCTACCAACACCAGTATCACCTGAAGCGAAGATCACAGAGACTCCACGCAGACTGAGGAAGGAAAATGCAAGGCATACTTCCCTCGCCCAGTCGAAAGGTACCGTCTGCTCGTCCTCAGCGTACGAGGTGGTAAGAACATCGGGAAGGTCTGAGCTGTTGAGACCCAACAAGAAGTGGAGTTGATCAAGATATGGCTCGTTGCTGCCGTTCAGAGAAGGCGTCGGCTGGTCGAGATCTGCGAGCATTGGGGCTCGTCCAGCGGTTGAGTAGTAGACTACCGGTGTCCCTCGAGCCAGGGCCACGGAGTATTGCACCTGGAGCCAGTTAGTATGATCATGATTGAGGCTACGGCGCGGACAGTAGACCTACGTCGAGATTACCCTCAGCAGTCTTGTTCACGCCTTTCTGGTCGCTGACTCCATTGTTGATCGGGACGATGGAGAAGTCATGAGCCTGATTACTGGCACCCGTGAGCTTGAGAAAATCTTCAAGGTCGTCAAAATACACTCCCTCTTCGATGAAGCCAGAGACACCAAGTTTCGTCTTTGCCTTGGGATCGGCCTGAAAATCAGTCATCCTATAGATGCCTCTAATACATTCCGGGGTGATGGTGCTATTGCAAAAGGTGGCATTATAGGTCGTCAGAAGGTCAGGGTCGCCAAATGGCGAAACTAATCCAGGATCAGGATTGTCTCTGGTTTCCAGCATAAAGCTAGCTTGTGCTCTAGGTTGACCAAACCGGGTGGTGGGTTGGATTGTTGTGATCAGTTGCCACAGACGTGTCGGGACTGAGTATTGCAAGGTACGAATCAAAGTTGTTTCACCATTGTGGTACTCATGAAACTTTGTGCCCAGAAGACTCTCAGCTTGGGAGACGGAAGCGTTGAATGTAATCCAGGATCCTTGATATGTGATGTTTGTTTCCAGAATGCCTTCACCCGCGAGCCAGTCTGTGACTGCGGCAACTGTGTCGCTCGCTGGTCGCAGCAGGTCGTCGAGTTCATGTTTCTCCAGATGCCGACCGTAGGATGGATGATCAGGCGTAGAGATGTCAAGTAGGTGCTGGTGAATATCGTTTATGGCAGGCTGGTGCAGAGCGAGGCGCAGTTTGAGGATTTCCTGCGGACTCGGTCGTTTGCCCTTCTTTGTGTCAGTCAGCAACACCTTGTTCCGGGTTAGAAACACCTTACCTGAGTCCATCCTGTTGGAACATCAGACAGTTTGCCCACGACTGTAGTTGAAATATCAGGTAGTCCAGGGCTGGAGACAGCCCAAGCGCAGAAAATCAAGGTCAGGATGAGAACAGTCATGTTTTAACACCGAGGATGAGGAGAGGAAACCTTGAGGTTAGCTTTCAGGATACGGGACGAATTGTTTGCTGGTATCGAGGTCAGCAAGGACGTTGCAACCCTGAGAGCAGCACAGCTTGTATCCACGTTGGGAGCCGAGCAGGAAGTGTAAGAATTCCCATGATGGACGGAGGAAGTGGCAGTAGAAGTAACGACCGGTCCTGAAGCTGAGGGGTGTTGAAATGGCAGGAAGGGAAAGTGAAGGGACAAGTGAAGACTAAGTCATAACGTGTATTCCACTGTGAACAGATGTGAAATCCGGACAGTTGAGAGAGCGAGAACACTGACCACGTTATCGATAATCGTCAGCTACGACCCAGCTTGGAATATGCATTTCTCTTCCCAAATCCAGGTTGGTATATTGAAACGGTACAGAAGTTGTGCGAAGGGCATGTAAGCAAGTGAATTGTGTTGTTTTCGTGCATCAATACTCCGTTGATATCATCTCCAAGCTGAACGAAATGGCAAAAGCCCCAAGGTTCAGAATCGTCTATCGTCTCATATCTGCTCCCAATTGCAGCTCCTGTTCAAGGTCATTCGTCGCAAAAGCGCCCGGCTCTTGCGGCCTTGGATCCTCATGGCTGCTCCATTGACTTGGGTTCTCGGGAATAGGCACGTTCATGTTGCCAGTAGGGTTCTGAGATGGCTGGTGACGAACGTGGTGACGGAATCTCATGACTTCGTCGAGTATCATCTTGCGCATCTCCTGGACATCCTCCACAACCTCAAACGCAAAGTCGAAGGTCTTGGGGCAAGCAGGCTCATCACTGGCGTCGTGCCAAATGTGAAGGTATCTGTGCTCCAAAGCATCCTCTACCGAGATACGAGACGAGGGATCGAATGCCAGCATTCGGTCCAGAAGGTCGAGGGCATCAGGGTTCGCCTGCGGGAACAGCCTTTGGAATGTGATCTTGGGCATGTATGGCAGGTTTCGGACATACTCCTGAGCACGAGGTGATCCGATTCGCGAGAGAGTCTCCTCGTTAGGGGTGCCTAGGTAATGCAGAATCTGGTTCAGCTGATCGACGTAGTCCCGACCCTTGAAGAAGGGTCTGCCACCGAGCAATTCTGCCAAAATACATCCCACCGACCACACGTCGACTGTTCGCGTGTTAGTTGCAATTCAGGTGTCCATCGAATGCCAACATACTAGCTTTGGTATAGCTCTGAAAGCTGAGCATGATCTCTGGAGCACGATACCATCGAGTTGCGACGTATTCGGTCATATATCCAGCATTCTCCTCGGGGTCTTGAGAGAAACCTCTGGCAAGGCCGAAATCGCAAATCTTGAGCTCGCAATCGGCATTGACGAGAAGGTTTCCGGGTTTCAAATCTCTGTGCAATACATTTGCCGAATGGATGTACTTGAGGCCGCACAGAATTTGGTAGATGAAAGATTGAAAGTGAGCATCGGTGAGTGGCTGGCCAGATCTAATGATGGCCGCGAGATCACACTCCATCAATTCTGGTGCATGTCAACAACTGTCTCCGCTCAGAACGAGGGTCAACATACCTTCATAGAGATACGTCTCATTGAAGTTGTCCGGTCGGGGAATATCCATATCGTAGAGACAAGTGATCTGTGCCTAGTCAGCCAGCAGGTCTTTCCTCGATTGATCACGACAACAGACATTGCGGTGGCCTCGGAAGTGCTGCAGCAGTTTGATTTCGCGCAATGCTCGCTTCGCGAGGATCTTCTTGCTGAAGACATTGGTGACTTTCTTGATGGCCACTCCTTCTCCCGTTTGCGAGTTGGTGGCAGCACTTTTGACAAAGTCAGCGACATTCCAGCGCGCGATCGTAGGGAGGCCTACCAGACAATACCATATGCACCCTGACCCAACTCTTTTGTCACGGTATACCTCTCATCGACAATGAAGTCTTGATTGAAAACCTTGAACACTTTGCGCCCAGCAAGGTCCCCCATGTTGCTATTGCTCCTACAACTGCGGACTGACTTTGGGTTGGTATTTGAGCAGCGTCAGAAGGGGGGTGGATCGTAGCGAGAGAGGTCAAGGCAGCAGTTCAGGTGCTTTAAAGGAGATCCGGCCAAGAAGGTCGGGAAGGCAAGGCAGGGTTTCGGTCGTAGGATATGGTGCGGCTGAACGATAGAGTTGAGCAGTGCTGACACTCTGGGAGTAACTGTGAACCTGGAATGCGGCGAGCGAGTCCGGTCGGGGTCTATGGTGGGGGCCACTTCAGGTGTAGCGCGAAGATGTTTGCGTAAGACCTAGCCAGTAAGGGATTTGTATACCGGAATATTATCAAAGTGAGAGATTTGAATGAAATTGGGCAATTCAGGTCTACGCCAAATAGCCGCTGAGGTGGATTTGTGATGAGAATGCTTTGGCTTCTCTCATTTTCGAAGCAGCCGCGCGCTGTTGTTTCGAGGTGGGACGGGGAAATCGAGGGGCAGCCATCAGCCCTGAAGCCTAATTGAGCTCGTGGCGGGCGCTGGGCAGTGGGTGCTGCCCCGGAGCCCGCCCTTGCCAGATGGCCTAATTATCTGCTTGGTGTGTACCAACTTCCTACCCAACCAGGTTCGTCAGCCGAGTCCGCCAGTCTGTCCTTGTCTGTCTAAGAAAAGATGTCAGTGCCAAGCCAAGCGCGCCACGCTGGCGAACACGTGCCAGATGCCAGGAGCCTCCACAGCCTCATCTGTGCCACTTCTGGTGGAAAAATGTGGCGTCACAAATTTCAAGTATCTGCGACCAATGCCGACATCAAGTCATCGCCATCTTTGAAATAAGTGCATCCGGGACCTAGAAGATTGACGCGTGCCACGGGAAAGAATTCGTCGTAATGCCCAAAAGTTAGGTGAAGTCAGTTCCTACTCTCAACAGGTCGCCATGGAAGAATTACTTGCGAAACACCGCAAGGAAAAGCGAGATCTCCAATCACAAATCACGCAGAAAAAGAAGAACGCGACCAAAAAAACCAGAAAGGGTGTCAACGATGAATGTGAGAGACTCGAACGGGTACTGGCTGAAAAGCAGCAGGCTGAGATTCAGGCCTTACAACCCCAAGATGTCAGTGAGCTACAGGAGGCCCTAGAGGATCTCAACGTTGGTGAACCTGTGGGAGAAGAGATCAACGGCGTACCAGAAGCTGCATCAGAGCCACTTCAAAAGGCCGACACAGCAGATTCATCGCCCGCGGACCAGTCCCGACCTCGAAAGCCAAATCGGCAAAAAGCGAGGCTAGCACGTCGAGCAGCCGAACAGGAGGCACAAGCAGCGGCCGCAGCTCTCGAGGCAGAGAACCTCCCCGACCTCCGAGAGCGGGAACTCGCCGACATGAAGCAACAGATGACCAAACTAGGCCTTTCAGAAACCCTCATCCGACCCGACGGTCACTGTCTCTTTTCCGCCTGCGCACACAGCATGTCTACCGACATTCTCGCAGCAAAATCAGATAGGAACGTCAAGCAGCCATATGAGAAAGTTAGATACGCCGCTGCGGAGTTTATGGCCAGCCACCCCGAGGATTTTGAGGCATTCATGGAGGAGCCCTTGAACGCATATGTGAAAAAGATCAGAGATACGGCGGAATGGGGTGGGGAGTTGGAGTTGCAGGCCATTGCGCGATCTTTCAATGTCGAAATCAACGTGCTCCAAGCGAGCGGCCGAGTGGAAAAAATTTCCTCCCAAGGCAGCTCAAACGACACCATTTGGCTGGCATATTATCGACACAGTTTTGGGCTTGGTGAGCATTACAATGCGTTGAAGAAAGTGGACCAAAGCTGAGCAGGTACCTATTGTTCCATGTGGAATCATGAATGGCCGATGAAACAAAACGGAGGCTTTTGGACAGCACCTGATGCCTATCAAGCTCTCGTCTCCTAGCTAACCAATCACGTGGGGAAAAATACCACCAGGATCTCAGCGGTGACGCCAAACCGAGATATAATCCTCTACATTTCCGTTCTTGTCCTTGCCCACATTGTGCGTGTCGGCAGGATGCCAATGCCCCACCCTTTCCATAGCACCGAGGCTGGATGGTGCTAGTGGGTTCATTTTGACATTGCCTTCCTCGTCATAGGGGATTTCTTCTCCTGGATGACTCAAATGCTCGAGGTATGTCTTTGAAGCGACGCCGTAAGGGGGTCCGCCAGATTTGACAGGCTTGGTAACTGGGAACTCGAGGCACACAAGATTTGCTCGAGGGGAGTGGCGGAGGAGTTCGGTCATGCGCTTCGCCCAAGCAGGACGCATGCCTGGGCGCATTGCACAGAAGAACTGGAAGGGCAGGTGTGAGTAAGGATTCCTACGTCAGCTAAAGATGTATGCGTGTGACACAAAGATCAACCGCCCCGAAGATGAGATCTCATACTTGAAGGGAAGGACAAAGGCGGCGACAAGAAGATCAGAAGTGAAGGAACATTACTCACAGTATAGTCATAAATGAGATCGAACTTGCCGTCCCACTCACTACCAGCACCCAGCTCTGTCCTCGCCTTTTCCACCCATTGATCATTGTAAAAGTCCCCTTGGAGAAAGACCATTTTTCCCTTCCCGATGTTCTCATCATAGACGGGATACTTGGCGGCGTTCTCAGCCGCATACTTTTCACAGGCTTCAAGCGCCTTTTCAGCATATTCTAGCCCGACCACATCATATCCGAAACTGGCGAGTAGTAAAACATCCACGCCGCGGCCACAGCCGGGGACTAATGCGCGTTTCCGCTGCTTCTGTCCATTTGCTGACGACGGGGCGAGAAGGGCATTGCCAATAACATCGGCGTGGTTGATCAGCGTGTCGGCGAGGGCTGGGGATGGAGATCCACGGTCCCAGGGCAAGAAGTCTCCCTTGTTCCACAACTCGGCCCAGCCTTCCGCGTAGGCGCCTCCTTCGTACTTGGACATGTGCCCCTTGAGCCTTTCACGGTTCTCGGCCGTGGCGTTTGTCGAAGACATGGTTGCAGTTGGTTCGACTAGCACAGGCTCGGCAACCGAACACAACGGTCTGAGGCAAGCTTGGAAACGACGAGCGGGAAGAAGCGGACTAGATGGCCGGTGTCTGAGGGGTGGTGGATAGTGGGGGATGAGGGTGTGGTGTCGAATTTGCCCGAAGCGGAAGAAATTGAACTGGTGGGCGGATCGGTTCTGTTGTCTAGGAAGAGTAGGGTGGACGGCTGCCGTGGTCCAAGAGTGTTTCGAGAGAATGCACAGCCCCGCGCTCAGACTCGGTGATGTTGTGCTCTTGTGTCTTATCGCATTGTTAGCCAGCGATACAAATTCTCGAGTGTAGTAGTGAGGAGTCAGATGGGAGGACATGGAGATTGGCTCAACTCAGTGGTTCGACCACTAACAAGGTTACTCAGATCATCATTGGTCCCAGCCCTTAGGATGACCGCAGCGACAAAGTCGGAAGTAGTACCGATTAATACACTAAATGTAGGGAATTAAAAAGCGGGCTTCTGTGTGTCTGCGTTGGCTGTGTTTCTGCCTCGAACCAGCCCTGACTCCAATGATGTCGTCGGGGTGATCAACGTGACCGGAATCATAAGACAAGGCTGGGTGTTCTTTGGCACGTTCCTGGCCCAGAATACAAATGGGGTAGACACCACACCAGGTACAAGTGAGTACAGAGATGTGCCTCGGTTATATGGACAATTGAGTCGGATAATGCCATCGCACAAGATACAGAGCAAAAAGTTTGGAGTTCGTGGGTTAGTGGGCCAGACCACGTAATCAACAATTAATGGTGAAGGCCAAGTCCGACTGTCTTCCCGCATTGCGAGCTTCATTCCATCCAATTCACCTTGCCTTCAATTGAGCATTTGACTGGCACGACATGGCCATCTTCACAATATCTCTGCGAATGTACTATTCTGGTGGTCAGAATTGCCTCCTCATCCGCCAAGCGGCTCCTCGGGAAATACCTCGAGGTTCGCCGAAGAAAATCTAACAACCTCATCTCTGCCAATTGTTTTCTGGTCCCTCTCCCTCTCCGGCAATAACGGCACAATAGCCATCATCAGCCCTAGATCTCTCCATCTGATGGGACTTATCGCCAGCTCAACCTCCTCCCCCACAACTAGCAATGCTTAATCCCCCTCATTCTCTTGTCGTCATTGGTTCTGTCGACCGCGGTGAATCCGTCCTTCGATGTTGGCCTCCCGGTAAACTGCGATGGCCCTCGAGCAACAGAGCAACCCCATGCACGCCATTTGCCGCTGTGGACGTCCTTTTTCACCTAATGGCCGCTTAAGCCATGCCCATGCCTGCCTTTGAGGATCTGCGAGCCCGGGCGACATGCGGCTGACCGTACCTTTTAATATGCGCATTCTCCAACATCCGTTTCTCGCTCTCCATTTCTTAACGTTCTTTCTTTGGCTTCATTCTTTGGGTATAAATGTTTGAATGATGACTCTGCCAGCAAATACTCGAGCTTACCTGTTCAAGTCTGACCTATATCCGTCGCTCTTCGGACTGCGCACATGGCTCATGATGGCCTCGAGAAACTCCCCCCCTCGCCAGATACCGTGTGTGGTCCGGCCTCGGAGGAGGGACTGACGAAAGGGAAAGAGCATGATGACACTTTCGAAAGCCGGTCCATTCATTCTGATCATTCGGGTCATTCGACAGTCGTTGTCCAGCATGATGTCGAAATCGGTCAAGCTGCACTGACCAGGACGATAACTCCCAAACGGCCCGTTGTCAAGGTACCGCGGTCGGAGAGACGTGGTCTTTTTGCTCGTTTCTGTGTCATGGCCGAGGTCACAGAACCCACAGATTATAGCAATAGCATAAAGTGGTTCATCACCTTCGTCGTGGCCATTACTGCCGCTGCCGCCCCCGTGGCTAGCGCCATCATTTTACGTATGTTGCGTCGACCGTTGATCTTGTCGGAGTTTGCCCCTAGACTGACTCAATTGATTGCCGTTTAGCGACCCTGGATGAGGTGGCTAGATCCCTGCACACCGACGCGACCACCACCAACCTATCAGTTTCATTATATATGTTGAGCATGGCCATTTTCCCCCTCTGGTGGTCGGCTTTTTCAGAGACGGCCGGGCGCCGGACCGTCTACATCACCTCATTTGCCTTATTCATCTTGTTCTCCGTCTTGAGCGCCGTCTCCCATTCAATATCCATGTTGATCGTTATGCGACTGCTGGCTGGAGGAGCTTCGGCGTCTGTGCAAGCCGTGGGCGCGGGAACGCTCGCTGATATCTGGAAGTCACACGAGAGGGGCAGAGCGATGGGGATCTACTTCTTGGGACCTCTGTGTGGGCCATTACTGGCACCTATCGTGGGTGGTATTCTCGGCCAAGTTTGGGACTGGAGAGCAACTCAGTGGGCTCTCGCCATATACGGAGGTAAGCCCCCAGCATTTCTGGCATTAAGCTAGAATTGTCTCGTCGCCTGAAAGAAACCGGCTCCTGATGCAAAATTTCAGTCTTGACTTGGGCATTGATCTTCTTCGGTCTGCCTGAAACCCTCAAGATACGCAAGGATGTGACGGAGGAAGTCCTGGCGGATGTGGCATCGTCGATCAACAACAGCAGCCATCGACCTTCACTGAGTCGAACGTCGACCCGAGAAGTGATACAGGATAAGTCAAAAAAGTACTTGAAGATTGCACGGACGTTTTTGTTGGACCCACTGAGCGTCATCCTGTACCTCCGGTTCATGCCTGTCTTGCTGACGGTGTATTACTCGGCGGTTACTTTCGGTGCGCTCTACATGCTCAACATCAGTATCCAGTATTCTTTTGAGAGGGAGCCCTACGACTTCTCGACCATCATCATCGGCTTGCTCTATCTGCCCAACTCCGTCGGGTATATTCTTGCCAGTGTACTTGGCGGTCGCTGGATGGACTATATCATGAGGCGCGAGGCGATCAAGGCAAATCGAGTGGATCAACACGGAAAATTAATCTTTCGACCAGAAGACCGCATGCGCGAAAACGCGTGGCTAGGTGCATTAGTCTATCCTTGCGCCTTGATATGGTACGGATGGACCGTTGAGAAAGGTGTTCTGTGGGTAGCACCGGTAAGTCAACGTGAATCACCAACACATGGGGGAACTTTGTTACATGCAAGGTACCAACGTTGACACGTGTGCTATAGGCCATTGCGAATTTCTTCTACGGCGTGGGGTCCATGCTCATCTTCGCCATGTCCACCACTATGTTGACCGAGTTCATGCCACAACGATCCTCCTCTGGTGTTGCCTTAAATAACTTGTGCCGCAACATTGTATCATGTGTTGGCACTGTTGTAGTGGCTCCCCTCATCGCGGCAATCGGGAATGGTTGGCTGTTTACCATTCTGGGACTTTGGGCATTATCAAGCGCCTCGGTCATTTGGGCGATGAAACGATATGGCGAAGATTGGAGAGAAAAGATGGATCGACAGCTCAGATAAACAATCAAGACCATGTGAGCCATGAGATTCACCGGGGGCCAAAAAGGCCCCAGGAACTTGTCCCAGTCAGCACGTGACTGACTGTCGAAGCCCTCGTGACTCAGGGTCACGTGTATACCCCCTCAATCCCTGCGCCCTCTTTGAACCTCAAATAAAATGCGGAGTTTGGAAGTGAGGCACCAACTCAATCCAAGCAGCCAAACAACAACACTACCAGGAGGAAGACGGCGAAGTCCTCGACAATGGTCTGCGGCACAGCAACCTTTCTGCGGCCCGTTTGTCCATCGGCGCGAGCCGTACCAAAGTTCCCTCTCGGGAGCAAAAATCTTCTCCTGCTTTCCAATTCTCTTGATTCTTCATTGCTTTACCACGAATATCCGACCACTTGTACTGTGACAAGCTCATGATCATCGCCTCCCCCTGGGATCGCCAATGGCAGCAATCCCTCATCGGTACTGCCCACGCCAACAAAGACACTAAAAGCTCCTTTCCTTTTCCTGTGATCTTCCCGTGCTTGAACAAGGATGCTGGCAGCATCCTGTGCTTCGCCAATGAACTCCTCCACGTCTCTGGACGAACTGGCGTCAAGGAATCCAGCACACTGCATAGCCCTCTAGCAAATCGAGACACATGGGCACTCGCCACAAGAGACGAAGAAAAAAGTGCTTCCTTCTGGCCGCAGACATTTTTCCTTTCTGGCTGACCAGTCACCTCTGTTGGGCATCAGTCTAGGTACGACTTCCCGTCTCTACGCGATCCAATCGTCGCCCTCACCATGCACATTTCGTCCAATTGCGGACATTTGGGCTGGATTATTCCACTCACTGATGCAGTTGTCTGACCTTGAGTCAGAACTATGCTGCTTTGTATCATTTTCCACCCGCATATCGCCGCATGGTTTCTGCAGACTTTGCCCATCCAAATATGCGCCAGACGAGCCTTTCATCGTTGACGTGGTCCAATTGCCGGGGCCTGCTATCCCAAACAAGCATGCCTTGATTCTCGTTCATCTTTTGGCTGAAGTGGCCCTGCTGCCCGGTGGGATGATTCATGCTTGGGCTTTGCAGGTCACCCTCCCGTTCAACCAGATTTCACACCACCATGATGCGTCCTTCAGCCACCCCTTCCCCCTCCTATACATCTTTTCGTCACTTTACGAGGTTCATGAGGGGTTTGCCCTCCAGTATTGAGTCGGTTAGATAGCGTCATTGTGCTTTCCGACCCCTCCGCACCGTTTATGACCCCTGCGCAACAGAAAGATTGGTAGCACCGAGAGATTGGCCTGACAGCAGTGTGCCTCTACAACCCCAGGCACACCAGCCATGGGAAAGGCTAAAAGGAGAAAGAATAAGAAGAATTTCCCTGAACCCCGGTCTGATGAATCCAAAGACATCGGCGATGGCTCAGTCATACGAGTCCCAGTTCCAGTACGCCAAACTTCCTGCTTATCAATGGCAAACATTTGATCCAAGCGCCGTTACATACTCCCTTCATCCTATCATTGCACCCGAGGAAATTGATCCCAGCAACCCTGATACTGACGACCAGTTGAAGAATGAGGAGACAGCCACCACCTCTGACGCTGTCGCAGAGCTTCCTCCCGCACCCTCCGAAGAACAACCCAAGGATATGGAGGGTGAGTTGCGTCTCGACGAAAACCCTGGTTCTTACGCTGACCATCTTCTCTAGACACCACTATCATGAACGACGGAACGGCGCCAGAGGACGCTAGCGCTGACGAGGTCGCGAGAGATGGAGACAACGGTATTTTGCATCAAAACCTATCCCTGAATTGATTCACTCTGACGTATCCTTTAGCAGAAGGAACACCCTCTGAGACGCCTCCCGAGGGCGAGGATGTGCAGTCGAAGAAAGATGGTGCTCCCGCCGCGAATGAAGACGAGGCATCGGCAGATGCATCGGACACCGTCGCGGAGCCAGACCAAGAGGAACCGAAAAACGAGAATGTCGAGCAGCCTGCCGAGGGCGAACCAAAGGATCTCGGCGAAGACCAAGATCCTGCTGACTCATCTGATGCTACCGCCGTCGATTCGAGCGACGGCGACAAACCTTCCGAACCAGAGACAGTGGTGGAGGTGGTGGAGAAGATGCAGGAAGCCGATGTTCCTCCAGAGCAAATTACTGAAGTCTTAGAAAAGGCCATGTCTGACGTCGGAGCCAGTCCTGCTTCTCCCGAGTCAGCGGCCGATATTGAGCAGCCGTCGGGTGAGAGCGCAGAAAGCGCCGAAACACCCGCAATAGAAAGTGAAGAAGGTGTGTCCGATTCCACCGCAGAGCCAGCGCCCGAAGATGGCGGGGCAACGGCCGAAAGCCCTGCCGTTGAGGCAGAAGATCCGTCAACTTCAGAACAAGGCAAGACCAACGACGAATCTGCCGCTTCGGAGCCCGTAGAAAAGGTGGAGGAAACAGTTGAAGCAAGCGGACAACCAGCGGCCGACGATGCTGAGATAGAAGGGTCGCCAGACAGCAACGAAGGTGATGGCCCTGCCACAGATGCATTAGAAGCGGCAGATGATGCGCACCCTGACGCGTCGGATGGGGAGGAAAAGGAAGGCGAACAGGACGATAACCTGGCGCCTGAGACTACAGAGGCTGATGGGGACCGGGACAACGACGATACAGAGGAGAACACTGCCTCTGATGATCCCGTTCCTGAAGAAAAAGAAGAGGAAAGTGCAGAAAATGAGGAATCACCAGAAGCCGGCGTCGAGGCACCAGCGGCTGGAGGAGGCTCCAGCCAAGATGAAGAAGCTGCCTCTGAAGAAACGCCAATAGTAGAAAGCCCTCCCGAGGACGGACTGGCGGAAGAGGCCACGGCGGAAGAGGTCGTGGCGGAGGGTGGGTCGACTAAGGAAATACCTGCGGATGACGACGCAACCGAAGACCACGGAGCTGAAGAAACGAAGTCAGCGGAAACCGCTGAAGACGGGTCTTCGGAGAAAGCTGAAGATTCAACGACAGGTGACGCCTCGGAGGAGGTTTCAGCGGAAGAACCACCTACTGAAGCTACTGAGGAGCCTCCTGCCGAGGAACCTGCTGAGGAACCTGCTGAGGAACCTGCTGAGGAACCTGCTGAGGAACCTGCTGAGGAACCTGCTGAGGAACCTGCTGAGGAACCTGCTGAGGAACCTGATGAGGAACCTGCTGAGGAGAAGCCTGCCACCGCTGAGCCTACTACGCAAGTAGCTTCTGGAGAAACTGCAGACGAAGTAACGTAAGAAACCACAAATGCAAACGACAAGGAAAACGTCGACGAATCTTAAGAGACCGCGGAAAATAAGACCACAACTCAAGAGACA